CCTGCACTAGTAATTTTTTACTGTTACAAAATATCCGGCCCGTTTCTGTTCTCCTGCCCGCTGCTACGAATACACCGGACTGACCTTGTAGTCGGTTTCTTGATGAGAGACAACACCGAGAGACCACTAAACTACAATATTACGGCGAAACTCTGAGGCCGTAAACCCTGACCCGCGAAACTCGGAGGCCCTAAACCCTGACACTGCGCAACTCTGAGGCGGGAAGCCCTGAAATCCGCCAACCCTGAGGCGCGAAACCCTGACACGCCGAAACTCTGACCCGCGCAACTCTGGGGGCCTAAGCCCTGATATTGCGCAACTCTGAGGCGGGAAGCCCTGACATCCGCCAACCCTGAGGCGCGAAACCCTGACACGCCGAAACTCTGACCCGCGAAGCTCTGAGGTTCTAAACCCTGACACTGCGCAACTCTGAGGCGGGAAGCCCTGACATCCGCCAACCCGGAGGCGCGAAACCCTGACACGCCGAAACCCTGACCCGCGAAGCTTTGGGGGCCTAAGCCCTGACATTGCGCAACTCTGAGGCGGGAAACCCTGACATTCCCCAACCTTGACGCGCGAAACCCTGGCAGGGGCGAACCTTGAGGCCCTGAACCCTGGCATGCCCAACCCTGAGACGCAAAACCCTGGCCGCCGTTTTTGCCTGCAAAACCCTGAGAACTGGATCCTGACACTTGTGCCCATTTTTGCAAACCCTGAGATGCCAAACCCTGACCCGGCCGCGATTTAGCCCTCCCTGGCAACCCTGAGATTCCTCGGCTTTGCCCTTAAACCTCTGAGAGTCTTGGCCCTGGTTTTTGTGCCCCTTGTGGTTCTCCTTGCTCGCTCTTAAAGCCCTGACGTCAGACCTCGGCTTTTGTCGCTCATTAATAAAGATAGAATAGAAAGAAGTTTGGCAGACTACTTCAGTTTCGCAGAAGCTAGGGTCGCTCCTCGAGTTCTACTACTCTCTGTTGAGCATAGCTGTACGTAGCAGAGTACTAATACACGTTGTAACAACGAAAGAGGCCATCGGGCTTTATCCAAGTCGAAATGTTGAGACTTCTCCAAGCCGGCGCCGCCCTTGGTCGCGGTAACACAAAGCCTTCGCCGAGCGCCATCGCCGTCCCGAATCTGAAGGAGAGGGTTGAAATCTGGAAGGCGTATATGGAGAAATTGGCGACAGAGATTGAGCCAGCGTGGAGACGCAATGACGATCCCAGCCTGTATACAAAACAACTGAATGTGGACCAGGAGAAGATGCAAAAGTGGAAGTTTAAGGCGGATGCTGCGCCTCCGTCAACGGATGACTTTCAGTGGATGCGTTATGTTTATGAACAGAAAATCATTACTCACCTTCAGACCTCAGTATTCTAGGCAGCTCGTCACGTAGAAGCAGGTGTCTAGAAGTTTTTTTGTTCATATTTCACCACTTTCCTCTCATACCCTGGCCGGATTTTCGGAAGTCGTTCACGGAGAGCTTGGATCGGGAGGAGCCATGTATCGCTTCGAGACGCCCATCAACGACGAGTCCATCACGTCTGGCGAGGGAAGCAAGCTGGTCCAACGTCATTACTACTACCTCACAACAGATGGCATCTTCTACCTGCAAAACAACAACGAAAAATGGCTTGGTGAAGAGAACATCAAGCCCAACGCCGCAGCGTGGAATCGCTTCGAGATTGAGACGCTCAATCTGGTGGTCACAGTGGACGAAGCGCCAGTACACGCACCCGCAGAGCAGAAGTGGCAATTCCTGTTTATGTCATGACTATATCAATGCATATGTATATTACTAGCTTGTTTTGTCATTGGATGCGGAGCTCAACATTCCAGGGTCGCACGAGTTTACAGCGGATGCACTTTTCTAGAATAGAGCACGACATCGGTTCTGAATTTGCCTTAGCCCTCCTACTACTTGGTGAAATGGACCGAAGAGATTAACCTTAGTCTTCCGGGGTAGCGATATTCCTTTTTCTCCCAGTAGCTATTTCGATTTTGCAAAATTCGGCGTCGCGCCTCCCCTTGCTTCTCTTTTTCCCCTTTGATACCAGGATCAGACCCTCAACGAAAGTCTGAGTTTTTCGGCAATAAATAAGATAGTAGCGCGATTCATTATACCACGAGACGGCGCAAAGGAGATGCTCGAAACAGCCATGTTGCCCAAATCGGTTCCGGCTGTTCCAGTTCGGAAGAAAAATCAGGGCGGAGGCGCATCCAAACAGGAACAGGAAAATGTGGAAACACGGAAGAAAATCAACGAGCTGAGCGCGAAGTACCTATGGCCCCAAGAGGTTTTCCCTCCGTCTTCCCAGACGGCGGATGCGCCGGTTGGTAAAGTATCGATGGCTCTGCAGTGGAAAGCGTGGATGCTGTATCTGAATGGAAGGGTGAGCGGACCTTTGTTGAACGTGGACCCGAAGACGACAGCAAAGTGGAGCTTCGCGCCCGAAAGGGTGCCTCCCACCGGCTATAATTGGATCCGTTATGATCACAAAGTTAGTACTTACTCTGAAGAAAGCCTTCGTTAATATACCATCCAGAACTAGCTTATCCCTTTAGTATATTGAGTACCTCCTCCCTTTCATCTCAGCGCTGATAATGCTGCTGAAGGCAAGGGCTGGGTCCACCGCGCGGGAGAGGAGTTGGCACCGGGAGGGACGATGTATCGCTTCGAGTGGAAAAACAATGCTGGGCACGTCTACTTCTATACCTGTTCGAGGCAGAAAAATGTGTACTATCTGGACGCTGCCGGGGAAGAGTTGCTGCCGTTGAGTGGCGCGGCGGACTCAGGAACGACGAGTGAGCGGCACAGTCGGCACGGTCTCGACCCTTACCTAGTGTGGGGCCCCCATAGTCATCTGATTACGCCATCACTTCTTGATATATGCAATGGACAATTCTTGGAAACTGGTCCCATCATGTCGACGTGCTAGTTTTATAGCATGCAGGTTGTACTAGCACAAGCCTAGCACTAACAGACACCTTAAAGGCCTTTCGTGATTATTCGCCCGTTCTCATGCATCATGGATGTGAAAACGAAGAAATAGAGGTAATCGCATCTGCGTCGCAGATTATCTGTTTTCTTTCCTTAGTTTCCCCCTGTAGCGGTCTATCCTTTTCCCGTCCAGAAACTCATGTGCAAGACAGTATTAGTGTCGTGAAACCGTTCATAAATGCAGAAGACGAGTTTACGCGTGTGTCTGGTGTCCAGGTGAACACAAGTCCGCCGATACGCGTGCCGTGGCCGAAAGGGTTTTCAGCTGCATCGAGTGACGAAACGAAGGGTAAAACCTGGGAAAACCATATGAGGAATTTGGCGAACGAACTGGAGCCAGCGTACGTGACGGAGGGGTTTGACGGTGTGCAAAAGAACTGGCTGAACGTTGACCAGAGTGCCATGAAAAAGTGGGAGTTTACGTCCCGGCCACCGAACGGTGTGGCATTCGACGTGTATGGACGGACAATCATTACTCATACTCACTATTCTAGGTGCGTGGTCATGTAAGAGAGTGCGCAGGCGGAAACTCTTCGAGTATGTGTAACGATGTTCCTGTCATACTTCTCTAACTACTAGATAACCCCAAGCATATCACACAACCTCGCGACGGGTCGCCCGAAGCTCCTTGCACGATGTACCGCTTTCGGCGTAAGACGTCTCCAAACGGCCCTCAAGGCAGCCACGAGTACCGCAGCTACTCGCCCATCCGCAACGACTACTACTACCACTACTACTACTACTACTTTTGCCCTACCGAAGATAGCATCTTACGCCTGCGTCGTCGGTCTACGGGCTCATACAATAGCAATGACTGGGACCTTTTCGAGAGTCACTATCTCGCAGACAAGAATGGCGTCAAGACGGTAAGCGCCTCGGTGAAATGGCAAAGCGTTGGTGTTATGTCAAAACATCTGTTCCCTAATCTCTGCAATTGCTGATCTATGCAGGCTACGAGCTGCCATTACTTCGTGTGGATGGTATCAGATAACGTTCCTAGAAATGTTAATGGTCCTATAGGTTTTTCCTTTGTGCGAAGACGCATTTCTCCCGTTTCAGGGATATAGCTCAATTGTCGGTAAGTCGAGGTATTAGTCATCAAAGTTAGTAGGGTGATCATTCATTAGGCGCTTTTGGTATCCGTGGCCAGATGAGGTTGACCATGGGGTTTCAGAGGGAGGAACCAGTAGCAGCTTCTTCCAGAACGTGGCCGCAGATTCGCACTTCAATCAGCCGGTGCTTCCTTTTGGTTTCGATGTGGCGCAAGTTGGTCTCGCTGCCTTTTTTTATGGCTTCAAGCTTTTCGCTCCCACACGCCATAGCTGGCGTGCTTGGAGATAACAGCCGCCAACTATTGAGGGGTACTCTTCAGTGCGAAAGTCTGATGCTGGCTCTAACTTTCGGCTGCCTTGGTTCTGCTCGCGTGCCTCCTCTGGTTCATCCGCTTCCGCTACTGCTCCGCAGGAGCCGCTTCCGAGCCAGAATCTACGGTATGTGCATCTTACTTGAAGCAGACAACTGCTTCAACTAAGCCCCTCTTCAATGCCGACTACTAACAAACCCATATCTTCAAGATCAGTCCGCACCTCCAATCTTCAGCATAGAGAATACCCACGCCAAATCTTCAACATCCAGCCCGCCCCCATACTTTCTTTACCAAAAAACAAACAGGTGGGCGATTTGAAGCTCGAGAATTCTGCGGGATGGAACTTGGGTCTCTTATTGAAGCGCTGCTGCTGCTGCTCTGCACGCTCATCCGTCTCCGAACAAAAATCTTTGGTATATGTTTTTTTACTTGCGTGCATGTTAGCTCCTCTCCGATGTCGATCTCTAGTTTGATAAAAAATCTTCAGCATCAATACCCATCGCGAAAAATATCCAACCTCGATGCCCCCCCTTCTCATACTTTCTTCGACAAAAAAACAAACAGGTGTGCAACTTGAAGACAGAGGGCAACGAAGGATGGAAATATGACGAGATGTTGAAAAAAGCGACAAGTCTCGATTGGCATGGTGCCGAGGAGCGGCGCGATCCGAAGGCCAACACGGGATGGAAATATGACAAAACCAAGAACGCCAAAGCTTCGAGTTTGGATTCGTATGGTGCGACGTGGAAAGCCTCTGACGGGTGTGAAAACATCCCTGAAGAGGTGTAGATAGCTGCGCCCTTCGTTTTGAAAGGGGTGGAGAAGGTACTAAGACTACTACTACTACTTCTACCACTACTTTCGTAAACTTGTTCATGTGTCTGTGAGGACTCTGAAGGAAAGGGTGTGCAATTATGATTGAGATACAAGAGGCACTTGCTTCGTTACATCTCTGAGTGTGAAAGGTTACTCCCGTTCTTTCCCAGTCATCCTACACTTCTCCCGATTCCCCGCAGGTACGTCGGTAAAGTCAACGGTAGTCAACGAGGATGCTTTTGAGTATGCATAGGTCACGAACGCCAGGTTTGCGCGTGGTTTTCTATGGACCAACCATTTCAAAATCTTGCCTTTGCGAATATCTTCGATTTTTCTCGACGAGACCATGAGGGGCGGCGAGTCAGGGGCGGACTCATTGTGGATGGCGTGTGCCATACCTACACTACTTCGAGCTGTCCTATCGGACATTGCAAAAGTTTTGCTTAGCTCACTTAATACATCATAATTAGGAATCCGCTTATGCTTCATGTAAGTATATGTCTACTTGTGAACAGTGCGGCAAGAGTATCTGCGTTGCTGTGTCGCTGGTTTTGTGCATGGATGTCATACATGGGTTCGAAAAAGATTTTTTATGTCATAGCTACGAAAAATAGTGTATCTATTGTGGTTTCGAAAAAGACTGTCAAATATTCTTGAGGAGGAATAGCGCCATGCTGTCCTCTCATAATCTCTGAACTGCGACTATGATGTCTATTTCAGCTTATTGAAAGCAAGCTCTCGCAATGGCCACGAACTAGCTCGTCCAATCTGCTCATTTCCAAGTTATCTCAGCGATGACAGCCGGCGCGACTCCGTACTGGGGGAAGGCATCTTCGCAAGAAGTTGCCCGATCCGTGGTGGACTCAGTGTTGTATAGAACTGAAGCTCTGTCTGAGGTTCTTCGATAAGAGTAGCTCTAGCATGCATTCTTTTTTAAATGAGCTGGAAATTGAGTAGCAGGAGCGCACTCGCGCATTCTGTTCTTGGAGTTCGTGTATGGGGTCCGTGTTTGGGTGAGATCTTAGTAGACGCTTCCCTTGTAGGGACTCCTGGGATCCCTTTTGTATCAAATAAGTAGAACAGCACTCAAACTCACAACTGATTCGTTAGTACGAGTACTTGGAAATAAGCGGGGTGACTTATGTGGGAGCATCCATAACTTGTGTGTGGGTGTGTGTGTGAAGCATCCACACGCTTGGGAAGATAATATGTCCTAAGTCATCAGTTCATATGATATTCTTAATTTCACCGTAGTGGAAGCTATGAAGTCAACTGGTCATCAGATTCTAGAGACACGCTAGCGTTACTTACTCATACGGGTGCGCGTGATGTACTTCATAAAGGCAGACCGATTGACCAGCATAGCCGCTGTTGTTGAGACGGCTACTGTGCAGTTCCATTCTAGTTGCCCGAACCCAAGTAGAAATCTGACCCATGGCCAATGAATAGGTGTATTCCCTAGTCTTCGCATGCGAAAATGTGCCTCCACTGCTTTCCTTGCCTGGAGCACACCCAAATTTATATTTTGTTGACAACATAATACTCATCGCAATTGCCGACTTTTATGTTGTGTCGACAGTCGTACTGTCAGAAATATCCAATTTAAGGTGGGATGAAGACTAAGCAATCCAAGATGTTAAAGTTTCGAATTGAAAACCTCAACCGATCGTGATGAAGCAAACCAACCCTACAAAATGGGACTAACATGACCTAAGTAGCCAACATATCTGAAACCATCGACCTTGCTCCACAAAATGAACAGACACCGCTTGTCCGAACAATTCAAGAACTATCCATAGTTACTCACACGCATCACTGAATTAAGTCATATTATTTTCTTTGAAGACATACTTATCTGCTTACATTCGAGTTTCGCAAAAGACACATGGCATTCAATGAGTTATAAAAGTTTCGTAGTGTAGTTGTACTAGTCAAAAGCAATTCCGTTTAATCCCTTATCATCTTGAAAGACATCAAAGTCCACTTTTTCATGATTCAATAAACCCACTTGCATTCTTCGTTGTTTTCGTACTTCATGTCATTCATCACCAACTTGAAAAGAATTATGTACAGAACGCCTCGCTGCTAGTTAAATCACAAGAGTCCAAAGACGCATATACTCGCATACACACGCCTCATACCTCCGCAAGAAAAATAGATGCAATTTACTCGTATTCATTTATAGCACGTAAAAACTATTCGATCGATTTGTCCTCATATCAAAAAGTGGATCCTTCTTTTCAGCTGTACTTCATATAGATGAGCACACTCCTATCCGATAGAAGTTCCTTGTCCTCAGCCATTTCAGTCAATTATACAGGTCTAACCTGTGGAAGGTGAGTTGCCAGACGAACGACGGGGTGTTTGTTGCTCTGTGCAAGACTTGCTAGGTCGCACTTTTTTAGCTGGATGAGGGCTCTCTACTTCGGACCAACACCTTACCTAACCTAGTTGAAATTGCTGCAGTCGGGAGATTGATAGGAACATGGATACTCATTGTTCAAGCAAGGCAGCATATTTTTACTTCTTAAAGGAACAGGGAAGGTGCCGTCTATCTAGAAGGAGAATTACGAAGACAGCAGATGAGAAGAAAATATCCACATAATCATGCTTGATATTTTCAGCTATTCACGACCAATTACAGACATTTACGTAAATGACTTAAACACACCTACATTGACTCGCGCATACAACATCTTAACGACCTTAATTTGCATAGCATAAATATAGTTTACCAGCAGAGCTACATCAAAGCATGTCATTACTGAAAAAGTTTCGTATTGAAAGAGCAGTTCGTATACATCCAAGGAAGATTTAGAACAAGGGGACATCAGCATTTTCAGCATTAAAACTCCGCCCCTGGTGGGAAGGGAGACCATGGCCTCTGAGAGGCGCTGCAAAGGCAGCAAAGGCGTTCGCATGAGCCCAATAACGAGGCACTACGAGATCTCTGCTCTCCAACTCTGCGACGCCCTAGATAGCAAAAGAGAGCGCGAACCACCATGCGACAAAGCGCAAAATGTGCCCCAATTCTCGGACGAGACGGGTTCTTCTGTTCCTGAGAGCGTGACCGAAAACTCCTGAGAGCGTGACCGAAAACGTACCCCACTTTTTTCGGACAAACTGGTGTGTTCTGTTCCTGAGCGACGCTACGGGTTCTTCTGTCCCTGAGAGCGCGACCGAAATGTGCCCCACTTGTTTCGGAGGACCTGGCATGTTCTGTTCCTGAGTGGGAGTTCTATCGAGCGCTCTGCAGGGGCCCGCTGACGTGTCTGTCGAGAGAGTGACCGAAAATATACCCCACTTATTTCGGACGAACTTGCGTGTTCTGTTCCTGAGCGACGCACTATCTGACAGGGTCTGCTCTCGAGAGATGAGCTCTCTGCAGCCGCCTCTGCCGCGTCGAGGGCCTGGCGCTCATTCCACGGACACGTCTGTCACACCAAGCATGATTCATACCCCATCTCCGGTCTCCTTGATTGGCCCTCAGGTAGAATTCGCTTCTTCTCTCTCTTTCGCACGCTCCTCCTAGTTGTCCTTTTACGTCAGTAACCTTGTCTTTTTAGTTCACCTGTCATCTTCCCGTTGAATATAGCCTACGTGCATGTAGTTCCTCTTTCTCCTAGGCTCCAAAACTGAACGTCGCCGCGACCAGTTTCCTCTAGTTCACCTAGCCACACTCTTATACACTTCCTAAGACACATCAGATCACCTCCAAGATGTTCAACAACTTCGGCTACACTCACGGCTTGATGCCTCCTGGAGTGCAGAGTAATGCGATTCCCAGTCATTGGCCTGGGATGATTGTCCATCCGACGAGAGGGGGAATGACAGTCCAACCGCCGAGCCCCATCAGCCCGACACTATACCCGATGATATGCGCGCAACCTCCGGTAGGGCCGCATATGGGAACCTGGTGCCAGAACTGGCCTGGCGTGCCTGGATACGGAACGATCAATCAGTTCGTCGTGTTCCCACCCGGAGCGATTCTGCCACCCGGTGCGCTTGATCATATCCCAGTTCCAAAGAGACGCCCTTCTCCTCCTGCGGCCGGAAGTGGTCACACTGAGAGTCCGCCAGCATCGCCGCCACGCAAGATACAGAAGCGGCAGGCTGAAAGCGAGACGTCATCGCCTCTCGTCCTTCCCTCCGAACAGAAGAAGCACGGCGCATCCAGTGCAGAGCCCGCAAGGAAGGCGGACGAACCCATTACCGACCCGCCGACGCGGAAAACAGCGCGTGCTGCCGTACGCGCGGAGCTCAGTCGACACCCGGGCATGCGCGCAAAACCGATGGCTGACCTCCTGTACAAGGCCTATGGCTGGCGCTCGCGAGCCGTGCGAGGGGCGCTGGGCATGCCCTTGGGTCCGTACATGCATTCAATCCGCTGGTCAATTAGACGGCCCGGCGGCGCAAGCACAACCTCGGCCTCCCCGGACACAATGCAGATGGCAGCAGAAGGCGAGGGGACACTCCAACAGAAAACATCAGGCAAAGGAACCGCGCCAGGAAAGGGAAAGGCTTCCAAGGACATGAATTCGGGAGACCGACCGCGGGGCACCAAGAAAGGCAAGGGGAAGATCGCGCACAATCACAGCAGCACTCAAGCCGCAAAGGGTGCTGCTGCTACCAACCTTGCCTCTGAGGAGACAAGAAAGCACACACCTGCACCGAGGGACCACGCCGACATGACCGCGGACGCAACAACTGGCACGGAAGCCGCCTCTGCTGCAAGTGGCACACAGAGACGAGACGACACCCCTACAGAGCAATCCTTGAAGGATCATATTGCGCAACACCATCTCTTCGCCGATGCTGAGGCCGTGGCCTTGTCCCTCTGGAGCCGCTTCCGAGTGCGTGGCCCCACCGTGCGCGACATCCTCGGCATGACGCTCGCGGACTACCTCTCCAAGCGCCGACCGGTGTTGAGCGAGCAGCGAAAAGCCCAGCTCCGGACACAGATCAGCAGCGTGCCGACCACCAAGGGCGGGATGTCGTTGTCCTGTCTCGAGTGGATGCGCACTGTGGAAGAGACCTGCAGCGCGCCGCCGCAGATGATCCGCGCTGTGTTCGCTAAGCGTCCGCAAACTGTGTACACTGAGTTGCAGCGTTCAGAAGGAAGTGCTCCCAGCTTAACAAAGACTCGCCCTGGCGGTGAAGACTCGCGTGGCCGCCGCGTGACGTTTGCTGACTTCCCCGACGCCACTCCTGACGAACAAGACAACAGCAACGACGCAGGCCCAGCTCCAAAGAACCGCTCTGCAATGGCAGAGGAACTGAAATCTGACCGAGAAGAGTCTGAAAGTGCGCCGGCAACAGCATCAAGCCAAGACCTGCCACTCTGTCACACTCCACCGGCCTCCCAAAGCGCTTCACAAAGCACGGAGCACGATTCGCAATCGCATGATCGAGACCCCCGCGCAGCCATGGAAGCCTCCCCCTGTGTACCACGGAAACTACTCACAGTGCAGCGGCTTGATCCTTTTCCGACCTTCCTCCAGGCGTTCGAGTACGTCCACAAGGACCGTGGAGGCGACTTGGACGCTGCAGCCATGCGCGTGAAGATCTGCGCCCACTACAAGCGCAGCGACCTCCCTCCGCCTACCTCCCAGGCACGGGCGACCGCCGAACTCTTAAACACGCCGGTGACCCTCTTCAGTCCCAAGCGTGACGCAATGGGCAAGAGCTTCATCACGAACCTCGGAGGCCGGCAGTTTTACCTGGATGAGCTTCACGCAACGCACCTGCCTGCACTCAACTTGAACGAGAAAAAGGGCGAGAGACTGTGCATCTTGTGGATGAGAGACGGCTTTCGCCCTCTCTTGAATTGTTGAAGTTGAAACACGAACACGATTCCTCCCCGGTGAGGAACAAGGGCAGCCGCTAGGCCTCACGGTATGCTCTTGGAATATTAATGGATTGGGGCCCAAGACTACTGGCGTAGTCAATTTTTGCAAAAAGCACGAAGTGGACATACTCGTACTCAGTGAGACCCTGCACTCCAGCCTCACACTTGCGCGGATCAAGAAGACCATGGAACGCAACGATTTTCGCCTGGCGGCAACCTATACCAGGGACAGTAGTGCCAAAGCCTCCGGCGGCGTGCTCCTCTTTATCTCCCGCAGAATTGTACTGGCTCCCAAGCAGCCTGAACCGCTTCGGAACAGCACCTTGGAGGTGGCCCGCGCTCGCATCTTGCTGCCTGGACGCGCTGGCAATCGAAGCGCCGTCATCGCCGGCATCTACAGACCCCCACGCAAGGTCCCAACAACGAGCATGCTCCGGGCCTTGTACACCACTGGCGGCGTAAGCGACAGCGAGGACGTCCTCCTCGCAGGTGATTTCAATGCGAGCAGCGGCGGCGGTTGGTTCGAGAACTGGTTCTGGCAAGCACAGGGAGAGGACGGACTACTGGACTTAAGCCACAACCAACGCACCTACCCGGCGGCAGCGCCCACGACTGCCCCGGACCAAATCCTGTGGCGCCCCGGGAACGCCATGCTATTTCCGGAGCTGATCAGGACTGCCTTAGACAGCGAAGAGAACGGCGACCAGAGCGGCCTCCTGGTTACCACCCACGACCAAACTCTGAGTGACCACCGACCACAAACAGTCTTCTTGCAAACCGAAGAAACCGATCCCCCAAGATCCAGGACCCGGCGGTATAAACTGCCGCAAGACACGGCTGGTAAACAGCAGCTTACGGCCAAACTTCATGAGATTAGTGAGACGTTCATAGCGAGACCAGTGGAGACGCCTGCCAAGGAGCTGGCGCGCATCTTACTACAGTCTGTGGAAGATGTCCTACGCCCTTACCGTCGCCTGGAGCCGGTAAGAGGGAAGTCGACGAGTCCCGCGGAGATCGTCGAGGCGAACCTCGCCAGTCCGCACGTGCAGGAATACATCGAGGCCGTTCAAATTGGCGACGATGCAGCAGCTGAGAAAATCCACGTCAAGATGAAGCGTGAGGGATGGCGGCGCTTCTTAGAGACGATGAGGCCAGGCGCCTCAGCAACGCCCCTCTGGAAATTTCTCGCGCGGGAAGATGGCAGGATGCCACACCTGCGGCAAACTGTTGCGTCGGCGCTTCGGAGACCGGATACAACATGGGCTACGTCGGACCGCGATAAAGCCACCCTCTTAGGCGGCTTGCTTCGAGACAAGCACTTTGCAGCAGCTGAACACCCAGCAACCCTCCCCCGCGACATCGGAATTGCTCTTGCAGAGGCGCCGCCTGCGCCTGATGTGACTCCTGGTGAAGTCAATGCTGCCTGCGATCAGCTTGCGGCTGGGAAAGCCCCTGGACCCGACGGGATCCCGCATGATTTCTGGTCTGAGCCGCTCCACGGCTGCCTTGCAAGACTGTTCTCCAAATGTCTCGCGGAAAACGTTCTCCCGCACCAACTAGGGGAGATCTTAGTGATCTGGCTAGACAAGCCTGGAAAAGATCCAACGTCCCCTGCGTCGTACCGACCGATCTCTCTCATCTGTTCTGCTGCGAAGATCCTGGAGAAAGTGATCCTCAACCGTCTGCCATCGGTAGCCGAGGCAGAGCAGTACGCATACCAGCCGGGCAAAAGTTGCGAGCTGCTCCTGGCGGAGTTCGTTGAGCACGTCGACACGAATGCGCGGCAAGGCTTCGCGCAGCTTGTCCTAGAAACTGATATAGCTGGCGCATTTGACTCAGTGCCGCACACCAAGCTGATAGAGCAGCTCATCGAGCTGAAGATCCCCCTCTGATACTGCCGCTACATCTGGTCATGGCTACGGGGTCGCACATACCAGTCGCTGGTGGGAAACTCTTACTCTCGCACTTGTCGCCCTCTATGCGGCATCCCACAAGGAGGCTGCCTCTCGCCTTTCTTATGGAACGCACACGTCGCAGGGCTCAGCCAAAAAGTCCAATCAATCTCCGGCGATGTCTTCTGTCGCTTCTATGCTGACGACGGCACTCTGGTCTTGCGTGGACGTGATCCGGAGCAGGTAAGTACCCTCCTCGATGCAGTGCTACACACTCTGGAGACAGAACTTAACCGCCTTGGGCTCCGCCTCTCCCTCCCAAAGATGCAATGCATGTGGCTCCGCCTTAGCACCGAGGGGATCTACAGACGGCAGAAAGAAACCTACGGGCGCGCGGTCAAACCCCCACAGGCGCCAACTACTCCCCCAGGCTGGGAGGCCCCAGCACGCACACGAGTGCCACACGTAGAAAAGATGCGAGTGCTCGGCTTACACTTCGATCCGGAGTTTTCCATGGTGTTCCACTTCCAGCACGTCGTCCGCCGATGTCAGAACCGGCTGCACTTACTTCGGAACTTAGCGCGCCGCTCTTGGGGTATGGACACTGACCTCCTGCGCACCACGGCAGTGGCACTGGTTGCCCACGTTGTCGGCTTCGGTCTTCCTATCTACGGCTCCATCTTAGGGCAAGGCTACATGCAGGCGCTCAACACGCTTATCCTCAACCCCGCATGCAGGATCGTACTTGGGAGCAACCGCACGCAACGACTGGAGAGCCTGTATTTACTCTCCGGCATCCCCTCGGCCTATAACATGTTAACTCAGCGAACTGCCACACTGGTTGACCGGCTTTGTCGCTGCTCTCGCACACCACTACGCGCAACAGTGGCCCGCCATCTCCCCCGGATGGGGTCTGATGTGCCACCTCCCTGGCCCACTGAAAGGCCCTGCGCTACGCTCTCCGGTGTGGAACTTCTTGATCGCCTTCGGCAAGAGCGTCCTGGCTGTCCCCTCACCACCCTAGTGCACTCTGCGGAGACATACACTGTGCCTCCTGATGCGACTACGTCTGTCACTTCGACACCCACGCAAGAAACGGACACCTTCGGAGACCCGAAGCCGTGGCTCTATCACACCTACGCACCTGAGCTAGAACGTGCGCCGCAGCACCTGCCTGGTACCCCCACCGTGGGGCGGAAACAGTGGAAACGCGGATGGATCTCGGACGGCATCGCCACACTACAGGCCATTGGATGGGACGAGGCCGCGCTAGAGCTCCTGCAGCCTTACCGCCCAGGACGGACAACTTTTGTAAATTTGCACCTTCGCGCGAGTCACTGCAAGGATACGCCTGAGCTTCTACGTGATGCAGCTACCAGCTGCGCCCTTTCGCCCTCGTCTGTCCTCGCGTCGTGTGATGCTTCCTTTGCTGATGGGGACGCAGCAGCAGCGCGCGCGATCTTCAGTGGTGGCTATGGCTTCATACGCACTCTCACCTGGCGAGATGCCGCGTCCTCCTACGCCTGTGAACGTGCTGGGTGGTCCATACTCTTGAGGGACCTAGCAAATATCCCGGCACCTGCAGCACCACCCTGCGAGGAGAGTACGCTCCTGCTCATCGTCGATGCGGAATCCATCGTAACCCGCCTCCAGCTTCTCACCACCAAGGGAGGAGACACCACTCGGCTGGAACGAGAGGGCCTCTGCCTCCTTGAGACTCTTTGCGCGCGGTTCACCACGGTCCGCGTACACCACACGCACAGTCACATTGGCCTACCAGTAAATGAATTAGTTGACTCGGCGGCTTCTGTAGCACGGGGGCAAACGCCTGCTGCAGGCTCTTGGTCCACTCCCATGCAGCACGAAGATGTCAAGCGCGAGCTGATCAACTTTTTGAGCAACCAGGAAAAGAGCACCCTCAAGGCACTTGCGCATTCCTCCGGCAGTGAAAGCGGGTTACTCCTTGGGAGTTACTTGGGCTGGGGAAGGAGGGACGCACTCCAACTTTGGGGACATCTCTCGAGCCTTTGCGCCTCGCGTGCTGTCCAAGTCACAGCTGCTGAGTTCTTGGGTGGGACCCGCTTCCGATCCATCGCAGATCCAGACTGCGGCCTGGTGCCGGCGGTCTGTCCCATATGCTGCGCAGAATTTGCGCGACCAGAGCACGACTTCGAGTGCCTCGGGGTGAGTGAGATCCCCAACTTGGCATCCCCCCAGACAGCTGCTGCATTCTTTGCCTATCTTGACTGGTCAAGTCGCGACTAGTTGCTGCCCTTTTGGTCACCCAGAAACCTCTCCTTTCGAGAATGTCCACCGCAATTTTGTCATCAATCTGTACGCAAACGAGACCTCCTCTGCGTCGCATAATCTCGGCGAGCAACGCTCGACGGATCGTCGTACTCCGCGATCACCCGGGGCTTGTGGTGAGGCCTTGACGCGGCGCCCCGGCTTGGAGACGACCAACACCACCACACCAACGATCGCTACCACGTTACACTCTGGGCTCCGCTCGCTCCGCTCTGGCAGCTGGGTTGAGGAGTCCAAGGCGGAACGGTCACTGTTGCTGTTGTACGCCTCAGTGAACACCTGCCGCCGGCTCTGTGCCAGAGTTCTTCTTTTCCGCCCTCTGGAACACGCGCGCGCGTGACGGCATGGCCCCTACCCGGCCTTAAGTTCCCCTGGCGACTCAACACGGGCCCGCTGAAGCGCCGCAAAAGCAACTGTATAAGACCTCTTCGACGCACTAGGCTGCTTGCTTTGCCGCACCTTCGTTTGTAAGTCCCAACGTGTTTCTGGTCTCCTTCCATACATACATACATTTTCAGCATTAAAAGAATTCAGCTAGATGAAGATTGAAAATATTAGTGAGCAGTATCAAAAGAGCGGTAACTTGAACTTGAACGGGACGTCGCATCCCGTGTACTCTACACGGGTACATCACGGTCGCTCAGATCACAGTGCAGGGGGGAGAATCCTAAAGGAGGTTGAAGAAAGGAATCGGTGCTTCTCATCTAGCTCGCTAGAGGTGGAAAAAGCGACTCTCATTCTGTTCTCAAAAATTTAGCACTTCTTGACTATATCCTGTTGCTCCTTGTTGAGCCTGCGCTTCATCTTCAAGAAGAAAACATATGTTGAGGATGAGTAGTAGGGAGTAGTAAACCAACTTGCGTCTGATGACTAGACTTCATCTAGAACTAGTGCGCTATTTTCACTCGACATTTACTGACTGGACTTTTCCTAGAACTAGTTGGCGGTCTTCAGTTCCTCGTTTTTCCAAGAAACCTCGTTACCTTGAAGCTAAGTGAGTACTATAACACTTAGTCTTGGCACACACTTAGTCTAAGTCTTGTCACACACTTAGTCTTAGTCTTGTCACACACTTTACTTATAGTCTTAGTCTTGTTCCTGAACATGTTCCCACTACCACTTTGTGACTGTGTTGGTGCTCTTCTAAGTAATCAGTGGGACGTTCCTAGAATCCATGTCAAAAGCAAGGACTACTAGTATCTACGCATTGGTGTCTAGCACTTCGGCTTTTTCTGCTGGGGACCACCTCTGATTCATCACGAATTCTACCTCCGCCTGAAAGTTCCATAATGGGGAGTGAATGTTGATAGAAGGCGAAGGTGCCGCCTTGCAGTTCAATGAGAAGCTGCAGAGTTGGGGAATTGGAGCCGTTCAATTGAGATCAAGTATCACTCTGTAGCTCTTTCCTTGCACACAGTTATATGACTAAGTCAATGGCTTCTAACACAACTCACACTGGTGCACGACTAAGTCAATGGCTACTAGGAGTCCTCAGTACGGAACTGCAAGGGAATTAGACTCAGGAGTATTGAACTACAAGTGAATTAGATGCTGGACCGCGCCTAGGATTGAATCCTAATGCGGACCTGCGATCTGGTTTGAGCATGGTCCCCTGAACTAAGCAAAGACTGCACTAGAAGAAGCAGAACCATGAAAGAGGGACTTGTCAAGAAGGACGGACTAAGAGGTTGATTTGAATTTGAGGTAACAGGATTCTTTTCCCAAACTGCATGTGCAACTGAAATCAAATGCTTCCATCAACATCATTGATTCTTGATTTAATTTGCAAAGCCGCTCCTTGTACTACTCATATTTCCCAGCTTTTGCTGCAAAACTAGCTGTTTATTTGGTAGAGGCGTGTTCGCTGCAGTGAGTAATGAAGCGTCGTTCTTGGAGGTGAACGGAAGTCCTGATGTCGCATCTTAGCTGTTTTGTTTGGTGACGACGCATGAGTTGTATGGCCTCCTCAAGGCTGCTCTTCTGTGTTTCACTGCAACGGCCTATTCCGTGCTTGAGGGGATCAAAGGCGCGCACCATCGTCTTGTAGAACTTACTTTCTACGCTACTGTGATCCAAGTTGCTTCCTGAGAGATGTCTCGCGTTGGCGCTTCTGTTCATCTATAGGGAGACCTAGTGAGTTGCACGAGCGAGGGCAATGCAGTGAAAAACTGCGCACTATTCCTCTGTCCATTACCGAGAGATCGGATTATTCTATGTTTTCGGGAAGATCCTCAACCACGGGGTAGATTCAAATTCTTCACATTGTTCACTTCGGGAAGATCCACCAACTGATGAGACCAACGAAAGCGTCATCGAGAGGCACAGTCTTGGGATTGCGTCACAGTTACCTAAAGTGATACTTGCATCTACTTACGTATTTGGTTTACGATTACTTAGTCCATTACCGAGAGATCGGATGAAGAGAATCTTCCCGAGTCTAGAGAGGATCACCAAGGGGTAGAGGGGATCACCAAGGGGCAGAGAGGATCACCAAGGGGTAGAGAGGATCACCAAGGGGTAGAGGGGATCACCAAGGGGCAGAGAGGATCACCAAGGGGTAGAGAGGATCACCAAGGGGTAGAGAGGATCACCAAGGGGTAGCGAGGATCACCAATGTTAGCCCTTCAAAAAAGAGTCGAGATCCAGGAGGATCACAGGACAAACCACAGGACCTCGTTTGTCCAACTCCAAGATCCTCATGAAAGTTCTTCAAACCAAAGTACAGTCCTTCAAACCAAAGTTTGAGCCACAGTTCTCAAGGAGGTCCCAAAACTTCACAGCATTCGCAAGGAGTTTCGAGCATACGAAGATAGCAGTGTGGAGGTAGTAGATCATTTAGTTTACAGCTTGATCCTGCTAAACTTGTTCCTCCAGCATCATTGGCACCTGCAGAACTACAACTGTAGGACGAATCCAGCATCATTGGAATCGTCGTCATCATCTGTTATATTGACGCGCAGGATTATTTCAACAGTGGAAAACATCCATATCTAACATTTTCATTTATTTTCTATTTTTTGGTCCTTAACCCTCCACCAACACGATTTTGAATTCTGCACCCCTGCGACTCGAGGCATCCTCCTCCAATACGCAACGTTATTCTCCACATATGCGCTAACATTGGAATACATCCATATCTAACATTTTCACTTATTTTCTAATTTGTGGTCCTTAACCCTCCACCAGCACGATTTTGAATTCTGCACCCCTACGACTCGAGATATCCTCCTCCAAAACGCAACGTTATTCTCCACAAATACGCTAACATTGGAATACATCTATATCTAACATTTTCATTCATTTTCTATTTTTTGGTCCTTAACTCTCCACCAACACGCTTTTGAATTCTGCACCCCTACGACTCGAGGTATCCTCCTCCAAAACGCAGCTTTATTCTCCACAAATACGCTAACATTGGAATGCATCCATACCTAACATTTTCATTCATTTTCTATTTTTTGGTTCTTAACCCTCCCCAACACCCTTTTGAATTCTGCACCAATATCTAACATTTTCATTCATTTTCTATTTTTTGGCTCTGAACCCTCCACCAACACACTTTTGAATTCTGCACCAATATCTAACATTTTCATTCATTTTCTATTTTTTGGTTCTGAACTCTCCACCAACGCATTATTCTTTACGCCAAATACGCTCAACCCATACCAAGCACGCATCTGCTTGTATTTCGTCTAAGGTATCACCATTTACGGAGAAGTTGTCGCTGTCCACGTCACTGATTGACTCAGAGCTTTGCTTATCGGAAAAAAGTTGTTCTACAGCTTCATCTATCAAGAACCCTTTTTTATCATCGTGCAACTGACGTTGTGTAAGTACAATCATCATCTTGATCACCTACAATCATCACCATCGTCTTCACTCGTTTAGCGAGGTTCTCATCACCTGCAATGATCATCATTGTATTAGCCTGAAGGCTCGTTTGCTTGGATTTGTTCTGATTCTTATCTAGCACGCTGGCTTTTATCAATCTAACGCTGTTAAACACGAGGCACCATCTTTGGCACTATCAGCAACTAATAATCATCGTACTAACTCCTGTGACTTGTTTAAGAAGGTTCTCAGTGCCTACAATCAACTTGTCCGTCCCTGTTGTAACAATAACGTTGTTTAAGAAGATTTTTTTGGATTTATATTCTCATAATCGCCGTCCCTCGTGGAACAGAAACCCGTGAAAATGGCCGTTTATGGTAGGAACGATTTAGCTTGCGATCGCCGGGAGGGTAACCGCCGTGCACTTTTTTGCGTCTTCATTACCTTTTTTGCAGGTGGTTGCCTTAGAGTTCAGGCTGTGGCCCACAATGACGCCGCTGGAGTCGGAGGTGATGAAGTTGAGTTGCTGGACCAGCAAGGAGATGGATCGCACGTGCAAGGCCTTTCTGGAGGTAATGAACCGATGAACATCGCATTGCGTGAAGTTTTCTCGGACGTAGATTCCGTCTGGAGCTCCGCTCATGGGGAAACACCGATGCCGGTTTTGATAGGGTCGGGAGCGAAAGGCCTCGCGGATCCCAATTTGGATAAGGCTAGGTATTTTCGCTATCGCATCGTCACCGCTGATAATCAAAAGACACCTCTCGTAAAGGAGTTGCGAAAAGACACCTCTGGTCCTGGCATCGTCAAAGGCGATGCTAATGAGAACCAAACCAGCGCAAGCGCTGGCCCTCTTGGAAAAGGGCCTGAGAGTTTTGGAAAAGAGGCAGAAGAAGTTAAGGGGTTCCAAATTACATCGTCCACTACCATCCTTGACGTCTTTCCTAGTAGGGAAAAGGCTAAGAATGTTCTGAGGAATGTAATTCTGCAACCTCGAAAGAAGCGCGTGCTGTTGAAAATGAACTACACGTAGAACGTGTAGAACAACATGTAGGAGAGCCTGTTGATATTTTTCAGCAAGTCGGAAAACTACGAGAAGCGCGAGCACTATATGCACTTGCAGCAAAAAAGATGCAGCAGTCAATGAATGACGCGGAGAAGGTGAAACAAGAGGTGGACCGGAAAAAAATGGCTAAACAACAACAAGAACACAAACTTGACCTGGTAAAACTGCAAAAAGAGCTCGCGGTTAGTGCAGTGAAGGCTTGGGATCTTCAGCAGGTGTTCATGGAGACCATTACAGCTGGAATTTTTGCGAAAAAGTTTGGCATTGGTACAGAACGGCTCGTCTATGATGCAGCCTTGCCGTGCAGAATCCAGTGCAGCAGCTGGCGAACCTGCGTCCACAAAAATGACGAGAGAACGAGTTGTGCCCGACGAAGGCCGAAGTGGATGGGAGCCGTGTCACCATTTGATGCGGCTGGACGACGCTGCACGAGATGTGTTCCAGAGCCATCCGTTGATCGGCGAAGAACGCAGACACGGTAGCAGCACCGTGTTTCATCTAGATTCCATTCCGAACCACTGGTTGCAACGTCTCCCGGGTTCGCGCGAACTAGAACAGCTAATCTTGGATCCGCTTGTCGACTAAGAAGTCGTGGACGCTCATCTAAAGGACGATATAGTTGACGTGGATAAAAAAGCGCGCATCTTGGAGGGCATTGCGAATGAGCGAAAGTGGCGATTCTCTGCTGCAGGCCTCGAGGATCCGGCGCCACTCACCGAGCAGAAGGGGTCTTCATCTGCCGCGAAAGTTTCTTTTTCCGAGACCACTGATTTAGCATCAACTAAAACTAGTAGAAGCGCCGCATCCACATAGCCAACTTTTTCAACACAACAGTTTCAACATCAGGGAAATCCGTAAAACTCAGAAGAGATTCAGGGAAGTCGTAGGACAATTCCGAACCGACTAACATCATCAGTGGAGGAGAGGACGAGCCCACCCTCACGGGAAGTCCCGACTAAAACTAGTGGAGGAGAGGACGAGCCCACACTCACGGGAAGTTCCACTCCTACAACTGTTGCAGATTCGTATAGGAGACGATTAGGATGTTCTCGGGTATATGAAAGGATGGATGTTGAAGGTGCTACGCTGCGTGCGAAGACTGACGTTCAGCCGTGTGCGGGAGCCGGATGAAACGGCTCCGCATTATGTTGGGCCAACGGGTGTAGCTCATCTTGAGAATACTGACGGGCGCTGGAGCAATCAGAAAACAACGAACCCCAACACGCCGACAATGGAGAAGGGCGCTGTCTTTCCTTGGTTGGATCTGTCTACTCAAGGTGGACACCATGCTGAAGTACCTTCTCTTCCTCATGTCTTTCGTAGTCCTCAGCAGCACAGCAGGGTTGTGGCGTCTTCTCTTCCTCTTCGTCGTCCTGAGCAGGAGGAGCCGCAGTGTTTCCTCCTCCGTTTCGGGAAGCGGGTTCGGGATTTTTTCTCTCGACGTCGTCCCGCTGGGGCAGCAGGAAGTACAGCCGCTGGGGCAGCAGGAAGTACAGCTCCGAAGCTGCACTTGCGCAGCACTTACGAGGAAGTACGTCAGTACTTAGATGATGGGACCGAGAAAATGCAACGGCTCTGGTATCATGTACAACAAAGGAGCAAGGACCGCGCTCGGCTGTCGTTCGAGCCGGAAACTCCTGGGCAAGATGCGCTTCAGTTAAGGCTTTTTCAACTATATTAATTCCTCCATCTCCACAAGAAGCGTCTTGGAGCTGTTTTCCCATTAAGAGGAGCGTTTGTATTCCCATTGCTTATAGAGTAAGGGGAGAGAAAATACGGCTCCAAGATGATTGAACTTCAAAATGTTCCAAGGGAAATAAAATAGCTCCTCCATCCAAGATATTATTTTGAGAGTCACAAAAGATGGATATGGTTTTCGATTTCTTGGGTCCGAATGGGTGACAAGCTCTAATACTTCCGGAGGAGAGTAAAAAGCAGGTTGCGGAACTTGCAAGTGAGGTTGCAACCAGTCTCGAAGAGACTGGCATGGTGCAATTTGCTTCGACCGAGGTAGGAGAAGTCGTTCTTTTCGATGCCACCAGGCCCCCCCATCGAGGTGAAGACCCTGTTTTTCCACTTCCCCTTCCGGACTATGGCAACCCTGCTGCGAAACCCAGGGGCTTGGGTGCGTACCGGATCCTTGAACACGGTAAGGCGTCTGAGGAAGAAATTTTGAAGAGGGCGAAGAGGAAGACGGACGAGGGAAAATGCGGATTCTCCTACGAGTTTCGCCTTGGGCATATGATAGGACAGAGAAACCCAAGGACGGGTCTCTGTGAGCCACCGCTGAGCAGCAGTGCCCAGGAGAGGGCGAGCGGGTCTCTGTGAGCCGCCGACACGGCTTGTTCAGGAAAGGGGCGGGTCTCTGCGAGCCTCGCCTCCGAAGATATGAAAAGGCTTCGCGAGTTTAAGCGAAGTGAAGTGAAATATCCTATTTAAAACAAGAGGAGCTTCCAAAAAACAAGGCATGGAGGCAAAGAGGAGCTGTCAGGAGCTGTAATGTCAGGATGATGCCGCATAATTCTAAGCGATCGTTCTAATAGGCCTATCCCTGAATATGATGGTGATGAGAAGCACGAAGATCCTCCATCTGGATGACGATGGTGATGATGGAAAACTCCGGCTGTTCCAGCAGGGACAGTGTGTGGGGGAAATCCCTATGCTAGTCACAGGCGGCGCTTACGCTATCTGACTGACTGAGCAGCCAAACGGGTAAGAAATGAAGAAGGGGACAAGACGGCAAAGAAGGGGAGGAAAGCAACAAGCGCAGGCGGCGCTACAAGACGCGCAGGAAGATAAGGAGCTGCGAGAAGAAAAGCCACAAAGAGGAGAATCAGCACGGGGAACAGCATGAAGACGAAAGTGAAGAAAGGGAGAGAACTATTCGAAAGTAAAGGGGTTTGCCCTATGTTGTCATGTGCTGCATTATGATGCTTTTTTCTGATCTCCCCCCTCTATGTAATCTGATAGTACATGCGGGATGCGAGAGGTAAGAGGATTTGATAGATGCACATCTAGCCCACTTCCAAGCACTGAGTTCTCCGCTTCAAAGCTTATCCAAGGTCAACAGGAAGCACTAGACCGAAAGAGCAGACCCATCAAGAAGAATAAGAAAACACTGCGACTACAGATGATGATGAAAGAGTAGAAAGAAGCTCATTTTTTTTGATTCATCAAGTAACGCTGCTAATTAAAATCTTCCATACCCCCTGATTGGGTACACTACTATTGATACTACTCATCTGAGGACACCAACAAGAAGGAGGTAGAAGTGTTCTCGTAGCTGTGGTGAAGACCTTGGCCTCGCCTCTGGTTTGCGTGGCACTAAAACCAGAAAAAATGTAGGATCTGATGATCAGTTTTTGTTCCTCTAAGATGGACATCGGTTCCACTCTTCTAAGATACCTGTTTCTTGTACGATGGATCTCTGGTTGACAGTGTAGGAGAACTGCGTAGGAGAACTGTTACTTAGAGCCGCCATGAGGATGATTTTTACACGTGGAGAAGGCAACGAGCAAGATCCTGTCCGAGTTGACTTGACTTTGGTTACCATGATAGTTTACTAAAACTCGCGAGAAGCTGAAACTATACCCTTCACAATGAATGCTCGTGAGTTCTAGGACTAGCTCATATACCTATACTAGAGTCGACGACATCGGTGGCCAGTCTTTTATCGTCATTATTTTCAACCTTCAAACAAACGTCAAAACGAAAGATAAGGCATCATGCAGGAAGCAGTGCATCGTTCTGTTTCTCGAGGCTGCTCTCGCAGGCTCACGACCGGGAGAAAACTGCCGGCACATGGTGGTCAGGGGTTGTGGAACGTCAAGCAACCTGCTGTTGTGATTGGCGGTCATCGCAGCCCCGTTGATGGCGAGAAGAAATTGGCCTGCTCACCAGAAGTGCGTCGTTTCTCATCCACCACTGCAGCTTCGACGTCTCTTGACAATGTTAATATCGGAGAACATCAAGAACGGTCCTCTACCAACACCAATGATCATGGTGAAACAACCGCTACAGCAACTGCTTCTACTGTCGACGTGGGCGTGCCAACATGGCGTTCGACACTCATTTTCCACGACCAGGGTGTCTTTAGTGCTTACAACAGCGTCGTCCAATACCTGGGGACACGGCCAGAGGAGGAAAATCGCAAGCTGGCTGACGAGTACCTAAGAACATTGTTGATGAGGGTTTCTTTCTCACGGTGATTTAGATTCTTGGATCATGGCTTACCTAACATTATTGATCATGGTTCCTTTCTCACGGTGATTTAGATTTTGCTTGATCATCATTTCTCACGCTGATTTAGATTTTGATTGAAAATCATTTCTCACGGTGACTTGGATTTTGATTGATCATCATTTCTCACGGTGATTTAGATTTTGATTGATCAGCATTTCTCGCGGTGATTTAGATTTTGATTTTTAGGGGACCGCCTTTTTATCAACGTCCTTAGTGACAGATGGTAAGGGCGCCGCGAGCCCGACACGTGTGAGGCGATACTAGGGTCGCGCGCGAACAAAATAATATTAATAGCGCTGTCGGTAGTTGATCTCTCTGTTCGTTGTACAATCGACCGTCTACCTGTTGACTGAGTATATCCTTATTGATGCTAAGTAATTCAGTTTGCTTTGATAGCCTGAAAACCTGGCGCACAACATCGAATTACAACCATGCACAAAGCCGGTTCTGCTACCAAATCAAGTGTATGGATCAAACGTTGACGCACAAAACAGGTTCTACTACCAGATCAAGTGTATGGATCAAACGTTTGAGGGTCGGAGTAGGAATAAGCGCGCCGCGCGTAAGGAAGCAGCGAAGAAGCTGATGTCCGGCTTAGCCCACACGATGACCCAGGAGAAGCTTGACGAAATATGCCTCGTAACAGGACAAAAACTCATCTTGGACTCGAGTAAGACTGGGGCGAACAGTTTAAACGTAGATACTTTTTTCTTTGGACTTGTGATAGATCCCTCATTTTGATTGCATTACTTCGTATTCTGTCTACGAACCTCGGAGTAAATGAACAGCATTTTTTTCACGTGTGGGCAGAAGGCACCACAGAACAACACAACGAACAATCCAAAGAACTATTTAATAGAACAATAGAAGATTGAGAAGAATTTACGACACTGCCTATTCTTTTTCTAGGTCCGCACCGTACCTTCCACCGACGGAACGGAGACGATTACTGTGGAAGTCAGTATAGGCGGCCTTGAGGCGACCGGAAGCGGCGAGACGGATTTGATTGCTCGAGTCACTGCCTTTGATAGCCTCGTCATGCAGTTACAACAGGGAAAGCAGATAGAAAGTAGTACTTATAAGAGTTACAACACGGAAAGCAGATAGAAAGTAGTACTCCGTTAGACTTATATATGATTTTTCTGAAACTTGGTGTGGGTGTGTTCTTGGTAATAGGATTTTCTAGGGCTTTTTTCATCGCGTAATCCTTTCACGATCATATGTCAACATCACTGATTGCGAATGAACATCAGTGAATACTATAAAAGAGGCACCATGACATGACATGTCACAACATCCTTGTCCACTCACAACACCCTTGTCCACCAAATTATTCAGTGACAAACGACTCTGGTCTTCCTGTCACAACATCCTTGTCCACTCACAACATCCTTGTCCACTCACAACATCCTTGTCCACCAAATTATTCAGTGACAAACGACTCGGGTCTTCCTGTCACAACATCCTTGTCCACCCACAACATCCTTGTCCACTTAGTATCTAAATTATTCAGTGGCAAACGACTCGGGCCTTCCCGGTTCAATGGGAAAAAAATCTTCCGCATTGCGCGCCGCTGCAATGATGTCGCGTCATAATACTGTCGCACAGCGCCTCCGCAATAACACTGAATTCCACGACGAGTTTGTCGATGGCAAATGGACAGTCACAGTGGTCTGGTCCGATGGCGATTTTGCCCAAGGAGTGCATAGTTCCAAGATTATGGTTTCACAAATTCCGTTAACATCAACTCAACATGCCGTGCTGAGGTAAAGAGATGAATCTACGAGCAGCTGTAGCTCATCATGCAGTTTATTTAGACCACACATCAGCAGCGTTGTCCTCTTCTTCACCATTATTATCGTACTTAGTCCTATGCTCGTCATGATCGCCCTCCTACTCTAAGACCGCTCTCGCAAAGTCTTTAGCCGCCGAGAACATGCTGGTGAAGAAGGGGGTCCTACAGCGCAGTCTGACCGAAGAGGAGCTGGCTCTGGCTGACGACCCTGAGGGACCAGAGACGCTGAACAAGTTGCCGCCAAGTGCCTGGGAACTCTTTTTGCCTCAAATGTTAAGGGCAGTATCTGATAATTATCCCAGCCTGCGGAATATCCTCCGTTGCGCCACTTCGAGAAGTCAAGAGGCATCGACTAAGTAAGTAAGGGGAAAAAAGCCGCTCACTGAATTCTGCTCCCACTCAACATGCTTATCGTAGTCCTATTCTTCAACAACTAGCCAGGGATAAGAAATCGTCGGGGAAATCTTAGGCAAGAACTACTTGGCGAATAGATTATTGAATAGTACTTTTACTACCTACTTGGCGAATAGCTTATTGAATAGTGAAGCGAAGATAATACTTACTACCGCTAAACATGTGGAAGACTTCGCCAACAGAATGCTTGCCTTATTTGACGCAACGCACTCCGGAAGAGGGATACATGCCAGTGGATCTGTGGGAAACTTAAGGCTAGGTTTTCACTATTGTCCCATGCGTGAGGAGTCTGCTGAGTGAGGTGCTTTCCTTTGAATTCTAAAGGGGAAAGGCAAGAATAAGGGAGGATGAGGGTAAGTTACTCAACCAGGCATAGTGAAAAACAAGCGCTAAGAGACGCTCATCGAGGATACTGCTGCTCGCGGTGTGAACGAGGTGGAGGAAGGATTGCTCAGACAGAAGAATCAGGACATTCGATTACGGCTATTCTTCCTGTTTGTTTGAATGTCGTAGGACGTGAGCACCAATAAAGAACCTACAATTGAATATTCAATTTCGGAAAACCGGTGGTATTAGTACGAGTGAATTCTAAGGTTGTACTATATTATTCTCGACGTTTCCCTTCTTGTACTTCTAGTCGTAAAAATCAACTGTTTCGTGAACGTGAGCTGAAATCTATTCTTGCCACACCTTGTTGGTTAGTAACTCTAGACTAACCTCCTCTTCTAATCCTAGACCTCTGCAATTGCTGTGTGGAAGGAGAATTCTACGCAAAAGGCGGCGCCGAGTATTTCCATAAGTGGCGCGGTCTGATCGGCTTGGAGGATCACGCGATGTTTAGTCAGGCAACGGACGAAGTTGAATCCATAGGGCCTTTGACAGTTTCGAATATCGGGAACTGGCCGCAAATCAAACTGGAGGGTGTAGGTGTCGAAGCGCTTCGGTCCGATGACCTCATACTGGTACGCGGACGGCCATGCCGTGTGATGTCGACGAACGCAAAAAATCAACATTATGAGATCTGAATAATGTCTCTTTTTCATCTGACGAAGGCGGGAAACTAGACTGGTATCAAGAGCTTCTGGCTAAAAAAGCCGCGATCGAACAGGATTAGACTTTTTTACCCACCTTCTAAGTACTACTGTACGATAGATACCCCTATTCATCGATAGTCAACTTATAGTGTTGAATATGTACAATTCAGGATCAGGATGTTACCTACGTCGTATGAAATTGCTGTACCACATCAACAAACCCTGCTCCGTTCATTTTCCTGCCATGTTAAAGCTTTTGGACCCACGTGAAGATGATGCTGATTTACTGGCAGAGGGAAGTGAGGTGTTTGGTGCACCTTTTGGTATGGCTGTCCCGAATGAGCGGATGGTACGTGCTGTGAAAAGCTTTTCTGTTAAGGCTACTCTCGCAAAAATAGCAATAGCAAGATAATTAAAAACGTCTTCTTTACCCCAAGAATGGGTACACTACTACTGCTACTACTACTCAAGAAGAAGTAGAAGCATCTTTGACAACACGCAGTAGACTTTTAAGAGGGAGAACTAAAAGGACGCACTACTTCAACGTGCAGCACGTAGGGTCACTCTAATTCTGGCTACAAACCACCAGAGTATGATTCTGTCCAGCCGGTTCCGGTATGCGAATGGCTGCAAAATGTGCTAGTGAATCCAGAGGGCATCGGTTTCGGCTCTGAAAATGACCATACCGAAAAAGTGGCTGAGCCAGTCCAGCCTTTGGCAACTATTCCGCTGTCTGATTCGCAGAGAGAGGCACTGGAAGCTGCGACTAGCAGACGGATTACCTTAATTCAAGGACCGCCGGGTACGGGAAAGACCTATTGCGGAGCTGCTATAGTCGGATCCTTATGAAATGAAAAAACCTACTCATGCTCAAGAAAACACTCTTGCAGCTCAAAACTAACTTAGAACGTGTCTTGAGGATCATGAGTACACGTTTTCCTGTGTCTTGAGGATCATGAGTACACGTTTTCCTGCCATAATCCTTTATCAGCAGTCACCCTCACGTCCGAGTGCTGGCCTGTGCGGATAGCAACGTCGCGGCAGACAATCTCTGCTTCAAAATTCAACAGCTAGTGCCGGGAGCTAGAGTGGTATATTTGCAAGTTGTTTTTTGGAAATGCAGCCACTGGTGTGATACTGTTGGTGGAAAGAGAATTTAAGTAAGAGGATGAGATAGAAGAACGACCATGAGTTGAATCGGTGGAATGTATGTTGGGCTGGTGAGATAATCAAGACCTTTCTTCCTTTTAGCTACTTACCTGGTATCTACAGTATTATAATTTAAGAACACATGTTTCCTTTCTTTCTATCTCTCAGGTATAGATACCTCTCATACTGAACTTGACCTCTCATGATACCTAATATCGTCCATACCAGGTCCGCGTCGGTGACGGTGGCTGCGACGAATTGCGAAATCAAGTTCTGACAAAAGAAGGAAAATCTTGGGAAGATTTAAACAGTACTGAACTGAGGGATGCCCGCTCGAACGCGATGCGAAGACAACTGCCACATGCACAGGTTGTTGTTGCTACTTTTAAGGCATTCTATCAAGAGAGCACTTCCCTAGAGACGTATCATCAGGGAGTCGTGGGAGCATTTGGCGACATGAGCATGATCTATGGCCATTTTCCTATGGGGAAAAGACGCCAATATTAAATTAGTTAGTACAACCTTCCAAGGATATGACGCTACGACATCACTACAGCTCTAAAACTCGCGTTGGTTCCGGAATGGAGACCCTGGATGTTGGTGGTGGCTACGATTTGGTAGTGATTGACGAGGCAAGTCAGGCTCTCGAGCCTGCCACCCTAGTCGCATTGGAACGCGCTGGACCGGATGCAAAGCATGTGGTTTTGATCGGAGATCACCGTCAGTTGCCGCCTACGGTGCTGTCGAACGACTACCAGGTCGGTGTCAGTCTCTTCCAACGTCTGGCGGATCGTGGTGTGGACCCACTACTTTTGATCGAGCAACGACGTATGCACTCGAAGATTGCGGATTTTCCGAATCGAAACTTCTATTAAGAATTAAAAAGTAGATTTTTTAACAGGGTTAAGGCTCTCCAATCAAGCGTCAGTCTTGACGTGAAAAAAAAAGAACTACAAGTCAAAATGTAGCGAGAAACTTAATCACTTGCGTACTAGGTGGTCTGCCAATCACTTGCGTACTAACTTGCGTACTAGGTCTGCCAATCACGTGGCTATCTTCTGAAAGTGTTTTGTAAAAAGGGAAAAAAGACGACTAACAGGGTTGGTTCTTGAGATGGAAGTTTTTTACACCTTCTACTTCTAATTTTACAACGGCCGATTGGTGGATGCGACGAACGACGAGGACCTGCCTTCCGTCGCTGCGACTGATAGCAACGTCGAGATGGTGCACTGCGCACCGGCGGAATTCCAAGGCAATGAGGTGAAACACGGAGAATCGACCTGCAATCATTAAGACAAAGGCTTCTAGATGGTGCATTATGAGGTGTTCCTAGACGGGAACCCTTAACCGTTGATGGTGCATGACGATATGGTGTACTTAGTAATTTAAATGCCAGATCCTTCTGAACATCGTGATGCTATTGCCTCGACTCGCTAATTCTTCATCTTCACCCTGAATGAACTAGAAGCTTCCAAGAAAAAATTAACTAATTATTATTATATTTTTTAATAATCTTCGTTCCAGACCCCAAGATTGGGTACACTACTACTACTACGTCTGCCCCCCTTGATCACAGAAACAAGCTAAAGTAAAGCATCGTGATGCTATTGCCTGAAAGGCTCTAAAAGCCTTACGAAGCGGAGAAGCTTGTCCAATACCTGGTCGGCCTTTACAATTCGAAGCCGGAAGAGATTGATTCTGCTTCTATTGGTGTCTTAGCCCCCTATGCAGCTCAAAAACGCGTGTTGGAGAATCTGCTGTTTGAGGCTGGTCTGTGCAGGGATAACATTCGGGTGGACACAGTGGACGGCTTCCAGGGCATGGAAAAGGATATAATCCTCTTCTCGGCTACGAGATCGAACGCACGTGGCGATTTGGGCTTTTTGAAAGACCCGAGACGGATGAATGTTACGGCTCTACCTGCTGCACCCCATTGGAGTTGTTGTGAAATTTTTTTTGCACCTCATTGGAGTTGTTGTGAAATTTTTTTGCTTAATATTGGAGTTGTTGTGATGACACTTACACCGTCTGCTGCACCCCAATCATTGGAGTTGTTGTGATGACACATTTTTTTGCATAAGTATTGCGCAACTAGAAAGCTAGTTTGACTAGTCTTACTAATCATCTGACTGTGCCTTTTTTGCACTTACTACGCCGTCGTTCTTCCTCTAATCTTATCATGCTTACGCGTGCGCGAAAGTCTCTAGTCGTTTTCGCGGATGCAACGACACTTCGCAGTTCGACCGCAGGACATTGGAGCAACTGGGTGCAATGTTATGATTTCATCATCAACTCTTCACCAACGGCCAGTAAGGGTCACCTTCGAAGCACCTGACTATGACTATGACTATGTCACTGTACGTAATAAATTTCTTTCCATATAATTACCCGTACCCGACGCACCACTGAAAAGTATCAATACATTGTTATCTTCCACTCACCAACGGGAAGCAACTTCTCCTCTTTCATTCCTTGGTGCAAGAGCATGGCAAAGTGACTGGTGACGAGTTAGCCTCTGCCTTTAGCTCCACGTGGCATCAACCTCCAGTTAACGCTGCTGGAGAAGCTGAAGAATCGGATTTTCTGAAGATGCTAAGAGCAAACGACGCAGGCGCTACAAGCTTTACAAGCGCGACTGTGAACCTGCAGATGGAACATAATGAGGTAGACTTTTTATTTGTTTATGATTTAAGGGTGTTCTGATGTGAAGTTGTGATGCAGAATCATGAAGGCGGGTCTGAAGAGGAATAATGCCACGTAGTTCTTCCATGGCGGAAGAGACCGTATTGCATGTAGCAAAGGAAGCATCCTAGTACCACATTACAAGATGAGAACATTCTGATGCTTTCAGCAGGTGAAACCCGGTCGTCCCGCTTCTCCACCGGCTGACCCACAGGCGGAAGAACAAGAGCTTTCGGAAGAGGATTTCAACAGGTTGATGGGTGACCACACGCCTGCGGACAACGAGCAACTGGGTAAGACCCAAGCGGCGGAAGCGGATGACTTTCTGCGGCTATTAGATGACGCTGCAAAGCGTCAAAATACAATTACAAATGATGCTTAGAAGGGCTCCACCGGAATTCCAAGTCGTGCTTAGATAGCGGCTACTTAATCTTACATGCAGTTGTTGCTTAGATGTCGTGGATGGATGTAAGAAAGTTTTCTGTTTTGAGAATATATAGGATCCAAAACATCAGGAAGTCATCCCCGAGTTCAGGACCTCAGTTTCTAGAAAGCAATGGTATTCTTATGACGATGAATACAATGAATTTACGCACGTAGAATTCGGACACAGTCCACAACACGCCACTTCTTTCCTGTGACGCCGTAACTTCTTCAACCTAGAAGGTGTTTCAATAGCGCGAATGTACTAAAACGCGTTTTGATAGCTCGTAAAGAACATGCATACAATGTCTTAGTGGTTCTTATAATGTTTATGGTCTTCATCTGTAAGTTTTTTTGGTCTTATCATTCAAGCTGTGTTATTGAGTTTCTGAATTCTTACCCCCCCCAATAGACACCCTCTAATGCATTGGTGCAACTAGTTAGTCGTTGATCTTGCTTTCGGCTCTGAGAGAGCAAAAGAAAAAAATGAATCTTCAATATCTTGATTAGTTAGGTTTCCTCTCCTCTTTTTGCGAGGGTAGGCGAGGGCTATTGCCGGGAATCGGTTTTCTGAAAATGAACCTTCATGACCTTGCTAGGCGATGCTTGTAAACTTGTTGCTGGGGTTCTTGCTTCTTTCAAAAACAAAGTATGTCTCTCTCGGCTGAACAATGACATACAACGGGTATCTATTCTCATTTACTACGCAAACCTTCCAAAAAATGAATCCTACTAGTCGAAATTCATTATTACTGGTGATCGATTCTGGGAACGCAAGTTCGAGATGGCTTGCGAAGTGTTCAGTGGTAATTGGTACAATCAAACGGAAGGACGAGAGAAAAGACTGAAACACGAAAATGTCTTAAGTACTGGAGAGAATTGGTTGCAAAGATGGTTGTTTACACACTACGCACATAGTAAGTTGTACTTGGTGTTGTAAATATTTCATAACCTGTTCTTAAACGGTAATCAATCGTAACATCTTGCCCTTGCAACATGGAGCAAGGCAACGCGATCAAGCTGTAGCGTTGCTTACTTGCTCTACAAACCTTCTATCCTATCCTAGTTGGAGGCATGACATTGCGAGATATAGCATAGTCGCGTAACATTACTAGCCTCACAAGACGTGCCTTGTGAGGCGACAATGGTACAGTGTGAGCCGCCACCAGTAGACTTGCTGACCTCCGTCGACGCGCCTGGTGCAGACAAAGATCCAAATTACGGCCTTGGCATGTCTAGTGCTTCGGAAAAATACGAGAGACAGAAATGTGACTGGTTCTATCCAAGAACCCACTGACTGATACAAGAACTCGTCGCTCCCCAATGAGCAAGATTCAATTCCCCCTTTCATGTCCCACCCATGGGCGTGACATCAGCAGGTCCTCTTGGGGATGATGTTTTTGTTGGGGGTAACGTTGGCGCAGCACCAAAGAGTCTTGCAGCTGAGTTATGACTGAGAAAGTCAAATGTTTTTTGAGGAAATAGTCAGAGTAGTTTCTTGTGTTTGATCTCCAGAGGATGATCTAGAGAGAAAAGGCTTGGCTACTTACAACCCTAATCATTGCAAGCTCCACTTTCCGACTCGCTGACGGGAAGACGGTTTCCTGTTACAATGACAGTCAATTCGCAGAGATAAGACGGAGGTGCGGCCTCAGCGAGGACTTCTTGCTAGACCAGTTTGAGTTTTCGCCTGAATTCTTTAAAAGTCAAGGCGGGAAAGGAGGGGAGCTCATGTGCTGGACAAGGGACAGGAAGTATGTAGCTATTTGTGGCTGGTGTTCTAGAGGTGCTTACTCAGAAGTTTTATGTGACAACTTTCTCAGGTTTTGAAGGGGTATTGGACCGTAGCAAGACATTCTCATGGACTTTCATTATCTTTCAGGTTCATCGTGAAACAGTTGTCGGCTGGGGACCACGCAACCCTGTTAGATATCGCTGGGCACTATGTCGTCCACGTGCTGTCAGGGAAGACGTTTCTGACTTTATGGCTGGAAGATTTCTAACTCTATTTGATGCGCCTCTCATCGTTTGAGTTGTCAAACGGGGCATGGTTACGGTCAGACGATACTTGTACAGCAATTCTTCTCACTTCCTAGGCACGTACTCATATTACCGCGATCGGGAGACGCCTTGTAGTGTCACTGTTTCATTCATCGAAGGTCAAGAGGACTAAGATTGAGGTCACTAAGATTTCAGGAACTCTTTGTACAAGGAAGAAATCTTTCATACCTTTTGATCCCGCTCCACTTCGAGTATGAAGGAAGGCAGTATATGGTGATGATCAGTTGCTTGGCGAAAAGCGTGGATGGTTATGATTTCGGCATCGGGGCTGAAGGATTTGACGCACTGTACGATCTGAAAGGGTGTGCGGACGATAAATTGATGATGCAGAAGGGGAAGAAGGTAGAAGTTGTAGGTAGAAGTACTCGGTGTAGTTCTGAAAATCAAAGTCATAGAAGTAAGTAGTAGGAGTTACTGCACGGCAGGAGGCAGTCGTGGTCACAGGATGACGATCAAGCAAGAAGTCCAACAATTAACAATTTCAAAACAAACTTCAGATCGTAGCCGTCCGCAAGAGAATATGGCACCTATGGATGTGGTGTGGTTCTTGCTTGTGGTCCCAGCAAAGAAGGCTCTATTACACCGAAAAGCGACTAGCACGAAAATGGAAGATGGATGGATTGCCGCAAGCGACGAGGGATCTTATCTTATGCTCCAAGCTTGGGAGAAGAATAGATCACTAGCGCTATATAAAAAACACAAAGAGAAGTGCATCAAAAAGGTCAAAAAATAAGAAAGGAAGTGCAACAATTAAGTCCTGTGAGTGACCTCTTGCTAGGTAAATGAATGAATGAATGAATGACTTGACACGTTGATTTGTCTCGTCTTCTTATGGTGCAAGAAAAAGTAGCACCTCTTCTATGCGTCTGGTGATCTAATCTTCGTGGAAACGATACGGCGAGATTGTGAGGATTTCCTCATTCCTCAGGGCTTGATGGACTACAGCCTGATAGTCGCGACCAAGAAGCTTGTTCCAGAGGTTAAGGATGACAGCGTCTTAGATGGTCGTCTTTTATACCTCTAGACTGGGTACACTACTACTACTGCTACTCTTTTTGTCTCTCTCGTTTATCTTTTATCTCAAATCCCGCTCTAAAAAAGCACCATCTCCTGCTTTGCGACAGCGAATCGATGCTGCGTTACCAACGGAAGCAGAGAACTGGAGCTCGCCGTTGCTAGTTGACCGCCAAGAAGGCAGTGAGCTGCTCTGTGTGGGCATCATAGACTTCCTTCAACGATGGACGCTTATAATTATGGCGTTAGATGATGGCTCTTCCACCATGGCTCTTCCACCAAACGGACTAAATTCTCCTGTACTTGATTTCCTTTGCTGCGCAGGAAAGAAGATCTAGATATATGTAGTTTTCTTCTAAGCAAGATGTAGCTTTCTTCTAATTCCCAAAAAGTCGCAATGTACATCAAGGTGTTGGAAAGAGACAAAGCTTCGATACCGCCACAAGCATACGGGAGGCGTTTCGTTGAGCGGTTTGCTGCGAAGTTTGTGGTTGGAACGAGTTCCTCGTAGATCCAAAGATTCGAAAAAAAACACATTGGCAAGCAATGCGAGCATCTTTATCTATTGTCTACTTCGCAGGAAAATTTTAGGGGAGGGCACCATTTTAATTCCTGTCGTCTTGAAAACATCGGCCATGATAATTAGAAACTTGCACACCAAGAACATGTTCTCGTTTTTTTGAAAAATCTGGTTTTGCGCATACATTCACCATCGATCCAAGAAATGTGATTTCCATGTAAGCACGTCGCAGCAACGCCATTGTTTTTGAAGTATGTGAAAAATGTGCATTTCTTACAGCAAGTCTGAAATCAGACTGCATACCACAATATTTTTAGAATATATTCTTCCAGTTCCACATGCATGCTGACATGCTTTTGTTGCTGGGTCTACTCGCAGACATGGTTGTCCTTTCCGCCTGATAGACCTAAACACGCAGATATTCTCATACTCGCAACGCAGCGTCAGCATATCTTGTGATGTCCCTCTCATTGTGTTTGTGCGTGGCTGGTCCACGATGTCCTTGAAGGATTAAATTTATAATGACCAGGCTTCACACTTCCGCTGCCGTCATTAATTTGACACACTGCTGGAACTGTTTTGTCCCGCCATTAGGCTACTAAATGATGATGATGATGATGATGATGATGATGACGCTTCAGCAATGTCTTGAGACGCAGAAAATCGTCTTCAGCTTACCAAGGGGATCAGAGCAATGCCCTTGAAAAGCTCGGTTGTCTCCAACATCAATCTGATAGTTGCACAAAGGTTCTTCGAAAGAGATGCAAGATCAACATACATTTCTCTCTCTCTTTGTCGGTTTTATCTACTGTCACACAGCATGAGCATCATGAATGCTTCCTTGTGAAGACAACTGTTTCGTCTGACTGAACATGATACTTCGGTGTAGGTCCTATGAAGATGTACCTTCTCATCCATTCTGAAGGTACCTTCTCATCCATTCTGAAGAAGTCTTCTCTCTTGGTGCTGCTTTGTCGTCGCTAGTACAGACGAATATATCTTTATGTGTTAAGAATAAAAGACTCTCGTTGACAAGCGCCGTTTGCGAAACATCACTCTTCATTTTGTTTTCATCTTTACCAATTGAAGTTTTAGTGTGAAACAACAGGATTCGACTCACTACATCTTTTCTTCCGAACAAGAATCTAAGATGTTTTCTAGGTACTAGGTAGTACATAAAACATCGTGTCGGCCGTGGTGTCAAACCATTTATCTCAATCTAATGATAATTGAATACGAGCTCGACATTCGATCAAGAAAGAGAGGACCATTGTATTCTTCAGTAGTTGGACAAAGTTCCTTCAACATACCGTTCAGAAATATGTACGACAAGGACAAGAACGAGGGAATCAATCTATCCACGACAGGCAGAACAATTACATATTCTAGTGTACTTCGAATCGTAATCACAACTCCTACAAGAACTGCCATCTCCTACAAGAACTGCCTAGGAACTTCGAGTTGTGTAAAGTAAAGGGTTTCGCGTGTTTTTTCTTAGGCATTAGCACCATAAAAGTAATTGGACAAAGTTCCCTCAACATACCGTATAATTACCGTATTGCGCATAACAATTAGTGATAAATTCTCAGCGTAGTGTTTGCTTGGGATGAGAATTTTTCACTGTTTCGTTGTACTAGATACGTGGTCGTTTCATATACGCTGTTATGAGATCGATAGTGCCAAAAAGTAACAAGTAGCGTACGCGTAGGAAAAATAGTAGATCGTAAGAACAAAGACATATTCATGTTGTAGGATAAACAATTTTGACCCCGATATTTTGTTGATTTTATGATATCCAACACAAATTTGTTGAGTTAATCACGCTTGCCTGTATGATTGAAAAACTTTTGAAAAGATGTCGGGTGTCTCTTTGGTCACCCTTTTCATGTGATGTAATCTTTGATTGTTATTTTGTAATCACTCGTCGTGGGTACGTAGTCGTATCTTATCTAGCCCAATCGAAACAAGAAAAGTCCTCCTTGACGAAGATGTCGGGTGTCTCTTTGGTCACCCTTTTCATGGTCGTCATCCATGTCGGAGGAGTTCATGGCGTCTATCCATCCGCACGTGAATCTGAAACACGCTACGGACGCCGATCCAAGACGCCGCCACCTTCGAAACAAGCAAATGGTACAGGAGTTAAGCCGAATGGCGCGGAACTTAAGGCCAGGAAGCAATCTATCATATTACCATTTGATAGAAAAAAATTTCATCGTCGTCTCGATGCGCTTAATGTATCACTAGCTCTCCTCGGATACCCAACCTCAAACTTTATTAACTAAGAGTAAGCTCACGAGAGAGTCAAAGGGAAATTTCAGCCGCCGGTGCTTGAAGCGCAGGGCTGAGGCGGAAGCCACTCGAATCTAATCTAATCTAATCTATCACTAGCTCTCCTCTAATCTAATCAACTTTAGGATGATTATTTGTGACCAGTATGGGTTCTAGGGAAATCATGAATGTACCTGTGTAGTCAGTTCTAATCCACTCCCTTCCTCTTGGATGCCACAACAGCAACAACGAGGTTCCTATGCTACGACTCCTGGACTTCATTCTCGGACTAAGTTTTCCAGTTCTGAACTACGTCTAGAAGATCTTGAAGGATTTCCACGAGCTAAGATTGTTAAAGTCTTAGCTGAAAAGGCTGAAACCAGTGGTGCAAGCGCTATTCAAGAAGGTGGACGACAGGAACACAAGCAAGCTAGCAGCCCTCGAAGACGTATTACAAGGAAATCTTCGCCTCCTCCCGGTTCGAGTCGTGCTGTTGGAGGATCTGCATCAGCTCAACCGGCTTTGTCCTCGTCTCTGTTTGTTAAGAGCGCCCTTGAAGACGCTCTTTCCAATGGTACGGGTGCTCCGTCTACGCCTGGTTCCTCTACATCGCCTACGCCTGGCTTATGGACAAGAGCGCCTACAGGAGAGATTCGGTCTCGGTCTCTTGAACAGACGAAACTTGTTGCTTCCCGTCCAGCAATGCAGAGTCTCTCACCGAGAGTGACGAAGAGAGCACGGCACCTGTTGGTTTCGGAGCAAAGAAGTGGAGCTAGCTCGGATGAACAAGTTGTAAATAATCTGGATCGCTTGTTTGGTCAAAACGAGGAACGACCAGGTGATGGACTGTTGAGCTCCGATAACGAAAATACTTCACTCATCAATGCGGCACTGAATATCGTTTCCAGCTCATCTTCCTCCACCAATGTTGTTGAGGCCTCAAGAGAACCAGAGAACCGCGTGACATCTTCTGCAAACTTGGCGCATAATGTGTCTGATCACGGAGCACAGCAAGGTCAAAGTGTTGGAGCCAACACTCCAGAACTACTTGAAGTGCTGCATGTTGAACCTCAGGCCCCCCGGTGGGATGTGAGGGCAGATCCGTGGAAACTTGGGCTGCGAAAGGAAGCCGCACAGAATCCAGAATCTAGTGGAGGACAGGTTTCGCTTCCGGCGAGGAAAGATGGAAAGATAAACTTGCCAAAGCTATTCGAGAACATCCGCCAAGGCAGAATCGTAGATGTTGACGGGGATACGGTCATGGGAAGCACGCTTCAGCACAAAGAGTTTGCCGAGAGAGCGCTTCTTAAAGCAGCGCTAGATGCAGCGAGTTCCGCGCCTTCCACTCCTGCATCTGTAGCGCCTTCGACTCCACCGCAGACGACCGCTCGCGGAGGAGATGTTTCTGATGCCGTTGCTGAGGCATCAGATGGCGTTGATGGGATCACGTTCAGTGCTGTTGAACAAGGGCATAATCCTTCTGCTTTTGGTACTGGTACGACTCGGATGGAGCAAATTAGCGAGTATCCACATCCATCTTCAGGATTAGGAGACAGCACCAGCAATGGGACAACAACAGCCGGGAACGCATCTTCTGCGCAAGAAATGTCAACAGCACCAAGCGCTCCTGAGACCAATGTCAATTATGCCATCAACTACGCAGATGCTGGCGATGGCACCGATAGCGCTCCGCCTCCTCCTGTACCTGGAAGGTCTGACGTGCCACATTTCGAGGCTCTACTTCGGTTGGATGGATGTAGTGCTTGCTGTTTCAGTATGTTGGATCAGCAAGAGTCAGCGATGCAGTTGCTAGTTACTCCTCAAAGTACACGTGCTTATTCAATAGGAGGATTAGAAACAGCGATTTCGACTCCAGGAAGCTCCCGGAGTGCCTTTAGTTGCTGTGTGGGAAGTGCTACTAGAGCTGAGCATGGGACGCCAATCTTGACGCCGTCTTCTTGCAGTAGCGCGTCTCCTTCGACGACGATAAGGATGAAAGCAGGAGGAAGTTGTTGTAAGCTGGCAGTTGTTTGTGGTTCTGATGCAGATGCTGGCACAAGAACACCAACAGGCTGTACGGGAGAAATGATTTCGAATGCCCCTGGTGCTGCTAGTGCTACAGGACAGACCAGTTTTCCGATGGCTGGTCCGACAGGTACGCAGTGTACCCGACCATGCCTCGTTATACCCCCTCTACAACTTCCTTGTGGAGGACATGAGGGCTTGCTTAAAGCTCCTGCTTCCGATCAACCTTCTTCCGCTTCATCCCCTGCATCATCCTCTTCATCCCCTGCATCATCCTCGACTCTCCTAGCAATGTCCGGAAGTGAGCGGCAGCTGTCCTCTGGTGGTGCCACGTCTCTGGATAGTGTCAACGTGGAACGCCAGGGTAACGGAGGGCTGGAAGACAACCATATCAGCAAGTGCGAATTCATTTGCATGGCTCCCGACTCAGCGAGAAGTTCTGCCAGTCAGAAAGACAAATGGTACTCATGGACTGGTGATTTTGGATGGTACATGAACAACGGCGACTTGATGTTGCCTCTGGGCTTATCTTCGAGTGCCGGTGCTGGAGCGTCCGGAAGCTGTGGAGCATCCGGAAGCTGTGCTGTACCTGGAGTACCTATCGTGCCACATTGTAGTACGCCTGATCATGACCACTGTCTGATGCACTGTCACTTCCCTGATCACGGGGTGTGCTTGGACGGATCCGCAGACACAACTAATATGGCTGGACATGGTCAAACACCAGGTCGTAAAGAACAAGCGTGCGCACACTGCGCATCTTTAGTACAGCTGATGCTGCAGCTGAAACAAAAATGTGAACATTTGGAAGGTCGATGTGAGATCCTGGAGCAACAATGCGCGGACTACGATCTACAATGGCGAACGACAGCTTTGAATTTGGGTGGTTCTAAGAGTGATAATCATAATGGGCAGACTGGTGCATCACCGAACGATGGTACTAATGCAAAGGTGGCTCCACCTTCCGTTCTTAAGGCACTTGCGTCGATGAAGAAAGCTCCACCTGGGAAACCGCCACCGTCAAAGTATGGTTCTAAAGCAGCCCGACCTAGTGAAGTGCCACCGCCTAAGAACGCTAGTGGTAAGGCGGCACCACCAGGCAAAGCGCCGCCGCCAAAGACCGGAAAAGCGGCACCACCAGGCAAAGCGCCGCCGCCAAAGACCGGAAAAGCGGCACCACCAGGCAAAGCGCCGCCGCCAAAGACCGGAAAAGCGGCACCACCAGGCAAAGCGCCGCCGCCAAAGACCGGAAAAGCGGCTCCACCAGGCAAAGCGCCGCCGCCGAAGGCCAAAACCAAGGCCACTTCTCCTGTGAACAATGCCGAACCAGAAGACGCCTTCGCTGCAGCTCCAAAAGGTAAAGCAGGCAAGGCTCCGCCTCCGGCAAAGGGGCCACCTCCAAAAGCAAAGGGTAAGGCTAAAGCGGTGGCGAAAGCGCTTGAAGCAAAGCCGGAACCTATGGCGGAAAAACCACAAGATTTTCGGAAAGGAGACTGTCGTAAAATCGTTGAGGACGCGCTAAAGACCGCGTTTGCAGGTGAAGCAAAAAAGTAAGGCTTGTTGTACTTGTAGCCAGTCAAAGAGGTGGAAAGTGAAACAGAATAAGTACCTATTTTGATGGAGTGCTTGTCGAGAAGCGCATCCAGAAGAAGTGGACCACGATTCGCGTCCTAGAATTACATGTGAGGTCTTCTGATAGTCACAGTGCAGGGTGGATTTACTACAAGAACATTTTTTACACACAAAATCTCTAACATGAGCGTCAACTGCTCGGGGTGCATGTTTCGCCTGTCTTGATTCCGAAAGATGCTGGCGCCACACTCGCAGACAAGATGAATATCCCTCAAGCATGCAGAAAGTCGGCTACTCCAGGAATTTTCCTCGAAGTGGATAGGAAATTGACGCAAGATGTTAAGAAAGCGCCTGTATCCCACTATTGATTTTGATTGATTGCTCTTCATCTGATTTTTGTCTACGTACTGTAAAAACTAGAAGCGATGTAGTTTCTTGCACACACACACATATAGAAATTGAAGTGGCCATCTTGATCTTCTGCTAACCTATGTGGCAGCGACATCGAGGCAATTGAAAAGAAAGCAGCGGCGCTTCTAGTGGAAGCATTTTCTACTAGCAAGGAGTCAGATCATAGCAAGAAGAAAGGGGGTGGCGGACCTAAGAAGGAGAAGGCCACGGTCATGCGCCAGGAAAGTCGCGCGTCCTTGATTTCGGTCTTTTCAACGCTTAAAAGCAATGAAGAGAAGGTCTTGCGGCTCGTTGCAGAGCACTTTCCTCTAGACACGGTTCGCGCCAAGAACGGAGATGGAATTGAAGCTGTATTTGTGAAGAAAGTAGAAACTGCGGCTGCGTCTGATGAAGAAACTACTGCGGCTGCGTCTAATGAAGAAGCGAAAAAAACTACCTTTACTGAGGAAATTCACGCCGTCAGCTGGAACTTATCTGAAGGTTGGGAGACGTTGATCCGAGCTGTCCTTTTGATTTTTCGAGAACCGTGGCGATTTTCCAACAACGAGCTGCTAGTGGACTTGACGCCTGTGCTCAAAGATCTGTCGGAGTATATTGGTTAAGGCGATGAGTAGACGATAGTGATACGCAGTATGATAATTTCATTTCAAGTCCATATTAGTACATGCCCAGAAAGCGGGCCCATCAAGGGCCCGCTGCGCTGGGCATAGGTTAACAACTAGACAGGTTGACTACTAAGAGACAGAAAGACAAACGAAAAAAGCCGCCAAGTCTGCTCGCCAAGGCTGGGAAGCTGACTCCCACTGTGGCGAGGCTAGTGAGGAGGCTACCGCTATGGCAGGCTACTGCCTTGGCCAACTTGCTTGCTAAGAGCAAGCCAATGGGCGCCAAGGCTGGCCCGCTGAGCGTCATGGAGTCCATGAGAAGGCCACGCCTGGACATATGTAGGCACAGAGGTTGGGCCCTTTTGAGTGTGATCATGTCCAGGAGAATCCTAAAGCATAGCATACCCATGGGATGGCAAAAGGCTGACACTGGCGAGCGTCATGGACGAGGCCCATGAGAAAGCCACGCTTGGGCATATCTATGCGCAGAGCCAGGAGCTGGGCCCCAATCTTCAGGCGCGGGGATGTGTCTATAAGGTTGGCTGTTTCATGGACATGACACAAGACGCCCACCACGGTCCGCGCCTCAGACATGCAATGGCCCACAGTTATCATCCTCACACACAAGCATCGACGGAGATGCATGCGCCTGGCCTTCTCATGGACATGATGACGCCCGCCAGGGTCCACCCTTATCCACTTTCTCACAGACATCGATATCCTCAACGGCTTCGACTTTCGCAGGCAAATCTGTACACCTTTGGCCCTCTCATGGATATGATCTGATGACGCTCACCAGGGTCCACCCTTCAGACACGCAAGTGCTCACGGCTATCACTCTCACAGACATCGACATCCTCAGCGGCTTCGACTTTCAAGCGCAGAGATGTACATCTTTGGCCTTCTCATGGATATGATGACGCTCACCAGGGTCCACCCTTCAGACATGCAAGCCCTCACGGCTATCATTCTCACAAGCATCGACATCCCCAACGGCTTCGACTTTCAAGCACAGAGATGCATACCTTTGGCTTTCTCATGGATATGATGACGCTCACCAGGGTCCACCCTTCAGACATGCAAGCCCTCACGGCTATCATTCTCACAGACATCGACATCCTCAACGGCTTCGACTTTCACACACACAGATGTACGTCTTTGGCCTCCTCACTAGCCTCGCCACAGTGGGAGTCAGCTTCCCAGCCTTGGCGAGCAGACTTGGCGGCTTTTTTCGTTTGTCTTTCTGTCTCTTAGTGGTCAACCTGTCTAGTTGTTAACCTATGCCCAGCGCAGCGGGCCCTTGATGGGCCCGCTTTCTGGGCATGTATAGATACAACTATCAGAACGAAGATCTAGGTTTAGCGTCATCTAGAACAAGGTGTAAATAAGTGCGACGTACAGCTAATATTACATCACTCGATATCAATTATCTCTGATATCAACTGCGCAGTTGGCTTAGTGGTTTAGGCGTTGGCCTGTTCACTTATCAAGCTCTAATGTTCACAAGCTGGGATCAAGGTTGACGAGCCGACCCCTCTGACCCCAGAAGGGAATGCAGGCGAAACGAAACAAAAGCCGAAACCAAAGCCGTTGAATGTTCTCAAAGGTAAAGCGGGAGGTAAAGGCGATGGATCCTCTTTTGTCGCTCAACTTGCACAGACTGCACAAGCTCGACGCGAGGAAAATGAAGTTTCTCAGGCAGCCGATGTGGGTGATAAAGATGATCCAGAACTTGGAGAACCCACTAGTACAACTGGAGGAGGCAGTGGAGGTACTAGTACAAATGCTTCTGCTTCGTCAGGGGAGGATAGTCCGATGAAAGACATCATCAAAGAGGATCCTGAAGTTGGAAACAATGTGAGCGAGCTCGAGAAAAACTTGCTCGAGGTGTTTCAAAAAACGGCACATCCAGAAGATCGCCACCAACAACTCAAAGACGAAACAACTACGCAAAGTAGAACTCAAAGTAGGCGAGTTATTAGTGAGGTCGCAGCTGGCGTGCTCCACACTGAACAAGTAATCGAGGTGAAAGCAGCATTGAAGCTCTGGGTTGGATTGGGGGAGAGCGGAACCAAGGTGTGGGACACATATCACAGCGCATCGGATGCACTGCATAAAAAACGCGCGGCCCTAAAACGCATCGATAATGTCGTCAAGAGCATACTATCGCAAGAAGAAGAAGACCGTGCTGTTCTTGAAGAAGAGTCAGCTGCTGATGGCAAGAAGAAGGATCACATGGAAATGAACTCGAGCAACTCGTCCGAAACATGTAAGAGTGACGTTGACATGTTGACCACAGCTGGCAGGACAATTTCATCGCCTGTTGAGCAACCACTGAGAAATTTTCTTCGCACGGTGTTGCCTAATATAATGCTGACCATGAACTTGATGAACGCAGGACGGTCGAATGTTATGGCACATGAAGATGGATAAGTTCTTTTTTCCACTGTACGTGATCAAAATCTTCACATGAACCAGTTATTCAAATCAATTCCCTCAAGTTCTTTGTCTCCCACGGTCGTTGGTTTAAGGAGTACTGCAACTACTCTAGAGCAACAATCTACAAGAATTTGTACCACTGCAACTACTCTAGAGCAAGAACAATCTACCATTTGCACCACTGCAACTACTCTAGAGCAACAATCTACAACTTCTTGTATTGTCTGCGTTTCTAATGCTCAAAGAAGTGATGCAGCTCAGTTCGAAGATCTTGTAAGAATGACGCAGACGAGGACGCACTTAGAGAAGAGGAGGGAGTTTGAAAAACTTCCTACACCTATACACAATCCGGTGGACGTCGGCTTAACCGTTGTGCAGGATAAGGAAGCACTGCTGACTCTCATGAAGGCCATTCAGGAGAAACGTCTGGTGCATGAAATCGTATTTTTATAACGCTTTTGCTAATGATTATCTTATTTCACTGTAACTGCTAAAATACTACTGGTTGTTCCTTTGAACGCTTTTGGTTGTGCCTAAATAGTTTTCGCTTACTATCGCTATCCTCTCCATAGATTATCATCTTCGTAGTATCATACATTTAATCCAAAAACTTACTTCTCCACAGCGAGAGCTACCCGATGCAGTGCAGATTTGCAAGGAACTGAAGCCAGAGGTTGCCTTAAAGACTTTTGTGTTGGAGGTTGCTAAGTCCTCACAGGCTCCTTCCGCTTGTTCCTACCACAATTAAGGGTTTCCGAATTACATCCCTCACTACCATCCTTGACTTTTTTTCCAGTAGGAAAAGGGTCAAGGATGTTCTGAAGAATGCAACTCGGCAACCTCTAACACAATGTAGTGCATCAAAGAGCAGGTTCATCTTTCACTACCTGGCTCTCCAAGCAAGCCGCCGATGTCAACGTGAACATTCTAGAGGCACAGAAAGAGGTAAAAAGCAAGCTGGAAGTGGCAATGGAGGCACTGGATATCCCTCTTTTGGAGAGCACGAGAAATAAGGCACAAGAGGAGACTGGCGGAGGTGTAGATGACAAGGGGTCATCTTCTGATAGCAAATCACATATAGGTGCTGTTGGCAAAGCGGTTGCTAGCAAAGCTACAGGTAGTAATGGACTCCCGATACAAAAAAAAATACTTTTAGTTTTTATTATAGTTTCTTGAATTCTAAGGCCAATGAGATAGTTGGTATGATTTGAATGGAATGCACGTGGTTTCTCTTTTAGTTGGTTCTAGTACGACCTAGACGGACCTACGTCAGCTCCAGCGGAGTCATCGTCATCGTATCTTTCTGATTCGATTGAAATGCACGTCTTGAAATGCTAAGGTTCGATTGAAATACACGGATTGAAATGCACGGGATGATTCGATCAAAATTCATCTAAGGTCTTCAAGCAGATTAAGAATTAGAATACTTCTCCTGCTCATTCCACCTTCAGCTCCAGTCGGCTCATTTTGGCATAAGGACAAGGCTTTGCGCGATCACATGAAAGGGCTTTCAGAGTTTCTCGATTATTGTGTCAAATCTCTCGGACGTTGGAAGCTACCTGGAACGACGGGTGGGAAGTTATGATTGGAAGGACGTGGTCCAGTAGAGTTGAAGAGATATGTTTAAGAGAAGTATTAGGTAAGAATATGTATGCGAGCATGGGAGATTTGGCTTTTATCTCAAGGGGCATAGGTTGTTTGTTGATGGGGTATGATGAGAATTAGCAAATTTTCCAATCCCATCTCGCCATGAAGGACGGAGCTTCTAATACGAAGTGCTCCCGTTAGGAAAGGAAGCGGTGTCGTGTCCTCAACAACATCGACTGCAAGGCGACTCAAGCCGCAGGCACCAGCACTGGCGAGAGGCCAAGGCCCTTCTAGTAAGGGCGCCGAAGGAGCACCAGGTTGTGACAATCATCCAGAGCACTTCACTGTTCAAGAGCAGTTAACTATTCCAGGGCGTTTCACCGTTCAAGGAGAACTACAGGGTAGTAACAGCGCGAGCAGCAACATGTCGAATAGAGCTGAAGGTGAAATGAATACGAGTACACCAGCACCAGCGGATACTAGGTCTACTCCTAGTGCAGCCGTGGTAGATAGGGGAGCTTTCTTAGAAGTTGAACCGTCTTCAGGGGAAGAAGTTTTTCAGAGCAGCTGTACTGGCGAAGTGTGTAGTGCTAAGAGCAGTTGTCTTGAAGGGCCACTGTCTAAGGAAGGATCTGAGAAAATGCCTTCTTCTGCTGAGGGAGGGTTACGTCGACGTCGACCGGCAACGAGCCGTAAAGCGGTCGCCCGGCAACAGAAGCCGCAACAAAGGGATCGTTCAGATCTTCCAGAAGTGTCATTAATCACGAACGATTGATCTCCCGCACTAAGGTAATACAAAATAGGCAGTGCAAGAGATGTTGATAGGTTGAAGACATGCTTGAACAGGGGATCATTACTGAGCATTTTGAAGTGGTCTAACGTACTAGGTAGTACGTTGTACGGAGCAGAAAAACTGTTCTTTCATAAAGACCACAAGCTGCTACGCCTGATGAGATCACTAGGCCTGCTTGTTACTCACAAGAATTGCTGAGTGGTGTTTTTGAATAATCAATGTGGTTGATTATGTCCTTGAGTTGTTGCTTGTTCAGTGTTATATATAATATGTATAAGATTAGAGTTTTTAGGAATCGTATTCCGTGCTTTCTAGTATGATTTGGATTTATAGCCTTTAATTTGGATCAGGAGATAGGCATTTCAATATTGCGACCTTCATCCTCGACCTTCTTCTATACTGAAGAATCAATCTACAAAGGAAAGGATTTTAATCATGTTGAAGCATGACAGGAGTAGACACATGACATCAAAGACCGGGCTTCAAGTTTCTCGAGTTCGTTGTAAACGACACGGAAAATAAGATGATGTGAGGGGACCCGCACGTTTCAATACAAAGAACATAAGCATTAGACATGTTTCGATGTGTAAGTGTATTATGAATGTATTTGCTTCAGCCACTGTCACAAGCGTGCACTATATTTTGTTGATGAATTATGCAAGAAAAAGGATCTGGATGATGAAGATTATCAGCTCTGATTGTTGTACTTGAAATAGTACGCGACGTGAGTATCAGGATAACATATTGTCATTTCAATATTGAAGGAAATAGATCTTTGGACGCTTCTCGTTTCATTCAAACTCGCCTGTTGTTTCACGCATTCTCTAGCTGGATGCTTTGGTCTTGTTGGCAACACAGCAAGATGTGTTCCTAGGGTCGATTCTCAGAATTTTAGATCAAACAGGAGCAATCTTGAAGAATTATTTTTTGGGATGACGAAATTTTGAGCGCTGTAAATGCAGAGACAGGTGGTTTCTTTCGCCAACTCTATCTCGGTATGTCTTTAGTCGAACTAGAGTTTTTCTTTTTTTTTCTGCGATCTTCCCATCCTAGTTTATAATCATAGAACCGCGCGGTGATCCCATAGAGCCGTGTCGTTTGTATAATTTCTTTAGGTGTCACATCTTCCAGACACCTGCGACCAAGTTCCACCTTATTTTTATAATTCTACAACAGTTTGGTAGCCTTTCTTTGGAAAAAACAAGATCCTCCACACCCACACCAATGATCATCATCATGAAGTTTTTGCTCCAGCGACTTGCTTTTGCAGTGCTCCCAGTTGAGCATGCTCCCGTGGTGGATGCGAGACGTGCAGGCCATACCTTTTCGTATGCTTGGAAAAAAAAACAACAAGGAGGGAATCTCACTTACGAACGAAGGATCTTAGAGTCGACTTTCTCGTCTCCTAGAAATTACGTAGAACAGTTAGTATAATGAAGCAACTTTAGATCCAGCGACGCTCAAAGCACTAAATAAAACAACCGGTTAGTTTTTACCTCTCAACCTTAGGCTTATCCCATGAAACAAAGTATAATGAAGCAACTTTAGACTAGTAACAAATGTACTATGTATTATGGCTATCCCTGCATATTCTAAGAACCATCTTCGCCTGCAAGTATCGCGAATCGCACCAGTTCTTTACACGAGAGTCTACTGGCAGCTGATGAGAGCTCCTCAAATGCGACTAGGTTTACTGCACCGAGAACTTCGGGGGCAGCTAACGGCTCTGCAGCTATCCGATTGGCGCCGAGTAGGGGATCGAGTACTGGGACAAATGGACGTCATGGAAGCTCCTCACGTGTTCGTAGAAAGGACAACTACTGTGACTGCTGCTCAGAACATGACAAAAGATGTCTCAAAGTCGCTGGTCGGGTTGCCCTTGGGGTGCTATGTGCAGCGTCCTGGCATTATATGGCTTGTAGGAATGATCCATCTTCCGTGAAGTGTTTTTTGGAAGGACTGGTCTTCTGGAAGGACCGGTCTCTTGGAAGGGATAGTGTTGACGTTGGAAGTCTGTCACCGGGATAGAAGTCACCGGAGCTTTCTGAGAAAGAAGATGGATTTCTGCTGGAAGCACAACTAGTTCTAATTCAAACAGTTTACATCATTTAGTCGTGGGAGTTGAAAGAGATGCTGCTGCAGCTGGTGCAGGAGGAAGTACTAGTGGGGATCGGGGTGGAAACGAGACGCGCAGTGATTACCATCGCGCTCATCCTCTGGCCCAGTCCGCCTGGTACCAATTTGCCCATGAACAGCAACTCGTTAATGGCGAACATGTACGACTCGCTGAATCTTCAAAGCAATTGGGTCCTTATCCCATCAGCGCTCCTTTAATGAGGGAGGCACAGGTGAGAAGCGGGGACGCGGGGATGGGAGAAGGGAGTGGTGTGAGTGCTTCTTCTACTCGAAGCAGAGTTTGGCGTATTCCGACGGTACATCACAAAAAACATCTTCATGATTTGCGAGGACATTTTCAGGAGCAAGATGCTGGTATCGTCCGCGATATAATTCGTAATATTAGAGGACAAGATGCTCATGCAGATGACGACGGAGACGTAAGCGTGGCCGTGCAGAATATTGGGGACATTTTAATCGTGGCAGAAGCGCATGTGGGAGAGTCGGAGCCTCTTCGTTTTATCCTGGACACCGGATCCTCCGACAACTGGGTTGTGAACCTGAATGCGTCTAGGATGCACGACAGCAGATCCCTTAGAGACGGCTTTCATCCTAGAACAGAACGCAGTCTGGCTTACACCTGTCATGCAGAACAAGGTGATACCAACCACGGTGAGCAACCTAGAAATGGTGAGGACAAATACGGCTTTGTGTCTCTACGTTACGGCACGGGAGCCGTGCGCGGACAGAACTGCAGGGAGAGCATTTCACTGAAAACGGGTGGACCTCCGACACTGAAAGACATCAACAATGGAGGTGAAGCTGCAGGCAACGAAAACGTTTTAGACCTTGGTTCGGGGGAGATGATTCTCGCTGACGACTTGGACGCTTTCATGTACGACGCTTGTGGGAATTTCAGGTTGTCTGGTATCTTAGGCCTAGGCTTGCCTGGTATTCGACAAGTGAAAGACGGAGATGTGGAAGGGTTGGTTGAGAAATTTGCGAGACTCGTGGTGGAGCGAAAAGAGGGGGACAATGGGAGAGGAGAAGATCTTCATGGTGCAAGAACTACATCAAGTGTGCGTGAGGAGAGTACAAATTATGTTGTTGTTAGAGCTATTTCATCTGATTCTGGTCGTGAGATGATAAACAAGGACAGCTACTCCTTTCTAGCGAAAAGAAGCAGCAACAACAAGGAAGTAGAGGATGTTGAATCGACCTCAGAGGAAGGACAAGCAGATCAGTCTCAACATTCAGCTGTGTGTCACGGTCCCCTCTGCTGTACGGAACACCTACGAGGGCAGCAAAAACATTCTGGTACTGACCAGAAGTTGGAGTTGCCGGTCTTCTCGAGGTGTTCTCTTTCCGATCAAGAAACGCCTGCTATGCGTTTTGAGGTGCCAGGCTTCTACTCGCTGCCGCCAGGAGGATATGGAAACCCTCATTACGACCCTCGATTGAGAGGCATGGGTTCTTTGGTGCTTGGTCCGTTCAACGCAGTTTATCCTGGGTCGACGTCGACACAACAAGAAGATGTGAATGTACTTGCTGTGCTTCCACTTCCAAACAAGCCTGCTCAACATAGAAATAAGACGAGTAGACATCATTCGTCAACACCAGAGCAAAAGCTACACGACTTATCAACTAGTTTGTTAGAGTTACAGCAATCATCGTGGTCTGACGAGCGGACTACCACATCGAGCAGTGCGTCAGATGTTGTTTCATCTCCTGCTACCGCCACCGCGCCAAGTTCAAGCGTTACACCTTTTGCCACCGCATCAAGCGCAGCTCCCCCTGCTGCTGCTGCTGCGTCAAGTGCCACACCGTCTACAGTTTCCAGAACAGCAAGCAACACTTCCACCCCGATTAGTCCGAAAAACTTCGCATACTGGCTGGTGCAGATAGAGGAAGTCTACTGGTCCCAAATGGAGGGATGGCATCATGCTGCACCAATCCTGAAGTCAAATACAACAAGAGAGCTGTCGAACAAAGAGAAAGAGCAAGAGGATGAGAGAAAGGGGAAAACGGCACACCAAAGGCATCGGGGAGTTGTGCGGAATACGTACTATTTGATATGTTGTAATTTTCAGTGTGAATGACTGAGGAAGAACAATGTGCTATTTGTAGAACCGTTTTCCAAAAACTTGACGGATCACGACTGAGTTTTCGAAGAACTCCTAAAGATACTCTTATCACGCAAAATCTCAATTCCTTTCAGGTTCGGTCTGTTCGACTCGGGTACTACCACTTTGGTTCTCCCACAAGAGGTCTATATGACTTTTCAAGACGCATGTTATCCGCCAATTCAGGGAGAACACCCTGTAGGATGGCCAACTGCGTGTTGCTACGAAGGCAGAGTGGAGGATCGTCCGATTTTAAACCTCCGTTTGGGAGGAGAGCTCTATCGTCTCTACAGCACCGACTACTGCGGAAGCGAAAATAACGCACTGATTGAAATTACGGCGGTTCTGTTGTGAAAGATCGACAAACTAGAATAGACATTCATGATACCTTCTTTGCTTAAGTAAGCTAAGGCTCTTTACTAGTGGGTTCGATTTTCACTTACAGACTTGCTTTTTTCGAAAATATCCCTCGCATTCTAAGACCAGCAGTGGCGCAATGGGTGTAGCGATCCTTGGCGAAGTGGTGCATCGAAAATTTCCTGTTACTTACCTCCTCGAATCTCCCTACGGCATCGTTTTGCCGAAAGGAGTCAGCGCAGAAGAAGAAGGGGTGGCGGAAGGTGTGGTTGCATAGTGAACCTGAATTCATGTAAGTGCTCTTAGGGTTTGGGTCTAGCTGTAGCTCTTGATCTCCTGACTTTGTACTTCTGAGTAGTAGAGCTTCGTGAATGGTGCGATTCAATAGGAAGAACTACTAGGACTTGAGTTTTTGCACCTTCATTTGTTAGAAACGAACATGCTCATCGATGGTGGACAAGCATAGGTAGGATCATGTACATAAGAAACGATGTAAAATATCTAGCGATAGATCGTAGTTTTTGAATGGTCGTGAACAGCATAATGATCGATAGGCCCTACTAGAGTGACGATATCAAAGAATATCTAGCGAACACTATTTTGCTTTATGATATGAATTTTTAAAAAGTTCTAGTTCTTGTATATGAATGAATTTTTAACTGCTGGCTTTTCTTGATTGATTATTAGTTTCTTTCGTCAGAAGGTTCTTTATCTTCTGGCGCTGCTTACTGAGCTCAAATTAATAGCACACAAGTGATGCTCCATGCCGCTTGCGACTCGTTGACCACTAATTCGACTTGGGTATGTGATAATCCTACATCCGTCTGATGTGGATGCCGTCGACTTTGATAATCTACGAAACAGATAATGAGAAACAAGAGCCACGTGCGTACCTATCAATCATCAGGCTTCGATAGTCGTGTCAGGGCTCTTGGGAAACCCGGTGGAGTGAGTGCACAAAAGTTGACGAGCTGAGTGCACAGAAGAGTTGATGAAATGGTTGGGGATACTACAAAAGGACATATAAAATATAGAAACTAATATTCGTTGCAAAAAGAGACGTAAAACGAAAGCCGTCTGTTACACTGCTTGAAAAGGTCTCGAGGATTGCAAGAAAAGGTGCACGACAATAAAAGCAGTCACCCTCAAGTAGCTTCGCGCTTCTAAAAATCCCACTTCATGATCAGCCTAAACTCCTAGTAGGAGAGTCCCAGCTTCTAAGCTTAGATGGTATCCGCAAGTTCTCTGGCCCATTCAAAAAACCTATGCGGACGAACCCGCCCTTGGCGACGTATGATGCGGAGTATGTTATGGCAATCCGTTGCAATGTAGCTGGTCGCAGAGTAGTACGTAGATGAATTAACAAACGGCTTAGACCTACATGAAGTAAGTAGATCTTACCACAGATGAAGTATTTTTAGAACATTTCGTCCCCCTAGACCTCCAGATAACTCCAACTACCACCCTTACTGCTTCCTTGTTCATCTAACTAATAGGAACGTCATCGGAAGTGAATTTAACAGAGAAAAAGAAACGATGAAAGCATTAGCCAAAAGAGTATCCATCATGCGTGCGCATGAAACTCAATGCAAACAAAGGAGAAAAGGACCACGACAAGCATTATATACATGAACGTCAACAACCCCTCACCCCTCTTTCCTCCTTTCCCTTTTTTCTGATCTACTTACCCCTTTAATGGGTAAACTACTACTACTAACTCCAACTACCACCCCCACTGCCGCGAAAGATTTAGCGGATGACAGTGTCTCCGTCGTGCTGTGCTTGCATTCTTGTCGTGGTCTGCACAAATACATGTGGTTGCAGCGAGTTCCCTTTGATAACATCCTGCGGGTCGCACCAGACCGAATGGGCCACGGCGGGTGCGATGACCACCCATGCGAAACCGGAGCTGCCGCTGATTACCTGTTTTCGGAGTTTTAATTATGGGAGATAGACTAAACTATGTCCTGATGATATAGCATTGAGGTCTGCACCTATTCAAGAATAGTAGTTGCACTAGATCCTCACATTGCACCAGTCTTCTTGAAGAGGATCATGTCGGGAAGTCTAGTGAACTAAATGACCCCTTCATCTAAAACCAAATCCCAGAGGTCTACGAGTTGGTAGATGCAGTTTATGCAAACCTGAAGATCCCGATGACGAAGGAATTCTTTGTGGTTGGCCATTCACAGGGCGGATGTTGCACTGTCGAGGTCGTGGCTTGCTCCCTGGCAAAAGACAGGGTTGCGGCGATTGCACCTGGACCCCCCCACAGCATGATCCTTGCCGTGTACTCTTCGTGCAACACTTTGTGCTACGACAGCTGGGACTCGAACGCGGAGAAATGCTTTATCCACTATGGATGGTGAGGTATCCTGTTCTTGTCCTGTTATACCTGTTGTAATCCTATTGTGTCGAATCCTATCCTATCCTACAATGTATACTCTTGGCGTGTTCTTTTCAACTAGGAGACCACAGCATTATCCTTGCCGTGTACTCTTCAAGCAGAAAGAGAAGCACCCAACCAAGGACTTAGGACTTTACGCTTGCCAAGAAACAGTATGCGAATCACCCCTAAAAGAACCACCTCTAATCCAAAAAGAGGAGACTCCGTTTGGCTGCGCATTGGTGGGACGATGAATGTGATGCCGAAGAAAGAACGGATTTTTGTATGGGACGCCTATGGGCATATTACTTATGGCGTTGGTAACTTGAAGAGGAAGAAATGATCGAGGAAGAAATCAATGGAACATGTGCTAGAAGTAGATCGAATGGCCTCAATCGAATGGCCTCACCCCTGAGAGTCGAGTCGTTTCTGTAAGAAGGAATCTCCTTCTACAACATCCGGGAGAGCTGCCGCGTACAACATCCAGGTATAGAAGTAGATCGAATAGCCTCACCCTTGACTAGCATGACATGGCGTCGGCTTCTAACAACCTTTCCTAGCGGAACATCGGCGAATCTTTCAGAATCTGGCGACGATGCAGAAGGTAGAAGGCCCGCTTCTGTATGACCAGGGCCTTGAGGCGCTCAGCGCGGCTCAGACGGCTCAGTGAACCTCTCATAGACGACAAGGCGCCTTGTTGTGTACAATCGAGGTTGAGCTGCGTGTCAGAAGAAACATTCAATCAGATTTCAATTTTACTTGTTTGAACGACTGATAGTTTACAGCACTGCAAATTATAGAAGAAGATACTTTTGTCCACTTGATGACTCGGCGACTGATTGAAGGCGTTTATGTTCTCAAGAGGTGTTTGACTTGGAGAGGGTTTCTGACGATCGATTTTTTCGAGATTATACTCAATGAATGTGCGTATATCATGGAGAAGCACAAAATTCTCTTGAGGTCTAGATTTATTGTGGTCTATTCTTTGAACTGATCTAGATCTGAAAAATCTGCGAAAGGAGATTAAGAACTCCCCCCTACGCCGGTAGCTACGCGGAAAATATGTAGGCAGGTTCTTCACGGAACTCGCTCGCGATACAAAAAGTGCGAGGTTAATTGTCTTGCATTGTAGTAGAGTAGGCACTACTAGTTGATTTTACACACTTGGATGCGTCTTCAGGCTGTTGTCGTTAACGTCAGAAGTCAGTATTCCAAATTGTTCTGTGGTAACCTCCTCCCATAGCAGGAACTTGATAATATTTTCCCCCTTGGCTTAGAGGTATGCTGCAAATCTTGACTGGCTTCTTCCTTTTTATAAGGACGAGGCTTAGAAGGCCCAGCGGCGCATAAAGCACTAAAGCAAAACAGCCGGCTAGTTTTAGGCTTATTCCTTCAGGCAATATATTTGATGGAACTTGTTCTTGTTCATTTTTGATGGAGATGGTCCTCCCTTGATATAGATGTCCTGTTGGAGATGGTTCTCCGAAAATGTTAATGTTTCTCAGAGTCATTTGAATAGCGGTAGAACGAGTTATTTCAATAGCGAGTGCTAGCCGAAGATTGCATGGCAGGATTCCGGGTCCAAAACAGAACCTAGTCCAAAGTGGTATTCCAAATTAGCAGAGGCGCTAGAACAATGTATAGTAAAAGTGCCTCTGGAACGACAACAAATGAAAAAACAATCAAACCCATTCTTCTAATGATAGATGAGGAAAACCCCTCAACTTTCTCATTTGGAAATATTCACGATCGTGCCGTCGGGTGAGGGCCACTTAACCTCATAAGCAATGAAGTGCGAGGAGTTTTTGGCATGCTTTGGAGGCAACGACGTGTTCAACGCAGGCTTAAGTTTATAACTATAGATGCGGGACGAACTACTCCCCATCCTACATGAGTCTTTCGTTGAAACTCCTACTCAATGCTGGATCATTGTTGTAGAGAAAAAATAGTGGAGGTTGTGCAGCATTTTGAAGAATGAATCTCCTCTCAAAGCGGTGCGTTCTTTTCTACGGTGCGCCTAGCATGGAGAAGACGTGGATGTGGAGTTCCTTGACCTGAAAGACCGATGTCAAAATGCTGAAAGTCCAAGCGAGCGTAAGTCGATTCTGGCCCTCCAGTACCAGCTGGCGACAGAGACTTGTAATATTCTACGTGCTGGCGATGTTAGGGCAAGGTCCAGTGGATTCAACTATACTGCAGGTGAGTCACACAAGCATAATTTATCAATGAGAGTGCCACCACGTTACACTGCTACCTATCTAATATGATCATAGAAGACTTAGTAACACTACTTGCTCAGTTTAACTTCACTCTAACTTTCCTCGCCTTCGGTTTCATCACATTGGCGACTGGGGACTTGTTCAAGTGGGCACAGGAAGTTCTTGATGCCTTCCAGTCCCTCTCGCTGGTTCCTCTCATTTTTACACTGCTATTCACGTTATGGCTTGAACATAGTCAAGTATGAGTAGGATTATCTTAGATGCTCAAGGGCTGAACACAGTAGAAATCTGTCAAAGTCTACTGAAACCAACGACGACCTTTCTAAATACCTACATTTTCGCAGTGGGTTTCGGTTTTCCGAATATAATGCTGAATACCGGAACAGGTTTGGCTCTGACGTCCAAAAGCGCGAACTTTGCAGCCGCCTTCGTTTTGTCGTGCTTTATCGCGGCCGTCGTTAAGGCTCTGATGTAAACGTTCTTCGTGCGGTCTGAAAAGAACTTCATGTAGTGATTGATTCGCTGCAGTTCCACCTTCCTTGTTGTGATCCTAGTTGTACAAGAAATATCATCCTCCTGCTTTCTTGTGGTGATCCTAGCTGTACAAGAAATATCATCCTCCCCTCATCATTTCTTGCCCTCCTCCTCTTCTATAATGTGTCTCGTATTCGGCGGTCTCTTGGCTTACACACTTGCGCGTAGAGTGTTCCGCTCGTATGCGATGAAGCTGAATTATGAATGTTACGTCCACGGACGTAGAGGTGCGGCAGTAGCAGCTGCGGGGAGGTCGGTGCCCTGTGGAAGCGATCTGGTTGATTGACTGATTGACTTTCTACAATTGATTGATTGATTGACTGATTGCCGATTGATTGATTGACTGACTGACTTTCTAGTTGGCGTTTTTGTTTTTTCTAGTTAGGCCTGCTCCACCAACAATGGAATTTTCGAGTGAACGTCATACTATGCTCTTCAGTAGCACATAAGTTCTTCGTATAGGTCCTCGCTAACAACTACTTGTCCTTTCCTCTGTCTCTAAATTCCACAATCCAGCCGCATTTTTCGCGCATTGCAGTCCGGGCTACGGGATAACGGTATTCTTCTTTCGGCTTTGATGCGGACATCTTTGCCCCATCTCTTGGTGAATTACGGCCTGGCAATGGTTGAGGAGGAAGACGATGCGGACGATGCGCAACAGGATTCAACTATAGGTCGTGAAGGCGAAGAAAGTGAAGTAGTGGAGGCTGCCAGGACGAGAACGAGAGAAGCCCAAAGCGAACAGCCTGACGCAGTGGGCCAGAAGAAAAACAAGAGTTTACCTTCTGGCTTTCGGTTACGCAAGTTTCTCCTTGGCTGCGTGGGACACGTTCCTTGATAAGGCAGAATGTACTAACGTGTTCATTGCTTAGGACGTATTCATTGCTTAGGATGCTCTGTCTTTTTTTGCTAAGGAGGTCTGGGTTTCGGGACGAGAGAGAGACGGGTGGAAGGGTTAGGATAGTTGTACAGCTTCAGACCATCGCAAAAACCATACTAGCGTGTAAAGAACCTCTCATACCTAGAAGTAGGAGATTCCAGGATTCTACCGCATAGGTAACATATTTTCACACTCGGATTCTAGTTTACAGCCACATTCATACCTGGATCCTGGTATACAGCTGGTTGGGCTGTTCGCTGGATTCGATGGTCGACCTCATCGAAGGGACGGGGGATGACGACGCGGCAGCACGGAGCTGGGGTGGCATTGTTTTAAGGCTCGGCTAGTGAAGACATCAGCGGACTTCTAGGAGGTGTTTGTCAACTTAAACCACGGTTGAAGGAAAAATCAAACGCAAATTCAAATGATCAGTGATATAATGCATGGGTGAGCTAGTTGCCTGCGAACCTTCTGATTTGTGAAGTCTTTTGGTCGAACTTAATAGGCTATATTCTTTTGCGTCATTTCAGTATGAATGTATTATCTTCTTCATTGCGTCAAAAGATACCTCCAGAACAGGTAAATGAATGAATGAATGGTGTATGATACTTTTTCTACGTACTATCTGCACTTCTAACCACAGCTCTTGGCACAACGAGCATTGCTTTTACAGCTGTGACGCATCGGCATTTGCGTGCTGTGATTACCGGAGAGGAAGAAAAGAACAGGGCTTGTATTACCACAGGAGGGGAAATTACCTAGAGATGCTTTTTGACTGCAGTATACTTAAGCTGCCTATGAGGTAGACACGTATTATGGGCAGAGGTAGTCAGGTAATGTAACACATGTGTTCGATATTGGTAGAGTAGTCAGTATCTTCACTACTTCTTGGTAGTCAGACATGATATTGACTGAGGAGTAGATGGTAGATCACTGATTTAATACAAGAGATACATTATATTGACTGAGATGGTCTATCATATACTACTAGTCTGACTAGTCTCTACCATATAATGACTACAATATCTCAGCACATATCTGACCATCTCAGTGGGTAACATCCAGAGATAGACAGGGTCGTAACTGATATGATCATTTTGCATTACCCTATGTATTATGGATCTGGCGTTGATGATAGCCCAGGAGAAGTTGATAAGAAGGTGCATCCGCATAAGCGGAAGCAGTAACCTGAGCGCCACGTCGAGCACTGAGGTGGAGCCTACTTATTTGGAAAGTTGTGTTCTGGACAAGTGATGATAAATGGAGAGCTTGACAAGAAAAGCATCAACATCAACAAGCTTGCTCCGATCATGATATCCCAGAAAACATTTGAACGCATGAAATTTCTCGAGAGGATAAAAAAATTGATCTTCGGAGCACCATAACATCCAAGTTTATCCAAGGTGTTGTAGCATGGTATCAGTCCATGATCTCATGCTGTAGTTCTTGCGGTGACGGTGAGTGACCATCAGGTCAGTTTTTATTTCATAAGATAAAGACGATGCTGACAGACACAGATGAGAGCCTGCTCTACTGGCTTTGGCGAGCGATACAGATGAAGACGAGAGCAAAAGAACGAACAGGATATTCATATTGTTGTGGCAGAGGAGCAGAGCGATTCATTGCAATAATTTATATAATGAAAGAAGTGTGCGATCAAGATCTCTACCAATAATCGCTCATGATGCCTGACGTCAACAACTGAATTTGTAGTTCACCTCGGTTAAGTGTGAACACTTCTCGAAATTGGATTGATTTTTACATCATTTGCTGATGTTACTTAGATTATTTTCTCAACAATATTTTCAAAAAAACATGACTTCGTCATAAATCATAAGAAGAAGACGCACGCAGCAGGAGCGATCTTAAATTCGGATAATATCCGCGAATCTTCTGGTTTCCAGTGGGTGCCTTAGCTGTAGCTCACTTTCTTCTTCCCCCTTAGTACCTCGCGTTCTTCTTCCCCCTTAGCTGTAGCTCACTTTCTTCTTCTGTCCAAGACGGACAAAATGGGGAGGAGCAATAGAAAAACGAAGCTGGTCGTCGAGCCGGACGCCGGCGAGACACAGCCGTTGCGTGATTTAAGTCCCATATGGATACTCCTCATACTATTTTTTTCAGAAAAAGGTCAATCAATCAGAGAGCCTCAAGCTTTGAGAACTTCGCTGCTCCTTAGAATAAGAAATTGCACTGCCACCTAGAAGTACTACCTTTTAGAACTAATGTAGCCTCTAACTCATGATTCAAGCAGCGAGTCAAGCGACACCTCCACTGACAGTGGCTCGACGGAAAGAGTAGAAATTCACTGCGAAGGATCTTTTTTTGGTTTTCACGTTGCAAAAAACCGGGGCGCGCAGATCATAATCTCAGTTAAGGCTCTATTCTACTAGAATTGTGTTGTACTCAAACTTAACAGACGAGTGGGCCAGGCTGACATGAAGTTCATCGTTCATCTGGGCTTAGGCTCGTTCTATCTTCTTGATCGTTGACACATACTTAGTCTAGTACATCAGCAGGGAAAAGGCGTCAGGGATGATGCTGAGACACTCACTCTTTATACTGTGGGAAGAATACGGCTCCCTAGCTACTTAGGATACGACTACAACACGAAGCGAATACCAAGAAATGAGGTAGTTAGGCTACAACGACTCGTTGGTACAGACTCGTTGGTACTACATTAATTGGGAACGAAGATTTCTTCTAGAAGGCTCTAACAGTACACTTGTTGTGGTGGGTGCACTCTATGCGATCCCGTTCTGTGGAAAGGCCGATTACTACTACAGCGTGTTGCCTGACTTTTTTTTAAGGCTCTTCTCACTAGTTGACTCATCTGCTCACTGTTAATTGAGTTTTTATTATGATCTCACTGTGTGTTAGTTTTTGATTGTTATCGATTCATCTCCTACGCATTACTAATCTGACGCATGCCTTGATTCATCTCTCACTGTTCTTGCATATTTGAAATAAAGTATCTATGACTGGCTCCGTATCTCCTCCATGATAATCTTCAAAGGTTTTTTTCGGAATTTTTCATGGTACTTATTATCAGAATATTTCCACATCGAGAGGGAGGGATACTGCAGGGCCCTAATTCTTGTCGACAAAGATTACAGTATCTTGCCAGCACATTGGTCAGGGCACTGGCTCGAAGAGCACATGCTCGATCCTGCTTCAAGTAGTAGTCAGATTAAGGCCACAAGAAACCCATCTTTACAGGCATTTTGGTTCTACCTGCTGCAGTTACTCTGCGTGCAGTAAGATAAGCTCAAAATCAGCTCAAAACCAAAGACAACAATGAATGAGCAACTTTTAAACCACATATATTTAAAGGAAAAAGGTGGCCCGAGATGCTGTTGGCGATGGATCTCTCTTGTTAGTTCTAAGAGTAGCATGATCAGTGGCTTAGTTGGCCCGGAAAATGAGAAAGACCAAGCGTGGCTGCAGACAAGCACCTCCGACGCTGCTGGAGAAATGGCCAAAGAAAAAGCTAAAGCGAGTGCTAAGCAGGACGCTGACGCCAACCACGAGAAAGAAGAAGGAAATGCGTGGCTGCAAGCAAGCACCTCCGAGGCTGCAGCTGCAGGACCCCCTAAAGCTGTCGGTCAATCGAGAGAGATTTCGGTCGCGGGTCTGGAAAATGCTTTCAGCAACGTGCGGGACTACCTTTTTTCGGACCCATCTGTCATGGTCGACTCCGCCAGTTTTGTTAAGGCTCACTAGAACTTGAAGTTCTGAGCTTCTATTTCAGACTAGACATCTTCTTGGGGCGCTACAATAATCTAAACGCTGTTTTATATTTATATCTTCATGCTTTTCTTTTTTTACTTTTCCTAGTTAGGTTGGCTCCACCCCTAATATTCCGGAATTTTTTTAACAAATCATCTTGATCTTCTTGGAGCAGGAGGTAAAGAATATGAATTCAATAGTTTGTTTTTAAGTCTAAGAAGTACAGACACAGCACCTAATAAAAAGTGACTTCTACTTCTAGTTGTGAGGTCTACTCTCTGATTCTAGTTGTGAGATAATCTGCTTAGTTGACTTCTGGTTATAAGTACATTTACATTTTTACCAGTAGGAGCACTGACTGGCATGACATTCGATTCCAGACTAGACATCTTCTTGGAGGTAAGTAGAATGATAAGAATTTGAATAATAGTTCTTCCTACTTTTTGTTGAGGGCAGGCAGAAAGCGGATTCTTTGTCTGAAGCTGAATGTGGGTTTCTCTTTTTCTCTTTATCTCTTCTCTTCATGTATATCTCGTTTGCTATTCACATCTCTTCTATGTCTGAAGGTGGGTTTTCTAATTTCGACACCGATACACCTGCTTTGGTCCTCACGGCGCAAGAAGAGGTGATGGCAACAGCCAAGGCGTTGTTTTTAAGCCGCGTTTTTAAATTCTTTATCTTTATTAACATAAGATTTTTTTCAGGATTTGTCCTTTTCAATTTGTTCATCGTCTTGAACATAAAATGATGATGCTTCTTCTTGCAGTTAAACCGAATGTCGGTCTTGACAGAAGAATGGCTCTCTCCAGGAGGCCGCACAATAGTCTATCCTACCCTACCCGATCATATCATAGCGCAACGCTATGGTATGTCATAACACAGAAAAACGACTACTGTACTGCAGTCGTCCGGTGCCCTTCTTAGATTAATCAATCTGAGTAGAGCTTCTTAGATTGATGTGTGTGACAGTTTGCGTTGAAAAAACACACATACAGATGCACATCCTCCCAAATCCTTCAACTACGTACTCTACCCTCCTATCCATATTGCCGTGTTACCCCTCACAGGTGAGCCCACTCCTATCCCATCCTATCATCTAATTCTGGGCGATCAGCCAGGAGAAGACACATATGTGAAGAGCAAGAGGCAAGAATACCAAGAGAAATCACTCGAACGAGTCGTCCGTTAAGGCTCTCCGTAATTCATCTTGGGAAGCATCGCTTCTGAAGCGGCCTCTTAAGGGGAAAGGGCGCCTAGGATGCATTTCGAGATGGAATTGGGTGAGCTCTAATTCTCGCGCATAAGCAAACAGTCCCCTTCGTACCGGCGTTCCAGTTTATGAGTGAAGAGTAAGTATTGAGGACTACAATGATGCTGGCAAAGAACAGTGTATTATTTTTCTACAATGATGATAGCTGCGGAAACGGATAGGGCCTTTTTCTTATAACTAAGGATTTTCTTTTCTTAGAACTAAGGATTCACCGTAGTAGAGATTGCAAATTCCTCCTTGAAGGTTATAAGTCATAGAATTAGTCGGATGTCTTCCATGGTTAGCGTCTTCGTTGGCGGCTGCTGATAATTAAGTTAGTACAAGGGGTTAGTAGTCTACATACTTGAACTTGACACTAGCCTAGAGCGACGCGAAACTCTCCTCCCACTAGAATCCTCCACCTCATTACTTGATATTTCTAAATGAAGCACCGGACTCTTCAAAGGCCTTCAAGCCGAACATTATGGAAGGTCTCCACGTCTTTTTCTTCATGTGTGCGCTCAAGACGGTGCATAGTGAAAAAGATAACCGCCAGAAGGAGCTTCGATAGGTTTTTAACAGCCATCGTCTTCGTACTCCCTTCATCCAAGGATAATACGTTTCTCTTTTCTCATGCACTTGATTAGAAGTGGCACTTTCCTCAATCTGGTTCCCACCACGTTGTTGGTAGAGGGGACCAATCAAGTACGTTGGTCAAAACGTAACACGAGGGATCATGACATGACAAGTACGAAAGCTCTTTGAAGTTTGTCACTCAGCTTTCTTGCTCTTCCTTTGAACGTACAAGGGTGCTGAAGTGGTCTCATATCCGCGTAGCATTTTTGGTTTCTGATATATAGACAGTGATTAAATGTTTCGGGCGTATTAGTAGACAGCAGGACAGCAAAAAAAAGAGAAACAAGAGGTGGCCTGACATGACATCAACAACGGACGAACATGCTGCTCATCAGGGTTCGCAAAAATTCTGAAAAAAATGGTCCTGCTCTAATGATCAGTTACCAGAAGGAAAAGAAAAGAAAGTGTCGATTTTTTTATGGCAGGACGTTATCACATTCTTTGGCGTTGAGTTGCTCTTGCTTGTCGTCACTGTATTTCATTCTGGGGGCTCGACGCCAGTGCGTTCACTCTCAACCTTATCCAGGCTCGGCACAAAGGCGCTCATTAACCTCGTCACCCTCATCCTCATCATCATGGTCGTCACCATGTCATCGTCCTCATCCCCGTCATCATCACCATCATCATCATCATCATCATCATCATCGTCAGCCTTATCATCACCAAAGAAATCAAGCACACAGTAAGCCAAAACAAAACTCTTCCTCGGAGGAAAGAATACAATAGCGGAGTCGAAGCCTCTAATTCTTTTCAACGTAGATGAGTATTCTCCAGCTGATCGGGCGAATGCTTTCAACCTCCTGGACTTAAGGCCCATTACTACACAGTGATAATCTATGTATTACTACACGGCATATGAGTTTAGGCCCATCACCACACGATGATAGTTTGCAGTATGTATTACATTGCACTACACATAGATAGCTTACGGTATGCAATTTTTCCCAAAAGTGTCGCCTTTTTGGGAAGGTATAAGCCCCGCGACGCCCAAAGCACAGCTCGCAGATTAGCTGGCTAAGCTCCCTCGTAGGTTCGGATGAAGATCCTAGCCCCTATTCGCAAAGTATGTGACCTTTTTTGAGAGCGTCATCCTTGAAGCGATCTGCCGGCGCAGAGCAGTCGCCTTGATGTGGCGGCTAAGTGGAGGCACCCTATCCTATCCCATCCCGTCCTATCATATGCATATCCCATCCTCGACTATCCTATCCTATCCTATCCTATCCTATCCTAAGTGAGCCACTTGCTTGCTACTTTTTCTCCTTAAATACATACACAACTAGGAGCCTGAGAAAGTTAGCTCCTTTTCGACACTTGGACTTTCGACTTACTTCTTCCCCAGGCTGATAAACTCAGAGCGTATATAGCTGATTACTGAGAAAGCTTCTAAACCAGACATGATTAGAAGTTTTGCTTGTAGTTGGTAAATAGTTTCTGATTACTGCCTGGCCGTCGTGCTTCAGGATTCCCGCAGGGTATTTAAATGTTCTTATTGCGAGGAATATAGACCCAGGCCCCCCAAAAAAAAAAAAGGAGGACTCGGGGTGTGAATGAATGAATGAATGCAGTTAACTGGTGGTTGGTGCTGTATAATGTATCATCTCATCCTTCTTGAAAACAAACTGGGCCGCTCCTTAGGTAGTCAGACGAGGTCTCAGTCGACATGAACTCTCATGCAAATTATGAAGGTACGAGTAGGCTGATAGGGCCTCGTCAATGGTATATAGACCGATCCCCCGAGGCATTCTGACCTGAACTGAGGTAAGAAGTAGTGATCTAAGTACTACTACTTATTTTAGCTCACTTTAGAGCTATGCGACTGAAGCTAGGACGTGAATGAGCTTCAACTACTGAGCGCTAGTTTTTCTAGTGGGCCCACACCTAACCTAACCTCAGCACAAGACTTGTGAAGAGCTCTAAGGCAAGCGGCGGGCTTCGTCACTGCTGATCAAATTCTTTCTTTAAGGCTTCCCCAAATTCTTCATCAGAATGAAGAATAAGCCCTCTCCCCCATGCACACAGGTAGCCCCTATACCTCACGAATAGGTACATCAATCAATCAATCAACTAACTTCGCAAGCATCTCCACTGGACGGCACATCGCGGTGGAATGTGACGGATCCATTCCTAATCCTATCCTATCGCATTCCACTGAGATACCCTTGTTGTTGTCGCACACAGCGGACGGCTACCAGAGTCAGGAACTTACCTTAAAGGAGACTTAAGTACCTTTCAAGGGGGAGTGATTGATGTGCCAAGCCTTGGAGGATTCTTTCTCTACTGAGGTTGACGGACAGCATGGGGGGTAAGGTCTGAGAGGTCTAAGACAAATACAAACCCGCTTGATCGTTAAGGACATACTTTTTCATCTCGTTCTGTGCGGTTCGCTGAGTGAGATCTCCTTCTTCTAATTCTATCTATACAGCGCTAAGAAAGTAGTTGTATTACAGCTGCATGAAGAAATAAGTTCGTTGTAAATGGGGAAGATGAACCCACTCAGCTGCCGCGGATGAGAGAAAGCTCATTATCGTCTTCTAAGATAGAAGACAGAATCCAGGAATCGGAAAGCGTGCTTGGCGATGCCTTCCCTTAAGGCTCAAGATATTTCATCTCTTAAACATGACTAGCTGTTCTACCTCGACTCCAAGTACAAGGGGTTGGTAGTTTAATTATAGACTCATTCTATTTCTACGACATTATCATTTTCTATATCAAGGACTTCTCTCTGGAGAACTACAACTTTTGATAAAGTGTATTCCACGTACGAGGAGTCATGTGTCGCAGTTTGCTTCTCGGGTCGTTTGCGAGAAAATGGAGGCAAGGAAGAAATGAAGCGTGTTGCGCTCTAACCTGTTGATGGAGGAATACGAATGAATGGATGGAAAGAAGGCGCGCACCCGCTACTCAAAGTTAAGAAGCTTCCACGTAGTGATCATGGGTGTCATCGTCCACAATGCGGCCTACCTCGTTTCAGTGTTTGAAATATTGTGCCGGCGGTTTCTCTCGAGTTCCTGCTTCTCCAGTCTAGTTAATTAAGTACCTTAATGGAGGACATTGTCGGGCGCATATTAGAGTTGAACACGACAACAACGACAGAACTAGGCTAGAGGGTCCATGACATGACATTGCTCAACATCTCACCACGGAAAAAAATTCAAAAAAGTAACCTTTTCTCCCTATCCGCCTAAAATGTTTCTAACTAATAGGGACGCTACGTGAATCCTGGTGTAACCCCCTCCGACACGTTTCCGAAGGAGTGGCCGCTCGAGGAGCAGTATGCATGGTGTGTGAAAAAATTCTTAAGGCTTTATACTGACACAGACGAGCACTAGCCTAGTTGGCTTTGTTTTACCCTTTTCATGAAGTAGATTAGGCGGCTAGTTTCCCTCGATAGTTCGGCTGTACCTACGAGCCCCTAATCGCTAGCACTTCTACTACTACTTTGGGTATACTACCACAACTTCTTATAGAGTTTAGGTTTAGCTCCAGCGACGCTCAAAGCCCCAAGAAAGTCGCCGGCGATAGTGTTCCCTTGATTTATTTACTTCCTGCATGATTCTCTTTTAGACTGTGCCCCCTGTTTGGGTTTGCTACTATTGCTACTCCTACCTACTACTGCCACTTCTAGGATGATATTGATTCGCGAGAAGTAGGTCTTGCAAGTAGGTTTAGTGCTATCTGGCGACTAAATAGTCTCCCACTAGCATGCATGGTGGGAGTCTTCATCTACATCTCCTCAAGAAATAGCCTATCTATCGTCGTTGACAGAGATTTACTGAAGAGTCAGTGTATATGCTTGCATGTGAGTTTTCTTTCCAGCTAGGTACATCTGTACAGCAGGCGCACTAACATGGGATCAGAGCATAGAACATAGGAGAGAAAATCCAGCCCAAGAGCGGCTACAGGTTTTCCCTGTGGACGGTGAGTTACTTCCTATCCGAGAGACAACATGCACCCCAGGTAGAGCTCTAACATCTAGCAGTGAGCGCGTAATTGAGACTGGGCTGGACGAACACTCTTACGGTCACGAGGACTCTTTAAATCCATCCGTCTCAGCATGATCATCACTTCGGTACTACTAGTAGCGCCATCTCTTTGGTCCACTACAACTGTCACTGAAGCGGAAGACTATACTACAAGGGAAGAACAAGGCGCGTTCGCGCTATCGAAATAACAGAAGGTGCCCACATATATCATGATATTGCATACTGCGTTGATATGATGACTGCAGACACCAAGAGACATTATCATATTCATAGTTGTGTATTTTGGTGTTTTTTTCCTAATTAGGGCTGGGGGCTCAATGTGAAAGATCCTTAACCTAAAGTAACCTAACGGCCTAACCTAGCCTAACCTAATCTAACCTCGTTAGGGCTTGGGGGTGCATACTGCTGGAGTGCTGATTCATAATTAGGGCTCCATCGCAACTATATGGAACACCTTGCATGATGATGATTAATGGTGATGATGATGGTGATGCTGCTGCTGTTGATCTTACGAGATGGATTGAGTGTAGCTCTTCATTCACCTGAGGGAAGCAGGGGACGAATGAAAGTGATCACGGAGTCTTGCAAAGAGAAGCAGAGCAAGCTCATAAAGGGGCTGGCCAGTAACATTTGGGATAATTAAGGCTCTTAGCATTAGCCTCAGCATCATGATGTCAGCATTCTTACTGGTTGACTTTGAAATTGAACATACACTGACCTTTTAACGGGGGGGGGGGCTCGATGTGAAGGACCCCTAACCTAACCTAGCCTCACCTAGTCTCGTTTTTTTTTTTTTGCTATCCTACTTCCTTTCAAATGATTTCCTTTCAAAAGTCGGTCTTCTCTTCGGTCTTGATTTTTCCCATGTAACTTAGTTGCCAACCTTACCAACCCTACCATAGGCCTGGATCAACTAGGAGGCCTAGTTAAACTATGAGGCAATCCTAATCCCTAAGGCCAACCAACGTTATGTGACCAGCACTAAGAAAAGCTGGACGCCATCAGCGACGTCAAACAGGATCATTGGACTTCGCTTTGTTTTGCAAGCTTTCCAAGTGAGCAAGATATTTCCTTCTCAACACAGGCGAATTAAGGCTTGAAACTGTAGTACTTGAGTGCTTTTCTACCTAACCTATGCCTAACGCAAGTTCTTTACCCTCGTCTTAGACTACTTTATTCAACCACTGTAGTAGGTGCTTTCCTTAGAAGTAAGCTTACTCCTGTTCTCTGATGCTTTTTCAGAGACTCCCACATAACATTTCTGATATTTACATTAATACTTATAAGCTTAAGCATTTTTGTTCATGTTCTTAAGGACACCTCCTTAAGGAAAATTCCTTAAGGCAGTTTCTTAAGGGAAGTTCCTTAAAGTTGTGCCACCCGTAAGGGGCACCCTATTAATAAAATTGGCTACGAAAGGCCTTTCCTTAAGGAAAAGCAATCTCGCAGATTTCTTGTAGCTATATCTGTGAAGTGGCTCTTCCTTAAGGCGAGGCCTTTAGCAGCCAACTCTACTAATCTATCTTCGCTCTGATCTATTAGCTGGCTGAGGCTTCTGAGCTGGCTGCCCGAGGCTTCTGGGCTAGCTGGCTTAGGCCTCTGAGCTAGCTGGCCGTGGCTTCTAAGCTAGCGGCCCGAGGCTTCTAAGCTAGCGGCCCGAGGCTTCTAAGCTATCTGGCCATGATTTCCAAACAGGTGCTGGCGGCTTCTAAGCTAGCAAGCCAAAGCCATGGCAGTGGCACCCATGGGCTTCTAAGGAGGTAAGCTAGCAAGCTGCCCAAAGCTTCTGAGCTAGCTGGCCAAAGGTTGCGAGCTAGCTGCCCAAAGCTTCGGAGTTTGCTTCCCATGGCTTCCAAGCTAGCTGCCAATGGCTTCTGAGCTAGCTGCCCAAAGCTAGGTGGTGACAACTTCCAAGCTACCAAGCCACGACGCCCATTGCCATAAAATGGCTTCTAAGAGGCTAGCAAGCTGCCCAAAGCTTCTGAGCTAGCTGGTCAAGGCTTGCGAGCTAGCTGCCCGAGGGAAGTGCTCGGAGTTAGCTGCCCATGGCTTCTAAGCTCGTTGGCCATGGCTTCGGAGCTAGCTGGCCATAGCTTCTGAGCCAGCTGGCCAAGGCTTCTGAGCTAGCTGGCCAAGGCTTCGGAGCTAGCTGGCCAAGGCGTCGGAGCTAGCTGGCCAAGGCTTCGGAGCTAGCTGGCCAAGGCTTCGGAGCTGGCTGGCCATCGCGTCCATTGGTGCGGGCTTGTCTCTAAGTAAGCTAGCCAGCTGGCCTGCTATAGCGCTTAGGCTGGCTGGCGGCTTCTCACTTTTAAGCTCACTGCCGAGGGCTTCTCGGCTAGCGGCTATGGCTCCTGGCCTAGGCATCTAGGGGCTCTAAGCTCGCTGGCTGTGGCTTTTGAGCTAGTTGGCTAGGGCTTCTGAGGGCTCCAGCTTCTCAGCTCTCTGGCTATGCCTTCCAAGCTAGCTGGCTAGGGCTTCCGGGTTAGCTCAGCTGGCTGGGGCTGCCTTCCGCTTCTGCTCTGAGCTGGTTGGTTGCCTATCGGTGGGCAGCGTGTCTGAATTTTGCAGGCGTTTTCTTTGGTAGTCTTACCTGTCGACTTTTCAGCCTGAACCCCGGGCACCGGCGGGCCCCTGTTGGGCCCGCGTACGGGGCACGTTCTTATACAATTCATTAAGCAAATTCCACGATCTCCTTCAGAGTGGGACCTTAATGAGGAAGCGTCTTAAGGAAGCTCCGAAAAGGTGTCCCACCCTTAAGGGGCTCGAAGGGCTCCTCTCTTAATACAAGTGGCCATTACAGACCCTTGATGCGCCCGCTTTCTCTTCTGGGCATGTACCTTTACAAAAAAATTGAAACTCCCTCAGAAGTATAAGGATTTCTTGTCTGTGAAGGATTGACTTCCGTAAAAGGAGAGTGAGGGAAGAGCATGATGAGGTGCGAGCAGCTCTAAAACCAGCCAAGAAAGGAGGCGCAAGACGAACGAGACAAAAAAGCACTCAAGGAATATGGTGCCTACAACCCTTGGCAGGGCGTCCTGTTTCCCTTAAGGCCTCCTGGACCTTAGTCCACCTCCCCAGTACGTTAGTCGACCTTCCAAGGCGTCCGCATGCTGGGGCCAGGCGTCTCGAGGATGTTGATGCGCCTCTCGTCTAGCTATACATCCCGTCTCGAGACCTATCTAGACCTATCTAGATGCGCCTCTCTAGACCTATCTAGCTGTACATCCCGTCTCGAGAAAAGTGTACCTCTCTCAGAAGGCTTATCTAGCTGGTGTGGCATAGGTTCACCCGTGACAAGATCCCTTCACTCGTGACAAGCTTTTCCAAGGGTAATTGACTCAATTATAGATCGACTAGGTCTCGCTCTCTTAATCACGGTGATTATCTCAAATGACCGTTAGGTCTCCCTTTACTCCTGTTTTACTAATCTACAGGCACACACATGTGTAATCTTCTGTGCCTCAAAATAGATACCTGTTGCGGGCAACACCAGAGTGATTTCAATTCTTACGTATGATCCAGGGCTCAGGGCGACGGCGCCACCCCTAGCGTAGCCGGGGGGCGGTGCCGGTAGCCCCGAGCCCCTTTTGAAGGCGTCACGCCGGGGGTGGAAGGCCCCAAAAGGGGGCCAAGGGGCCTCCTCCGCTCCCTTCCGGCTACCTGGCTGCTCCCTCGAGACCTCCGCTGCAGGTGGAAGGCTTCAAAAGGGACCCAAGGGGCCGCCTGTGCTCCCTTCCAGGTGCCTGCCTGTGCTCCATGTGCCTCCTCTATGCTTCGCCGCCGCAGCAGTGCGCCGGTTTTGGAAGGCCTCTGAAGGCGGCAAAAGGCGAGGGGCTGGACCCCCCTGAGCCGTGCGGCCTGTACCCGCCGGGCCTTTGGTAGTCGGCTGGTTTGCTCTCTCTTCGGCGGCCTTTTACCCCGGAGGCCTCCAGCTTGCGAGGGTCAGTAGAGGCCAGGAGGTCCCGCACGCAGTCGAAGAGGGGCGCAAGGGGGCGCCTGCGTCCGGTTTTGACGCCTTCCGCAACTAGAACCCGCGAAAACCAGCGCAGAAAAGAGCGCGCGCGCGCCACCACAGACCACACCACAGGGGAGGGCCAGCCCGACAACATATACAGCACGCCTTATGTAGATTCCAGGGCTTCGGACTGAAGGCCCCTCTCCGGTCTAAATTTTTGAGGGGGGCCCCCAGTCCCGGGCCCTTTTTTCGAGTGACTGCTGGGCGGGAAGGCCTCGAAGCGCCCACCCCTGACCCCTTCCCGCTCCTTGCCTGGACCTTACATAGATACAGCGCCACCAAGCCGGAGGCCGTTGAAGCACTGAAGGGCGGACTTGGGAGGCTTCTGAATGTAGCAAAGGGGGCAAGGCTGGACCCCCCTGGCGTGCTGCCTGTACCCTCAAGGCTGGGCCCCTTGCTTTGGCGTGTTGCGTGTGCCCTACAGACCTACCGAAGGTAGGCCGCAAGGCTGGACCCCCTTGGCGTGTTGCATGTGCCCTACATACAGACCTGGCGAAGGCGGCCAGGCTGGACCCCATTGGCGTGCTGTGTGTGCCCTATAGACCTGGCGGAGGTGGCAAGGCTGGACCCCCTTGGCGTGTTGAGTGTACCTTACAGACCTGGCGAAGGTGGCAGGTTCCGCCCCCTTGTCGTGTTGCGTGGACCATCAGACACCGGGGCGCCCCCCTCCTTTCGGCTCTTTTTGCCGTCCTCTGGTGCACTCCCTGGCCCGGGTTTAGGGCGTGGGCCCCCAGCTCGGGGTAGTGTGTTGCGTCTCCGACATTTCAGCGTCGTGAGGGGGGCCGCGGGCTTGTTGTGTTCGGTTCGCAGCATAGTGGGCGAAGCACTGCGCTCGCCTTCCCCCACGGTGATACGCTAGAGGCCACCGCGCCACGGGTGGGCGCTTCTCGTCGCTCGTTCTGCTCTCGTCTTTCGTTCTGCTCTCGTCCGTAGTTCTGCTCTCGTCTTTCGTTCTCCCTCTGCTCTCGTTCTCCCTCTGCTCTCGTTCCTCGTTCTCCTCTCGTCCCTCGTTCTGCTCTCGTCCCTCGTTCTTCTCTCCTCGCTCGTCCTGCTCCCTCTCGTCGCTCGTCCTTCTCTCCTCGCTCGTTCTGCTCTCCTCGCTCGTCTTGCTCTCGTCGCTCTTCCACCACGGTGCTGCACCACAGACCAGACCACAGTGGGGCCACCGTAAGACCTGGCGAGCGTCTTATCGGCCGCAGACCTAAACCTTCTCCCCTTCTTCCTCTACTATAGGGGCGGAGTGTCTATGTGCTTGCCCCCATGCGTGACGCGTCGCGCGTTTGAGCGTGACGCCGCGCGCCTGACGGTCGGAACATCCGGGGGAGACCTGGCTGACGATCTGGGGGACATGCATCTGTGGGAGAGCCGACTGACGATCGAAGGAACTTCCGCGGGAGGCCTGACGATCGGGGGAACGCCCTTACTTAGGAGACCTGACGACCTGCGGAACATCTCTAGGGGGCCTGATGATTTGAGGAACACCCGCGGGAGCCCTGACGACCTGAGGAACATCTGCGGGAGGCCTGACGACCTGGGGGACATCCGTGGAAGACCTGACGATCTGGGGAACATCCGCTGGAGGCCTGACGACCTGAGGAACACCCGCGGGAGGCCTGGCGACTTCTGGGAGACCTGACGATCTGCGGGGCATCCGCGTAAGACGTGACGATCTGAAGCACGTTGGTGGGTGGCCTGATGACCTGAGGAACATCCGCGGGACGCTGATGATCTGAGGAAAATCCGGGGGAGACGTGATGGTCTGAGGGACATCCGAGGGAGACCTGACGATCTGAGGACCATCCGCGGGAGACCTGACGACCTGGGAACATCCGGGGGAAGCCTGACGATCTGAGGACCATCCGGGGGGCCCTGACGATCCGAGGAACATCCGGGGGAGGCCTGACAATCAGCGGAGCCTTCGTTCTTGGGAGACCTGGCGACCAGGTGGACATCTGTGGAAGACCTGACGATGAACACCCGGGGGAGGCCTGACGATCTGAGGAACATCTGGGGGAGACCTGGCGATCTGAAGGGCATCCTTGGGAGACCTGACGACAAAGACACGACCACGAAGGCGCCAGACAATGGCGGCGGCGTGGGGATGAGATATAGACCCAACCACGACAACAAAACAAGCCACCCGCAAAGGCAACGCCAGCGGCCCATCCATGGGATGCGGGGCACATGCTCGCAACACCCTCGCAGACACCTCATTCACCACACAGGCAACACATCGCCACACCCCGCCACCGTCACGCGCCACGCGCCACGCCGTCACGCGTCGCGCCGACCTGAGTCACGCCGTCACATGTGACGACGCCACACCCACGCCGCGCCCCCACGTGTGACGGGGCCACACGTCGCGGCGGCGCGCCACGTCTTAAGCCGTGCACAATTTATTTGACACGCCCAGCGTCCCGCGCCCCACGCCACGCGCCCCGCTGTCACAGCCTCACGCGCTTCGCGAATAGTCGTACGTGAGTCACGCTCTTAAGCGCGTCACACTCTCACGCGCTTCGCTAAGATTCTCACGCGCGTCACGCGTCTGGCTAATACCCCTCGCGCGTCACGCTCTTAAGCGCGTCACGACGTCACGCGTCACGCTGGTATTTCCTCGCGCGCCACGGTCCTCAGGTGGATAGGACGCTCGCAGGGTTCCACGGGGAGCCCCCCTCCCTGGTACATACATAGAAACCCAACACACCTTAATACCTGTTGCCGGTTTGTTACATCAGTGTGATGGCCATTAGGTCTCGCTTTCTAATGAAAGGCGGAACCGGAGATCAGCAGGTGATGTTTTTACTGGTGCCAAATCGTGAGACGAAACTCTTCCAATTTCGTGTGTACAACACTGCGAAAGGTCTGAAGAAATATCATCCATTTATGGAAGTCTGCACTGAGATTCAGTGTGTGAGATAATTCATTGTGCTGTTGGATTGTATTGTAAGGCTTTCTTAGTCGTGAGTGCTCACCTGGGCTCTCGTAGGCGAGCCAATTCTTATCCTGTCCTATCCTATCCTAATCCATACGGACAGACATCCTTCCTGGAGAGGTTTTCAAGGGGAAAAGGGACGGTCTCTCGCCGAAGACATCCTTCCTGAAGAGGTTTTCAAGGGGAAAAGAAACAGAGGATCTCAGGAAGATGGTCTTCAAGATGAATTTGGGTAAGCTCTAATCCATCCTTAGTGTGGAAGCCGAAGAGACGTGCGGGTTTCTCACATTATGGCTAACGACCAAGTGCTAGAGGATTAGCTGTAGATTTGTTTTTACATTCACGTTATTGTTCCCTAGTTAGGCTGTCACTTTGTTCCCTAGAAGTTAGGCGAATTCAGCTAGGCGACTTTATAACATTATTCCTTTTCTATCTCTTTAACTTTTATATAGTTCGGTTTTTGCATTCCTTTTTACGCTCTCTGTCGGTAATTGCAGTACGAAGCCAGATGAAACCGATTTTACAACGGACTTTTTTATTGTATTACTGTGAAAAATGCTTAGCAGATTTTTGAGTTTGAGAGATCTTCGAAGCATTTTTGAGTACGAGGGACCCTCTGCTGCGCGACGATGGGCCGACCGAATTTCTCCAGCCCTTTGTCGAATGGAGCGCGCTGTTCGCGAGTGAGGTGCTAAACAGTCCACTACTGGGGACGCTTCTGGATGCCGATTGCTTAGTTAAGGGGCTGATGTTCTTGATGCCTCGTAGTTTCTTGTCGGTCTTGGTCTTTCTTGAAGTTTAGAAAAGGGCAATAAAAGTAGTGAAAAAGGGAAGTGAAAAATATAGAAGAAGTAGATATTAAGGGTGGATGAGATGTGGGTGGAAAAGAATAATATATCTTGACGGGTACTAGGGGCAGTACTATCAGGGATACAAAAGTGACAATCTCCCTCATCAACCTAGATTTATCCCTTCAAACAATCTATTACACTTGCCGCAGCCCCTCCTTCTGCAGCACCATGTGTGAAGGCGCAGTCGAGCGCCAGGCTATGCTATGTGTGGAATATGTCAATATTCTGTGGTGTTCCGATCGATTGAGTGAGAGACGAGGTTGGCCTTTCTAGGCACGACGAGAGGAGTGACGAGATTAAGAAAAAGGAAAATCGAAATAGAAAAAGAAAGATTGGTTCTTTTACTTAGGTCGTGAAAAATAAACGTATCGTCAGATTGTTTGTTTTGAATCGGGTGAAAGGAAGACTAACATCTTTGCTTTGACTGTCTCGGTTCTTTCTTTTGGATGCTCGTGCTCTTCTCGGTTATCGTGATTGAAAGTTGATTCCTCTGTGTAAATAGATATGGAAATAATGGGAGAAAAAACGGATACGATGACGGTGGGAAGAATAAACTGCTGGTGAGTAAGAAATTGCTATGTATATGTAAGGAAACTCATATCATCGCATTCTACTAAAACCACCAATGTACGTTGACCGCTTGCCCAACATTTTCCCTCATCCCGTTTCGTTTCACTTAATGATATGTATGTTAATTCTTTGTCCCGGAATTGATCATTCTGCTCCAACCCACTTCTACTTTGCCAATGACGTGGTGAATGCGTCATTGGCTCAAGTTTCGAGATTACGGATTATCACTTTTGTGATTAATCTTCTAAGACAAGGCAGTTTGCCATTCCAAACAAGAAGGAGCAAATACATGTCTCTGCAGCCTCGACTGCATTAAAACTACAAACAACAAAACGACGAAGACATACAGTCTGTCTGCTTTTACCACTCGCGACGAGTAGCCGTGTTCTCTCAGGTGACCCTTTGAATCACGCAGAGAGGACCGAGCGACGAGCGAAGAGACCCCCACTTCACTTTCGACAGTGGTAGCGGAAATCCGGTTACGAAGCTTCCGAATTTCCTACGAAGCCAGAAGTTGAAGAACTACGACAACTTTCCCTTTGAGTACAACTACGAGCCCAAGAACGAACACTCCAAGGAAAGTGATGGATCAAGGGTCGGACCCTAGCAGTCGCACCTCCTCGAGACGAGTCGGTCTATACCGAGGTGGAGCAGACACTCCTCCGGAGCACGCCGCACCTGTCACGGAGACAGACGTCGCAGGTGTGGAAGGAGGAACCTTCTTAGTGGACGCATCTGGTCCACGTGCTTCCGCGGCAGAAATGCTGAACCGCCAATCCGATTCGGATGTCGACATGACAGCCGGTGGCGGACCGCACACCGGCGTTGGCGGAAGCGGTTTTCAGCCAGCTGGAGGCACAGGCATAGGACCTATCCCTCTGAGCACTTTGCAAGGGGGTATTGGTCTTGGCGGACCAGGAGCACTTGGGAACGATGCCGTCTTACGTGCTGCCGGAGTTACGTACGGAATGAACAATACACAGATCCCGTACACCGGACAGCAGATTCTACATGCGCAATCACTGGCGCAGGCTGGAATCAATCCCAGGGCGGCGCTGAATATCGTCAACTCTCCTACGCCGGCACAACCGATGTTACCCAGTTTACCCGGAAATCAGCCGATTGCAACGATTGGCAACCCGCTGGGAATGAACACCAACAATCAGCTGTCTGCTACTGGAGCCACATTGACCGTTGGTCATGCGAACCCTCAAGCACAGTATGCACCTGGGTCGGCAGGAGCTGTATCGGCGGCAGATCGTGCACTCGCTCTAGAACTGGCACGTCGCACCAACTTCCTGCTGCACGGACAGAATGGTCTTGCTGCACAGGTGGGACAAACTTCCACCGACGTCAACATCTTGACTTCACAACAGGCAAGACTCGAAGCAGTAGCTGGTCAGGCCCACGGGACTCTCAACCACATCTCCACTCAGCAGAGTGCCATCGTGAATACCATGAATGATGCGATGCAAAATGCGAACATGAATTTCTCGAACTCGGTCAACCAGTTGGAATCGCAGGGTCGTCAGCTGCAACAACAAGTTATTGATGAGAACTATCAGAAGCAAGAGCAAATTGATCGTTTACAACAACAGTTGACACAGCTTCAACAAACGGTCAACGAACGACAGGCAGCTTCCAGCAGTACTCCTCCAGCGGGGAACCCAATGAACCTAGGAGTGCCGAGCTTCAACATCCATAGTGCGCGGGACTCCGACGGCATTGGACAGCGATCGATGCGATTTCAGACTCCAACTGGAAACCGATCGGACCAGACTGCATTCGAGGATGGAAATGGGCCGGGAAATGGTTCGCCAGTAAACCCTTTCCAAGGATCCAATTCGGGCACTCCTCGACCGGACAATGTGCACGCAACACAGCCTACCAGTTCCAACATGATGTCCGCTCAAGGAAGAACGTTTGACGCGGGGTCAGGCATCAGTAGTATTGGTGGTGCTGTTGTCGGCGGAGGAATTGGTTCGGCAAACGGCGGAAAACCAACGGGACTGCCTGGCATCAGCACTAGTTTTGGTAAAGGCGGACCACCCAACGGCATTCCGATGAACCCAAGTCCATTTGTGGATGTGACATCTGGAGCCGGAACGGTGCCTGGAACTCAGCTGTGGAATCCCTTCGGGAAGGTGATGAACGCCGGTGCCGGCATGGTGGGACATCCTGGCACAATTGCAGGCACAATGAGTTCTTCGCTACTAGGCGACCAGGCTCCTCTACATAGCGGATTCGGAACCCAAGACGGTGGAGCAGTACGCAAACTGCGATGGAACTTCACGCGTATCTTCTTCGAGAGCGACGTCATCCGAGCGAACAACGGTATGAAGCCCGCTCCACAACTCGTGCTACGCGTCAAGGACCGCATGCCAGATCGAAATCCACCATCTCGTGATAGCTACCCGAACTTGACCCAGTTTCTCTGTGCACTCGAGAACTACTTGTTGCAAGTAGTACAGAAGCCTCACTCCAACGACCAGGTCGCATTCTTGTTCCCGCACGAGGCCGAGGAGGATCTCGTCGAGGACATGTTGTTCGACAAGCGCGACGACTCGCACCCGAATAAGTGGAAAGGAGTTTTCGCCAAGAAAGTCAAGGAAAAGCTCCGTGGAACGCGCATCAATCGAGGAAAGAGGACTACTCTGTGCATGACCAATGTTGTCACGCGTCTTTTCGAGGTTTATCCTGGCGAGTTCGTGGTGAATCGCGAGGAGCGCGATCGTTTCGAGAGCTTCAAGCGCAAAGCCGGAGAGACCGATGAAGAAGTCATCATGCGGTACATCTACGTGAGCCAAGAAGCCAAGGTCGATCCGTTCCCAACTGAACTAGCTGAGCGAGCTCGCGTCTGGGAGGATTTCACGCGCAAGGTGACGCTGCAGGATCCGTCAATCGCAGTTGCAGTGCTGACGCACCCGGTCTACATGAGGACCAACGGTGGCATTGTAATGTTTGAACAACTGCTGGAATACCTGCAGTATCAGGAGCAAGCGCGTGTTAACCTCCGCATCAAGAAAGGAGATACGTCCGGTACTACTAGCGAGCACGTCGCCTTTGTCAAGGACGATGGTGCCGCTGCCACTGACGCAGAGGTGCCCAACCAAGGCGGTGGAGGTGCTGCGATCGAGGGTGTGCTCGCTGCACGGCCAAACCCGGACTCCAAGTACAAGTACGACGTCCGCAAGCCTAGTGGCAAATGGGCGTCTGGCAGCGCAGGAAATAACAACACTGCCAGGAAACCGACCGGCCAACCCACGCGTCTTCGTCAAAAAAAGAAGTTGTACTGTGCGAGCTGTGGCGAGGACCACAAGTCAGAAACATGCGTGTTCTCCGGTAAGAAGGTCTGCAAGAAATGCTTCTCGGAGGATCATTTCTGGAGACAGTGTCCTGTCCCTGTTAAGGATCAGGCAGCTGCACGGATGCGAGCTGTGGAGTTTGCGAAGATGAAGACCTCCGAAAAGGTGCAGGCAATCCTAGATGCACTAGAGGACACCGAGAAAACGCAAATCATCCTTTGCACCGTCGACAGAGATGAACAACTACGCGAGTTTGTGCTAGAGGACCGAACCGCAGGCGAGGAAACATTCGCATGCTACGAGCGCATCAATATGGTCGCTGATGATGAGGAGGAGGACAGTGGTGCTGATGATGGCAACTGCCCAGATGCGACCACACCAATGCCCGAGTCCACTGATAACACAGAATCGGCTTTGTGGGTGCGTGAAGGAGCCGCAATTGTTTCTGCAGCACTTGCCGGCGCGGGTTATGCGCATGTATGCGACAATCACGGAGACTTCTGCATCAGCAGTCTCATGGCCGAGATCCGCACCATCGAGCAAGGGCAGAGCACAGCGCAACCTGTCAACGATTCGTCTACCGAGGCTGTGCGATTCACCCGAGAACCAACGTGCCTACAGTGGGACCAAGGCTACACGGCACGGATCTTCTTAGATAAGCGGTCGGCCGACGAGAACCTGCAGTGGTCTAAGCAAGCTGGCCTGTCGTGTCCGACGTATGAAATCCCGGCCACGGCAACTGGACTAGATGGACATACCACCACGATCATCCGACGCCAGCTTCAGCCATACGCTATACGCGGTCTCGACGGTAGTCTTTACGCACTCGGTTTTACGAGGGCGTCCGTCTCGCAGGGAGGACCAAATCTATTGGGAGAGGAACTGCAGACGGATCTGCTGAGCACTACATGTCGCGACCCTGGTGTGCGTAAGCACGTCCGCGGTTTCGATGGAACCTGGTTGGCAGACTACGAAGGTCAAAACCAAGTGATGCAGAAAGCCTTCGAATTCAGCGAGCAGGAATACGCGATCCTGCGTGAAATCCAGAAGTGCAACAACCCGAAGGACTGGACGCGACCGGTGTTTATGCGACGGGTACAGATGCCCGAGGACGCGGATCCTGATGCACGCAAGCGCAACTACGATTCGCGAACGATACATCAGTACGCGCAGAAATGCGGCGTCGATCTTGGCCCAGTCCCAGTGACGGAGTACCGGCACCACCTGAACGATGATGGGATGATGATCTGTGAGAAGGTCGCAGTTGCTCAGGTCGACGAGACGCCAGTTGAATCCTACGAGACAGGTGCAGGCACTTCCAATGCGCAGGAGGCTGAATCGACGTGGAAGGACATCGCAACTGCGGTCGCGACCGCCGGAGGAGCTGACTACTCGAGCACAACAAGTCGCGAGGCAGCTGTCAGCTTCGAATCCACCGGCACTAGCGCTTGTCTACAGCAGCTGTGGACTGACGGACTCGGTGAAGAAAATGGTCTTCCCGCTGTTGATGCCGGTAGCAATACCGACGGTAACCCCTCCTCGGAAGTTCTGAACGAGAAGTCCAAATTCGAGGATGCTGCGCATCACGCTGATGTGTCGATTTGGAACGTCACCGGACAGTCGCTACGACGCAGTGGGGACGAGGGTACCTACGGAGTGTACCGCGAGGTGCATTTCGGAATAACCCGGCCACCTGCGGTTCCAGCGTGGCTCAAAAATCGTGTCAGACTCCGCCGAATCACCAATGTCTGTGAACAAACACCAGCGTGCACGGACCTTGTTGACGACTGGAAAGTGCGTCGGATTGCGGTTGAGGGCAGACTGAGCGGAAACCAGGAGGACTTCTATACCGTCGATTACTACTACCACATCGCGTATGAGGCGGAGGTCGCAGGCGCCAAGGCCGCCAACCCGCTGCAAGCAGAATTAGGCGGAGGAAGTGTGATCGATAGCCGTCGGGGCCGACTTTCAAGCGAACATCTAGGGCATCACACCTTCGACGACAGTATCGACTACGTTTCAGTAGGACACGGAAAGGTATTGCCAAGTGTGAAGAGTGCGCCGTCTGCTCGCCGAATGCTGAGCGTACCAGGCAAAGCAGACTCCGTGTCCGTGTTCACGTGTCGCCATCTCGATGACGTTCCGGCGGTGGTGCGCAATGCGACTCGGATATTCGATGTTGAGGACTTTGGAATCGAAGATCTGCACTTGAACTGCCCAACGATGAGCAATAAGACGATTCGCACTGGCTATAGCGCCAAAATTCAGGCTGAATTTCCGTCCAATACCGTGAATAACGTGCTTAAGCATCTACAGAAATTTCCGCGCTGCATCATACGTTGTGAATCGGGAGTGGCACTTTCGGTTGCGCTCGGCGAGCGACTACGCAAAGGACACAAGAAAACCGTGTCCCACTCCAGTCTGGCGAGCGAGCTCTTTGTGCACAGTTTCACGCTCTTGGTGAACGGGACGGCCATTCGCTACAACGATGATGAGCGGCTTCGCGTCGATTCGGTTTTGTCGCCTTTGAGGAACCTCACCAGCGGGGAAAGGAAAAAGATCCGCTATTTGCAGGAAATCCTTTACTATCAAGGCCGCCTTGTTCCCTTCGAGAAGTGTGTCGCTATCGCCAAGACACGGATCCGCGGGGTCTCCGACGAAGAACTTAAGACGCTCATCCGGATCAGCCAAAATGAAGCACAAGCCAAAATGCGGCACGGTGTGGGCTACAAGCAGAAAGACTTCACGAGTTTCAATCAGCAAGCAGCACTCCAGAGTGGTGGCGTGACGCTGATCGACACGACCTTTCTTACCGAGTACGGGTACGTCTTCACCATAATTGGTTTGAAGTCAGTGGCCGATGGCAGAACGGTGTTCTATGTCTGTGGAACCAAACTTAAACTTTTGCCTCTTGTTGAGCGTGCTGTCTCCGACAAGCGCATCACTGCGGAGGAAGGAGAGCGATTTCTCCAGGGGTTAATCTTCGAATTTGCAGATGACTGCGGACAACGTCTCCTGCAGGGCCTCGGAACGCCGTCGAAAACCGACGTCAGTCGAGCCATTATGTTCGGGATTGACCGCAAAGTTGTCCGTCGACAGATCTACGCGGATCCAGGCAATGAGAACCTCGCGCTGCAGGACTTCTCATACCTATCGAAGACGGGACGAGCATGGACCTTTCTACCCTTTGGAGAAAAGGCCTATATTCTCGAGCGCGGTTTTCTAGCCTTCAAAACGGCTTGGATGCGTCTACGCAGAACTCCTGAATGCGCGAAAATGCCGCTGCAAGTGCTCGCCAATGAGATCTCGAACGCACTGGGAACGTTGCCTACCGCCGCATTCCTCGGCCGATCATGGGACTACGTTTTCTGGGGATTGCAGGAAGGTCAACCTGACGGGATAGTGCATCCGATTGACGCCGAAGTCGATCTACTCCGCGGAAACAGTGAGGCTCACCTTCAAAACATTACCGAAGGACGCATTCGCACTTACTCTGAACTCGCTGCAATGACCATCGACGCTGGCTACGTTAACGATGTTCGAAAAATCATCGCGAATGCTCGGAGAGCACAAAAGCCTGGACATTTTAATCCTGGTGACAAAGTCACAGTGCTAAATCCTGTCACCGGTGTCCGGCTTCCCGGAGAGATCGAATCGCGGAAGCGCCTCAGCAAAGGACAAGACCCGTACGAATACCGAGTCAATTTGAAGCGAGGAACCAGTACTGTGCGTCACAGTCTCCTTGATCACCATATCAACTTCAACGCCTTCATCGGGCTTCCAGATGATCTCCAGCCGGTAACGTTTGCGGACTACCAGCCCGGCGGACAACTGTTTGACGTTGAAACTCGCTGGCGACGCGTCAACGAAACCGACGAAAACAAGCAGCGGATGTTGCCGACCAATGGCGAACAAAGTAGTAGCTTCTTCAATTTAAAAACCCCCGGGGTGGGGACACAGAAGCAAGCTCTGCGCAACAAGTTGTCCAGAAGATCGAGGAAGATCTTTGATCAAGTTGAAGAAGCAGCAGATGACCCCTCCGAAGTTGAGCTGTCGGATGACGCGTCACAGCCTGAGGACGATAATGGACCAGATGCACCAGTCGAAGCCAAACCTACTACAGACCGCGAGCAAATATTCGTTGGAGTAGAAGATGGCGCCGAACTGGAAGCAGAGTGGATCTGTTGCGGAACTGAACGAGTAGCTGCCGCCGACTTGGAAATTGAGGAGGCCTCCACTAAGAGCGACACGCAAGACATTGCACCTCCAGGAGCCGAGTGGAAGGACTACGATCCAGAAGGCGCGAAACGTGATGAATGGAAGACATTTATGTCTTATCCGAAGCGCGAGACTCGACGAGCAGTCTGGAAATGGCTGGAGAAAAACGAAACTGGAGTGCAAAAGGAAGGGGGCATCGGCTTTGAGCTAATGCGGAAGACCCTTCTCGATGGAGCTCCAGTCAAAATTTCTCCAGTCAGCATCGAGGTCTATGACAAGTGGCAGGGCGACCATCAACGAACTCCACTCGGGAAGCCAGATCTGCAGCGCGAAGTACTTGTAACCTGGAACCAGCACACGACGCGGATCGTGAACAACGTGCAGGAATACGAAGAGTGTGGAAAAGGGAAAGTCGTACGCATAGTGCTGTGGACACTCGAGGACAATAAATCGTATCCAGAACTCGGCTTACTCTCCATCCACGACCCAGTTGTGAGTCGACACGCCGAGGTTGTGCAGAAGCTGCTAGGAGCAAGCAAGTACGCAGACGCAGATCACACGTTCGTGTTCTCACCAGCTGGACTTGGAGCTGGTCGCCTGTACACGCAAGCATTCACCAAGGAGATCGGCAACATGCTAGACGAAGGTTTGATCGAAATCTTCCAGGAAGGCATGCTGCACAGTGACGAACGGACGCTACCATCTCGCGGCTTGGCTGATCTCAAGATGCAGACGGGATGTCACTTCAAAATCGCGATTCGGTTGGCTCCAGGAGGACATATGTCCTCCGTGAGCGCAACGGCGGAATCTCCTACGATGAGCGACATCGAGTTTAGGATGATCATATCCGGGTTGAGACGCGTTCGAGGCAAGAGGATTTTGAGGTCGGGCGATGTGCCGCGTGCGTTTTTAAAAAACCACCGCTTCAAGCCGCATCATCGTCCAAGGTTCAAATTCCCAGCAAACGTCTTCCATAACGCTACGTTGCATGATCTGAAATCGCGCTACGGTATCGACAAGGACACTGTCTTTGTGATGAGCATCTCTGTTTACGGCCTTCGCGAAGCTGCGCTCCTGTGGTGCCGAACCATTTCGCAGTTTCTCATCAGCATTGGATTCCATCCGTCTGCCGAGAGTCCGTGCGTGTTCGTGAACGAGTCGGACTGCAAGATCGGGCTTCACGTTGACGATTTGATCTATGCTGGGGACGAAGTCGGATTCACCCACGTGTCCAAGGCTCTCGAGCAACGCTTTGGCCTCTCGAGTTGGGAGGATGCGAAGACAGGCTTTGTCTATACCGGCTCCACCGTAAAAATGAACGAGGACGAACAGAGCGTTGATGTCAGTATGCGACAGAAGATCGATGAGCTCCAGCTTCATGATCTTCCAGCGAAATTCGACCGAAACGCGACCGACATCCCGCTGCTGAGCGAGAAACAAATTTCTGACCTGAAAGGAAAGCGCGGGAGTCTGCTGTACATCGGGAAGTGTCATGCTGAAGCTAACTTTCCAACGCGCTCCCTCGCTCTTGGAGCTGACGAAAAGAAGGACCTTCGGTGGTTCGATGGGCAGAACGCGATTATCAGCCGGTTGAAGAAGAACAGCCGTGGATATACCGTGAACCTGTCCTACCAGGACGAAATCATCGTCGCCTTCCCGGACGCATCCTTCCAACATCCACTAGCTGCGGAGGCAGATGGCAACTCAGCAACAGTCGACATCGAGCAAGCAAGAATCGTCTTTCACGATGAAGACTCAACGATCTTTGTCGGCAGTACTATCGAGGAAGTGCTATCTGTGCTCGGCCCGAACAGCACTACGCGAAAGCGCGAGGAACGAAGGACTCGCAATGCGGCAATTCACATTCCTTCGAATCTAACGGATGACACGCAGAAAAAGGTGATGCGTTTGTTCCCTGTACTTGGATATGTCATCCTCTCTGTTTCTGCAGACGATTGGAAGGCGTATGAGAAGAAGCAGAAGGAGCTGAAACGGGTTGCGACGCTGCAAGAATACCATGACCTCGAGCAGTGCAAGGTCCGATGCAGCTACCTATCGTCGGACACCATTTTTCCCGGCGTGGTCACGACCTCCAGCTATGAAGCGGAACTGAGAGCGTTCGCGGAAACGTTTCCTATCGTCGACACCATCCTACAAAAGATGACACGCTGGGGACTCGTCACCGACAGTGCTGTCTTGTCCGATTCGAAGTCTGCGGTGATGCGCTTGATCTCGAAGGCAGGAATTGGCATGGCGGACGCCGCGGTGTACAAGGTGTTGGCCCGCGTCAAAGCGTGGTATTCTTCGACGGAAACAGAATGCGGTGGGGTGACTGACCGGTCGAACCCCGGTGACACCACGACAAAGGTGTCGTCGGGATCGAAATACGAACAGTTTATGTCGATGATGGGAGGTTGTCTTTTGTTGCCAGTAGGACAAGCGTTCTTACGCAAACGCAAGCACACATGGGAAAAGCCGTTGGCTCCCAGCTGCGCAGAAATCTAGATCTAATACGGAAATGAGAAATTTGTACAGGATGAATAGAAAAGTTGAAGATCAAGAATATCATAAGAATGTAAATCTGAATGTCATAGTGGAGATCTAGAGTCTTTTCCTTCTTTCTCTGATCTCCGAAAGAAAAATTTAGAAGAAACATCAGCAAATAAAGATATGATCTGAATGGGTAAGAAAAGTCTGAAGAAATTTTGGTGTGAAAAAGAACAAGATCAAAATCATAAGTAGTGGAACAACAAATCACATATTGGGAAAGAGAAGTTGCATGAGCACAGTAGTGGAATCAATAAAGTACTAACCTAATAGTAAGAAGATTTTCTTTGTACAACTTATAGTAGTGGAGCCAAAATATAAATCGAAAACCTATCTAATCCGCGCAGGAAAGTAAAACAGACGCAGGACCAGTGATAGTAGTGAAGATTTCAGGTTTTGAATTTGTAACAACGAAGATAACAATCAGTAAGCAATCAACAGCTACAGAATAAATAACTACGCCAGTCATATTTAATTTGTATTTTTTGACTCCTAGAATCTTTTCTAAGGGATCAACATGGAGGACATTAACCCGGAAGGTTGGGAGGAAGATTTCTGCAAGGATGAGTTCCATCATCTTTGTCATTGGGATGATACGAAGGTGGGCTCCTTTGTAGCAGAGACTGCGGAAGAGGTGTGCTATCTGCTAAAGTACGGAGCTGAACTGGTCCACGAAGGAAGCTACTCCCCCACTTGGGATTCTACGTCTCGTTGGGTGAATACTGACATGTTGTTCAAGCATGTCTACGACAAGAAGCAGAGCGAGGTCAAGGAGGGTGAGATGAGCACCATCTTCAATCGAGCTCTACTCCGTCTGTACCAAAACAAATCCATCCGGATCTTCTGGCGTCGTGGGGCAGAGCAGTGGCTCTCGGAAGACGATACGGAGCCACGAACTCCATGGATCCCCACATACGTGGCAGTGGCCAAGATGGAAGAAGACACATCGACTGCATCTCGCGATATGATGTGCGGCACTAGTTCTACTCGCGTTACCATGAACCACACTGAACTGTGAAAGAAGGGAAGTAGCAAATGAATACATCTAGGACAAGTACTAATAATCCAATCATTGTACATATAGTTTTTTTGTAAATACACATGATAAAAGAAAAATTTTTCTTTGATTTCGAGATCATGAAACTTCATTGGTATCGGACGGTGCGTGAGAAGGTTAGAGTACCGTTAAGACATGAATCGCTGCACTGGAGCGGCATTCATGACCTGGGTGACTAGGTGTTTTGGACCAATAGGCTGACTGGAGTCGTTACCAGTCGGATGAGGTTGTAGTAGGTTGTATCCTAAAATGATTGTAGATAAAAGTTGGGTGGTACTTTCTATCTTAGAGTGGGATAGTGTTCTACAGTTCTGTAACATGATTGGTACCATGGAGGTTGTGGCAGGTGTCCAAGGGTTCTCTTCTGGACCCACCGGCGCCCCTGTCCAGCTTCTGCTGATATTGAAAAAGGTGTTTGTAATGAATTGGAAACTATCATGACTGCTCACCTTAATAGCGACGCGGGTGCTGGCCCTAGTTGAGAAGAGCCGGCTTATCGTTTTCTTTGCGTCTTACATGTTTACATATCTGTCATAAGACTACTTACTTTTAGGTAATGAAAGTTGATGTAGTTTAGCCGTTGTGACTCTCGGTCGGATCTCGATTCTCTCTCACTCTTTCAACCCCCGGGGCACTGTGGAATATGTCAATATTCTGTGGTGTTCCGATCGATTGAGTGAGAGACGAGGTTGGCCTTTCTAGGCACGACGAGAGGAGTGACGAGATTAAGAAAAAGGAAAATCGAAATAGAAAAAGAAAGATTGGTTCTTTTACTTAGGTCGTGAAAAATAAACGTATCGTCAGATTGTTTGTTTTGAATCGGGTGAAAGGAAGACTAACATCTTTGCTTTGACTGTCTCGGTTCTTTCTTTTGGATGCTCGTGCTCTTCTCGGTTATCGTGATTGAAAGTTGATTCCTCTGTGTAAATAGATATGGAAATAATGGGAGAAAAAACGGATATGATGACGGTGGGAAGAATAAACTGTTGGTGAGTAAGAAACTGCTATGTATATGTAAGGAAACTCATATCATCGCATTCTACTAAAACCACCAATGTACGTTGACCGCTTGCCCAACATTTTCCCTCATCCCGTTTCGTTTCACTTAATGATATGTATGTTAATTCTTTGTCCCGGAATTGATCATTCTGCTCCAACCCACTTCTACTTTGCCAATGACGTGGTGAATGCGTCATTGGCTCAAGTTTCGAGATTACGGATTATCACTTTTGTGATTAATCTTCTAAGACAAGGCAGTTTGCCATTCCAAACAAGAGGGAACAAATACATGTCTCTGCAGCCTCGACTGCATTAAAACTACAAACAACAAAACGACGAAGACATACAGTCTGTCTGCTTTTACCACTCGCGACGAGTAGCCGTGTTCTCTCAGGTGACCCTTTGAATCACGCAGAGAGGACCGAGCGACGAGCGAAGAGACCCCCACTTCACTTTCGACATATGCTATCCTATTCTATTTTATCCTATCTTATCCTGTCCTATCGTGTCCTATCCTATCCTATCCTATCCTGTCCCATCCTATCCTATCCTATCCTATCCTATCTTTCCCTATCCTATCCTTCTATAGTGCAGCAGAGAAATATTTTGAACTTTTCTCAGCTTCTCTAAGAGGGGCGTCGAGGATGGCAGGCGCTTTTTGTATGGTGAGTTGATGACTTCGCGGTTTAGTCCGGCAGCTCGCAGTGACTTGGCGCGTGGGTATCGTCGGCAAATGACTCTGGATCAGAAAACGAAATACCTAGCGTTAAGGCTTCCTCCAATGGGTCCCACCTTGAGAAGGGAAAGCATCTTGAAGAAGCTGTCCTCCAAAAGGGAGAGAAAGAAGCATCTTCAGGATGCGCCCCTAACCCGATGGACAAAATGTTGCGATCTAATAGACACCAGGAAAAAAGCCCTGCTTACTCAGTACGGTGCATTAAGGCTAAATGACTAAAAGAAATAGATGAAGAAAGAAGGGGCTAGATGGCGGCTTCATAGGAATAGATGTTCTAAATCTAATACTATTCCTAGATGGAAAATAGTTAGAGCGTCTAGCCTCTTCTTGGTTAAGATACTACCTTCAGTTTTATTTTTGCTCATCCCACAGCTTTATCTATCACATGCAATGTGATCCATTGCGAACCTTGGTCCTTATTCTGATGATAATCCTAATTCTTCCGATCAAGGTTAGCAAGGGATCACGTGCACAGCTCTAAGAGACAAAACTGCTAGCACATCCGCATCTTCCTTTTTGGATGGGGATTTTGCTTCCTCCATTGGAAAAAATGCTACTTCCTTTTTAGAGGCGAACACTGCTGGCGATGGGAATAAATTACCGATCACAGAAATCGCAGAGAGTGCCTACAGCTTGGATGATTAAGGCAAGCTTGATGTAGGGGACTTGGAGGGAGTCGCTAGCAAGGATTCTTAAAGCGAACCCCCTTCCATGATCCTTTCTCACTAAGATACGGAACTACCTCCTTCCAACATGATCCCTTCCATGATCCTTTCGCACTCTCAAATCGTAAGCCCCCTTCCAAGCGAAGTAAGCTCTAAGATGAGGACCCTTTCGCAAAACAACACAAAGAGAACGAAGCAAAGGAGAACGAAGCAAAGTTGACGACGAGCAAGTCCAATTTTTACGCTCCACTGCGGGTTCGCATCGCGGATGCAGAATTCTTCTGGGGTAGACACCTCTTATGAAGACAGTTCATGTTATTAGATGAGAAGACCTCCAGGGCTGTTGGACGAACTAGCGGCGCCGAGAATAAACGGATCGCCCTAGCGTAAACATGGCCAAAATAACTTTTAATCAGACTAGTTTCCTACTTTTTTGTGTGTTTTTGTTTCCTAGTTAGGCGTGCTCCATCGGTATCATACAACTGAGAAGTACAAGCACCCCTTATTTTGAAAATTGGCGCCCCTCATTTTGTTGACCCCCATGCTCCTCTTGACTACTGAGAAGTACCCCTCATTTTGACTATGCTTTGGATACTGAGAAGTACGCCTCATTTTGCACACCCCCATGTTCGTCTTGGCCTGGTAATTTTAGACCTTACTTATTACGCCAAAGTCTTCTTCTCTTTGTGATCTCACTACTTTTTTTAATAATCTAAGGCCTACACGCTTATTAGGCTCTCACCGGACGATCATCTTCATACCAATATTATTCACACTTGGGGCTCCGCTCTTATTTCAAGTACAGGGTTACTAGTACAGTTGTGCTTCAATTCATAATACTTAGGACAGACTCCACTCGTATATGTCTCTTTGACGAGAAAACTTAATCTTAAACTTAATCATCTTCATACCAACATTTCTATTACTCATTGATCCTTTCTATTGATCCTTTTCATTATTGATTGATCGTTTCTATCATTCATTGATCTTCATAGCAATATTTCTATTATTTTCGTAATAGGCTTGAGCCTCACATTTCTAAAGTTCCGTAGCATGAGGCACAAGCCGGAAGCAAAAAAGTTACAGGAGGAGTTGAATAAATCCCGTCCCGAAACACGCCTTGCGGCATACGAACTCCAGCTTAAGGCTCTCATCATATAAATATAGCTAAAGCTTAGTACTACTGTTTGGATCTCATTATAAGCAAAATATTTTGTGGAGGTAGTACTTGTTGGATCTCATTATAACTAGAAGTCTTTTTGGAGGTAGTATAGTTTCTTGTATTTCGTTGTGACTGACTGATTTTTGTTCTCGTCTTTTCGACTTGGGGTTGCATTGGAATCACCTCAGTCAAAAACTCCAATAACATTCAGTTGTGAGGTTCCCATGTTGTCTTTATTGACGCGTGAAGAACCTGCTTGTTGGATTTTTTTTTAGACGGTAGCCCTGCCTGATGGAGACGCACCTTTCTGATTTACATCCACGTCAATCTTCTCTCAGCTGCGCATCTCTCTTCGCATTGGGGACCGAAAAAGCATGTTTTTCAAGAGCAAGAGGGCTAGTACTAGTGTTGTACTCCATTATCTGAGAACGAAGTAAAGGCGCCCTATTCTATTCGATTCTATCCGATCCTATCCTACCCTACCCTACCACAAGAGGGCTAGTTGTAAGTACTAGTGTCGTACTCCACTTCATCTTCTAACGAAAGGGAAAAACTTCAGATGCCTGCAGCGAAGTCAAAGCTGGAGTTCTATGAAGCTGTGGACACCGATTACAGCCAGGTGGATTGGATTACGCCTCAGAGAGCTCAAGGGTCACATGCTTGGTCTCTCTTGTCGGCGGTGGCGCGCTCTTTTTTACCGCAGAAGCACCTCGAGGTGTACAAAGAGTGGACTCTTCGGATGAAGCTCCTCGCTTTGGTACGACTTTCAGAGACGTGGACGAAGATAGATTACGGCACAGAGTAAGATCGCTGACTAAATCACATGAATGTGGACTATCACATGTGGATACATGGTTTCACTTGCTATCCCATGAATATGCTCGACTATCTATGCTAAGTGAAGATGAGGTGGTCCTTGATTTAATGGGGAGACCAGAGCGAAAGAGGGCTCACGGTTCTTGGATCTAAAACGAGGAAAATAAGAAGTTGATTATTCTGAACGAGGGGAAAGAACAAACTAGCGCTAAATAGAGGGCAAGGACCGCGCTCACTCCGTTGCAGTGGTCACTCTGATGCAGAACAGCCTACCACGCATTGAAAAACGTTTGCGCCGTTTGGAGTTGAAGGCTACTATGGACAAGTCGACGACAAAGGGTAGTGCTGCGGCCAGGAGAACATCAAAATTAGATTAAACTTAAGGTAGCCCAATGGCTACGGTTTGGATGATGCTCTTCATCATCCTAAGCGATGTCGCCCCTGTCCTGTGAACTAGTGCTAATCTGCACAAGCACAGGATAAATCTGAGAAGACAAAGCATTTGGTTTGTGTTGTTGTTGTTAAGTACGAAGATCCCTGGGGCTTAGTGCCTTTCATCTGCCTAAGCTAACTAGATCCGGACCAACTATTTAACTCCTCAACTTGTTACTTGCTGCACACGTTTAAGACCTTAAGACTTTGATCATGTTGTTGATGTTGATGATGTTGTTGATCTTGATGGTGTTGATCTTCGTGTTGCTGTCGTTATGATTTTCTTGTTCCTGTTGTTTCCTTGCTCATGATGTTCGTAAATCTTTAAGTTGTTGACTTCCGTACTGGTAGAATGATCTTCATGCTCATGCTTGAGATGATTCATAATTTGGGGAAATTGTGAAAATTAGATGGTCGAGTTTATCACTACTATTAGGATCCTACTTAGCATGGCCATTACTAATATTTCTGTATTTCCCTATCCTTTACCTACTATCCCTCCTTTTTCTTTTCCTAGTTAGCTTGGCTCCACCAATACTACTATTACTGTGGTGAAGATTCCAGTGTCTCGGCTCTGTGGGGAGCAACTACAGCTCTTAATTATTATTACCACGCTGGTGCTATGCGTGTGCTTTGTGAAAGTAAGAGGGCACTTTGATGTGACAGCGAAGCCGAGGCATCCTTCCTACCCTATAGCCGAAGCCGAACAATAATGGTGTTGGTATTCCTCTACTATGCCCTTTTGGCAGTTTTTCACTTACCTTGCCTTTCCTTTTGTTCCGAGAAACATGCCACGAATTGACTAGTATCATAAAGAAATATTTGTTGTATCTCGTGTGGAAATGATGTTGAGGTCATGTCCTAGTTGTATGATAGGTCTATAGTAGTTTCGTTCATAGTCTTACTGATACCTCACATGGGGCACTGCCTGCGTAAGGTCTGTCTGCATGCAACTAACCATGTTGAGGTCATGCCCTGTTGAGACCACGGGTGACTGATAATAGTGGTCAACTAGTGCGTCAGCTACTACTGACTGATCATAGTTGGTGCCTCTGCTCAACTTGGTAGCTCTGCTCAACTTGGTAGCTCTGCCCAACTTGGTACCACAACTGACAGATAATAGTGCTCCCGTCTGCGACTACCTCTTCAACCAAGTACCTCTTCTAATATTAAGGCAAAGACTGATCCTGCGCCAAAGACCGACGGGTCTTCATTCGTCGAGGTCTCGTGCCACGATGAAGAGGTGCCAGAGGACGATGAAGAAGAAGCGTCTTTCTACTTTTATGGGCACAACCGGTGAAGCATGTCCTTAACACCATCATCCTTGGCCTCTTTTGATGTAAGGGGAAGAAGAATTGTAATCCAGGGATTCTATCACTCTTCTCAGGGAACAATATGCAGCAACGCGGTAGCTCTAATAATTCTCGCGTTACAACAAGAACCATAAACAAGGAAGGAGAGGAGAGCAACCGTGTGGAAATCGTGTGGGACATCAAATGGTGTTTAGCACTCTAGAAATCACACAAGAGCCTGGCCAAACACAGGCACAGGCACCGGCCGTGTCCAAAGACTTAAACAGCACCAGCACTCTCCTAGAAACCACGCAAGGGACTAGTACCACGGAAACCCTTGAATCGGTCGCGACACGTGACGATGTAACGAAGAAGAGGACGGATTTTCTGAAGAACTTGCGCAGCCTGGTGGATGCACTAAAGAACTTCGTGACCCAGGTTCAGCTAAGGCGATTTCTAGTTTGAAGAAGGCAAAGAGAATAGTTCTTTACAGGCTAGACCTAGAAGGCTAGGTCGTTCTTATTACTTACAAAACGAAAAAGTGATGGTGTGAGTATCCCTACTTCGACACAAATGAGAACACAAAGGCTATCCGTAACCTGAAGCGACGTAAGCCAGACACAGTAGGCACTCTACATTACTTGTAAACCTGAAGTAAATTTTTTTAGATCACATTGATTGAAGTGGCAAAATCCTCCTTTTTTGAAGTAGAAGCTACTGGATCACACGTATAGTTGCACCCAAGTCCTCTTCTAATTCCGCGATCGCCACAGCTGACCGGTGGAAGGGCTCCGGTAACAAGTCTTGGAGCGGAACGTAGATACAAAGACGACATTATAGATTAAGGCTTAAAATTCATCCACTTGACCAGAGGCAAAGAAGGCTTTCTCGGTGGTTATCGTGTGGGACTGGCTCAGGTCCAGCGACGCTCAAAACACATACTAAAAGAAAAGTAACCGGCTAACTGTCCTGCGTGTTATTTTAGGTCAGTCCCTGCCGCTCCAATCATGTTTTATCACTTGAATATATTTCCGGAAGTAGTTTCAGCTTTTGGGTATCAGGACATCCTTGGCTAATACAAAATCACAGGAGCAGTCCTATTTTTCTCTACTTGGCTATCTAACAGGATCACAGCTATTTTATCTCTTTAAAAGTCTGGTGGAACTCTTTTGTCCCGCCAAGAGGGTAGGAGTACCAAATGGGACACCATGACGAGAATCAAGGCCTTCTACACAATAAAGGTTGACTTTTCACACCAAGATCAGTTGCAAGCGTTTCAGGATGGCTTCTCACTCTAATAGTATGCGAGAATGCGTGAGGCTGGGAAGCTTCTTGCGTTAAGATAGAAGCAATGGCTTTGTCTCCATCTGAAGTAAAGTCTGGCTATCATCAAAATCACTAGTGGTTACAAATATAGCCCAATATTACAAGTGAATAAGGGACCTAAATATAGACGACCGGGTAGTTTTTTCCTTGTAGTAACCTTAATAACCTCCTTCCCTTCACGAAGATGAATATAGCGATTGCTACGTACAGTGCTATAAAAGCCGGGAACTATCGCATGTTTCCTCTACTCGTATCTTAAGATTGTTAATTTTTGTTTATGAAACCTGAAGCCGCCTCAAGCGTTTAGTGAGTTTTTCTTTTTTCTATTGGAATCGAGTGTCAATTCTAAGGACTTATGGGAACCGGGATGCGGTGATCGCAGAAGTGCAGCAGCGTTTGATTAAGGGCCATTCTTTGACACTCGTTGAGGATTATACGTACTTTGGTCTTCCTCGTCGGTTCATTTCATCATTGTCTTTGTCACTCATCCAATGTTGTCACTCATTGAGGCTATGCTAATGATGTTAATGTCCTTAAACTCTTTTTTGTTGAAGTTGTACATCACAATGAAGCCACAACCTCTAGTATAGGTACAATCATCATCATCATCACTAGAGCTGCTGTCTGATTAAAAGTCTGGCTCTCTCCTGCCTCCGCTGCATTCTACTACGTACTTTAGGTGAGCTCTTCACTCTTTGTGAGGCAACCATGTCTGTGGCCTCTTTATCAGGCAGAAGAACCTAACGCATTGATAATGATAAACTTGCCTTCTAAGGGTAAGAATAGAGCCGAACCACGTCCAAGAGAGAAGCGGGGGTTGGACAGCGTCCTATTGGTCGGAGACGTGATTCAAAAGTTGATGCTTCCTGATATTACGGACAACGAAACACGTAATGATCATGATTATCTCAAGTAAGTAGCCAACCATGTCTGCTACACACGTAAAAAGAAGCATCTCGAGTAGCCAACCATGCCTGGTGCTAGTGAACCTAGTAGACCCACAGCGAACCTAAGCTAACGCAATCACAATCTCAAAAATTATAGTCGTGGACATGTCCATGCGCTGAGCCAAAGGGCCGGCCCTGAACCGCGATAATGAATGAATTGGGAGTCCTTTACTCATACTTGTTCGTTGATTGTGAATGAGAAATTTGAAGTTGTAGACGGAGGGACTACTTCTAAATCGGTCTTGATTCCGTCTGCACTACATGGAGGGTAGAGTTGTACTACCTATCAAACAGTACTACTGATTAAAGACAAGGCTGTGCCTTGTCCTTAATCAGTCAAAAATATAGTCCCTTCACAATTACTACTGGACAGAAGTAGGCTCAGTGCACCAACAACAGGGCGAAAATCAGTTTCTAGTCGCAGAGAAGGTAGTACAGAAGGACACAAGCAGAAGCACACACTATCGCAACTAGCTGTTATTCTACTCCTAAAAGGCCGTTGAGTTCAACTGCAATGTCAGATTATCAAATGACTCCGGGAATACAACTTTTATGATCATGATGTGACGCCTTACAACCTCCCTTCATTGTATGCGCGCACCAGGAAAAGCTGATGCCCTACATCGAAGGACGAGGAGGCGCACAAGACGATCCGATAGTTAAGGTTCAATTCAACTACTTCTCAGGGTGTAGTACTCACCTACTCTCCCGTGAAAATTATACAAGTGCAGAAGATGAGAATACAATTGCTCAACACGGTGGTCTGTCATTTTCAGTAAAAGGCGAAAGACTTCCCATGATGTGATAGCTTGTCTATACTTGACAACAAAAGAGGAAGATTCCCATTTTTTTCTTAAGAATGCACGCAGTAACAAGGTTGCAACCACCTCTAACGAAGAGAAGGTGCGGAAATATGTGCACGGGGATGGCGCTCCGGCTTCCCATGGCGATGCTTTGACTGAGTACGACCACGCTCCTACAGTGTTTGAGACCATTTTAAGGCCATTAATTTTGTAGCAATGAATAGAAGAAATACTTTTTTTCAAGAGAGGAAAATACTTTTTTCCATACGCCTCTGTATTCCTTCCTCTGTAGACTCCTCTGTCTAGCTCCTGTGTTTGTTTGTCATACTCCTCTGTCTGAAGATACTAAATCAGAAGGTCTGGAAGATATTAAATCAGAGGAAGGTAGTACTTGGCATTGTTTAGAACCCTGTGCATGTTACGAATACGTGAGGTACACGGTTCATCTCAACAGTGACTACAGCTCCACTTTTATGATGTTGCTGCGAGATCACTGTTCGTTTCATAGTACCTCGTGTAGTAATGAGAAAACACTGACTACTTTTGAATAAAGCTAGTCACAACTCTCCAACACTCTTAGGCTTATCCCATGCAACAAAATAAAGCTAATCCTTCAGAGCCATGGAAAGGTGACAGGGAAGAAGCGCAGACAATTCGTACAATGCCAAGTGGGGAGGTGCTCAGAAGACGATTGCGACTGCGATTCCAACTGGCCAAGTTTGCTGGAGAGAACGGATGAGAGCGATCGTGAGGGCTTTGCCAAAACAGAAGTGGCAAGCGCTTCTAAGGTTTATAATTTACTTTCCTCTCAATCAGCTGTACCTACATCTTCTATCAGTACTAGATAAGGTCTTCTTGACACTAGTATAATTATACTTCATCTATCAGTGTTGAATATGCTCTACTGCATCGTCCAATGTAGTAGTGGACAAGCTCTTGACACTAATACTTCTTTCCGTTGGAATAGCTAGCTGGTTACTTTTCCCTCGTTTCTTTTCTGCCTTCATGATTTGTAGGAGCTTTCACTGTTCAGAGTTCTTCTACTAACTTTTGGCTTTGCCTGTTCTTTTAGTCTTTTACAATCTCAATCAAAGACAACCACGACATTCACACTAGGGAGCACTTTCTTACAAAATATCCGCTACTTACAAAGAAATACACAGATACACATTCATACGACTACTTTCTTGATTAACTACGACGATTCGACCAACCTGTAGTCTCAATGATGATGTGACGAGGACACTAATATCCCAATTATATCATCTTAACAGGTGGGTGATGTGATGAAGAAGGAACTTTCGAAGTATGCCTCAGAGACCGTGCCAAACTTGCTACGCGTGTTCATGCAGAGCTGCGATATAGCTCGGTCTTTGGATCCGAATTTAGCAAAAGAAGAGGGGAAAGAACGAACAGGGGACGCTGAAGCTCTTGGCCTGGCAGGACAAGTCGTGGGCCCTTTCTCTCAAATAGGAGGACTTGAAGCCGGTGGTGGGGGGGAAGCCGCTCCCGTTGATCGACTGGCAGCCGCTGGTGGACCGCCAGCAGCTGTGCCGCCACAGGAACACGCTGATGCATCCGACGATTCCAAGGACGAGAAAGCAAAGGGGAAACGTCTGGACGAGGGTCTGCGTAAGTGCCTGAAAAGCGGGACAGAGACTCTGCACGCTTTGCTCGACAAGTATCCAGCTGAAGAGCCAGAGGAGTTTGATGTTATGACAGAGACCACAGCAAGCATATCGCGACTAACTCCGCATGCAACTCTCTCTACTCTCCATGTTTAAGTCCAGCGACGCTCAAAGCACTTAAATAAACAACCGGCTTGTTTTCCTCTTCCTACTTTTAGGCTATCGGTTCATGCGACTATTCATGATCCATTATCCAACTCTCTCTACTATCCATGATCCATGCGTGTCCTTCTTTTTTGAATTGTAGATAAAAAATCTTCTTTCCACCTTCCCCATGAAAGGTGAGTAACTACATGAAGTTTTTCTTTTTACTTTTTTGCCTCTAATGTTGAGCAACACGATTTTCGTTCTGACGCGTTGATCGCGTTCTTGCACCTGCTTGCAAAGCAGCTGATCTTCGAATTACCACCACCTGACGCGACTGGGGACGTCAACCAATTCGGCTGGACGAACCTGGCAAGCGTGGCAAGTGTAGAGATCGCTGCAAGGGTGGCGGAACTCCTCGACCGGGTAGCAATGTTGCACTAAGGTTAAATACTAGTTTTCTGACAGTATAATTTTTGTAACAGTATGTTGATCTAGTTTGTAACAACTTAGTCTCTGTCAATGCATATCATCTCTTCATCCATAATTTTCGGATTCAGTTTGTACGGGCGTCATGACTGACTTACAGATGACATCTCAATCCGTCTCTAGGAATTAAAGGGATCCCTCAACTTCTCGTTCTGTAAGTACTTGTGATGAAAGAAGATACGGATGCCCTCCAGAGGTTTCACGGCATGACTAGCACCCTACAGCTAGTACAATATTATAGCTAGTACCATAGTACAGCTAGCACCCTACAGCTAGTACAATATTATAGCTTGTACCCTAAGGCTATTGCTAGATGCGGGCTTTCAAAAATATATCTCCAGTAGGTACCGGGATGATAGTTCCGGGTGCTTAACTCTAATCGCGAGAGGTAACTCTGATCACACTTGCGGACGTGCGCGCCGCAGCAGCAACCGCGTCGGGGGTGGATGATGGGGAAAGCGTGCCACCTTTTGGGGACGGGAGCGTTTACTCCCTAAGCGATCGGATATTGCTGGAGAAGCTTTTCGCGCTGACGACCCAGGTAGTCGGAAGTCTGCTCACAGCCTTGCCCGAGTCCACTTTATGGCGTCTGGCGGAGTGTGATTTTAATTTATCTTTACTACGTCAGAGAGTACAGCATAAGGGTATCATAACATGACAGAGGGTGTTTCATGTCTCAAAAAGACTTTCAACACACTCTGGAGTAAGTACTTTCAACACATGCATTTACTACATCATACAGTTTCTTTTATGTCCCTCGTTGTTTCAGATATTCACATCCTTAGGGTAGTCCTTATCCACACATACACTTTGTCGCTTAGTCTTCTTCTGCTGGAAATTGGAGAGTACATGGGACCTCCGTAGGACAAGACCCACGGAAGACCCAGTCTAGACGCAGTAGTACGAGCTCTAAGGACTACGAAAAGGACCATACCAGTAGCGAAGCCAGAGTCAGCTGAGTCTGAAGAGGGAGCTTCTACAGGAAAGAAATTCGATTATTTCAAGGAATTACGGCAGGGGGCACCTAAAATTGAGCTCAGCTTTTTCGTCTTACAGAAAGGAAAATAGAAAATGGCTCTCGTAAAAATAGTTCTAGATCATGATATCGCGCAACGTCCTCTCAAGAGCGAGGTGATGCTCAACACCAACATCCACTCAAGTAGAGCGAAGTGGAAGTAGAGCGAAGTGGAACATATTGGTTCTAAAGATTGTTTTTGTCCGCTTTTTTCGTGACAAGTTTCTGGCAACCTTTCCGATTCTTGACGACAAAGACAAGAATATGGTTTTCACATGCGATGACGCTGATGATAGTGAGACCATCGATGTGGTGGAGTGCCGCTCTAGGGAGACCCAGGAAAGAATGCTCTTGCTGTTATGATCTATTGAAACACTATGACGCCCTACGGCAGTCTGCGCTGAACTCTGTGCGAGATTGATTGCATTGTATTGCGTGACTAGATTAAATGAACGGCTAGATGAGCGAGCTTTTAACTCATGAATCTATAACATGAATTATGATATCCTATCCCATCCTATTCCTTTGAAGAGACTAGTCCCATCCTATTCCTTTGAGAAGTCGTAGTAAGCTTCGGCCTCTCACTGTCCCTAGGTAGTTAGTGTTGCTGTAAGCTGTGCTGTTAGTTGAGGTTCCTGGTGCTTAGTTACCTAGCCTTCAGGTTCTCAGGGTTTGTTTCATTCCTTCATCCATCATTTCTTGGCATCCCTTTGTCTTCGCGCCTGTCTGTTGCTTGCTAAACGTAACGTGCCCCAACTGGTGGCCAGAAATTAAAGTTAGTCGTCAGTGAATTATGATATCCTATCCCATCCTATTCCTTTGAAAAGACTAGTCCTATCGTCCTATGTATTCTTTTGAAAAGACTAATGTTAGTCTTATGCCATTACTATGAAGAGGCTGGTCCTATCCTATTCTTTTGAAGAGACTATCTCTAACCCCTAGCGCGTCCCGATCTGTTTATGGAACGGTTGGCGGACCTGGCACGGAAAAGAAGTTTCTGGAGACCGAAAAACAGGCACGCAGGGTTCTGCAGGGTTCGAAGGGGTCGCACGTTATGGGGTGATGTTGGTTAGGTTAGGTTAGGTTAGGGATCCTTCCTATTGAGTCCTTCACATTGGACTCCTGACGTTGCGTCTACAAGACTACTACAACTAGTACTAGTATCCGGATGTAGTTCTTACTCCCTATTCGCAAACTACTACTCATATTCGTGATAATTGCTTTATTGCTTTACATATCTACCAGGGTCTTTGATGCGAAGGACAACTTGGGAACAACTTTATTATAACAACATCAATCTGTATCATCTTCGATACACGATAGACTAATGCCGCACACAAATCTATCAACATCTTCGATACACGATAGATCAATCTATCTGACGCAAATCAGCTTAGACATAACTCAATGCATCTGACGCACTGAATACACACGATATGGCACAAGTCTTTGCTTAGACGCCGTAGCTGCTAGTACATCTTCGATACACGACAGCTTGTCTATGGAATCTCCACGACGTGTGACCCTTGGCCATCACCTACAAGTTGTCTTAAATATAAATGGTCTTCCATATCATGCCATCGATGCAAGTTGTCTTAAATCATTCATTCATTCATTCATTCATTCGAACCACGTAGCAACTGTAACAACTGCCTGGTTCCGTTGTGACCCGGGTAGAAATCATCTACAGGTCTTCAATGCTAATAAATGAAAGGCGCGGACGCCGAAGTACATGCACCCCGACGATCGTATCGGATGGTGTGGAGACAGACCGTACGTCTGCAACGCTGATGAATGCAACGAACTCCAGACCACGTACCGGTACTCTCCTTAAGCTTAGTTTTTCACTATCCCGTGTGGAATATGCTGAGTGGCGTCACCATTGATTTAATGGGGAAAGACTTCGAAGGGGAAACGAAAGAGCATCAACTCACTCAACTAGGGAAGGATCGTGGAAAACTAGCGCTAATATCCGCGGTCCTTCGAAACGGCGATGCCGCAGGCAAAAGCGTTTCTATGGTTCATTTGAGAAAAAGAGAATAGAAGCTATTTCAATTACCGAGGTTCCATGTTGGCAATGCATGGCCTCAGAGAAGTTTTATAATGAAAGCCGTTCTTGTTTCGGTGTTATAATTCTACTAGACTGTTGTCAAAACTGCACTCCACTAAGACTTAGGCTATTCCCTCCATCCAAAATGCAACTGTTGTCAGTTGTCTGAAAAGGTACGTTATGCTGTTGCTTCGGCCGAGTGTTGTTTACTTTTTTGTTACCTTACAACATTTATAGTCGTGCATGATTATATAGACACTGACTGTTGTAAAACATAGATACGAATAAATGCTGGGAAAGGGGTTCTTGGTGCTGTTGTTTTGGTGATTGAGACTGGTGATAATCATTCTATCTATGATGTTGACGCAGTAGATAGTACTAGATATTGATAAGTAATTGACTGTTTTTCTTTTTCTTTTTCATTGCTGATAATAATTGATCGTGCCCTCTTTTTCCTCGTTGTGGTTCTAGAACGAGTCTAAGATGCCGCGAAGGAGTGCTATACGCGAGTATACCTGGCGCCATCAAGGACGGTCTTAAGGACCTTGCGCGTTTAATAGGAATAGCTCGGGTCTGTTTACTGAATAATCCATGCATTATCTTTCTTTCTGCGGCGAATCAATACCTAAACTAACCGAACCTCTCTTGCTCGTATTCACGTTGATTAAACCTCCGAATACCACACTAGTACTGTTCACAATAATGGTCCTTCTACTTTCATCTATCTTATCTAATTGCAAGGACGGTATCGAATTGGGGTTCTGGTGTGATGCAAAGACGATGACGCTAGAGGTGGCCCAAGAAAAACCCGCAACGCTATTTCAGATAATGAATTATGGACTGCAACCGAAACTGTCTTACTTCATCTAACATGCAGACTTTTCTACAAAGATAGAAGAACTCTTTTATTGATGTTTTGTACAAGTAGAAGAGCCGTTTCTAAAGTTTTAAGGCCTACACCTTACACCGGGGGATACAGGTTTATCCTGTGGAATGTGGATCGATTCCTATCCTATGAGGCCCCATACTATCTTATGCTATTCTATAGTGATGAGTGCTAATGTGGTCTAATCTGTCAGTGCTGTCTACGTTGCGGCGCGGAGTCTGGCGGAGCCTCCTGCTGGGAAAGAAGGCACGGAGCCGGGGAAAAGTGAGGGAAAAGCCTGGGCAAGCACTTTCCTCGGTGCTCTTTAAGGCTCAGCGCACTCGGCTCGCAACGGAATCAGGCAAAGCGAGAATTTTGGACCCAGGTAACAAAACAAGAAAGTTTGTCACCACGGGGTTCGTCAATGAATGAATGAATTCATGTACACACTCTTCATGACTTATTATACTAGGGTTCGTACGTAGTACATGGTCTTCCATCTACTCTACAAGTCGTCTCCCCTGGTTTGTTTCTCAGAGCCAACGGTGAGAAGATGCCTGGAAGAGATGTATACGAAAGAAATATTTTGAGCTCTAAATCGTCGACGAGATTGTCGGGCCCATCAAGGAACAAGACAAGAAGGGGGCGAAAGATGAAACAGGCGAGACGCCGGCTCTTCAAATGATAGACTATACTAGCGACTTCGCGGGCGATAAGGCTGCTGCATCTTTGCGGCCGTTTTTCCGTAAGCGCGCGGGGAGTCTCGTCGAGCTCGCAGAGGGGAAGAATGAACTGCGTGACGGGGATAACCGTAACCTTGTCAGCTTGAGGTCAATCGTGTGCGACCTGGCAACATGCAGTGGCCACCAACCGATTAAGGCTAGGCTAAAGGTGTCCCACCTGTTATAGCGTTCGTTGTGCCTTTCTGAAGGGGGAAAGGCATTACGAACGGGATAGACGGACACCAAGAGCCTACGCCTAAGAAAGAATCATACCCGGTGGATGTTCATCCATGTCCGGAATTGAAAGAGGGTGAAGACGGAGAAGACTATATGAAGGATGTGGCGCAGTGGCAGTTCCCAGAGGAAGCTGTGGAAATCGTGAAGGACATCGAGGCGTTTGATATTAGGTCATGAACTTCTTGATCACGACCAGTTTTTGAAACTTTTGAGTGGAGTAGTTCAGAAGTTAATTGGATCAACAGTTTTTTGAGTCGCGGAGCGCCTGATGTTTGAAACCCTGCTCAAAATCAAACTGCCTAGTAACATTATCTTAGGTAATGTACTTGGTCATACTTTAGTCTCCTAGTGACCATAGTGACCATTCGTTGGTGACACTGACTGAGAAGGACGATTGGGGAATTTCGTCCACAACGGGGAAGCATATCAGATGACGACATTCCCTTTTCGACATTCTCAATCATAAAACCAAGCGAAGCGCCTCAAATGAAGAAAGCTCTACGCACAAAAAGAAAACTAACGGGTTAAGTTTCCTTCTTGTATCCTAGGTCAGTCCCTTCATCCAATACAGAGTCGCCTAGTTCTAGCATTGGGAACTCCTGGAGAAGGTGTAGGAGTCGGAGCATTATCTGACTTCCGCAATGAAGAAACTCATCAATTCTGGATAGTTCTATACCTAGTAGATGCTTATTTATAACTTGACCTCAGTTCCTGTCAGCGACTCTCATGCTGTGCTAGTCACTGTACGAGTTATCTATTGGGCTGTGCTCTTATTCCTCTCCTTGCATACTCTATCTCCCTTGATCGAGTGCTATTCTCGAGAATGGTTTATTGTTCTATCATCCTCTTCTTGCTCTTGTACGTACATCACTAAGCATAGCATACAGAAAATAAAATATTATAGATACATACAGTATAATTGCGTGGCCCCTTGTGTGAGGGCGCAGTCGAGGCAACCTACCTTATCCTATTTTTGCCTTTCATAGGTATACCCCATCAAGACTGGGCGCACTACTACTACTACTGCTACTACTACTACTACTCCTACTCCTAGTTTTTCTTCTTCTTCTAATGACAAGAAACGCCCGGAGGAGCAGCGCAACGCAATGGAGAAGGCTGCGCCCAAGCTTAAGGCATTCTGGGAGCGTGCGGAAACAATAAAAGAGAATTAAGGCATAAATCTAAGCTCCTATAACCCATGAGTGGGGGCAAGATGTTTAGGAAAACTACTGAGAGCACCGCTCTCCTTTGAGGAGAGTGGACCTCATGGGCCGAAGTAGCCCTAATACGCGCATTAGACATACTTTAACTTTAAAAATTATTTTAATTTGAATTATTTTAACAACTCCTCCTCAATCAAAAAGAAAACTTGTAGGACAATCAATGCTTTATAGGACAACAAAACATGATTTAGACTAACAAAAATCGACACTATCACATCTTCAACTAATGGCAAACATCAAAAAAATGAAGGCTTCTCAGTCAAGCTCTGACTTTCCACCGCAGTGCAGTAGCTCTGAGTTCTAGGCTCCGTTTGTTTTCTATCCGTTGTAAAAAGAATATCATTTCCTTTGGTCTTCCTCGGTCTATCTCACAATATGCAAATACCCATAGACCAACTCGCATTTCCCTTATGCAGGGGACCGACGCGACGTCGAGTCATCCTGTGTCATAAGGAATCAGCTTCCTCTCCCACATTCTAAGCAACAGCGATTAAGGAAGAGAGCAAATTACAGACTCGGCATAGTGAGGAGATGGCCAAGTACCACGGATTGAGCAAAGACCAAAGGAAAGGCAAGCAGGTGCCCAAAGAACCCGCGCGCAAAACTTACTGTTCCCGGGTTGAGGCGTTTGTCAATCAGGTTCAAAATCGCGCAAACAATCTGCTGAATACTTTGGAGATTCACAGTAGTCGCGTGAAATCAAAAACGGAGGACCTGTCTCAGCTCATGCATGTGGAGTTATGACGAGTCCCACTTATCGTGGATCACAACCTCCATGTTTGCTGTACAACTAGTACCTAGTACCCCATGCCGATCAGTGAACCTTCTATGTTGCACAAGGAACGTTTATAAGAGCTTAAATCAATGTTGTGTTTACGAAGGAGCAGGACGTATACTACATGACTGCACTACCGCATGAAGAATGTGCCCCATAATTATGTTATCGATCACAAGCATGTTAACTGTACTAGTACACCATGTTGAGCAATCGGGTAACTACAACTAGTACCACTACTGCTATCGATTTTTCCCTTCCTTTTCCTTCGGGCTTTGTGTCCTCTCCTTTACTATTAGTAGAACCGTATCATAGTCATAGTTTAACCTTTACCTTTACCAAATCAACGCTTTTAGGGCCACCCACTAGCAACCACATTAGGGAAAACCTCCAAAAAGAAAATGTCTTCAGGCCTCTTGTAGTCTCTGATACTATCAGAGACTAAAAACGCGAAGCTGCTGCAGCAGATTAGAGCTGTGGCTCTAATGGACACACTCTTTTGTTTCTGGCTGCAGTAGATTGGAGCTCTGGCTCGAATGGACATACTCTTTTGTTTGAGAAAGTGTAAAGATTTTGGTCTTCTGCGGTTTTCAACACTATTGAAGTTTATTGTATATTGCATCTATCCCTCATCCATTGTGCTTGCCGTAGAGCAACCTCGGGTTTCTACCTTCAACTTGGTCGATGCACTCTCAAAGTAAGTGCCATAGTTGACGAGCCTTGTAGTTCAACACAGTAGTATTCTGTTCCTATTTTAGAATTTAGATTTTAATCCTGCAAGAGCAATAGTTTGACTCTTTTCGTTCAAGTTTTTTTGAAGTCGGACCGACGACGTCAGCATCCTGAGCTGCATCATTCTTTCTCGTTCAACCTCAAAAGATTGAGATTGATGTGTCTCGAAAGAATAAATGAGAAGGTTTATTGACTCATCGAAGGTACTAACTTCTAGACAGTTGTAGCAGGAAAAAAGATAGTTCACCACGAATGCGGGGTGAGGCAGTTGTGGTCAACAATATTGTAGAAGTTCTAAGGACACGCGACCTGCAGTCAGTTTCCAGAATCCTGTCGGAAGTTCTAGAAACTGACCGATCGTCCCCATTAGAACGATTCGAAGCACTGAATCAATCGAGTAAACGCAAAGTGCTCGTCTTTCGAAATCTTAAAATACGCAAGTAAGTTCGTGGATAGTACTTTACTCGGCTATTTTAGTAGCGGTTGATACTGGGGCGCCTACTTAATAGTTACCGGTAGCTATTGGGCACCGGCTTAATAGCTGAATCTAATGCAGGCGATCAGTCAGTTTCTAGAACTTCCGGTGAGCGAGGATATCTGGGACGGACGACTCTTCCGGGATAATAAAAACAGAGAGGTGAACCTTGAGGGTGTGCCTCCTTCATGTGAACAGTTGTTCGGTGGCTGGGTGGGCTTTGCGCAGAGCCTCTTGCGTCTCCTCCATGAGCATGGTCTTTTACCTGGTGAGCATCCTTAAGGCTAGTTTTCCCCTATTCCGCGCGGATGATGCTGAGTAGGGGCCCATCCTTTGATCTTATAAGTAAGGGGAAAGAAAGCAGGGGAGAAGAAGGAGGGGATCTCATAAAGGAGAACCACCTAAAGGGAACAAATCTAAGTGGTCACGGGGTGTAAGTGTAAGAAAGAAACTGAGTATTCCTATACTAGTCCATCAAATCAATGATTTTTCGAGACCCTAAGGAGGAAAATACAAAGGGGATCGCTACTCACTCAAGCAGGGACTATAGGGAAAAGCTAGCTTTAAGGCCTATTCCACTGGGAGAAAGGCTTCGTGAATCTTAATGAAGCAGTTCGCATAGTCGTGTCCGAGGTCGGTCGGAAAAGCGAATATGTTCCAGATCCTAGACAGCAGGGGCAGCCTTTCGCCGAGATCTCGCAGCGCATCTATGGAGTGAAGATATTGCTCAAGTTCCGCCGTCGGTTTCTTCGTGCTTTCACGGGTCTTACATTAAGAATTGATGAACTTTTCTTTTGTGGTTTAGGTCCAGTGACGCTCAAGGCCTCGACAGGGGGAGGCTGGGTGGCTCCCCTCCCCGCGCCGGCTTATTTGGTGGCTACTGTTCACTTAAATACATATAAGGGGCTTGCTTCCAGGTCTTGGCTCGGGTTCTCAGCCTTACGCTCCCTCCCCTCTCCTTTTTTGACATTTTCATAATGTATTGATTTAAGGTAGTGACTCCATATCCCTCTTGTTTGTCATCTCGTCCTTAAGACACTTCGTCCATCGATTCTTCTTTCTTACGACCATCCTTGTTAATAACCAATGTAGTTTAATGTATTTACATGCACTGTTCTCTCTGCTCTTGAAAGCTTTTTTTATGGTATTACGCCTTCTTGGTAATAAAGACACAGCATGTAGTTTCTTTTTTGTAGTAGAAGTACTCCCCGGGCCGGGGTGCCCCGGGAGACGTTAAGGAGGAGAAAAGGATACTTTAGGGACGTGGGCGGGGGTGAATGGTTTCACAAGGTGAAACGGGCGCCCGAAGGGCGCGCACCCCCCTCCGCGCTGCAGCAAAGGGGAGCGGGAGCGCGCTGGTGTTAAATACAAGAGGAAGGTGGCAGCACTGCCACCGATTCCCCTTGAAAATGTGGCAGCATGAAAGGCCTTCAGTGTTTACATTAAAGGTGCCTCAAGGGTCCGTTAGTGTTCACACTAAAGGGGAGGGGAGTCCTTTGGCATTCACATTGAAGGCGTCCTAGGGGTCCTTTAGTGTTCACATTAAAGGCCTGCTGTTGCTGTCGTTGTTGCTGTTCTTGCTCTTGTTGTTGCTCTTGTTTTTGTTGCTGCTGTTGTTGTTGTTCTTGTTGTTCTTGCTGTTCTTGTTGTTCTTGCTGTTCTTGTTGTTCTTGTTGTTCTTGTTGTTCTTGCTGTTGTTGTTGTTCTTGCTGTTCTTGTTGTTCTTGCTGTTGTTGTTGTTCTTGCTGTTCTTGTTGTTCTTGCTGTTGTTGTTCTTCCTCAAGGCCATCTGCTGCCCACATGGAAGGCTTTCAGTGTTTACTTGAAAGGTGTCTTAGGGGTCCTGTGGTGTTTACATTGCGAGCGCCTTAGGGGTTCCCTAGTGTTTACATTACAGGCGGCTTCGGGGTCCCTTAGTGTTCACATTAAAGGGGAGGGGAGTCCTTTAGCATTCACATTCAAGGCGTCTTAGGGGTCCTCTAGTGTTCACATTAAAGGCGAAGAGCGTTCGGGGGTTTTTCGTAGTATTTAAGTAGTCGCTGCTGTTGTTGTTTGTTGCTGTTGTTGTTGGTTGTTGCTGTTTGCTGCTCTTTGTTGCTGTTTTGTTGCTGCTGTTTTGTCGCTGCTGTTTTGTCGCTGCTGCTCTGTTGTTGTTGCTTTGTTGCTGCTGCTTTGTTGTTGCTGCTGTTGTTTTGTTGCTGTTGCTTTGTTGCTGTCGTTGTTGCTGCTGTTGCTGCTCTTGTTGTTGCTCTTGTTGTTTTTGTTGTCCTTGTTGTCCTTGTTGTCCTTGCTGTCCTTGTTGTCCTTGCTGTTGCTGTTGTTGTCCTTGCTGTTGTCCTTGCTGTTGTCCTTGCTGTTGTCCTTGCTGTTGTTCTTGCTGTTGTCCTTGCTGCTGTCCTTGCTGCTGTTCTTGCTGCTGTTCTTGCTGTTGTTCTTGCTGTTGTTCTTGCTGTTGTTCTCGCTGTTGTTCTTGCTGTTGTTCTTGCTGCTGTTCTTGCTGTTGTTCTTGCTGTTGTTCTTGCTGTTGTTCTTGCTGTTGTTCTTGCTGTTGTTCTTGCTGTTGTTCTTGCTGTTGTTCTTGCTGTTGTTCTTGCTGTTGTTCTTGCTGTTGTTCTTGCTGTTGTTCTTGCTGTTGTTCTTGCTGTTGTTCTTGCTGTTGTTCTTTCTGTTGTTCTTTCTGTTGTTGGTGTTCTTGCTCTTCCTCAAGGCCATCTGCTGCCCACATGGAAGGCCTTCAGTGTTCACTTTATAGGCGTCTTAGGGGTCCTTTAGTGTTTACATTAAGGGCGCCGTAGGGGTCCTTCAGTGTTTACATTAAAGGCGCCCGAAGGGTCCTCTAGTGTTCACACTAAAGGGGAGGGGAGTCCTTTAGCATTCACATTAAAGGCGCCTTAGGGGTCCTTTAGTGTTCACATTAAAGGCGAAGAGCGTTCGGGGATTTTTAATAGTACTTAAATAGAGTATTATATATGCGCCAGTTTTATCTATGTGTTGACTGTGTCTAGGGGCTTTTTCTTAGTACGAAAAAACCATCTCTATTTTGGTGACATCTTATCCATTCTTATGCAGGGCCCATCTCTCTTTTGGTGACATCTCTATTTTGGTGACCTCTCTATTTTGGTGACATCTCTCTTTTAGTGCGGACCTAGCTCAAGATCCATTCTTATGTAGAACCCATCTCTATTTTGGTGACATCTGCGACCATCTCTATTTTGGTGATTAGAACGTTCTAAACCCGACGCGGAATGGGGACAAGAAGCCTACCACATACAAGTACCGCACATTCAATTAAGGCTTCCCTTTGCATCTTCAATGAAACTACTATACTACCCCTACTAACCTCGAAGCTCCTAGCTTAGTGTTGGTCAATGGTCATTGCCGGCGCTAGATCCTATGAATGAATCTGATTGGAATGCCACATGACTGCTCACACTCGTCCCCTTCATCTTGAGCGATGCCGTTCCTTGTCTTGGACTCTTGTTAGTTCCTCGCGTGGTCATCAGTGGAACTCAATGAGTTCCAACGAATGAGCAGCAAGATCCCCCAGATCAGTAGCTGCGCTATGGCCCTTCATGATAACCCAACGACATTGGACCCATTTTGATACCATTTCGGGGCCTTAGACAGTCAGTGATCATTCGGCGCGTCCGTTCTGATTATCTTTCTGGCTGTTACACTGCAACGATAGTAGCTCCAATTGCTCTCAAGAGCTTCGTAGCGTGCTTGGACGTGTTCGGGTGTTCATTGGCGGAAATATATAGCAGGCGCCGCCCAGCTAGATCTTTTAGGGGGCCAGACGCTGCCCGCCTCTCTCTCTCTCTCTCTCTTGCTTCGCGTGCCGGGTTCGTACCCTCGTACCCCAATTCGTTCTTTTAAACTTGCTCTCACAAGAATTAAGAATTATTTTATTAATTTAGAGCTTTATTTTGCTCTTCTTCTTGCTCTTCTTCTTCTTGTTGATCTTTTTGCTCTTCTTGCTTCTTCTTCTTCTTGATGCCTTTTTCTTCGTTCTAAAGAAGGCGGAAGAGGCAAGGCAAGGGTGTTCTTTTGCAGCTAGTATCCTCATCATATTAAATATCCGAAGCTAGAAGTTTGCTTGTGGAGGAAATCGAAGAGGATGAAACTAAAAATAAGATCATTGTAACTTTTTCAGTAGACATCGTAATTGTGGAGGGATTCTGAGAGAAAGCAGCATGAAACGAAGATCATGGTATGTAATTTCAATGGTTCAGCATGGTTGTGAGCTGCTCTAATTCAACGTGGAGCATGGTAGTCGTGATGCGGGTGCGGCAACGAAGCGCGGCCTTACCGCGGCGACCGCTACAGAAGAAATCAAAAACTATCTGTTAAGGCTCAACTTATTTCATCAACGCAAAAAAAAAAAACACCATCAGAACTCATCTCTATTCGGGGATACACTCATGACATGACTGAGATCGAGGAGGAGACGCCTGGAGAGAACAGGGCAAAATGAAGGGAAAACGAGAAGGCTTTGAAGGTGGTCGCTTCCGCTCAGCATTTGAGTGATCAATGACTCTCGGCCTTTAAATCTGGCAGCGGGAATGGGGGAAGGAGATGAGCGCGGTCTGGTCAATGATCCGCTCTTTGACGAGCGAACTCACCTCTTTGCAGTCGTGAAGACCACGAGGGAGAAGGTTGAACCCCTCTTCGAACTTCTCTCGGACGTTAAGAGCTGCCCTTAGACATCTAGATCATATAATTTCGACCATATATTACCGGTAGACAACGATGGGGAGTCTGCAGTTAGTACTTTTCCCTCACATCCTAGGTTGGGAATTAGCTTCTTAGATAGAGAGAGCATATTAGATCGAGGAAGAGGATGGTATTCGAGGACGTATTGGTCCTTCGGGATAATTGTGTGATCGTGCACGACAAGAATGCCTGCTCTCCGGTCCTTGCTTCTAACAATGGTGGCGGCACGGAGGGGGTTGCCGGAGGCGGAACCAGCTTTTTGGACGTGAGTAGCACTGCCTCTGGCGTGCCGTGGACGAAGGTTAAGCGCGCGTATTTCGCTAATGCTGATTCACGCTATAAAACGACCGACAGCGAGAGGAACGACGTGCTGGCAGGCTTTCCCCGTCTTTCTGTTAAGAATTAGAGCTTGTGCCAGAATTTGAGCTACAAGTCCATCTTGTTTACATGTTCTTACCTGAGACCGCCGTTTTGAGGAAGGGGAAAAAGGTTCACCGAAGATCTCCACAGGCATCCAACTTCACAGACCGCCGCTTGGAACAAGGGGGGAACAAACAAAGTAAACCCTATAGTTTCCGCGCCAAGATGGATTTCTGGTCGCTCTAATTCTGGTGTGCCAGTTTTAAGGGAGATGATGGTGATTACTGAATACTACCGATACCAGAGTAGTATAAATCCAGGCTGACGTTACTGCAAAAGAACAGTCACCTACAAGAACAACTCTACTTACATTATCGTAGCTGCTGTAGGATATAATAGAGTAGTCACTTACGCAACAACTCGCTGTGTATTTTAGGCGCTATGATTACTTATCTGATGCCTTGATTAACGCGCGTGAGGCATTCTGAGTGGCTCATCGAGCCGTCAAGAACTTTTCTATCTTTCAATGGGAAAGAAAGGAAAAAGGGGAATTCAAGGGAAGGAAAGGAATCCTCTTCATAGTCCATGCTTCTCTTCATAGTCCAGCGGTTTGATAGTAGTTACTTAGAAGCTTAAGCTAGTTAGAGGTAGAGCTTCTATGTAAGTATGCAATTTATAGGTAGAGCTTCTATGTAAGTATGCAATTTAATATACGCATAGCTTCTATGTGTGCAATATGGCTCTTTGAATCGCTAGTCTGTCACCCTAGGACTTGAACGTGAACTAGGACTGCAACACGGAGCAATCACGGGAGATCTTCCTCGCAGTAGTCTTCTACCCAGGATGTGCCGGGTCTAATAGTAATAGTCTTCTACCCAGGATGTGACAAGTCTAATAGTAGTCTTCTATCCGAAGGAGTTGCTGTGGCGCAAGAACGCTGACCTGCCTATCTCCGATGATTACGGGGAGAGTCATATTCCAAGTTTGATAACCCGGTTACATATTTATTAGATACTGGACATACTACAGACTCGTTAACTCGTTAAAGAAGAAGTAAACTCTAACATACATTAAGAAATATATTCAACATCATGCATGGCTCGAAACATTGTAATTTTTCGTGAAGATGTGCATTTCGTCTGTAATCGTTGCTAATAGCGAAGCAACCCGATGGCCTTTTTAATAAGGCCATCTAAAAGTTTTTTGGGGGTTTGGATGCGGCTGGCAGTAGATCCTGGTACCCTTGGTCATGTCAGGAATTGGTGGTCTACTACTAGCGCGAGCACCCACCCCCCAGTGTACTCCCACCAAAGTACCTGGGGGGTGGGACGCCAAGGGCAGAAGCATCTGTTTATTCCAATGTAGCTAAATAATCCTCCTTACTTATTTTAATCAGCGTGCTCGGCCTTGCCTTCTACGAGTGATGAGTGTGAGAGACGCGTCTCGTTCTAACCCTTGCAAGATCTTCTGGAGCCATGGCCTCTGAAATCAAGGCAGAAATCTTCTAATTCTAATTCTAAGACCAAAGATGATTAGATAAAGGACAGCCGGGACATCTTCTTTCATATACAACTGCGATAGTAACTCTTGTTGAGATGGTGATGACTATTGTTTGTCTACTTCGAAGTTTTTGGGTCACCAAAAACATATTTCCAGAGTACAACATGTTATAGTACCGGACAGTCATGCGTAAGTTCATATAGTGCCCGCTTTAGCGTCAGCACCTTGCGTGTAGACTTAGCAAAGGCACCCCATCCTATCCTATAACGTGTGCTAGGAGAAGATCGATAGTTCGCTTTATTTTACCCTCTGCCCCTCTAAGACCTAGAGGACAAAGCCATGTCTGCGGTTGCAAAGGATCAGGCTAAGCGACTCAAGAGCCCAGTTTTCGATCAGCCATTGTTATGCAGCGGTCTGCTTATCGATATTTTAGCAGGGGACTGCTTATATGCAGGGGGCAGCTGATCAAGGCCGATAGAGCTACTAGTTCGCGCATCGCCGGCTCCTCTTCATAACATGGTATAGAGAGTGTAGTTCCTCGCGACCTTTATTATCTTCGTAATGCTCTCGCCTTATTTCTTGAAATTCATTCTAAGGTCAGCATGCTTCTTATCGGAAGAACAGGATCACTTTTCTTACTATGAAGGCTTATCGCAAGTGCCTTTTACCATCATCCCTTTTATTTTTGAGGGGAAGAGAATATGTAATTCATCTCGTCCAAGAGTAGATGAGACTTTGTTCAGCTGTGAAGCATTTTCAACAACATTTTGTCTCTGTTCTGGGAAGGTCTTATAACTAATGTCCTCTAATTTTATTCAACCGACTTGGGGAGGCGGCTGATAAGATAGCAGGGGCTCAGGTTGATGCGAAAGGGATAGCTGGGGTGAGCTGGATCGGCGAAACGAGAAAACTACTCACCTTTAGCCGCAACTATCTTTACGTGCATCTTCGATCTGGTGTGTACATAGACATCTGAGTACATATCAATCTGAGTCAATTATAATTATATCTGAGCTGTTGTGGTCGATTGGCCATACTTAGCTAGCTAGGTAGAGCTTCTTCTATGTGGTATGGTTTACTAGGCAGTCGAGTAAGGACCGCAACGCGAAGCAATCACGGGACAAGCAGTGGCTAGGCGATTTTGTAGGCAGGAGGTGTTAGAATTACGTATCCACCGAATCCCAAGGGCAAGGGAGCCGTCTATAAGTGAGTCTCGTTCTCCGTATTTAGAAGAAGTTTCGCGCGGCATTCCGTATGGGCTGTTCCCTCAGCACCTTCGTAGAAATTATTCCTCCTCTGCTTCTTTCTTTTGTAGAGTAGTAAATGCCCAGTCCACACATTCTAATCTTAGGGGTGCGCCAGCAACAGCGGTCCACAACGGCAAAAGGTATTGAACAGCGGTGTTCTCAGTGTGATGCGACCGTCAAAAGATGGCACGAGCGCAGCCCTAACCGCGTCTCCGCATCTCGACTACTCTATCCACATCGCCGCTTCCGCCGAGGACAGTGCCTGCATACATCTCGGCCCAGAGGATTTTTCCATTCTGCCTGCTGGAGTTAAGATGTCTGGTGAGTACTTATCATCGAAGCCAGCATTTCTTTGACAAAGTCAAAGCGTCGATCTTGGAACTACTCTCCCCCCCAAGATGACACGCAGCATACACGTAGAGGAAAAGAACACCCCCTCCAAGTCCAAGATGGCGCTACTCAGTCAAGAATAAGAGAAACCGAAATAACGGAAACCGCATTTAAGTAACTCTCCAATAAAGATATGAGACACGCCCTAAGAATAGAAGCACGGGAGAGGTTGACTTAGCGACCCACATGGCATCGGTGAAGCCGCGCATGGCACTACGACACGCTATCGAGGCGTTCGAACGCTATCCCCAACTTTAAGGCTTCCCCGAATCCATCTTCTGAAGCACTCCCCCTAATGATCCAACTTGAGAGAAGTCTGTCATCCTAGGAGAGAGGCTCTGCAAAGAGGACTATTTTTTGTAAATCAATGAGGGAGGCTCATAGGCTGGTCGAACGTGAGCAGGATGCTACTCAGGATGGATTATGCTCAGCGCTAACAATTGCTGCAAGAGCGGCATACCCTGGCGCACTTACGCGCAATCTTGGTCAAAAACATAGGCCCTGCGATGTCGTCTGCAGCTCGGGGTAATTCTATTTATGCCAGGTGACACATAACTGCATGGTAGGTAACTCACCTCCGCTTACTAGAAGTTGGGAAAAAATAAGCGAGATCCTAATCCAACAAGAACAATTGATTCCAGCTTAGCAGGTCTCTTGGTTTACCTCACTCGACTCTTTCTTTTTTTCGAATACAAACTCCGTCCTTCAATATGGAGACTAGTCCGTCATAGCTCTACTTGGGTCTAGGTGTGCCTCCTTTGATATTCAACTTGTTTTCGCAAGAAAGTAAAGAAGGCAGTCGTCACTAGAAGGATCTTAATGGACTATGAGAAAATGTTAAAGCTGCCTACAGCTACAGCATTCATTTAAATGGTGTCCGTAGTCAGAAGGTGCAAGAAGGAGATTTTAACAACAACAATTCGTAGCTTTTCATGGGCTGCTCGTCTGTCCTCGTCTAAGATGAAAGCGAGGAGTCTGAGGTGGCCGAGTCTGACCACGCGGCAGCAGGCCTGGCGGAGACGTTGGTGAGCCGTTTGTTTGACTTCTGGCGTGTCACACTACAGCCCATGGTGGAAGAGGGAGGGGCCTTCTCTTTTGCTCTCGACCTTCCTGCGAACACCGAAAAAAGCGAAGGGGAGAGGGCGGAGGAAAAAAAATTTCCGCAATTTTAAGGCCCATCCATGCTAGTGATTCCATTTTCGTTTACGCTGTGAACCAATCCCCTCCTTTTTTGTTTCTATTGCAAGAGAATATGGGGGACGGCAGTTACTTAGCTAGGCTGAACAGTGATGTTGAATTGTTGTGATTTCTTCTAAGAATTGGACCCTGTGCCTCCCATGCGCTCGCAGGAAGTATTTGCGACTACGCCGGTTGACGTTTTCGAGCTGGGTGCCGATATGTTCTATGCTGTGGCGCTGCGACTGCTCTACGAGCAAGAGCAGCCTCGGAAGCCTGCTGACAACGAAGCCCGAAAAAGCGTTGTGACCGCGCTGGAGATGCTTTGCGAGAGGGGCGCCAAGTGGTTGCGCCGCATTCCCTCAGAAGCAGCAGCTTTGGCGCAGGCGATACCAGCTGGACATGCCCATTCCTGTTATGGTTCTCGAGCGCTTCCAATAGCCCGCCCATATCTATTAGCTCTAACATACCCAAGAAAAGTAACGAGACCTTTTTTGTGCATAGAAGAGAACTCGCCATATACTAGGTTTTTCCCTCATATCCTAAGTCTGTCCCATCAATGATTAATAAATGGGTAATATATTCATAATGGGTAAAAGAATCTTGACAGGGTTTCTGGATGGATTGTCAGGGGGAGAAGGGGGGCATTACGGGGGTAGGGGGGGGCCTATCCCTCTTCGACCCCTATCCAACCCCCTTCCCAACTTCCGTGCCAGATCAGACGCGGCGAGGCTTGAGCGCCTCAATGAAAACTGCGGAAAAACAGACACCACAGTAGGGGGATTGGCGTCCCGCAGCTCCTCCCTGGGAGTGTGCGCCCGGAGGCTGCGAGCGAGGAACCCTAAGGGGGGCCAACCTGCTGGCAACGCATTCACGCCTCCGCGCTTGCTTGATGATTTTCGCGGAGGAAGGCCGAAAAAGCGCTGAAAGTAAGAGCCAGCCACGCGGGTGCGAGGTCATAGCGGTAGGCGCGCGGCTGGCAGCTCGCGGATCCGGACACCCCTCGGCTGGAGGAAGCCGCGGGCAGGTAATCTCGCCAAGATGGAAACGCGGCGCCCAGCTTCCGCCTGGCAGACCCCCCCAGGCCCCCCGCGCCCGGTCACAGCTGACAGCGTGAGAAGGTAGCCGCAAAAAGTGCCAACCTTAGAGGCTGGCCGCGTGGGATCTCTCTAAGTAACAAGAACACCACGGTAAAGCCTGGCGGGCAATGGGCAACGCCTCAGCCAGATGCTTGATAGTAAGCCCCGCGCGGTCTTCTTGCTCTTGTTTTCAGGGCGTTGGCTGCATCCATATGAGAAACCACCCAAGGCTTTGGGGTCTGCGCGGTGCCCGTTTCGTCGGGGGGCCACGCTGCTCCCCATCTTTCTGGGGCTGTGGCGTATGTGTTTCGCCTTTGTGGGGCCATGCTGTGGCTTTTGGGTCTGCTGATGCGGTGCCGCGGGGGTCAGATCGTGTGGCGTTGGGGGAGGTGTGTGGCCATGCTGTGCCTGGGGGTCTCGTCGTGTCTCTTTCGGGGATTTGTTCGTGCGGTGTCCGAGGGGTTTGGCTTATTTGGTCAAGCTGCGCCCCAGGGGTCGGGACATGTTGCGCGGGGAGGCTGAGCCGTGGCGAGTTTGGGGGCTGTGGTGCGTTTAGAGGTCGTGGCGTCGGTCTGTGTTCGGGGGTTCGTGGTGTTCTGGGGGGATCGCTCAGCGTTTGGGATGGCATTCTGCGCCCCTTTGGTCACGGTGTCGCAGGGGGGTCCTGGCATGCGTCGGGAGGCCGGGGCGCGTTTAGCGGTTGCGGCGTCGATCGGTGTTTGGGGGCTCGTGGTGCGTCTGGGGGGTCGTTCGGGTTGTGTTTGCGTGGGTCGCTCGGCGTTTAAGATGTCGCGCCGCGTCTTATCGGTCATGTTATCGGACGGCGGGACGGTCGCGGCATGTGCTGGGGGGTCGTGGTGTGTCTGGGGGGTCATGTTGTGGCTGGCGTTTCGTAGAGCGTGCGGGGGTCGCGCTTTGTTTCCTCGGGGGGTCGCGCTGTGTTCCCTCGGGGGGTTGGGCTGTGCCTGAGGGGCTACAGAATGCCCAGGGGTTCGGGCTGTGTTTGCTCAGGGGTCCGGCTTTGCCTTTTGGACTGTGCAGCGCTTGGGGGGCTACGCTGCGGCGCTCTAGGGGATCACTCTGTGTCTGGTGGGTGGTGTTGTGTCTTGGGTGCTGTCCGCGGTCTGTCGGAGGAGTCGTGGCGCTTAGCGGGGGCAGAGGCGTTCATTAGGCTGCGCAGTGCTTGGGGGGCCGGGTTTTGTCTTGGGGGCGATGATTGCGGTGCCGCAGGCGGCCTCTCATTATTCTGCGGGGGCTGTGTTTTTTCCTGCGGGTCTGACGGGTCGCGGAGTGCAGGGCGGGGATGTGTGCCTGGAGGAAGATCGCGGGGAGCCTGGGGGGGTGGCTGTGGTGCGTGCGCGGGGTCGTGTGGATCTTGAGGGGCCGTGCCATGTTTTAGAGGAAAAGCAGACACTGGCTTTGGGGGCCGTGTTTCTATTAAGGGGCCCCGCTGTATCTCAGTGGCCGCGGTGTGTTTGGTCGGTCGCGGTGTGTAATGGGAAGCGTTGCGTGCCTTGGTGGTCGTCGTGGTGTGTTCGGGGGGTCGTCGTGTTTTGCCTCGGGGTTGCGCTTTTCTTGAGTTTCTATCTTTGGGGGCACGCGGTGTGTGATTGTAAAGCTTAGGAGGAACCGCCCCGAGCTTTTCAGGCTCTCGGCTCGTTTCTTATTCGTTTCCGGCCGAACTTGTTCGGATTTTCTATTTCTTTGCACAGCTTGGGAGTTTTCGGGCGTAGTTCGTGCTCTTGTTTTCGGCTTCTCAGCGTGCGCTTTGGTGGGCTTTTTCTGGTGTCATTGGGCTGGCCTTGGCTTGGGTTAAGGGGCCCTCCGCCTCTCCTTGCTTGTTAGTTGTAGAATGTTGAGACTGAGCTGGCGCGGGGGCAGGCTTTGCTTGGCCGCCGCTCGTGGGAAGGGCGTGGAGAGTTGTTGTTTGTGTGGGTTTTCAGTCGTGGGATGCCTCAGGCAGGGAGCGGCACAGGGGTAAGTCGGGGCGAAGTCTTCGGGGGTCGGTGGCCTCTGGGGGTTTGTTTCTCGGTCATTTCTCTCTTTGTTTTCAGCTTGGTCGGGGGCTCCTTGGCGGGCGGCCGCGGCGGTGCCAGGGAGGGGCCGGCGGTTAGTGTCGTGGGGAGCGTGGGGCAGTTTTAGTAGCTTCTGTTGCGTGTGTGTTGACAAGCTTGAGCGTGCCAGAGAGTCCCCCAAATGTTCCACCGGCTTCCGAGGAGGTCGTCGCTGAAGCCGCGTTTTTGTGTAGGTGGTAGAAAAAAATTGGTGCTGCCGCTTTTTGCTTTAAAAAAGTGCGCCAAAAACCCTCGCCATGTCATTGGGAAATGCCAAGAAGAGCGAGCACAGGCTGCCGCTGTCTCTTTTGGTCTCTGTAGTGGGTTGAAAGTGTCGCCTCTATGGCAGCATCTGGGCACTTTTTGCGCTCCTTTTTCGCTTGCTTCTGGTGCGGTCCCCTGGCCTTCAGGCCGCGCTTTGTTTTGGGCGCGGTGGGTCTGAGGGTTGCGGGATTTATTTCAAAAGCGTTCGGAATTTATTTCAAACGGATGACGGCCGAGGCGGGTCGTAGTGCGTTGGGCACCGTTCTCGCGTCCATTTGAGACGCATTGGGAACGATTTTGAAACAAATTCCGCGGCCCTCAGATCTGGCCCAAAACACGGCGCGGCCTGAAGATCGCAGGACAGCACTAGAAACAGGCGAAAAAGAGGCACAAAAAGCGCCCCGATGTGGCCAAAAAGTTGACGCGTTCAACCGACTACAGAAACCAAGAAAATGATGGAAAAAGATGGCGCGTCGTTTTTGGCTTCTCCGCATGACATGGCATAGGCTTTTGGTGCACTTTTTTGAAGCAAAAAGCGGCTGCGCCAATCTTCTACCACCAGCGAAAAGATGCGGCCTCGGCTGCGACCCCTTCGGAAGCCGGTTGAACTCTTAGGGGGTTCGTTTCTTGCTTGCTGCGCTTTGGTTTAGCTGAATCACCATGGTGGCGCCACTGGGGTTGGGAGTGCTTTGCGCCCCCCACAGGCCCGCGCCGGGCGCGGTCGCCCACGGGTGGCCGCTTGTGACCAGAGTGGGCCTGCAGGGACGCAACGGAATAAAGGGGAAACTCCCAGCAGGTGTCCCTCTTTGGGGTTCGCGCCCTTACTCCACTCGCCTTGGGTGCCAGCCTCTGCGCCGCTCGTTTGTTTGGGTTTTATGCTTGGGCAGACCTTGCGCAAGCAACTAACAGCACAGGCAGCCATGCTCGCGCCATGGCAGGCGGCTACAGCTTGCCATGGCTCGCGCCCCAGTGCACGCGCCGCCCCAGTTTAGAGCAGCCAGCCGCCGAGTGGTGGCTGAAAATGCACAACCGTGCACAGGCTGAGCGGCAGAGAATTTGAAGCAAGAACCACAGGCGAAGGCTGTCAAACTGTGAAAGCTTTGAACAGTTTCCTTCGGGAAAGAATTACTCGGAAACTGATCGAGATCTTGGAAGTTGGGGGCGGTTCCTTTTGAGAAGGTGTGGCCGCGGTGGTTTTCATGGATCGCGGTGGCATGGTGCTTCGGGCAAGTCATGCTGCGAAGCTTTTCGGGGGACGGTGATGCGCTGGAGGGTCGTGGCTTGTCTGTGTCTCGTGGGTCGCTTTGTGCTTGGGGTCTCGCTTGGGTGGTGCTCGGGGGGCGATAGGTGCTGCTTTTGCAGAGGGGGGGCAATTCTTTCCCAGGGGGTCGCGCAATGTTTTGCGAGTCATGTTCTTGCTGTGGCTGGGGCGGCGGGGCAGGTTGTGTTTTGCGATGGGTTTGGAAGATAGGCGGCGCGGCGTCGGGGTGCGCGTGGTGTGTTTCGGGGGCCGTGGTCCTCCGTTTGGGGGGTGGGGCCGTGGTGCCATGGACTGGGGTTGCGCGCTGCTTTTTGGGGGTCATGTCGTGGCGTTAGAATGGGGGCCAGGCTTTTTCTTCTCCTTTTGTGGCCTGGCGTTTTTCAATGTCGTCGCGTGCCGCGTCCGCGTGGTCGCAGTTTCTCAGTTAGGGGGGCCTACCATGGTGAGCCCTGGCGGGCTTGGCGCTGTGCTTTTGGGGTCGTGCGGCGTTTTGGTGGCCACGCGGCTGCGCTTTGGTGGTCATGCGGGGCGCGAAGATGTGGGGCTGAGGGGTCTTCTTGCGTTACGGTGGTCGCCATGGGTTTGGGGGGCCATGGTGGTCCTTTCTTTGGGGTCGTGGGGTGTCTTAGTCGTCGCTGTGGTGTGTTCAGGGTAGTAGCGCTGTGCCCTTCGGGGTCTTGCTGTGTTTTGGGGTCCATGCTAGGCCGCGGGTGCTGTGCTGTTTTGGGGGTTCGTGTTGTGTCTTTGCTGGTCGTGTTGTGTTTCTTTGGGGGTCGATGCGGTGCTCGGGGGCCGTGCTATGCTTCTGGGGCTTTGCTGAGTTTTATGGCTTTTCATGCGTTGCCTTTGGGGTCAGGGGGTGCCTCGGCGGGGTCGTGGTGCATCATGCGGCCATGCTCCTTTTTTTTCAAGGGGGCGGGCCATGTCCTGCCCCGGCGGCTATCTGCTGCCTGCGGGGGTGCTTCTTCTGTGTCTTGGGGGCTGGCTGTCTGTAACTTGTGCGCGGGGTCATGCTCCTGTGCTTTTATGCTCGTGCTCGTGTTGTGTCTGTTCTGGGGTCCGTAGTGGGTTGCCTGGGGGTCGTCGTGGTGTGTCTTCTTGGTGGTCGTGGTGTGTTAGTAGGTTCGGGGGGTCGTGGTGTTTTTGGTGCTTCGTGTATTGCTTGGGGGGCGCGCTGTGTTTGCGTGGCCGCGTTGTATCTCGGGGCTTTGCTGTGCTTATGGGGTCGCGCTGTGTTTGGGAGGTCGTGCGGTGTTTGGGAAGGTCGTGTGGTGTTTGGGGAGGTCGTGGGGTGTTTTGGGGGCCGCGGTGGGATCAATGGGCAGTTCCCGCTTGTTGAGCCAAAGAACAAACGCGAGGGCAGCTAGCCTTAGGCGAGAATGCGGGCAGCTCAGATCGGAGAGGCCTGAGCGGCCAAGGCTGGCACGCTGAACTCTCTGGGCAAGCTGGGCGGAACCAGCGAGGACGAGCAGAGCGCGCGGGCGTGGGAAGGCTCATGGACGTCGAGCACCGCCTACGGCATTGGCAACACCCCCGCCCCCGCGCGTGCTTGTCCGCCCGGCCTGTCTCATTGTCGTGGCGTGCCAGGTTGATAGATTGATACCGCGCGCAGGGGTTCTGGGTTGCGTGGGCTGCTTCGGTCTTTGTTCCTCGAAGGCGGTCGCCAAGGGACGGGCGTTCTGTGAGTGCCTCAGTCGTTTTTCTTTATTTTCCCTTAAGTTTCTACCCTGTGCCGGTGGTTGTGCTGTCATCAAGCAGGGGCCGCCCGCCTTGGTATCTTGTATACATAATAGACAACTCCTTCGTCTTCATCGGACAGCTAGGCATCAGTCTCGTGGCCATCAATGAGCAGAATTTTTAATGGGCCAAAAATTCTAACTTGGGTTGTTGCGGGTCTTCTCCTCTGCGGCTCGGGTGGCGACTGTGTTGCTACGCATCCGCGATTTGCTAGGTGGTGAAGAACATCAGCTTCCCGGATTAGATCGGGCCGCAACCCATGTCCGCCCAGATGAATTAGAGCTAGAATTATGGTCGACTTTTAGTATTCATCTCACCTACCATCTTGCCACTCTTCTCGCCCCCTGTGCTGCCATGAAATTCAAGGGTTTGCAAGGGCATCAAGATGGGGGAACCAACAGCAACACCAAGATGAATGCTGCTTCGCGCACTTCTCTAAGAGAAGGGCTGAAAGATATACGCGTTCTCGCGTTGCTTGCGCAAGAGCTGGGCAGCTTCGTACATAAGCAAGATGGACTAGTGCAGCTGGGCTCAGGCCCACAAAACATCGCAGAAAACATGCAAGCCCAAAGTTGAGGCGAGCGGTGGCTCATAGTCGTAATTTAGTTTTCAAAGCTACTTATAGTTCTAATTTTTCATAGTATAACTTTTCCTTTTGCAGGGGTAGCATGGTCTTTTGTTTAATCGCCAGCTAGTCCTCCACTCACATTAATCGCTCGTTATACATTGATATCGCAACTTTTTGCGAACTGCTCTTCTAAGAGAAAATGGTGAACAGCGTAAAAGAGAAAAGGAGCCAGGACTTACGGCGGCAGTTAAGGCTCGAGGCAATATAGTTCTGACGGCCATTTTCTTCCCTTTTCTTCTTAGGATTCTGAGGAAATGAAAGGCAAGAAGTGAATTACTTTGAGCTCTAAAGTTAGAGGACGTGGGCAGTGTCAGAGAAGATCGAGGAGCCCTCATGAAAGAGGCAGCAAACATGATCCTGGGAAAGTGGATGCGCTTAGCGTTCTTCATAGCGTACTACTCTGGCTCTGGCCGAGGTGAGCTCAGTAAAGCAGCTTCAAAAAGAAGCATAGAGATCCTACAGTACGTGAAAAAAAATGAAAACGGGGTTGGGTCCGTTAGCGTGTCTCCCGAGTTTGGTGTTACGGCCACTTCAAGTTTATACTTAAAGGTAGATCCTCGTCCTACCTAGTAGGTGCCCTCACGTATCCTAGCTTCGAATGGATTGTAGATGCATAGACTCGAATATCCCTCATGCATCCTAGGTTAGTTCCTTCCTATTAAGGTCATGATCTGATCCCCTTTTAATGTCGCTGCCGTCGCGTCTGTTCCTCGAAAGGTGGAGCCTGTTGGGCCAGTTCTCGACAAGCAGCTTAAGGGCCTCTCAGGGCTGGGAACAGGTGAGGACGGTTTGGCGGTGGTTTCCTACCGCAGATTATGGAGCGCGGGTGTCTAATACTGTCAGTGTCAACTCATCAATTTTCAAACGGTATCGGCACATCAAAATTTTTGATCTACGTTTGGCCTAAAAATCTGCTTCATTAAGGAGCCTACAGGAAAATCTTATACTGCTATTATCAAAATGGTAGCACTACCTACTTCTCTTCAGGAAAATCTTATACGGGAATTGTAGTTTTTATTATATCCAAAGCAAGGATTATTCCACCGGGGATTTTTCTATCATCCAAAAGAGAACTAGTCTCTCGCGTTTCTTCGGTTATACTAGCTTCGTCTAACAAAAATGCTCGCCGATTATGCACGCGAAGCACGTGCGCAAGACCGCATGGCAGCAAAGAGCAAAGCCGAGGCGTACTCATGTAGCTCGGCAGATATCGACTACGACGCCTTTAATTACGACGTTTGTCTTGTCTCCTCTTACTTGTATACTGAGCATTATACCTAGTGGTCTGTCTTTTCTCGTCTGACTTCTATACTCAACTACTTACATAATTACTTAGTCTCTCTCCTTGTCTTGTCTCTTCTACCTCTGGTCTTAGGTCGTGTATCCCTTCATGCAATACTTCTAATTTCAGGAGGTGTGCGAGCTGATTTTGGGCACCGAGAATGAGATGTGGGTGCTCAAGCGTGGCCCTGGTCTGACACAGATCCCAGACGTTAAGAACCGTTGCTACATTACACCTCTCAGATCCTTCGCTTCCTCAGTCCTTTCATTAAGGCTCAGCTTTCAATGGTCATTGGGGTTGGTATGGTCACCATTGAGATTGGGGTCACTGAGATCCCTCTTGAGAGAACAGGGGAAAATGAAGGAAAAGCAAAGGGAGAGGCATGGGGTCCATTTCTTTCAGAGTCAGTGACCATTGAATGCTGAGCCTTAATTTCACCTGTAAAGCAGTAAAGTAGAGCCACCGGTTAGCTTTCCCTCTATCCTTAGGCTTGTCCCTCCATGCAAAGCACCTTTTTGCCATGGATTGGAGCTTGGTCTGCCTTTTTGCTCTGAAGGCTCACAGCTTCTGTTCGTCTGCATTTTTTATAGTTCAAGGACGTTTAGACTTAGTACAAAATCAGAATAGTTGAAGAACTGAATATTAGGGCTTTAACTACCAATACTCATACATCTGGGGAGCCACTCACTGGAGCGAACTAGCGGGTGCACATAGCGCGGGAGCCGAGCACTTCTCTGAGGCAAGCACAGGCTTCGGCCGCCTTAGATGAGAAGACCTCCAGGGCTGTAGGACGACACGCGGCGCCTAGACTAGACGGATCCTAAAACACATGGCCAGTAGAATAATTTTTGTATGTTAATAGCATAATATTAATTTTTTAAATCCTCTCCTAGTTGTTAGGTTGGCTCTACCAATATTATTAGGGCTTAGGGTGTTGACGAGTGTAATGTAGTGTAATGCTTGCTTTAAGGAGGAAGCTGGAATTCCGAAGGGCAAAATCGTGCGGCGATACTATCGGGAGAGCGATGTGGATCGAAGCGCAGCCAATGCAAATGCGGCTGCCATGCTTTTCCTTCGAATGCAGAGTTAGGACCCACACTCATAGTCTATTACTTAGTTAGAGTGCAGCGACTCCTAAACTCAATTTGCCAGGACTCCTAAAGTTAGGGTATCCAAGATGGGTCTACTTATCGCTCTTCTTCAATGAAAGCACATGTCGGCTGAACGACCTCCATACCATTGGACAGGATGGGCAACTGGGTAACATGACATGACCAATTGTAGCGTTGAGTAAGTTCAACTACACCAACCATACTAGAACATGAAGCATCGCGACGATCTCTCCTAAGATGTCAATAGACCAAAACCTGACGATCCGAGTTTCAAAGAGGAAAATCTTCCAAACGAGGACATGAGTGCCCAGACAATAGCCGCATTGTTATGGTCGGCTTGTACTCATCTCTCTCAGCATCTCCTTGATCCCCCATAACTCTCAAGGGGAGCATGATTATAATCTCATATTGTAGTTGTATAATAGCTCCCTAGAATTATAATCTCCTACCTCTCCGCATCTTTGTTCCCCTGTGAAATACGAAGGGAATGGCATCAAGATGGGAGGCGAGATGAATTCTAGCACGCTCCAACATTAGGCTCCGACATATGTTTTTCCGTTCCACATCCACCCAAACCCGCGGAAGGGGTCTTTAGCAACACGCGAACAGTTTCGTGTGCGCCGTATCTTAAGGCTTGTTCACTCAATGCAGTAGCTAGTAGCTTATCTCGACGGCCTCATGGCAGTCTGCACTGATCTTTGCGTCAGATTCATTGTATTGTATTGCGTTCTCTCTCGAGCTACAGACTCGCATTCTCGTGGAGTAGAAAGCTGCTGAGTTGTCCTCGGCACACCTAAGTACTTGATCTTTGGTCTTCTCTCCTCAAAGTACCTTGGCCTTCTCAACTCAGTCATGCAAAGTACTTTGGTCTTCTGAGTTCATAATGCTTCGTTAGGGAACTTAATTTAGTCATATTTGAACCTCTTCCGTCTGCACAGATCCGTCATCTGCACAGAAGAACAAGAAGATAGTTTGTCACTGTCCTGAGTTTGCTTTCTGGAAGATTTTCTTGCGACTATAAATACGGCGTCACATCGACATCAGCTAGCAGATGAATTTGTTTGAGCCGCAACTATTGATTGTTTGTTGACGTTCAAGTTTTTATCGCGTAATTGTATGGCAGGTGAATTCACGACTATCACGATGACTATGCTGGCGCTAATGATCGCTTATTGACATTCAAGGGGAGCAATTATAAGAAAGCGAATGGATTTCACACAGGGAGCAACAACGCTCTGGAGCTGTTTAATCAGTGGTCAAAATGTCGGAAATGGGTAACGCACTTACGGAACTGCTACTACAACTCTTTCTTACATTGATGTCAAAGCTCTTTCTTACATAACTCCTACTTTGAAGATGGAGGGAGGGTCGTACTATACCTATCAATTTTTTTTCAAGGTGCAATGGCTTATCGTATCCTATGCTATGGGTGGCGATGCTGTCTCTGAAAAGGGCGCATGCTTATCGATTTAATTATTTTAAGTAAAGCAGCCCGGCGCGTTTTCTTTCTAGCCTTAGGCTTATCCCTTCATGCAAGTTGTTACGACTAGTAAAAGTAAAAGTCATCAGTTAATAGAGCACTCACTCCTCCATGATGTTGGGTGTGCTTCCTCCTCAGAAAAAGCGCATGCTTGAAATCACAATACTGCGAAAAAAAATTTTCTATCGACCTGGAGCAATAGCTTAGTGGGCCTCCTATATTTTGGAAAGCCTATCGATATGCGGCCAAAAGTATATCATTACTAAAAGCAGCTCAAACAGTTTTAAGTTATGATGAACGAAAGGGGCTCACTTAACAGCAGTGAGCACCAACTAAACTCCCCGAGAGCTGCGCTGGTCTGAGGGCTGGGGCGAGAAACAGGGAGACCCGGCTTGAATTGAATTGCTGCTCGTCTCTTAGTAATATGCAACTAGCCCCCTGTCGTGGTTCCCCAGGGGGGGATACGATGGGAGCCAAAGACACCCGCTAGACAAAACAAACGCATGGACATGCTTGAACAGGCGGCGCAATTGAGCAGAAGCCTGAGAGCTGTCAGCTTGGACTTCGTGGGGGGTCATCGGGCGCGTTGCCGCGGGGCGGCGATCCTTATGGGTGCGCGCTGTTTCGTTTGCGTCCGGAGGATATGTGGACGCCTGGTAGGGGTGGAAGCGCGTGCGGGCTTATCTTCAAGCGGAAGGCAGGGGCAGGCACATGCCACGCCGCGGGAACTTGTTCGCAAGGGTCTGAGGCATTCAGAGGCCACGCCGGTCCGCGGTGGTTCAGAGGTGTAGGGTGTAGCCTGATGGGGCGCGGCGCTGCAAGCAGGTGACGCGACTGCGCGCAAGCAAGCAAGCGACGCGACGGCACGAGGCTGCCGCCCCGCACCATCGGGTAGCGCGGGCCCAGGGCTTGGCGGAGAGGAGAGCGCGGCGCCAAAGCGGGCGCCTTGACGTTCAAAGCTCACGCCGGGAACTGCGCACGCCCAGGGCTAGGGGGAGACAGAGGCAGGAGAGCGGGGCGTGAAAGTAAGGAGGCCGCGCTTCAGCTTTCAAAATTCATGCGTGAGCTTTCAAAGGTCACGCCTTAACTTTCAAAATTCGCATGACCTGCGCACGCTCAGGGGTTGCGGGGGAGGAGAGCTGGGCGCCAAAGCAAGCGGTTGCCTTGGGTAGCTTTCAAAGTGCGTGCATGGCCTAGCTTTCAAAGTGCATGGCCTAGCTTTCAAAGTACATGGCCTATCTTTCAAAGTGCATGGCCTAACTTTCAAAGTTTGTGGCTAGCGTTCGAAGTTCACGCTTAAACGCTCGCAATTTATCTGCTAACGCTCAAAGCCCACGCCCTAGCTTTCAAAATTCATATCTAGAGCCTCAAGGAGGTTGCTAGGGGTCACAGACGCTGGGAGGCCAGCGAAGACCAACAGAAAGGGGAGACCGCGGGAAGCGTGGAGGGATAGGGTATCCAAGGAACTAGTGGCTAGATTTGCCACAATGGATGATTGCCTAGAACGAGAGCGATGGAAAAAAATAGCGGAAGGAAAGGTAAACGACCCCCCCTCCTCCACCATCGACACCTTCAGCGCAGCACTTCTTCTTCTCAGCTCCTTCTTCCACAGGACCCACCCCAACTAGAACTAGAGCGAGAACTTCAGCGCCAGCACCACCAACAACGGCAACAGCTTCAGCTTCAACATCATCACCTTCAACAACAGGATACAACTGGCGAAGTAGTAGCAATGGAAGTAAGCAGCGAGCAAGTAGAAGCGCCGCATCCTTATCAGCAACGTCAACATTTTCAACACAACAGTTTTAACATCAGGGAAATGATCCGTAAAACTCAGAAGAGAGTCAGGGAAGTCGTAGGACAATTCTGAACCGACTAGCATCGTCATCATCTAGAGCCTCAAAGTTTCTGGCATATTTTTCAAAGTGCTTGCCTTAATGTTCAAAGTTCATGCCCTAGCTTTCTGACTCTCGAAGCAAGAAGTCTGCCTTTTAAGTTTAACTTTCGAAATTCATGGCCAAACTTTGCGGCCCATGTCCTAACTACTAACTTTGAAAAGACATGGCCTAACGTTCAGGGTTCTTGACGCCGTAGCCTTCAGGATTCACGTCTCAACTTTCAGAACTCATGCCTTGACTTTCAAGGATTATGGCTCAGCTTTCGAAGTGCGAGAGTAGTATAGCAGGGCGCTGTTGGTTTTCAAAGTTCGAAGACCAAACTTCAAAACTCAAGACTTATAGAGTCAAAGTTTACAGTTTAGCTTCGAAACCAAGAGCCATAATTCAAAATCAAAACTCAAAGCAAATGGGTCAAAGCTAAGGCAAAGCATTCCAAGTAAAGAGATTAGAGGCAGGCGCGCTGCAAGTCTAGACCCGTCTTCACAAAAGTGTCGCCTTTTTGGGAAGGTGTAGGCCCCGCAACGCTCAAAGCAGAAAAAGCAAACTGGCCGGCTAATTTTCCTCGTAGGTTCGGATGTAGATCTTAGCCTCTACTAGACGCAAAGTAATACTAATGCGTAATTAGATGGAGCTACTGCCAAGTATCGCCATCGCGTGAAAAATCAAAACAAGAAGCATAAGTTGAGTTAGGCAGTAGGGCCGTGCGCGATAAGGATGATAATAATAATGCAGAGTAAGGTAAGTAACAGGCTTCGGGCTGCTCGAGCTGCCCCGGGTTGCTCGGGTTGCTGCGGTGAAGGGTTTCCCATTCTGGGACGATTTGCAACGAGCTGCCAGAAGGAGCCCGGCCCACCAAAATGGGTGAAGCGGGGCGGTGTGGGCGCCGGAGTGCTTGCTCGGCATGCTGGGGGCCGTCAGTCTTCGGGACCTGCCGCGCAAAAGAAGGCGGGGGGGGGCGCTGCCTCCTTCTGTTTGGGATCGATACTGGCGCGCCGCTCCTCACTCGGTGGCGCCGAGCAAGTGCTTCGCCCCCCTTGTGGTGCGGGTGCAGAGCTTCGAGTCGGGGCCGGGTTTTCGTCTTGCTGTGTAGCGGTGTTGAGTCAGGAGGCCTTGCCGTGTTGGGTTTGTAGCCGGCTTGCGGCTGAAGAATGCGGAGGCAACCGAGAGGGAAATGCGGCGAAGGCTAATGTGGGGGCGGGTAGCGGTGGGCTTGGTTTCACACTGGTACGCAGCTGGTCAGGCTGGTGTGGTACATGCCACACCCCCCAGGGCCTTCGCGTTGGGTTTTTTGCAGTCATCGGACTGCCCTCACTTGGTTGCCTCCCACCCCGTCGCGAATACTTCTCATACCGGCCTGGTCGGTGTTCTCTACTTCAACACCTCGGCAAGGGTGCGCCCGCAGGGCGCAGCGAAAAAATTTCCATGGGCAACCCGAGCAGCCCGAAAAACTCGGCCCGCTATCATATGGGTCAAAAAAAGCCTAATTCTATGATAATAGTAAGCCCCCCTCCATAATCCAAGGAAGTGGTATATGAAGGAAGGAGGCGCGGCGCTCTGATCACCGGAAGCGGAAAGAGTGGTAAAAATGATCTTTGGAGCTTCACTATCAGTGCTGCAACCCTTCAGCAGCCTGCCATGTCTGCTAGAAAATGTAGTAGGCCAAGACCTAGCCTAACCTACTTGGGATAACCTAACCAAACTTCCTTGGGGTCGGTAGCCTAACCTAACCTAGCCTACTTGGGATAATTTAGATAGAGTACTATAATCCACAAGCATGATGCCTAAGCTAAGGCCGAGACTTCACCACGCGCGAAGCCGAGGTCGGTGCGTCCTGTTCTATCCTACCTTTCCAAAAGCATACTTTTAGAGAAATATGCTAGGCCAAAAGCATATCTTTTTTCTTAAAGAAGGTTAGGCGTGAATGTTGACGTTGTTAAAAAGAAGAGCAGCGGCATGGGCCATGCTGTTCTTCTAAAAGTTGACCATGCGAGCAGTTCCGATTAAGGCAACCGCTGGAGCATCCTCATGTTCGCCCCTGGCTCTTTTTCTACTTGGAAACGGAGCCCGGGATGCGCTCAGGGATTCGACGACGCGACCGCGGTAGCTCTAATTTCTCCGCAACGTCTGCACGTGGTTGGAGCGGCTTTTGCCTTCTGCGCTGCTAAAAGAAATCCCACAGGATTTGCTTGATATTATGAAGAGCGTCAGATGCAGAATTGTTTTTTTCCTAGACTCAACGTTTATTGAGTGTAGGCTCTACGAGTGCCTTTTGTAGTTTAAAGAAATACTCAGTCCGTGGTCTTCCTCCTCGGTCAACGTCAATATTATGAACAGCGTCGTGCTCGGTCTCCCGTATGAGAGAGAGACCTGGCTTGATTCACTTGAATGTCCTCCCTCATAAAATGGCCACGGCTCACCTTTCCGTAGTGCACTTACTTAAAGCTTGAATTTAATAGCCAGTAGGAAAGACTCCGCACGTCGATGTGCTATTTTAGATGGATCCCATCCTATCTTATTCTATCCTATCCGTGCCCTCACTCATCATGCCCTCACCCCTCAACACTAACAAGTGAAAAAATAGTGTTTGATCTTCTTGACGTTGACAATAGCTGAGAGCAGTAGCTACATGAGATGCATCGACCAGGATGATGAGCAAGATGATGATGAGGATGATGATGTTGTTGTTGTTGATTGATAAGCGAACAGGACAGCGCCTACGCCAAAAGACAAAATAGCGGTAGCCTGTTCACGTATCCATGACGATGGAGAGCTTGGCTGTCTAATGCTTGGGACTCCGTCGATAAAACAGACAGGCGGCTTACCGTGTGGGCGTTCTCCGGACCGATTAAGCAGCTCCATTATGAAAGGGCATTACGTGTTTCATAATGTAGTTGATAACCGGTTAGCCCTTCCCCCATCATCCTAAGGGAGCGCCCAAAAGCAATGTGGTTGATGCGCCAAAAAAGCCCTAGAAGTTCTTTCTAGGTAGGTAGAAGCAACTACTGAACAAAAAGACTCCTCATTGACTTCAACTTTGTCCCACTTCCCATTTCCAGAAAGAGCTCCTCTCGCGTCAAATCCAGACTCAAATCGCTTAATTATCTTATGTATACTCCTAGTAGTTCTGTGCCACCAAGTAGCCACCCTCTTTGCAGAGAAGCGCTATCCTGGATGCGACGCTAGTAAAGCACCCCACCAAACATACACAGTATTTTTTTCAACTCTATCCATTGAGCTTTTCTTGGGCGGATTATGTAGTAGTCTACGAGCTTCATAAAATAGTAATTTGGTGCGCCCTTTTTCCTAGGGCACCGTAATTTAGGTCCAGCGACGCTCGAAGCACTTCAGGAACGCAAGTAACTGGTTCAGTACTTTTTTCTTCGACCTGTCCCTGGAATCAATCAAGTCCAAGCATAGTAGTTTCTTGTTGTAGTGCTCCACTAAGTCGTAGGGCAATCCGGCGCGCAGGATCCTGGGTCCATAACCTAGCCTAATGCGCTATGTAGCTAGCTAATGATAGATCTTTTTTAGGTCTCCTAACGGCTGCTGACGTAGTGTCAAAGCTAGCCAGTCAAGTAGGGTTTACGGCTCTCGTTATTTTAAGTCGGTGTCGTCGCTCTCCGTCGGAGGCACCACCACACTTGGAGGCCTCGAATATAGACACACATAGCTCATGCTGACATGGAGTATTTATATGGTCAGGGCGTGTAGACAGTAGGATACCAAAGAAGAAAGTCCTATCCCTATGACATGGCATGGCATGACATAAGATGGCATGGCTATGGCATGCCATGCCATGCCTATGACATGGTTTGACTATTCCTATCCCACGGCTATGACGTGATAAAAGAGGTTCCATGACATGACTCTAAGTTTTCGAGGAGCTGCCCTTTCTTGTGATCGCAGCGAGCACTGGAGGTCCCGTGAGGCCGAGAATCGTGCCAATTTTCGCCCTAATGGCTGGGACGGGAACTGTATTGTTAAGGTGGGTCTCTTCACTAGTTGTCTATCTACGGGGAAGATGAAAGGGTCATAGCGTTAACAATGATTGATCCTGGAGGACTGCGTGATCCTTGAAGAGTTGTGCGGATGAGATTGGCTCTCCGATTATGATAATATGGGTAAATCTCAAGGTGGATACTTGGAAGACGGACTCTCATCCGGCATGATGAGATAGCCGTATCCTTATGACATAGCTCGCAAGGATACGGCTGAAACCTGACTTGCGGAGATGTCTAATATTGCACATTCAGCCCGAGAAGGATGGTGCTTTCTTATGGCCGGTTTTGGTCTGAGAGTAGTTACTTTTGAAGATGTCAGCCCTTCATACTAATATGCCGATCCTATCAACATATTTACAGCATTTGGCTTTGGCGAGCATTGATTTAGAAGGCACCACATGCTTGACACTGACATCACATTGAGATTGACGCTGTGCTAGACAAGAGCTCTTCTCCTAGTAAGTTTTTAGTGCATGCACATCTTTCTAAGTTCTCCTCTCTCTGTGGGATATGACCTGGTGGACATTCTTCCGGACCACTCTTTTTACAGGGATGGGAGAGTTAGTGCTGCTTCTGTGCCTAACTACCCGTTTTGTCCAGAGAAAAACGGATACGAAGAGAAGCGCCTGCTTGTTTTAAGACTTCCGGATATCCATCTTCAGAAGCATCTAGGAGCTCCCGTGTAAGCGGGAAACGCGTCCAAGATGGGTTTCCAGATGGATTCCCCGAAGGTCTAATGGTAGAGCCGAAGAGCGGAGGGGGATGGAGTGCTCGAGGGGTTCTTCTCTTTGCTTTCGAAGACCCCCCCCCTCCTGGTGAGCCCGTACTCGCGCGCGTTTCTTTCCCGGTCCCTATATTGGATTCGGAGTTGAAAAGCCCAAGCAGAAGGGTCGGGCATTTAAGGCTCAGACAACTTCATTGGTCACTGTTGAGGGTGCTCCCATGATTGGTCACACACATTTTCGAAGAGGAAAGGGCATGAGAGAACCGCCAAGGGAATAAACTAAGAGAAATATTAGGGTGGTGTAGTAGGGGGGCTCTCTCTCTCACAAGGCAGATATTTACGAGGTCCTTGGTCGTGGTTCTGTGAATACTAGAGCTCCTGACGACGAGGTTCGCAGAGTTAACCTTCCTGTGCCTATCCTTGGCCCAAGCTTCAGGAGCTACTGTTTCATCTCGCGGCCAATAAGTAAATAGTTGAGAAGAACTATTGGGGACGCACTTTTGGATTTGATGACAGTGTCTTTCTTGTCCTCCGCCGTTCAGGTGCGAGAATCAGTACGATGGCCTCCTAGACCTACTTCAGTACTATCAGTGACCAATTATGAGTTCCAACCTTTAACGTATTCGAGTGGGCCACTGGGTGGAGTCTACGACTTGTCTTTTTCCAAACCTCGTGGAAGTAGCGACAGTGGTCCTCGTGAATGGCAGCTGGACGCTGATCCGAAGTATGTTCTAGCGCCAAGGCACTTACAATTAAGGCTATCGGGAATCCATCTCCAGCAGCATCCTGAGACCTCTGTCTCTCCAGGGGAAAACGAGGCCCAGGATGGCTCCCAGGATGGATTCCGGGAAGCTGTAACACAAGTGCTCCCAGGCGCCATGGAATGGAGTGACTTCGTGCTCTTGCTTCCACAGGGGAGCCCGCTGCTCAAGCTCGAGAATGAAGACGAAGAGGAGGCGGGGGCGAAACAAGCTTTGGATCAAACTTTAAGGCTAGTACCGCTGAAGCATGTTTGCTCTTGACACCATGATCTTGATTCTTGGAGGTATGTCTCCTTGAGTGATCCTTGGCGCTTCCGTAGTATCATGATGAAGTTTGGATATCTCCTGAGTATCATGATAATTCTTGTTAGGTCATTGCGAGATAATTCACTTGAAGAGCCTAGGTGGTTCTTCTTCTTGTTCTACTCTTGTTTTAAGCGGATCTTCAAGGATGCTGCACCCAGGGACGCTAAAAACGAATGAATAAATGTGATAGAAAATGCTCTCAAGGAAGACGTTATTTAACGCGGCAGCTCTAACAACCGGGATATTTTTGAGTCTTCGCAAGCGAGATGGTGAACTGAGTGGAACGGCTTCTTTGGCACAAAGCTTCCTCCAGTTAAGGATAATCAATATCAAACTTTCACTTTTTATAGTATTCAATATCGTTACTATTTTTCAACGTTTTTGTGACTTCTAATATTATGCATTGGGACACTTTCTGTAACTATTCAGTTATCGTACTTAACTGTACCGTTCGTAACATAGTCTGAATTTCAATATTGTTCGTGACTTTTTTTTGACTTATAACACCACATCATGACTACTTCAAGAATTATGGGGTTAGTAGTTACCTCCTAGCGATTTGACTTTTATCTTCTCTCAAGTTTGTTGATATATGTTCTACTGTGCAGCCGATCATGATGATTTTTCATAAAATTTACAACTACTAGTACTAGCATCTTCCTTCGCGTAACAATAGTCACTCCTCTAAAAACGCAAGGCTTGGTGACGATGGGAACAGGTGCTAAGTCACAAGCTAGTGGAGGAGAAGATGATGATTAAGGTTTCAATGAATAAGTGATCGCTAGATTCCAGAGAGATTACTTACATAGAAGTCCTATCTATAGAATTATCATACGAAAGAATGCTTGCGTGCGTGGTAATCCGCACGTGGAGGCAATAGCATGGGGATAACGTCAGTTATTTTTCGCAGTTTCTTTTCTTCTTGCGATTGGATTCTAAAAAAACGAAGGAAAGGAGTGAAATCGTTTGAGCTCTAAAATATTGAGGTGGGGAGGAAAGGCGTTCACGCACTGCTTCGCTACGACATTCACTATCGCAGACCGAAGGGTCAGCTATTAGGTACCGTAACCATAAAGCCACCACAAAAGGACCTCGAGGCAGCACTTTTCCTGCTGTACAAGCGTTCAGTGTCCTCTCCGATTTCGGCTGTAAACGGTGCATCTTCCGGTCTAAGCCCATCCGCAGTCTTAGCGCTTCAGGCCTTGCGTGGGGTCACGCAGATCAAACTCCGAAAGGTGAAACAAGGGATTCAGTTACGGCTTTCCCTGTGAGTCTAGTTCTTGTAGAGATTGAAGATTTGCGCGCGAGCTCTAATTCAAAGCTTCAGACCGCGCGAGGAAGAGATACTGCGTTGGGTGATGCAGTCGGAGCTGGAAATGGAGTGCAACTTGGCTCGCAGTGTGCGCGGGAATCCCTATGCGGCGTTTATACGCCGTGCTGCAGCAAAGTTATACGTTGACGACCTGCGTAACGCTCACGCGGTGATGCAGATCGCTCAACAACAAGAGTTAAGAGGATACCTATGTATCAGATAGGTGTCGATGGTGATCTTGTTACTGTAAGTATCCTATTTTCCCGCTCTTCTTGTTATTCGTCACAATGGGTCGAGGTGCCCAGTTTTTCCGCTCCTGCTACTGTGAGAGGAGGCTCGCTGCCCAAGGTTGGCGCATCCTACTCGGAGTGGGACGGGGAGCCTGCCCAACCTTAGATAGCGCGCCTAGTATTGTTGTAAACACTCTTTGTCCTATCATCTTCTAAGCATAGCAGCTGTTATCATCTCCTAGGTAAGTAGTAGATGGTTGCTAATGCTCACTAAGTCTATAGCTGTATCATCTCCTGAGAGTGCATGTTGTGAGAATACATTCGTAAGTAGTATAGCTCCATCAAGTTGTGCCCGCATAAGTATTAATTTGTAAGTATAATTATAGCGCCTTGATCTTCTTCTATCTTGAAGCGTTGCCCGCCATGTCCTGTTAACTATGTAGACCTGGCCCTCTTCTATCTTCTTTTACGTGAGACTCAGTGACGATAATGATGATGATGATGATCTCTTATTTTCTTCGTCTTCGTCTTCGTCTTCTTCTTCTTCATCTTTCTTCTTCTTCTAACAGTGCGGCTGGATGTGAGAGTGTATTCGATGTTTCTACGTACAGCCTGGGCTTCTTCCTCCTCCAAAGGGCGCTACTTTCACCCCTCCCCCAGCAAAGTGGAAGGGAATAAGCGAAAGACAGTTTGGACGAATCAAGTTAAAATAATGTTAAGGCTAGCGCTGTTGATACAAGTACTTACCGTCATGGTTCGACCTGTGCTGTTATCTTCTACGATGCAGGCTTTCATCGTTTCTTCCAATGGAAGACCACAGCGTTTGATCGATTACATGTATCCCCTCATTAGGTTACGCAATTCCACGGCCGTCCTTTGGACACACTGTTGGAACTGTATCATCCCGCCGGTAGGCTTGAAGGACTACTTGGGATGCGAATGAGTGAATGTCTGGACGCTATCAGAACTAATCTCTACGGGCACTACGTACTAACAGTGTCATCAGGGATTCACACATACATTGTTGATTCTGCTCTACTTAGTATGGCTTCGTGTAGGAGGAAGACGCAAAAGCACTCATCATCTAGGAATAGACGCAAAAGGACTCTAGGAAGACGCAAAAGCACTCATTTAGGAGTACCCACGAGCACTCTAGGAAGACCTAGGTAGACGAGCTCGTCTAATCGTGAAAGTGCTGGAAAAGCTGGATTCAGAGCAGGCACGCGCCCAAGCTCGAAAGGACCCGTCCAACAACGGAGAGGGGATCACCAACATTAAGGCTGATTACAGTCTGACAATAATTAAGCAACCTCCTCCCATAGCGGGACCTTGCTACGATTTTCCCCTGTCTCAGAGGTGTGCTGCAAATCTAGCCTGGCTTCTTCCTTTTCACAAGGTTGGGGCTTAGGTCCAGCGGCACTCAAAGCACGAAAGTAACGCAGCCGGTTAGTTTTCACCTCTATCGGCTTAGCCCCTCAAGCAACAGCATGGCTTTTTCGTCTGTTGAAGAGCAGGCATCTTCGTGTTCTTTAGTATAAGTCCCCTTCTCTTCGAGGGAAAGAAAACGCGTGGTCAAAGATTATCTTTATCTACTAGAAGTAGATCAAGACTAGATACTTAACATCCGCTACGGGTGGAATGAAAACACTTGGAGGCTCAAGACGAATTTATAAGTAAGGTCGTCTAACAACACTGCAGGCGCAGCATCATTAGAAAGGGGACTGGAGGATGGCAACATGGTTGGCCCTGTATGGCGGGAGGGATTTGTGCGTGCCTTTTTCCATCGGGAATATTGTGCCAGCATCCGTGGTGAAGTCCTAGACACCCAACCTCAGAAAATTATGACTGTACTTGCAGATATACTTGGATAGAAATTCTTAAAAGTGCTTATGTTGAATGCATTATAGCTGCATTAGATATGGCTGCCCCTCGAAGTCTAAATCTAAATCTAATGCATAAGTGCTGTCAGTTCCTGAGCCAAGCATCCTGACAAGGGTTAATATTTACCATCTTGTTCGCGTCCTTGAGGACCGTTCTAGAGCGCGAGCGGTACTATCTTCATAGGAAGTCATCATCTTCATCTCGAAGATGCTTCTCCCTAAATGCTCTTGAATTTTTTAGCACTTACTTCATGAGCTAGAGTGGGTTGAGTGGTTGTATCTATCTGTGTATAGGACTGCCTCTCGGTCCCGCCTACGGACTTCCTATAAGACCTAACCTAACTAAGTAACTAATTGACTAACTAACTAAGTAACTAACTAACTAAGTAACTAACTAAGTAACTAACTAACTAACTAACTAGGACTGCTACCTTTCAGCGAATATTAAAGAGGAAAAATCGCAATCATGTCGATGTAGATACCGCATTTACTGTTCTCGAATAAGTTCGATTCGCTTGTAGAGTTCTAATAGCTTGTAGAGCTCTAATAGCTTGTAGAGCTGTAGTAGCTTGTAGAGTTGTAATAAATAGCTTCCAGAGTTCTAATAGCTTTTAGAAGCCTAATAGCTTCTAGAGTAGTATCCACAAGTGAGCTAAAGTTTCTAGGTACTAAGCTCTCTCTAAAAATACAGAGGAGCAGGAGGTGCATCTGCTGAAAGATGATGGCTTTGAAGATGCCAACATATATGATGGGCGCAATCAGGACGGTGGCTATCCCGGCATGTCTTCGGCGTTTCTGTTATGGGTGACGTCAATGCTTTTTCTGCCTATATACTTCTTTAGCCCATGCATGGGCGCACTTCTGCAACTGCTACTACTACTACTACTACTACTACTACTACTACTGCCCTCTTGGCCAATGCTTTTTCTTGCCTTCAAGGTCACACTCAGACCATCTAGTAGTAGATTGCCTTTGTTCTATTTCCTTCTGTCAGACCATCTTCTAGGCTAAGCGCGGCGCTTATTTCCCCTGACAGCCGTACGTGTACGTAGAGTAAGGCCAGTAACGGGCCTCGAGTTGCCACGGGTTGCTCGAGTTGCTGAAGCGCAGCGTTCCAATTCTGGAACGAGTTGCCAGGGGGAGCTAGCTGCGTCGAAATGGTAGCGAAGCAAGGCGGCGCGGGCGCAAAATTACTCACTCGGAGAGCGGGGCGCCCTCTTTGTGCGCTCCTTCGCGAAAGAAGGCTGGGGTGGCGCTGCTTCCTTGCGTTTGGGGTCGATAGTGGCGCGCCCCTCTCCACCCGGCCGCGGTGGTCGGGGGCAAGTGCCTCCGCGCTTTGTTCTTTGGTTTGGTTCGTTGGGGGATCGTGTTCAGCTGGCTTCGGGTTTTCGTTCGTCAGTGTGCGGGGGGAGGGATCCCCGCCAAGGTGGCGGGGGCTGTTCGGGCGGGTCGCGGTGTGTGCGGTTTTCCTTTGGTCGGCAGGTAGGTGGGCTGGTGTGGTACATGTTACACCCCCAGGGACCCCGCGCTGGACTCGTTGCGGACATTTTACTGCCCACTCCTGGCTGTCTTCCACTGGCTGCCTCCTCTTATCCCGGCCCGCAGTGTCGTTGCTTCCTAGTACTTCAACGTCCCGCCAAGGCTGCGCCCGCAGGGCGCAGCGGAAAAAATTGCATGGAGCAGAGTGAGACACGGTGCGCAGCGTCTTGCGCTCCTGTCCAGGTGTCTCGAAGTCTACGTCGCTGCGCCTCAAGGGCGCCGCGCAATAAATTAGGGGGGGCAACTCGAGAAATTCGACCTGATGCGGGACATGAAAAGTCTCATCTTATTATATATTTATAGGTTAAGGCTGTGCGGCATTTCTGCGAAGGGTATCATCTGTACCGTGAACGAAGAGCCATCATGCTGCTTCTCCCATCGTAGTACTTTCAAGTATCACAATGTTGCCAGCCCCAGCACTTTCGAGTCTTTTTCTACTTCCTCGCGAAAAGAGCTGTTTAATTGTATTCATTGATGAAAGGAGCTTTCTTCACCTACTTGAAAAGGGCTGCTTGGGTCTACTTGAAGTGCTGTTTTCTAGTACTTGAAAAGAGCTGTTTGAATTAGAAGCACTGCTCTCTACCTGAAAAGTGCTAAAAGAAGACACTGCGAATGAACATCTTCTAATAGTGCAAGAAGCGAGGTGGGATTTCTCCGAAGGAGACGAGGCAGATATGCTGGCTTATGCAATGTCAGAGCTCCCGAAGTACTGGACGGCAATTGACGAAGATGTTAAGAGTCAGCACTTTATACCATAGTTATATTGACGTGCGATAATGAGTGGTCGCGCCGGACTTTTTAGTTATATTGACGCACAACAATTTGAATTAGCTCTACTTAGTTAATTTTCTTAACCGTTCGAGCTCGTCTTTTATGCCGTCTCGCTGACAGTTCCTACGAGAGTTACGCGTGTGAGAAGCGTAAGGGATTCTAGCCTCATGCACAACTTTCACATCAAGGTCAAAGATCATAAAATCACGGACAATCTCGGAGCACTTTCTTTACACACACGTTATATGGACGATCAACAATGTGTATGTTAGTATCGATATACGAGTGGTCGCTGTGATAATCCTTCGCGCCTAAAAATATCGACGTTATACTAGCACGTGTGCAACTATGTTGACTATGTGAGAGTGAGACTCATGTCATGCCGCCGACGCTCGTGCATCTATGTATACTATTTGGAGCTTGGTGCTCCTCTTGAAGCATGCGGTGAAGGCGTTCATTTGCGAACTTCATTATATTAATATAAACATCCTCCAGACGCCACCAGATCATTTATTCTGTCATTGCCGCGTCTCTACTCGGGTCGCTTCGGAACCAGGCAGCTCTGAGTTGGTACGTGGTTCGAGTGAATGAGTGAATTTTTCTCGTTAGGACTCGCTCCACTGGACTGATCTTTTGTTATCCTGTTGACCTAGATTATCAGCAAAGTCTTCTAAGAGCACTTGCGTCGAGGCTGCCTACCGCAGGCTCAATATGAAGCAGGAATGGGCGCCGGAAAGCACTGAAAAGACTAACTGGGAACGTGGACTCGCAAAGATAACAGAGTTAAGGCTCTCTAATATGAGTATCACCAGTCTGAAGTCACCAGTTTGAAACTCTCAGTTCCTGAATTGACGAAGTTATAGACTGTCATAAGTAGTTTAAAGTTTTGACGTTTTTGAGATAAAAAATATTTTCCCCATACTTATTAATCATCTTGTCTATCTCCCGCCCCAAAATGGTTATATCACTGCTACGACTAGTACTAGCTACTTCCCGCGTCAACCAAGTGTGTGCTCGATCTTTCTTAGGTTTAAAACATTGGCGGCAGTCGCAGCTGCGGGGAGGTCGGTGCCCTGTAGAGGCATCCTGATTAATTGGCTGACCGATGCCGTTCATCTTGCAGGGGATGAAGATGCCATTTCTGTTACTTTTATCCACCGGCTCAGCCCCAATGGTCGGCGCCTAGGGTTGCCTGTCTCTGTGTAAGGCGTAGCCATGTTTCTCCTTCCTTTGGTTATTCTGGGGCGCAGCGGGTGGGCTTCGTCCATTGCTTGCCCGTTCTGTCGGTCGCTATGCGCTAGGTAGGGTGTGTGATGGCCCCGCTGCGGCCATTCGTGCGCTCGGCTTATACTCTTATTTTTCCGGACTGGGGCGATTAATCCGTGAAGACGAGTACTCTTATTTCACTGTAACTGCTAACAAACTAATGGTTGTTCCTTTTATCCACCGGCTCAGCCCCAATCTTTTCTAATCCTGCTGCCAGAAGGACTGCATGAGACCTTGACGGACAAGCAGCTGCTTCAACACCCGGAAATTATTCCGTTCGGTAAGCCTCTCTCTGCTGACGAATTCGTCAAGAAGTTAGTTACGATTCTATTGTTGATCAAACATCGTCATCAAACATGTACTAGTTATAGAAAAGGATCCTCGTGTTAGGCTTTTTCCTCCTCTTACGAAGTTGTACTAGTTAAAGAAAAGTAACTGCCAGTTAAAGAAAAGTAACTGCCAGTTAAAGAAAAGTAACTGCCAGTTAAAGAAAAGTAGCTGCTGCACACTGTTGGAACTGTTTTGTCCTCCCATTAGGCCAGGAGTATCAAATGGGGCACGACCACGAAGAGGCTGGTGACAGTTTTTCCCTCAGTTTAGGCTATCTCCTTCAAGATGGGCCGAAGATCTCTTCCCTTGTACTCAGTGAAAAACCAATTCAGGGAACGTGCTAGCCTCAGGAAGGCTATTTTTCAATGATTTTTGAGGAAGGGTTAGAGGTGTGCCCTGGGTTAGAACGCAGTACAATAGCCTGCGTCTTTTTGCTAATAACTGACGAGCTTTATATATAGGTCTAATGATTCTTCGTTCCTCGTCATTGCTCCACTATTAAATCTCTAACGCGAACTACCCAGTAGATGAAGCCATGGTAGGAAGCCAAATACGTGACGCGGAAAAGGCGAATCTTCAAAAGGCAGCGCCGAAGCTAGTCAGCATTTGGCAAGCTTACGGCCTTTCTTGATTATAGGGATGAAAGGGATCATACAAGACCTCCATAAGTAGTGGTTAGCGAAGGTACTTACACGGGCAAACATCGGTAAAATGGGTATTAATTGTAATGAATTCATAGTCCCCTACATCAAGTACAGGGTCAGTAGTGCTATACTTCAATTCATATTCATTGTCATTCTTGCAATTCATATTCACGATCATTCACATTCCCCATTGACTTCACAACTTCATGATGATTATTCCCCAGCATACTTGGTTACTTCGTCAGTATCTGAAACGGCATGAGAAAAGTAGGGGGCATGAGAAAAGTCGGGTGCACACTCTAAGAGATTCCTGACTTCGGCATATTAGGTGTCAAGCACACGGATGGGACAGATCTGGAGAACTATCGCTAAGGCTTGGAACACGACATAGGGGGATACTCAATATTCTCGTATTCTACATTCTTCTCTATCCATTCTATATTATCAGTGAGTCATTCATTAGAGCATTGTAAAGCCTGCGTATAAGAAAAATGAAAATGTCCTAGAAGTATTGTGATATAAACACAACTAGTTCTACGTTGCTCCTCTGTATATGTTCCAGGGCTCAGGGCTGAAGGGGCCCCCGATCTGAATTCTTGAGGGAGAGGGCCTTCAGCCCCGGGTCCTTTTTCTCGAGGGACTGCCGGGCGGGAAGGCTTCCAAACGCCCGACTTCGCACCTTCGCGGCTTCTTGCGCGTACCATACAGAGCCCAAGCCTCTGGGGCCGCTCAAGCACCGGCGGCCGGGGGTGGAAGGCTTCTGAAGGCGGCAAGGCTTGGCCCCCTTGCCGTGTTGCGTGTACCCTACAGACCTCCCGCGTGCGGGCTCCTCACTGGGGAAGCTTCTTGGGGGATGGAAGGCCTCCGGGGGCAGCAGGTGGCGAGGCTTGACCCCTTTCGCCGTGCTGCATGTCTCCGACAGAACTCAGGCGGGCACGCCTTGCTCCCTCTCCTCCTCGCCTTTGGTCCTCAGCCCCCCGGGCGTTTGGTGGTGTACACGTGAAGAGCCGCAAAAGGGCTCCGGCTCCGCCTTTTGAGGCCTTCGCCCGCGGGGATCGTTACACGTCACCACCGCGGAAAAAAGGGCGCGGTGACGCCACCACAGCTCCAGCCACAGGGGGGGCCTTCCCGCCTGGTACATATTTATATAGCAGACGTCAAAGATGTCTTTTAGTTTCCCTTCGTTCTATAAGAACTTTTGTAGACGTCTTGCACCAGGAGCGAGCCAGATCACTTCAATATTTTGTCAATTAGTTTTTTATTCACGTTGATAGTAAGTATATGTTGGTCAGCGTTGCAACCGCTTAAAAGAGTTCTCATCCATGCTTGGCATGCTTGCAAAAAGTCCGCACCCATGCTTGGCATGCTTGCAACCCCTGCCTCTCCACTTCAATTCTAGATCACTTCAACTCTCTAATAGTACCGTGAAAGGTCACGCATGCTTGGAATGCTGCGCGCTAAACCTAAAGAGAAACCAAAAAGCCCGTCGGAAGCCGCAAACGTCCGCGGGCTTCGGAAGGATTTTCTGACAAACACTTTCGACCTGACCCGGTACAAGATTTAGGGCTCTTACTGAAATAGAATTCAAGAGGATTAGCATACAGGCAGTAACATCTTTCATCTCCATCTTCAAGATAGATGTACGTCATCTAAGTCACAACTCTTCTAGACTATAATTGAAAATGTGTCGACTTCTTTGGATAGAAGTAAACTGTATCAACGAGAAACTGTGTGATCCGTTCTTTCTTGATCTATATGAAACTGTTTGATCCAGTCGCCTTCAGCATCTTCTTCAAGATAGCAGCGAGTTTTTCTAAGTCTCGGATATAGACAAATTGTTTTTGCCAACCTACGTCAGCTTCCTGGATTGGTTTTTCATCTTCAAGGACAAGGTGCCAGAATCGACGAATTTGGACGAGTGGCGCATCCGCCGATGCAGTTTGACAGGCGCGTTTGGGAACGGGGACGAAGTTAAGGCTAGCTTCTTTTCACTAGAGGAGCCGAGAGAAGAAAACGCATAATCTCTAAAAGGCTATCTACTTTCACCACCGGCGTAAAATGCCATCTGTTGTTCTAGAGGAATGCAATTCTTTTTCTGTCTAAGGTCTACCTGATTATTTCCACTATCAATATTCCTCCCATTTGAACTAATATGCTGAGTGAGTGAGTGGAGCCCAGCGAGTGGAGAAGGCAGAGGAAAAAAGGCGATGGTCCTAGGTGTACTTTAGTGTACTATATATGATCCAGGGCTCAGGGCTACGGTGCCCCCCCTAGCGTATGGGGGCGGCACCGGTAGCCCCGGACCCCTTATGCGCGCGTCTGCCGGGGGTGGAAAGCCTCAAAAGGGGGCCAAGGGAGGGGGGGGCACCGTCGCCCCGCGCCCTGGGACATATATCCTGTTACCTCAAGGAGAGCGCGCTCTTATATTAATGGGAAAAAGGGGAAGAACTCACTCATGTATTAGTTCTTCGGGGAAAAAGGGGAAGAACTCACTCAACCGGGCATCCCTTCTGGATTTGAGATAGTGAAAAACTAGCGCTAAGAAAGATATTGGAGGACCACTGCGGGAAGCGTCAAACCCTTTGTCCCTTGCCGTGCACCTTCGCGAGCTACCTCTGCATGGAGGTAATCCGTCGAATATTGCATGGAGCCGTTTTTTTGGGAACCTATTTTTGGGGCACTTAGAGTGTCTTTGTGCAGACGGTAATGACAGTTAAGAGAGGAAGCGTTTCTAAGTAGAGGGATAGGTAGAAAATGAAGATTTGAATTTCTCGCTGTGAGGTATAGTAGAATAGTCTAATATAACTCCTACACTTCCCTCATCTGTAGAAAGTTCCATTTTCGTCGGTATACAATCATCACTGGAGCAAGGTGGATACCATCCAGAAGATACCACTCCCCAGCTAGAAGGTGCCTCTTCTGATGGTCTTACTACTATCTCTAAGACAAGAAGGATCTTTTTGCGAATGTCATGGAGGCGCTGGCGCAGTTCCAGGCTTTGAGTATTAAGGCTTCCGCGCCCTTGTTCTTTTTTTAATCATGGGGAAAAGCAAAAGACTTGTCCAAGATTGATTTTGGTTTGTTGGATTTTCGTTTTCTTCTTTTTCTAGTTACGGCAGCTTTACTGAACCTTCTACCAGTACCGGCGATTCTTCTTTGTAACAGCTGAGCCACCTATGCAAGAACTAATCGTAAAACTAGAGAAAAAGAAAGTTTAGTTGAACTAACATCTTTTTTTTCTAAGTAATGTTACTGAGTATATAACTGCTATCTTCTACTTTTACTTTTACTGTCAGCTGTCCAGTTCAGATCTTCTTTGATCTTTGTCATGTTCCGCCTACAACATTTGGGAAGTATGGTCCTTACACCACGAAGATGCCTGACGAATGGGCACAGACACTATTGCCACTACATCAAGGAGAGACGCAACGCGGTACAACTAGCTAGCTCTAATGATGAAGAGGTCGACAACGAGCCGAAGCTGTATGGGTACCGCGAAGAGGATGACCGAAACCGCTGCCGTGCAGCCAAGTGGCAGCAGATTTGGTATATCAACCTGATATTAGACAACGTGGTGACGACTTGTGGCGCATCGCTCTGGCCAGATTCTGGTGACGATGTGAAGTTAAGGCCTCGTCTATTGATTTTACCATTCATACTTTCGCTAGGCTACACCTTTATTCAAGAATTTTTCCATTCATTACTTAACTCATGAGTGTCACTGACTGAGAGCTCGCTACGCACACCTCTACTCAACATCTGGCCTTTAGTTACAAGTCGCTTGTTGGGAGGAACAGGCGTTGAGCTTTCAGCCACAAAGAGGAACCGCTCCGATCTGGAGAGGGCGGCCACCTGGCCCGAACCTGCCGGCACTAGTGCGGGGGGCTCCCCTCCAGGCCACCAGGCTGGCCCCTGGCCCTGAGGCCTTGCGGGTTTGCCCAGGTGGGGCCCCCGTGTATTTTGCATCATCCGACCCGGCTGAACAGGTTTCCGCCGTCCAGTTGTATGGCCAGGAAGTTTGCGCCACAGACACGATGGACCGCGTGGGCGCGGTGTCGTCAGCCCGGCGGAGCTACCGCGGGGTCATTTTCCCGCACTTTCTGGCGCAGCGCGGTCCCCATGCTCTTCCCCATGGTGTAGGGCGGCGACCAGCCTGAAAGCCACCTCCATGCCAGTCAAGTCCCCTGCAGGATTCGAACCAGAGACCCACCGGAGCGAAGCGCAGGCAGTCGCCCACCGAGCCAATGCGGCGAAATTGTGCACCCCCGGGGAGTTATCGGCCTCACAAAAAAAAAGGCGCGCGCTTGTTTTGTGTGTGTGCGGCTGTGTGTGTGTGGTTGCGGCTGTGCTTGTGTGGCTGTGTGTGTGGCGGTGGCTGTGGCTGTAGTTGTGGCTCTGGCTGGGTGGCTGGGTGTGTGTGCTTGCGTGTCTGGGACAACTGCTTGGGAAAAAAGGGCGGCCTTTAGTACTAAGAATAGTCGCCAAGGTTAAAGAGTTGGCCTTTAGAAAATAAAACAGCGCGGGAAAAAATTCTGGCTTTTGAAAAAGTTTTGGCTTAAAATTAAGGCTCAACTTTCAATGGTCATTGGGGTTGGTCACTGAGATCGAAGAGGCGACCCCTTGAGACAACAGGGAAAAACGAAGGAAAAGAAGGGGGCCTCTTCCGTTCAGCATCAGTGACCATTGAGTGCTGAGCTTTAATAAAAAGTAGAGGTTTTTCTTTTTGGAAAAAGTTCAAGGCCTTGGGAAAAAAGCAGACTTTTGGAAAAAAAAAGTTGGCTTTTGGACAAAAGTGAAGGCTTTTGAAGAGGTTTGAGTTGGAAAAAAAAGCTGGCGTTTTGAAAATAGTGAAGGCTTTTGAAAAAGCTTGGGCTTTTGAGAATAATGGCAAAAAGTCCAAGTCTCAGTTATTATTATATTATATTATACATATAGATGCCTATCAATATCATGATGTGGTAAAATAGCCGCCGACTAGTTTTCGACCAGCTGCGGTGAATATGTTGTAGTAGTTTCGTCCCTTCAGCTAATATCATGTAGTAGTTTAATAGTACAAGCTCCCGCAAAAGTAGCCAGTATCTGTTGGCCATGTATGGTTCAAGCCTCTCGGATGTCGTGTCGTTCTGTTCTCAGTGGCTCACACTAAGCCTCGTGCTCGACTGTCATCGGGATGATCTCACAGGGCATGAATGTCAATGGTCACGAATGCTACTCCCAACGCTCAATCACAATGATCAATGGATAGACTAGGCATGGTTATCCTGATCCTAGGCGTATGATGCATGTTCAGTCCGATCCCTTCTGACATGCTTATGTTGATGATGGGTGATTCATCTTACCCAATGAACCCAACAGGGATTACGCCAGCCAGTGATCTGATCATAAGTCACAGGCAGGCACGCAGAGACTTGCTTGCGTTCAAGATTCAGACACTGTGTTGCCACTGAGAAACGAACCTGGCGCGGAGGCCTGTGCCCTTGTGGTCCAGCACTGGTCTAACCCTTGAGCGGCGAAAGCCAATAAATTTGGAAGTAGTGTAGTGAAATAAATAAAGCCATCAAAATGTCCTGCGACGCGAAGGAGATCATCAAGAAGTTAGGACAGAAATCCGACTGGCGCGAGTGGCAGCGTGCTGTACGTCAAGAAGCTAGTCGCCTAGGCCTTCTTGAGAACTACACGAATGTAGTCAACGTGCCGGCCGCTCCACATGGTGCGCCGCAAGGTAATACCAGTCGCGAAGACGCGATCCGTCAGAAGTGGCGCAACCTGAAAGACGCGATCACTCGCAGTCTGAAAGGTGCGGCCAAGTCGTTCGTCGACAATCGAAAGAACGATGGCGCGGTGGGCGAAATGGATGCTGGTGAAGTTGTTCTACTTCGTGACCAAGGGAATTTCAACGCGAACAATCGCCAGGAGCAGCGCACGAAGGTCAGGCCGTTGTCGGAGGGACTGAGGAAGTTCCACAACAGCGACCAGCCTGCTGATGTCAAGGAGTTCCTGTCAAAGGTCCGTGACATCATGAACCAGTCGCCCACCGTCTTCCCGCCGGGTGCAGATCTGCCTGAAGCTGACCAACAGAGCGGAGCGATCCTGCTGAAGTTGCCCGAGTTGTTCTGCAAGAACTTCAGGGCGACGACCGAGCGGATGCAAGAAGAAGACGATCGGACATTTGACCAAGTTGGAGACTGACTTGAGAAACGTCTCACGACGTTGATCGAGGCGGGAACCTACAAAATTGAGAACGATTCCTCCGGGAAAGCGTCTCCGGTCAATGTTCAGGAAACCTCGGACAAGCGTCCTCGTGATGATAAGAATGAGGATGGTGACGAGGTAGAGGCCAATAAGGCAGATGGTAAGACCTTCGTTTCTGCTAACGCCCTCAAGCGTTTCAAGCAGAAAGAAAAGAAGAAGGCAATCGCTGAGGTCTACAACTCCTACGGGTACCAACCCAAAGGAGGGAAGAACGGCGGAGAAAAGCCGAGGAAAGATAAAGGAAGAAATAAAAATACCTATCCACCCCGCTGCTATTGCTGCAAAAAGTTTGGACACAAGTCCACGGAGTGCTGGCATAACGCACAAGCCCTTCAACAGGGACAGGGAAGCTGGACTACCGGAGCCTTTTCTAGTAGTGTTAAAGGCAAAGCAAGGCGGAAAGGGTAATCAAAGTGGAATGGTGCACATGTCGCAGATTGCGGAGCTGTTCAACATCATGAACTCGCACAGGCAAGGCTGAGCGACGGAACCAGGACTGATCATAAGTCACAGGCAGGCATGCAGAGACTTGCTTGCATTCAAGATTCAGACACTGCGTTTCCACTGAGAAACGAACCTGGCGCGGAGGCCTGTGTTCTTGTGGTCCAACCGTATCACTTGCTAGTCCCTTCACTTAAATAAAAAAAGGAACTACTTTTGCTGCCGTTGCTGAGAGCTTACATATGCCACAAGGAAGAACCTTTTTCAATAAGATATAGGTGAAGTGTCTAATGATGAATTCCCTAGTAGCGGACTACGCGATACGATCGGCGGCTCGCAATGACGCTCGAGAAGAGGACAAGAGTGACGCTGGCAAAGCCTTGACAGCGTCAAGAGACCGAACCTCGACTACTGGCGTTGCCTTATGGCTGCATTTGACCGACTATCTGATCCTATTCCCTGGCATTCTCGGTTATTTCAGTAAGCTTTCGAGTAGAAGGATCGTAATGGACTCCACGACCAGTCGCAAAGCACTAAGCCCTACGGGTAGGCTTCATCTGGACAACTTCCACTATGCAGTAAGTATTTACCTCACCTCACTCCAGCAACCACATCCAACAGCCTTGGCAGCAAATCCATGAAATTAGAAACACCATAAGAGAACAGGAAACGCTTGCGGAATAATATGGGTGAATCAATTAGCGAGCGCTGCCGCAGACGTGGAGTCCCTTGCTTTCTTTCATGTGCCGTCTTCTTCTGCTAATCGGGAGCAATCATGTACCCGTCTAAGATTGATTAAGTAAGTAGAGCTAATAGAGTCTAATCAATGACGTGGGCGACTTTTCGGGTTTAGATGCGCCATACGAGAGTCAGGAGAAAGAAATTGCAACGAAGCCAGAGATGAACGAACAGTTAAGGCTCACCACATGACATCCTGCATAAGTAGCATATTGGGCATCTGCTTTCAGTGCACAAGCAGCATATCAAATACTTAATTCATTGGGCGTTTACTTTCCAAGTAAAGTGCACAAGCAGCATATCAAACACTAAATTCATTGGGCGTTTACTTTCCAAGTAAGTAAAAATGAAGTCGAGGGAGCACGATGTTCATGTTCTGCAGGATCGATCCCATTGTTAGGCTTCAGTACTCTATGATGATGATAGGCGATTAGTACTCTATGATGATGATAGGCGATTAGTACTCTATGATGACAGAGATGAACGAACAGTTAAGGCTCACCACATGATGATTATGATGCAATCATGTGAAGAATCCCTTTTCCATGCAACTGCTTCTAAAAAAAGTGTTGGACCGGATCACGGAAAATAATGTGAGGAAGGAGTTTGACCAAGCCAAAGCCACACCTAAGGGGCGCGAAAAAGCGCAGGGGCTCGAAAAAGCGGCAGAGCTCCTGGAACATGAGAAGGGGAACAAGGGCACCGACTGGTTCTCCTGGGGATATGAATGAAGCTTTTTCTCCCACAGTTTAAAATAACATAGTACACTACTTACCTAGCTAATTGCTAATTCTAAAGATGACAGCTTAATAAACTTCGACTTACCTAAAGACGAGCATGAGGGGACTGAGCGCAGAAATAGATATTAGCTAAAATAATCTCAAGGGTTTAATAGCAGGGTTGCAGATCGTCTCGTTTAGTTTTAAGGGCTTGTAAGAATGGGAGAAAAAGCTACTTTTTTCTTCATACTCGTGAAGGTGAAAATTCCTTGGACAACTTCAAGAGACGCTACTTCAAGATTAGCGACTGGAGTGTTTTCCTCTATTTCGAGGCAATCACTGGTCGCATCATGCGCCAGCAGCAAGTTCAGAGCATCCAGAGGGTACTGGGAAAGCCTCCAGCTCTGCCATCTCAAGCAGCTGTGTTTAAGAAAGAACTCGATTTGTTCTTTTTTGTCATGACGGGGCTCGAGTAGATCTAGACTACAGTAGACTAGTAGTAGAGCTACTAATACTTGAAGCGAACGTTGAGACTGAAGAAAGTAAGAGCTTGTGCTTAGATGTTTTATCCTCTAAGAGGTCCCGAGCGCAGTTTTTCCAGTCAGAAAACCAACAGCGAACGAACGACCATGGGAAAAGGTTAATTGGAGGTCTCAAAGAAAAAGAAGATCTCCCATCGCCAGTTAAGGCTAGCAAGAGAGCATCCTCAACGCCATCCTTAACAGTGGCTTGTAATTTAATACTCCTGAGACTACTAACACTCCTACTACTTCCCAGGGGGGCATCGAAAAAAAATAGTGTCAAAATAGGCCATGGATGCTCCCAAGCAGGATGCCTGTGCGGTAGCTCTAAGTCAGACGGGGAAGTCCTGAAGGAGCTGATCGAAGGACCGGAAAAGGGAGAAAATCAATTGCTACAGCTTGTGATGGGCATAGGCAAAACGTCCGTGCTCAATCCTCTGATCTCTCTGTGGCAACGCAGAGCTGCTCCGGTTCTGATTTTATGGCCTATCCATTCTGTACAACTATGACTGTACTAACTATAACCTCTCCATTTTTTGTTCACAGATTGACTATTCACTAGCTTTCTGTACTATGAATAAATAGCGACTTCTTAAGTAGACGAAATCTTACGATAAAAAGCATCTCCTTTAGAAATTTGGGCGCTTACAGCTCGTCGTAAATGAGCCCACTCGTATCCGATCCTATCCCATCCTATCCTATCCTGGTCGGTCGTCCTCTCTCTAACCTTTTACACAGATGCACTTTTTGGTTCGCAGTTGCCAGAGACACAGCACACTCTGGCACAGCTCGGTGCACACCATGTGGAGGCATTGGAATACTCCAGAGCGTCGCATGGAATAGATGCGCTACTCTGTATGGATGAGGTTTTCTCCATCCTTACGACCATCGAGGCTGCCCCTTCGTTCTCCCCTTGAAAGAGTAATATAGGTAAAAGCGGGGCCTCGGTGGTCGGCCTCCTTAGAAGATGGAAAAGACGACATCCTTTCATGCTTTGGTTACGATCCTTGCTGTTTCGCGCAAACGTGGCAACCAAGAGCCGAGAGGGAATTGGAGGTGCAGCAGCCGCTCGCGCGCCACGGCTCATTCTGGCCTCAAGGCAGAGCACACTGCAAGCACTGGATGGCATGGCAGAAGTCGTGTATGAACAGCTAACCACTGCTGCAGCAACTCAAAAAGCGAATCCGTTGGGCGCATACGGCGGACCAACTACTCAGTTGGCTACAAAAATTATGGGTCCGTCTAGGGAATTCACCGTCTCCCGAACGGGAGTCATCTCAGAGAGACAGATGATCTGAGAGAGAGAACAAGACATCAAGAGGAAAATAAAAGCACTCACTCAGATGAACTATCGTAAAAAGATCGCTGTTGAATTTTCTACGCCTCTAATTCTAAAACAGACAAAGACGAAACCGAAACGCAGAGGCAGACGAGGTGTCATTTGCTCCTTGCGATGATCGCGAGGGAGGCGTCGTTGTCCCCGTGGGAGCAAGGGTTGGATGAGGAGACCAAAAACAATTATGGCCATCTTTCTCCAACACCCTTTTGCCCTGTATCTATTCTCATAAGATACAAGGTAGAAGGGGTTCCCAAGATGAGGGGGCCGGATACAAGACAAAAGGCTGACTCGTCTAAGACAAAATCTACCAAACGCGGAGCCCCTTGCTAGTTGCGGAAATGCTGCGAGCGGGAGAAGCCTACAACCATCAGATTGCGGTCTCGTCGCCAGAGATGAAGAAGTTTGTGGCTGCGGTCTTCTTCGATGCGAATATGTGTAGTGGACGCGAACGCTTCCAGATGGCTCAAGAGCATGACGGCGCTCCTCGTCGGATATATCGCTCGTGGAACGATGGCCAGAAAATGGAACGTGAAGGGTTCGAGAGCGTGCTCCGGTTGGTGCTACAATTAAGGCTCAGCCTTCATTTGTCCTTGAGGTTGGTCACTGAGATCGAAGAGGCGACCGCGTGAGAGAACAGGGGAAAAGGAAAGGAAAAGATGAGGGCTTTGAAGGTGGTCTCCTCCGTTCAGCATGTTGAGTGCCCAATGGGTGTCGACCTCTAACACAAGAACCGAATGAAAAAGGTGAGCCGGAGGTGGACACAGACAGCTTGTGGTCGATGCTACAAATCGTTTCGGAGGCTTCTGCTGCTGCAGAATCGTTCTTGCACAAAGACCCAGATATTAAGGCTCAGCTTTACAATTCAGTAGAAGAAGTGCGTTCTTTTGTGTCACTCCGATTGCAGCAGCTGAACGTGGATTAGCAGAAGTCTTTTTTTTTTCTTCGGGTGATGAGTAAAATTTGTTTGAAAAAATGAGCAATTGATTTTTTTGAAATCTAAGAATGGATCATCATGACATGAGATACTCTAAGTCTAGGGGTGTGCGAGGAGTAAGTAACTTATTATTCCTTCTTACGAGGAGGACCATAGAAGTAAGAAATGGAGGCAAGAAGTAGTGCTTTGATGAGTGGTCCTCTAAGGACGAAGATCCATGCGTCGTGAAGAAAGACGAGGTGACAAGAGATTTTGCTACATGGCAAGCGTGTAACCATTATGGCGTTGCTACTGTGGACGACTTGCAAACAACGCCCCCTCCAGAAAAGAGCTCGATGGATACAAACCGAGGAAAAGCAACGAGGCGTCGCGCTCTGCACTTATGATGTCGTCAATAATGATAATCCTACTCATACGTAGAGACACAATGCTACACAAGAGGCAACATCGGTGGCGTACTAGCTCTCCAATATTATAAGGAGGTACTATAACACTGATCGGCCTCACAGATAGACACCTACCGCTATATACGAGGCTCCATGCCATGACATTGCTATTCCTACGTAGTTTCGAATAAAAAATAATCCTACGCTTATGAAGATGTCAACTACATGTGTCAAGCATAATCCTGCGTGCCTTATGCTACCAGAACTCCCTACTCAAATTGTCCCGAACTTGTTAGTTGTACTCATTAGTTCTACTAGAAGAACAGAAGCTAATTTGTAGAGCCGGGAGGTGAAAGACATGATTGATGAAGCGAAGTATAGGGAAAACATCTGTTGAGTGGGGAAAAATTCTTACAGGAGTGAGTACTACGGGGGAAAATTCTTACAAGGAGTGGGGCGTCGAGTATCTATGGCCGCAGCCTTACAGTCAAGAGTGAGCAACAGATCTGGAAACGTAATAAACTGTTCGGGGATCATACTTTTCTAAGAATAGAGCTGTTTCTGCTGGGGCGCGATATTGGTCCGCGGCTCCGACGATCCTTCCGGTACATCGTAGATGAAGTTGACACTGTGCTTTATCCTGTTCGCCAGTTGAACATGCCACTAGTTAAGGTGAACTACAGGTCACTAGTTGATTGGATTCTTCCTTTATATGAGGATGAGGCTTAGGTCCAGCGACGCTCAAAGCACATAAGTAAAGCAACCGGCTTGCTTTCCCTCTGCGTCATAGGCTTCTCCCTTCATGCAGTCAAGTACTACTACTAGAACAGTACAGGGCCACTAGTACGAGAAATTGCATCAAGTGGAGCACTATCTACTACGCACTGTATCAAGTATGATCTTGAGCAGGCCACTAGCTAAGCTTAAGTCCATCACATACTTACTTTGAACTCAGGAGAGGTTGTCATGGTCTCCAAGAGTGACAGGCTTGCCAGGAACATCTTACTCGGCCAGGAACATCTTACTCTAGTAGTCCCTAACTGAATATGATACTTCTAAACTAGGAGACACGGAGCCATTGGAAACTGTCGCGCTGCAAACGACCGTCTCGCTGTACGTCCAGATGGTCAAATATATGCAGCAGGTGGCACCAAATATCGCGAAGGAGAAACTAAAGTCTGTGGCTGAGGTGTCGAAGGAGGACATCCCTAAATTGTTCGTCACGGGTGAAACTTACGGCAAGGAACTAGAAAATGCGTCGGAAATACGAGATGAAGACAAGAACGCAATACTATCTCTTCTTGCGTCTTACTCATTATAATAGGCAGGAGCCATTTAACTACTCACTATTTTTCCCTTCAACACTCAGGAATATCCCCTTCAACTCGGTATCTCCCTCAACGCAGTGTCCCTTTGGAACGCAATATTCCCTTCATCAGCTCAGTACTTCCTTGCAACTCGGAAGTATCCCCTTCATCAGCTAAGTACTCCCTTGCAAGTCCATACTCAAAATTGTTATTTTTTTATCTAGGTGACCAACAGGCCCGAGAACATCAAACTGGGGCATCTAGGACAACTCAAAAATCATATATGAACACGCTGAGAGGCCCAAGGGGAGGAAGGCGCCAAGTTTTGAGGCCTTCCACCACTAGAATCCGGGAAAAATCCGCGCGGAAAAGCGCGCGGGCGCGCCACCACAGACCAGACCACAGGGGGGGGGCCGTTCGGCCCTGAGTCATATATACATATCTACTCAATTGCCCGCTTTTCATCTAGTAGGCGCGTCTCAACCTGTACATCCACTTCAAGCACAAGGCTAATAATGAAGCTTGCATTTATTATTATTTTTTCATCTAGTAGGCTATCTAGAAAGTTGACACACGTAGGAAAGTCGCGGAGAGCTTTGACACGGCTCTAACAGAAGCATCGCATCTCCCCAGAGGATTTTGACAAAGAGATTGCGCCCTACCTGGCGCGCAGCGTCTGTGCAACGGCTGTCACGATACATCACCACAACTACAGGTACTACAAACACTAGGCAGCTGTAGATTGACAATATCACTTGCTGGAGCCGGACTAGAAGGTTAGTAGAGCTGGTGTAGACTAGTCAAAGTCCTACACTCATCCATACATAGAATACAAATACTAGGAGTGTGCAACAACAAAATACTAGGACTGCGGAGGCGTGTAAAGAGATCGCGATGAGCTGTGGAGTGTGTGAATCCTACGTGCGTGGAGAGGACTCGAAGGAGGTCCGTGAGTTTGCAAAGAAGTTCATTTTTTTACGACGCGATCAGGTTCATCGCTGCATCAACTTTCATACCATTCACTCTACTGCATCCTTTGTTTGTAATATATAATCTGCTGCTCCTTCTAGTGCTAATGTGCTGTTCTTGATTCATTGTGTTGCACCGGATTCCTGACCAGGGAGGGCTAGACCTGAAGTGCATGACCATGACCATGACTGAGTAACACTTTCAGGGCTTGCGTCCTAGTATCCTCGGTTATGATCACTGTCAGAACTTTTCCCTACCACGGGTGTCAGGAACAGCGCTATCAGAGATACGCACATCCCCTCGCGTCAAACTATACCTCAAGAACAGGCAAATGAGTGAATGAATGACTTCTGAGTAAGAATTCCTGCCTGAGTAACACTTTCAGAAGTTGAAGTCGCGCCCTGAGAAATGGCTTGATGTCATCTCCTGGTAAGGGACGACAGCTTCTGGTAACATGTCTTTTCATGGACGACACATGTCGTCGTAGGTATTGAGTAACTACTTGTATGAACATGAACTCCTTATTTGATGCAATTCCAATCTGGTAATTGTGCTTTCTTCATCCGACACGACTAGCTGTTTGTGTCCAAGCCGTTTGTTTCAGAAGTTGAAGTCGCGCCCTGAGAAATGGCTTGATGTGAAGGGTCCACACCATTCTAATTTTACGGAAGCTAGACGCGGCTAAAGTGCCTCAAAATTTAATTGCAAAAGGATTTACCCTGGCAGTGTGGGAGGACAATGTGAAGCGCTACAATTAAGACTGTTTGGTTTACATGACGGTTGCTACTCTTACTTTTGTGGTAGAAAACTAGATAGGAGTCCTCCGTTCTTGTAACTCATAGATAGTGCTGATGTGGCAGAGAAGTAGATAATCACATGGTGCTGTAGTTTTCTCAGTTCGAGAGTAGTTCTCTGTTGTCAACGCTTGATGTAAGTAATTTCATAAATTCATTGTGTCAAGGGGTACAACGCTTAATACTATAAATTCATTGTGTAGCTCTCAACTTGATGTAAGTAATTTATTGACAGTTTCTACTCTTACTATTGTGGATTTCTCTTGTCAGATCGATTCAGCCTGCCTGTAGGTGCCATATGCCTATTGGGGACGCACAGAATTCTAGAATGGGTCAGGCTCTTGGTGAATCGGGAGATGTAGAGAACAACTAATTAGAAAACTAGATAGGAGTCCACCTCCGTTCTTGTAACTCATAGATAGTGCTAATGTGGAAGATGAGTAGATCTAAATGGTTATAGTCAACATTTTTTTGATTTCATTAGGCAGATTTTAGGCATTGGCCCTAATGCATCCAGCGCGCCAGTCTCCTTGCGCTTGCCAAGATGCAGATTGGCCAGGGGATAGCGCGTGACGCGTGTGGCAAGGAGTGGGGCGTTGAGTATGGGCGCAGCCTGAAACACCGACAACAGAAGTTAAGAAGGAGTCCTGGAAAACGCAAATTTAGCTTGTTCAGATGATGCATCTGCAAGCCGTGTTGGAAGGCCATATTTCGTAGATGGAGCATCTTCATGCAGTCGCAAACAGAGGGGAAGAGATCAGCATTACTCGTCCATCTCCAAGGATTCTCGCATCTTGAAGGTGAAGCCGTCCATCTCCAAAATGCACCATGATCAGATCTTAGATGGATTCAGATGCGTAGACTTACACCTCTAAAAAAGATCGCCATCCCGTATGCGGCAGCACAAGCGCCAAAGGAAGGGAGCAGCTTTTTGAACCCTTGGGAGACTGCAGATAAAACGCTATTGATGTGGTGGGCGTCGAAGTGGGACGCACCCCCCGCCGGCTCCTCGGAGGAAAGTGTGCCCGCTTCTTAAGGATCATGTGTAAAAATTCTTGCTATATTAACTTCTAAAAATTCCTTGTGAAAACTCATGTACTTGTAAAAACTCCTGGGTTCTTCTCTAATGATTCCCAGCCGCGGTGTGGCTGAAAGCCTCTCAGGAAGGTGACTTGTTTAACAAGATCAGCGAAGAGGCGCAGAGGACAACAGCGTTTGCCAAACAGGACGTCTTGGCCAAGCAGGTAACCGCCGCCATCCCTCGTATCAGTGAAACTTGGAACCTTTATGGCTTGAGCTATGCATAATTCATACTTCTACAACTGGATCCCTGAAGGGTTTCGCAGTGAAATTTTAAGCGGTCGTCGGTGATCTAATACACTTAATAAACGTATCCTTGAATATGAAGTCGAATTGTCAGAAGTTCATCATGCTCAACTCGAGAGGCTGCATCAACCATGGAATGACGTAAAGTGAATTGCAGCAAAAACTACAGTTTAGTGCCAGATCCTTATTTTCATCAGGATAACAATAGTCAAAAGGCTCCTGTAGTACTCGAAAACTGAAAATAACCGAGTTACTGAATGAAATAAGGGAGGTAGCTCTGACAGGGCTACAGCTCTTCCTTGTTCAGTATCTCGCTTATTGTAAGTAGTTACTCGCTTATTTCAGTTATTTTTCGAATAAATAGTACTGTAGTGGAACAAACTGCAAGGTCTACTACTTCTAAAAGCTAGCTGTGAGTATCGTGGAACACTATGAGAGATCCAAGGGCAAGGATGCTCGTGGCTCCTCTTTGCAAGAACGAATCGGAAAATCCGCAACTGCACTGCCTGCAGTAGTTAAGGCACCCGCTGAAGCATCCTCAACAGCATCCCTCGATCTTTTTCTACTTGAAAAGGAGGCCAACGATGCTCCGAGGTAGCTCTAAAGCAGACTTCCCGGATGGGATTCACCAGAAACAGTGCGAGGAAGTCTACAATAGCCAGGATTTTTGTTATGGCAAATATTAGTCCACCGAAATACTGATCTTAGAAAGTCCTAGGTTCATCTTATATATTATGGCTCCGTACTTTTTCTATGTTGCGGCCTCCTTGTAGAAATATAAGACATACGAGGATGATCTTCTATTTATTGTAGAAAAAGGAAATATCTAAGGATCAAAAGCTTATTGTTGTAGAAAAAAGTTGTATATAAGAATAAGTAGCGCTAATCCTGGACAGAATTTGGTGCCCAGCATGGTGACCCTGCGGCGATGGCGAGCAGCCAGAAGGGAGGCACGACCACGTTTTCTGCAGAGCTCGCGACTTTTCTTTTCGAGGCAAAGAAAGTAACCAGAATCAAAGACTGCTACGGTGAAGAAGAACAAGCAGCGATTCGAAGCCAGCCGGAGGCCCCTCTGCTCAGCGTTTTGTTTGACTCCTTTTTTTAGGGCTTTCTTACTGCTAACTGAATTTTTGAAAATCTTGAGAAGCAAGGACCAGGTTCGTTTGTCGTACGTGGTTTCCTCTTTCAATGGAAAAAGACCATGGATGATGGTTTGTGCATCTATCAGGTGATCGAGGCTTCCCGTTATTAGGTTATACCCTTCCTAGAGGACGAAAAGCGTAGCCATGAACGTGATGATCTGCCTTTAGAAAGCATCGTCCTCCATAAGAACGCCAAAGACAGTGTGTTTTTCCTGAGGAGAATAATCAACACGAGTCTCGATTAAGTTCTTCAACAAGGTGAAATGAGTATGAGTCACACTAAACACTTCTTAGACACTAAACACTAGCCTCTAAGTTGTACGTTCCAAGTCGCGTCAGTCAAAGGCGAAGTCGGGAGAAGGGGGTGACTCCGATGACGGCGATCCTAGTAATGCACTTCGCCTGTCCCCAGAGATGAAGCGGTTCTGCCAGCGTTTAACCGCTGTTTCCGCGTTGAAGAGCGCGATCGAGGAGGGCAGGCGAAAAGGAGATCTGGTAGCGCTGAGGCTGATTGGGTGGCACTTGGTCAGCAGGGTGTTCGCAGACAAAAACCAGCGTTTGGGACATACTCCTTTATGACAACAGCTGATGGAGATGGTGACAATAGTGTCCGCGTTGAGGTAAAGAGGGCAATGGTTGTACAGCATGACGAGCATGCGTATAGTGACTTCAGGAGCTACTTCAAGAGCATGCAGGTTCTTAGAATCATACAGGTTCTTACAACCATATCATGAATGTAAGAATGTCTCTAACTCCTGCGCAGGTCCAAGTATCAGCATTGGATTTCGCATTGCAGCCGCGCTATCTCGAAGGCTGGAGCGGTACGGACGCGAACTCCCGCTCCTACTCGCCTCGGTTGGTGAATGATGATAAGCCTCTCGAAAATGTCGACGAAATCATGAGCACCAAATTTTTGGCCGAAGCTCCTATGGGGCGCAGCTTTGTTGGGTACCTGCAGACAGACGCAACGTCGAAGGAGAGGCCATTGTTACGGCCGCAAGTATATCTATTCTACGTGTAAGAATCTTCACCGCCCATGGAGGAGAATTGAACCAACAACCTCCTGAATTGCAACCCAGCTGAAGTGGACTTAGCTGTAGTAACTTTTCCTTAGCTGACCTTTTAACAAATCCTCAAATTCCTTTAGCTGACCTTCGTAACAAGCTCTTTTCCTGAGTTCCATTTAACAAACCCTCAAATTCCATTAGCTATCATAGACTTTTCTTTCTTCGAATGGTTTCAATCGATAGAAACCTCAAGTGAGCTTAGCTGTAGAAGGAACATTTATAATTACTCTCGAGCCTTACCTGAAGTGAACTTAGCTGTAGAAGGCACATTTATAATTACTGGCAGGGCTAACTCACGTAAAAAATAAGCATTTTTAAGCACAAATCACCACAAGGACCATATTAATTTAGCGTACATCAATCGCTAATCTTGCCGGAGCGTGTTGTGGCGAGTTTTTTCGATTCGGTGAAGAAGTTTGGAGACGCGGAACATTTTGGCAATCGGCTTTCTGCCGTTATCGACGCAGGTGCGTGGTTCAAAGACGCAGCGCCAGCGGAGTGTGCTTGCCAACTTCTATTAGCGGTGAACAAATGGAACAGGCTCGGGCCGAACTTCGTACCAGATCGAAAAAAGTACATTGGGTTTTACGAAACACGCGCTGGGAAAGATATCAGCGCTGTTTATAAGCTGGAAACCTGCAAAATCGAAGCGGCAAAGCGACCATTATGGCTTTACCTGCTCACACGTCCAAGTTGGATTTAATATTATATTACATGTAAAAGTCAACTTTTTTACGTGTAGATTTTGATTTCATCTAGCAATTAAAGCTTAGCAAGTTCTTTTTGTCCGTTTCTCGTCATCACAGTCTGCTGTTGGGAAGATGAAATTACACGTTCGTTGCCAGTTGCAGTACATAGGCGTCTGCTGTTGGGAAGATGAAATTTCACGTTCGTTGCCAGTTGCATCTTCTAACACCTCCAGCCAGCCAGGTCTCCGGCACCAGTGTGGACATGCTGAAGCAGGCGGGCCTCGACATCACGGGGACGATGGCGGAGGCTGACGTGCGAAATTTGTTCGTGTTTTTCTATGACCATCGCCATAACGTAGGCGCGGATTGGCCAAACCCGCTAGATGGAGTGGGCATCGCCACCTTCGGCCAGAAGACAGACAAGGCTTAAGGCTTGCCCAAATTCTTTCAACATCTTAAGTGAAAGCTAGCGTCTTTGGAGCCGGGGTTTGTCATAGGGAGAGACTTCATAGGGAAGAGGCCACTCTCTTAGAGACTCAGATGTGAATATCATTAGATCACCGCCTCGAAGTCGAACGGCTTATTACAGATATCGATAACTTCTTCTAAAGAGTACGTTGGGCACAATCACTAGCCAGGCTACGAGAGTTTCGCACAGCGGGAAGCCACGTCTTTGTCATCCTGGAAAAGGGGGCCGCAAAAAACATGGGCATCACCCACGACACGAAGAATGAGGACAAAAACGAACACCATCAACTAAAAGAGAAACTATGGAAATACTCGGCTGACATTCAGGAGGAAGCCGAAAAGCGAAACTACTTCTCTTCGCTGATGCAACAGCTAAAGTTAAGGGTTACCGCACTGCATTCTTCACTACCGTCCTTCACTTGTTGTCCAGTAGGAAAAGGGTGAGGGATGATCTGAAGAATGGCAAGCGCAACCTTTAATCAAAGCGGTGGAAAAATACCTGATAAAATGGTATCGTGATCAAGTCCTCCTAGCTGGTGTGGCGTCGCGGCTTTATCCTGCCGCAAAACAGTCGCGGGAACGGTATCTTAAGACTTTGTTTTTAGTTTTAGTCCATCCACACTGCATCATCTTTCATAATACTACACCACCACTGCTACGAATATTGCTATAATGACCATTACCCATAACCTAAGTACAACCCTAATATCGTTTCTTCCTCTAATAAGCTCAACAGAGAAGCTTGGAATCCGTTCACTCCGGACCCTCTGGACACTGACCAACCGGAGACGTGTGTGGGGCCAGCTTTAAAGGGCGACGGCGTTGTATTTTAAGGCCTGCAGCTACTTATTCTTCTACATCGGAAGTAAACTGTTTTTCTTTCCTATGGGCATCTACTTTTCCTTCTAAAGAAGTAAACTCTTTTTTTTTTGTACAGGGAATAAATTGCGGAAAGGAGAACTGTTGGTGCCCCTCTTGTTGAGGAACACCAAGACTTCATGAACTAAAGGGTTAGCAGTACCCCTGTCTCTATTTTCCTATGGTCTACCGACCTGATTACTTTTCTTTCGTTCCTCTACCTGCTGCAGTTGGTCTTTGTGCTGTAAGATCATCCCAAAATCTAGGACAACACTCACAGGGACAACATTTACACACTACACATACCACATCCAAAGCTGTAGTAAAGAAAATACAGATGTTGAGGTCCCCGCGCAGTGTAGGTTTACTAGATGTAATGGAGCTGTTGACGCTTGAAGCATAAAATCCCACCACACAAAGTATTGGCGGGAATGCATTTCTGTGCTAGAGGTGTACCAGTACCACTCAAGGACCTAAGTTGCAGACTTCTAGCTTTCATCCCTTCATGACTCTCCTGTACTCTCTCGAATGTCAAAGATTTTTCCTGCGAAGAGAGAGTAGTTCTCTAGTAGTAATAACCTTAGTTGTTTTCCCTTGGCTCTATAATAAATCCGTGGGTGTCCGTCTAAAAATAATGATCACACTAGCTTTCATCTCTTCAAGACTCTAATCTGATTTGACCTCCCAAGCGGAGAGGAATTTCCGACAAAATCAAGAGAACCTCGTGGTCGGCAAATGGCAGCTAGAATCACCGGAGTCGCAACAATCTGCTCTGAAAATTAAGGTCGTGCCACTTGAGAATGAGAAGGATGAAAGGGAATGTCGAAGGAAAGGGAGTGTGAGAAAAAGAAGGAAGAAATTCAATGTCGACTTGCCATATGGAAGCCCCCTGCAGCGCATAAGTCGCTCACGCGGTCCAGTAGAGGGGAGTAGAGGGTGTGTGATACATTCAGGAAGTTGTAGTTGACGATAGTTAGTGTTTGGTAGTCCCTCTGAGGCTACGGACATTCGCCCGGGTATACAGGTCAAACTGCGGACGGCGTGCCAACTCCTATCCTATCCTAAGCCCTACGGTCCTCGTCAAAAGCGTGTCAGTTCGTCTGGTAGGTGTAGACATTGGCGGCGTCTTACCGGCTTCTCGTCCAATAATGCAATTTTTTCGAGCGTGTAGACAGTAGAACCCAAAAAAAAACGAACTTCCGGAAGTACTTATAGCTAGAACAGTTTATGACACGAATGGCGGTTGGCACGAATGACACGGTTGGAACAACCCAACGAAGCCAAAAAGTGCCACGAATGGCGCGGTTGGCGTTGGCACAAGCGGACAGGGATAGGGGTGCGAAGGGCTGCAATTCTACGGAAAGCGCCCCTGCCATTTTGAAAATGGTAAGGGAGCTAGCCAGAAACGAAGCCGACTTGGCTGCTCTCTAAAGAGTGCGGACCCTAGTGCGGCTGACCGTCGGAGGGCTGGCCTCTTTCTTGGAACTACCGCGCGGGTCGCGCAAATTCTGGTGGACTTGCATGACCCCCGCGGAATTCCACGAGAGGAATGCTGCGACAAGGCGGGCGGTTTAGGGTGCGGCCTCCGCCTTAGGGTGCTGGCAGATTGGTCGCAGGGCGCCCGAGTGGGGTTCTCAAAGTATGTGCGCAGCATTCGGAGACAGCGGCAACGCCGCGGGGGAGGTAGCGCCTGAAAGCGCAGGGCGCCCGAAGGGCGCCCCGCTCTCGAAGGTCTGATAGGTCCACGAATGGCACGAATGGCGGAGCACATTGAAGCCCCGGATTGGATGCGTGCCATTCGTTCCAACCGTTCCATTCGTGCCATGCCAACCGGCCCCCAGAAACCTTATACCCTGTTCTATTATACGTCAAGCGTCGAGGACTTGCCGACTTGCCACAAGGGGCCACCAACCTGTTTGAAGGGTGCAGCCGCTCCTGTGGTCATCAGGCGGCTCTACTTCTATAATGTATTTGCTCGAATGGAAGAAAATAATGTTCTCGTCCAGGAGAGCAATGCTCTCCAGTCGTCCAGGAGAGCAATGCTCTCCAGGAGAACACTACTTCTAGTACATTATAGATCATGTTGGTTACGTTGAACTCTGCCAAGAAGTGCTTGCTTATTGAAGTTCCTAGTGAAGGAAGGGCAAGGTGGGCACCGTTAGGTTAGTACTACGACATTCCCTTCCCGTCACGACTCTCAATCCGTGGCCTCATTCAAGTAGAGGAAGAGCGATCATCCAGATCCATTACGAGAGGTTGTATCATCTATTTGATGTTCTGGTATAATGATTTGGAGAAAGAAGTGTAAAGGTTTGGAGAAAGTGTAGTAGAAAAGGTTTGTTGATTTTTGTAGTAGAAAAGCTTCTATTAACTCAGGAGACGTAGGAAGACATGTAATATTATAAATAATGTAATGTACTATAATACTAGACATGTAATCCTCTGAGGCGAGCAGGTGCCGGCGGGGCTCGTTGTGCAGGATCCATAACCTAACCTAACCTGTAATATTATAAATATTGTAATGTATATCTCCTTCAATTTTTGATTCTCTACATTCTTGCAAGGGAGGGACCAGGACTCCTTGACGATCATGCAGACGAAATACAGCAAGAATTTTGCAAAAGACCTTCTTGTTCTTCTAACATCGGAGCTGCGGGAGGCGCCTGAATTCCTGCAATCCGAGACCATGTACAAAATCACAGAGCCAAAGGAACAGTTGATAGCGGTACATTTATATATAGAAAGATGGAGCTTAAGATGGAGCAGCAGTTTATATGTTTTTTGATTAGCATGATTGCAGTTTGCATCAAACCCAATTGGTGGGAAAACCCAAAAAAAAAATTTGCATCAATCTACCACGAACCAGCCACTTCTCACCACCTTGCCTCCTTTGCCAGCTTCAGCGTCTTCCGGTTTGGTGGCGCTCTAGGGTACAGGCAAGAAGCGGGAAGGGGTCAGAGGTGGGCGCTTTGAGGCCTTCCCGCCCGGCGGTCCCGCATCAAAATTGGGCCCGGGGCTGGGAGGCCCCCAACCTCAAAAAGTTAGATCGGGGGGGCCTTCAGCCCTGGGCCCTGGGGCATATATTTGATTAGCACTAGACCGGTTCTTTTGATTAGCATGATTGCAGTTTGCATCAAACCCAAAAAAAAAAAATTTCTACCACGAACCAGCCACTTCTCACCACGTGCAGGTCCTTCTTTTTCATTCGATGACACGCAGCGCAGTTTTGACGGTGCGTGGCGAAAACATCCCGATTCCTGCTCAGTTTGGCCGCGTAGTGGAAAAATCGACCCCGTTCAAGGCTCTCCTTATGCTGGCCCTCGAAATCGAATAGGAGTTCTTTTTTTGCCTACAACAGTCAGTCCTATACCAGATTGCTTGGTTTGTTGAGATAGTTCTGCATATTAGATGAGTTCCCTTCAGGAAAAAATGAAAATCTTGAACCATCTCCTTCTCTTCCCTCTTGTTAAGCTTACCCCGTGAAGGGGTATTAAACTAAGTACTATTAGTACTATCTACTTGAAATACTTTCTGTGACAAGGGGTCCTCTTCCTGACGACAAGGCGTCCTCTTCTTCTAATTTCAGTATGGCACGCATGCAAATGTTGCTCCGATGGTTCTTGTGGGAGCAGCAACTGAAGAATTGGGCAACACAAATGGAAAAACTGGAAACGCAGTTTTTGGGACTCGAAAAAATAAGTTATGACCTTGGTTGTGTTTTTGTTGTTTGTTTGGTTGTTCGTCGTGGCCGTGTGCCAGTGTCCTTTCTCTCAAATGAAATCTTGGCTAGGAAGGGTTAGTGGGTATTTGCTGGCTTATTCTTGACAACTTTATCATCTAGCACAGAATGGAGTCTCCGCGGCTGCGTCTGCAGTAAACAACTCAATACTTATGATCTTTCAGGAGCGCATCCCTCCTGGGTGGCAGAAGAACATTGATCATGCAGAACATTGATCCCACAGGAGAATAGTGTCGAGACATATACTATGCATAAAAGCTGACTCTAATGAATGGCATGGCAGAAAATGCAAAACGCAGGCGGTGAGTGGTGGAACGCAGTGCTAAGGCCCTACCAACCTTCAATCATGTTGAGGTATAGTATAAGGGTGTGGGTGTTCTCTTGCTCTTCTCATATTATTCGATTCAATTTTTTTAGTGTTCTCTTCTGCTCTTTTCGCTAAATATAGGCTCCGCGACTACAATATCGTCTTGACCTAGGAGGTGGCATCAATCCTGAGAAGTTCTTGATAAGTTTATTAAGTGTTTTCTTCTAGGAAATGACGCAGAGCTCTCAAAGTCGAAGATAAGATGAGAAGTTACTAGTTCACTATGAAGAGTTCTGATCTTCATCTTATGGGCCTTTTCTACTTCTCATCTTATCCTTATGGATTCTATAGAAGAATGTTGAGCACTGGACGTGGACGAGCTACTTGTTTGCTACGACTACTAGCTCTAAAAATTGCACTGGACATGGACGGGGTGGCAATCACTCTGAAGCGCTTCGCCAAAGACGCCATGCGTTTCCACAACGGCTGGTGGCTGTTCCTGCGTAGCGTTAAGGCACGACTTACACGTTCTAGTTAGAAGCCACCAGAAGTAACAAGATGTCGTGACGTGCACCTGCTAGAAGAAGGCAACTAATAGAAGAACGCACGTTACTATACATAGAAGTCACCTACAAAAAGTCACCAAAGTAACAAGAGAAGTAACAAGATGTGAAGCGCACCTACTAGGAGAAGAACGCACCTCACCTAGTAAGAGAAGTGACAAAATAAAGACTGACTCCTGTAGAAGTGCCTCAAAGCAAGGCTCACCTGGTGGAGTCTACACAGTCCTATGAAAAAAAAGAAAAAAAAAAAAATGTGAGACCGAATGAATGAATGAGTGGGTGAATGAATGAATGAGTGTCAGCATCTAATATTCAGACGCTGCGCAAAATGGCGAAAGATGTCGCTTTATTGCGGCAAGAGCACTTGCGGAAATACACCAGCGCTATCGCAAAGGACGCGGCGGATGCAAAGAAAAAACCCCTACTGCCCAAGGAGGTGCGCTACCAACGTGCTCTATGCCTCCACGCCTAATTTGGAACCCTAGTAATTTTCAACCCTGATAGTCTGTCAACCCTAGTAGGAGAGATCAGCCCTAGGCAATGCTACTTTCTACTTGTAAACAACACCGATCAAGAACTGTTCGTTGTCCTAGAAGCGCAGCTACAGAGGCCTGAGTGCTCTAATTTTGTCGAATCTGCAAGATCTTAAGCTTGAGGACGAGGCAGGCACGGGTAAAGCCGAAGTGTGGGAACAGTTAAGGCTTGAGCAAAGGAGACTATACTCAAGAGACTGATCATTTGATTCTTACGTTTTTTTCTAGTTGATGTGAGTCTCCACGCCTACTTCTATGCGAGAGATTGATTTATCTTTAGCAAGGAATACATCTGTGTAGTACTATACAAAACAGTCAGAAGACTTCTTTGATTTGTCTTCTTGAGCGATATCAATACTCTTGTCCGCAGATGGCGATCACAAATGGGGATATCTCAATCAGGAAAATGGCTACGTTTATATCTTCTATCTGCGTAGCCATTTTATCCCTATCTTTCTCTCTCTGGCCATGGAGTTGCTGTCCATCTGGATCCAAGGATAAATCCTTTCCCAGATGTGCAGCTACACGATTCGTCCAGGAATCCTAAGTGCTGTGCCTGCAGGTATCATCGTAGCTCATCTAAGTATCAACTTCTACGTATCTATTTATCCACCGACCTCGCTCTAAGAACGAAGGACTTCGAATACATCTCGGCCTACGCAAAAAAGAAAGAAGATGCCGGAGTACTGATTCTGAGGGTAGAGAGCGGCGGCGACGCTCCGACTGATTTTACGACGAACTGGAAAGTCTTGGTCTTCGACTTTCAACATCATGTGATGGAAGTCCTCTATACAATGATATACTAGCCTTAGATAGCGCCGGCGCTTAGTTAGTTTTAGCAGTTAGCGGGATACTTCAGAATACTTGTTGATAGTTACCTTTTTCTCTTTTATATCTTCCTCTGGTCTGTCTTTTTTCTAGTTAGGTCGGCTCCACCACAAATATACTAGCCTTAGATGAGAAATGCTGACTTTGAAACGTCCTAGTGTTCTGGCTCAATGATATACTTTTTTTGTTTAAAAAAGATGTAATGACTTGGTCTTCTTCGGTTCAAAAACATTATTTGTTGAGGACGAGCCAGTCTTTACGCTCGCTAAGAACTCCCAAGAAGCAGAAATGGAGCAGGAGGCTGAACAGGAACAAGAGCAAGAGGAGGAACTCGAAGAGGAATTGGAGGAAGATATGAAAATGAAGTTGCTACACCGTAGTCGTTGTTGTTGTGACACCGTAGTCGTTGTAGTTGTTACACCGTAGTCGTTGTAGTTGTTACACCGTAGTCGTTGTAGTTGTTACACCGTAGTCGTTGTAGTTGTTACACCGTAGTCGCTGTACCTGATTTACACTGTAATGTAGCTACTTTTTTAGCTTAGTTTAATACACTAGGTAAGAACCTGTAGTGTAGTTTTTTACACTATCGGACATTCCTCTTCATTTACTAGTGTAGTGTAGAAGTTTTTTACACTGTTCCCTTCAGACTACAGAAGTACCTCGATGGTTCCCATCCTATTGATTCTATCCTATCCCCCTGTCATAGAACATATACAAGACCTAAACGGTTCATTTTTTCGCCCATTTTTATGCTAAATTAGCCTCTCTAATCAACATAGGCAAGACCTTGCGTACATAATTCCCGACAAAGTGGTGCTCTATGAGTCGGCGAAAGCATGGGGCGCGTTCGATCCACAGGCGAGTGATTCAGGTGCGAAGGGTGCTTCCTACTTTGGGTCGAAGCATTTCTGCTATGGCGGTTGTTGGGTTATATTGAAAGATGAATAATGAATGCATAAAGGAAAGGGTATAATATCTAGAGACGATTGTGGATTTGTTTCTGAAAGGATTACTTGTTAGCGCAAGCACTTTTTTCATGTTTGAGTAAACGTATGTGAGGAAACTTCGTGGTTGTACGATTGTAACCTTCCAAGGGCCTGATTAATGCATGAGAGCAAGATTCACTCTTACGACAACCTGTAAGTGTCTAGTTTTTTACATTCTGAACAGTCACGTAGTATGGCCGTGACGCCGCGGCATCCTATCCTATGCTATCCTATCCTTTTCTGAGGGGCTAGTTAGTTTCTTTCATTCACTTCTTCTCCAGTACAAGGGTTCGCTAGTAGTTTATCTAATTGATATTGATATAGATATTCTTAAATCTCTAACCTTCTGAGGGAATGAAAGAGGTGAAGCACTTCTCAGGACTACAACAACCTGACGATGAGAAAGCACTTTTGACCGAGGTCCTGTCCAGCATGATTACCAAGAAGCAAAAACTACTGACTGGAGGCTCTGATGGTGCGAATAAAGCTGGTATTCTTACCATTTCTTTGTCGTGGTAAGTACTTCATTTATAAAAGGTAGACGAGGTGCATGTCGAGGCGGACGAGACATGTTATTGATGTGATCGTGCATTTTCTTGATGTTAAACTGTTCGTCAAACATCAATCTAAGAAACTATATAGTAGAGCCGCTTCTTATACATTAAGTACAACGATCTGAAATCTTATGTAATTAACCTCCTTCCATAGCAGGGCGTTTTTGTTTCCCCCTTATATTTTCGTAGAGGTGTGCTGCAAATCTTGATTGGCTTTCACCTTTTAGGTGAAGGTTTAGGTCCTGCGACGCTCAAAGCACTAAGTAAAACAACCGGTTAGTTTTCACCTCCACACTCTTAGGCTTATCCCATGCAGAAATATATAGTAGAGGAGACTGGTTTGGTCCATCAATCGTCCGATCCAATTCAAAAATAGATCCTGGAGTAACTGGAATTGCGGACGACAACACGCCCTTTGTGCATGGGGACACCTTCATCACTGAAGACGCTGCTCGTGGATACAAGTGGGAAACTCCTGGTCTTATGGTGAAAAACTTTTGTCCAAGATCTATATCCAACCTGCCCTATTAACCTAGTATCGAAGTGCAGCTAATTGTTCTACTGTGTCTTCTATTCTTCAAGATGAAGATTCCTAGTACTGTGGTTAGGATGTGGCTTATGCTTGTCTTCTAATCGGCACAAAGGCCCCATGGAGTCGCCGACGTTATTTCAACCTTTCGCTGGTTACAAGAGCGCGGTGCCTTTCCATCACTACGTGGTGATCGACGCTGCCAATTACGGCTTGACGTTGTTCTATTCGAAAACTGGAAATAGCCGAGTGACTGACTGAAATACGGGACGCAACTTTTCCTTCAGTATCTCGGTTATTCTCGTCTGTTACTTGCTTATTCCAGTTTGTCGAGTACTTAATATTGTAGTTGATTCCATGGTCCATCTTGTTGAAACAAAAGCATAAGGATAGGCCTCCTGTTATTTCTGGACATGAAAGCATCTGAAGAAAAGCGAAAACATCTTCAGCGAAAACATCTTCCTCTTGTATTTCTTTCACTGGTCGCGGGACGCTCTACCAACAAGATGGAGCACACTCCAAATAAGGGAGCAAGCAAGCTCTAATCTTGACTACAACAGTCTGATTCGGAGGTGGACCCTGCTTGTGAAAAGGTTCTCAAGTCTCTCAAGCTTAACGGTCGCTACATGGTTTTATGGCAAGGGTGGAACCGGTCATGATAAATCAGGTTCTCCCTACTTCAACCAGTTTGTTTACTTACTTCTTACACTGCTTACCTGCTCCTGCTGTCACTACTTTCTTAAACTAGACTTAACTTGCCTGTACTAGTTGCCAGTACTTAAACTTAACTCAAATAAAGACTAAAACTCAAAAGACTAAAACTTCTTGACTACTTGTACAGCATGATGATGCTGTAGAAGTAATCGTCAGAGAAGTTTTCTAATGTACGTCTACGTGTCTGTGGCGGAGGCTGGCCGTTTCGCCCACACCTTGGAGCACGACAGCACCTTAAATGGCCGAGCTAGAACAGATGGTACAACTCATCTGTCTGACTGAAAATGATGAGTTAGAGATTCTATCTTCCTTTTTGAGTAGAAATCTACTCACATTTTTAAATAAGTATTTTATTATTTCATATCATCCATAGAATGAATAATTGTAATCAATATTGTGAAAAACTAAACACAGGTGAAGCAGCGGAGAAGGATTTCAAGCCACTGTTTTTATTGGATAGCGGAGGCTCACTGATAGCGCCAGCTTCCTCCAAGTGGGTCCACCCTTTTCGTCCGAATCCTCATGCTTATGCAGGTAAGATCCCTAAGTCCTTCGCGTAGATCAGGCAAGAACTGTGGTCGCTAGTTGAGGAAAATCCATTATATAACCCCCGGTAAGGTCGCTCTCCCCTGGAGGTACTTTCCTACTGGATTGCCTCACAAGTAGACGCTAATAAATAGCTACATAAGAGGCACCATGACATGACATAATCGAAGTTACGGATTAGCGTCAGCTTTCTTCATCACGACATTCGTGTGTGGGAGTCCAAATGCGTTGTTCAAATAGTTCAAATCTTAGATCTACTCTCAGGTGCTACTCTCTCGGACAGTGGTCCTTCGAAACAAGCAGTTTTGCTGGCAAGGGACCTAGGACCTGTTCTGGTGCAAGGGAACTTCTTACGCGGTGACCTGCGCTCCTTCGAAGTGGCTGCGGTTGTTTTCTTAAGGGCGGATGAGTGATGAGGTTGATATTCATAATTAATCCACATGACACCAATAATGAAATGGAATATATTGAGAAAATCCACAGGACACCAATGATGAAAAGAAAAATTGACGTAACAGAGGTGTGCTACTTGAATAAAAACTCTGTCTAAAAATTGATATTTATGGCAGTCTGCACTGAACTTTGTGCGAGAATAACTGTATTGTATTGTACCTCTAATTCTCAAGCACTTAGAGTTCTTCGTCCTCTATGGAGCGATCATGAAGCTCACTGGGCGCGAGACTGAAAGTACAACTTCCAGTGGAGACGCGGCGGCGCCACCAGTCGAAGGCGGTCCTGCAGACGGTGCGGCGGCAGGGGCAGTAGGTGCAGGCGGTGCTGGAGGTGCGGGAGATGCAAAACTAGTAGCTGCAGAGGCTTCTGGCGGTGCGGCCGCGGCGGCACCTGATGGAGGCGGCGGAGGGCTTGCACAGGAGGACGTCACTGGCACTGAGACACCGGCTGATCATCCTGCGGGTGTAGCTGATGATGCGGCGGGAGATCTAGCACCTCCTGCTGGTGGTGATTTCGGTGCTGGTGACGCTGCTGGTGTCGGTGCTGGTGGTGCGGCGGCAGAACCTCCAGGTCCACTGCAGCAAGGTGGTGCTGAGGCTGCAAACGCTGGGTCTTTTCTTACGACCAGCGCAGGTGGAGCAGCAGGACCACCTACGCGTCGTGCGCCTAGACAAGGTACTAGACATTGATCCTTCTAATCAACAATTTGAATTTGAACCTTTTAGTTTTAATCACTCGTCCATCTGACTGTGACATTTTTTACCATCAGTCTCTTACTCTTCTCTATCTCTGTGATACTGCAGGAGGAGCAGACGGACAAGCACAAGAATCAGCAGCATCAGAAGAGCGAACTGCAACCGAGGAACTCATGGTCACCGACTATTGTCAGCCTGTTATCAACAGCTACGTGCAATTTTTGACCGGTGTGGATACGGAGACTGGAATGCTGCAGCCTCCCGATGCGGAACGGGTGTTAAGGCACGCTAGTGGATCATTTGATATCTCTCTCGCATTTATTCGTAGCTATTCCTTCACGATTTCGTCAACCATTTCTGTTTGTTCTTGACATCCTCAGTCTAGAAGTTTTGATGTCATCCGTCTAGAGAATTTGTCCAATCTCTAACCATCAAAGCTGCAACCTTGTACACGAATCCCATGGAGAAGATATTCCAGTACCTGATCGGCGGCATAGATGAGTCGGATGCAATGCTTTCGCGACTGGGAGTTTTGTACTTATGATAGTGCAGATACTGCTTCTATACTGTACGTAAATTGAAGATCTTTATTTCGAAACTACTGTGGATACAATCAGTTTCTTTCTTTGAAGTAAAATCGTTTCTTGAATTCTAAGGCCAATGAGATTGTATTTCGAAACTACAACATGATGTACATGACGATCGACTAGAAGTGCACGACCATCGCCTTTCTTGGAGATTCGGAAATGTTTTTTTTGATTTTCCTAAGACATCCGGACGACACTACTGCGTTGTCACAGGGGTCTACGGGTGATGTTTTTTCGGCCCGGCTGCGACTGTTGGGACAGTTATGGACAGGTTTTTTGTTCTTCTTGACCACTACGAATGTAGTTTGATGTTAGAAGTGGTTGTAAAAGGGACAAGAGCTGCGATCATCATGGCCCTCGCAATACAACTGAGTCAGTGTTGACCAAAGATCAGTAAGTAAAAAGACTAAGATTACAAAAGGAAATAACTGAAAAATCAGAGCAGTTTATAGCACGCGTGGAGTATGGAGTAGCATGGAGTGCGTGGAGCGCAGATCTCTAAGGAACCTCGTAAGTTACTCTGTGAAATAAAATGATACCCATATTACCCATTCTTTCTAAACCATATCGCCTATGAGCTCGAGGACAGTGGTCAGACGGCCTCACCAGCTAGGCAACTGGCTCCACCGTCGGAAAATGCGGAGGAGGATGCGGGTAAGTAACCGTTTGCTAACATATTCATCTTGTTATGGCTGGCTCAATGTTATTGTTGCTCATAATAGATCATGTCCTCCTCATCTCTTAATGCTGGACAACAGGTATTACCGCACACACGACATTGACGAAGTACCTGACGATTACACACGGCTTCGATGAGGCGCGTTGGGGCCATTCGGTATGCTTTGGCCCGAAACCCCAAGCGGAAGTTAAGAAGGCCTTGTTATAGTAAAAAAACTCTAACTCTTCGAAGATCTTATTTCTATCACTACCTGTAAGTTGTAAAAAGAATATCTTTCTTTTGGTCTACTTCCTCGGTCTATCTCGTTCTATCACTACTTAGGTAGTACACCTATCTCACGCTTGGAGATGATGAACGTCTTTTTTACTAAACTATAGTATTCTGGCTCCAGAAGTGTCGTAAAGGTACAGGGAACAAGATTCCAGAAGTTTTTTTATCATGATCGTGCATCTATTTCCTTCTAGCAGATGTTCTTCTAAAAACGCACCAGCGGCTAATGGAGGAGACGCCACACCTCTGACGGAGAAGGAAGCTGCATTGCTCATCAAGTTAAGCTTCGTAGCCACCAACGATTAGAAGTAGTGCTGGTACTCAAGACGCCATGATGGGATAACAAAACGTAAAGTTGTAGTACTAGCCAGAACCATTTCTAGCAGCTCAAGCTCTGTAGCTCCTCTCTAATTAATGAGCGAGCTGGTGAGATGTTTCGGGACATTTCGTTTTACAAGAAGGCGATGAAGCAAGTCGAAAAACTGTCCTACACCAATCCACCTCCAGCTGAAGCCAAGAACAAGGGAAAAACCTTATGAAGAGCAACTACTGCTTAGTTTTCCCTCAACATATTTATATTGCTTTTAGCATTACTGTTAGTGTAGTCCCTTTAATATCCAATATGAAGAACAACGAGGGCAAGAAGTAGAATCAGAGATACGCTCTACTTTCATTATATCTATCAGAGATACAATTCTGTATTTACCTACTATCCTTCCTTTTTCTTTTCCTAGTTAGTTTGGCTCCACCCGTATGTTCTATCAGAGATACATTCTACTTTCATTATATCTAGTTGATCCTGTTTTTATGTGCCTCTAATCCCTTTGGAGGAGGAGTTGATGGATCAGCTTGCGGAAAAGCAGGAAGCGCGTTTGCGTTTGCAGGCAGCGGAAGATTAAGGCACATTGAAAAACAAATGCAGCTGCAGGATCATTGAAAAACCCATTCGAATGGTGCCGTTCCTACCGTACCATAGTGAGGCTCGCAGATGAACCCCTCCAACTCATGTTTTAAGAGGAGCACTAAGCTCAAAAATATGCACGAACGTCGATAAATCCTATCGGAACCCATTCGAATGCCGTTCGTAGCGTATCAGTTAGTAGAAAACTTGTTTATGAGGGGTCGTGGCTGAGAACAGTTTCTCCAGGTGTGCCTCTGCTTACCCTATTACCCCTGACCCTAAACCCTTCTAACCTACAGCGGAAGCCATGACGTTGCAAGCTTTGAGTGACGGTGGCGGTGCGGGTGACGATACAAAGGCTGCTGGGGACATCAAGCTGACGGAGATAGTACAGGATGAAGATGAGCGCCTTAAGGCAAACCTTAACCTTTTAGTCTACTAGATGAGGACCACATGATGATCCTGTTCGCTACTTCATGAATACTTACTTACACTCACATGATCACGGAATTTCACACATTATCATACTTATAATTAATTACACACAGTTGTAGGCTTGGCCTTTTAGTAGATTGATGAGGACATTGAGGACCTCATCATAGCATATCTTAACCTTTTGGTAGATGAGGACATGATCAGGGGGACATCAACTATCATGCCCAGTAGTTTGTCGTCCGCATCTTCAGTTCTAATGAAACCGAGGGAAGTGAAGATGCGGACGACAAACTGCTGGAGATCAGTACGATCGCGGAGGTGGCAGCTGCCGATGCAAGGAAAAACTTCGTAAAAGAAGGAAGAAGGGTCCCAAATTATGGCGACACACACGACTATATTAATTATTGTTAGTATTTGATGATTGTTCTTGTGCATTTTGTCAATGATCATTTTGCCAATGACCTGAGGCGCAACTTCTGTGCAATATTAAATATTGTGTCCTAGGTACTTGTATACCCTTTACCTAACCTTACCTTTTTCCTAGTTAGCTTGGCTCCACCCGTAATATTGTGTCCTAGGAGGTACTAGTCTTGTAGGAACTGCGACGGGGACACACACACATGGCAAAATGATCATTGACAAAATGCACAAGAACAATCAATTAATTAGCTGATTGTTCTTGTGCATTTTGTCAATGATCATTTTGCCAATGACCTGAGACGGCGCCATGATGATGATGATGAGACGCCTAAGATGTTTTCTTTTCCGTGGTCGTGTTGTTACCTCTGTTGTTTTGCTTAACCTGTTTTTCTCTACAAAAGATGGATCCTCCCGGCTGCAGCAGCGTTGGTCGTGGATTAGTAGAGTAGTGTTCTCAGAAGTCCTTACATACATCTAATACGTTGCGAAGGCGACAGGAGCGGCTGGGCCCTCGTCGTCGTCCTGCTGCTAGAGCGACTCAGCGAACTAGTGTTCGCGTCTTTTTCAAAGACAAAAACTGGAAAAGGAATGTGGTTAACGGGAGGTTAACTTAAGGTCAGCTTTTTTTCTCTATCCTTTTCGGCATCTTCGTACCCTTTTGCCCCAGTCAGTGTCGTATTCTCATGAAATACTACAAGACGGGGAGACGCAAAGGGGTCGAGATGAGAGGAGGACCGAGATGAAAAAAGAAAGGCGCTAATTTAACAGAGGAGGAATATGGAGGTTGGGGCGGGAGTAGTATGGCGACCGCATCATGTACACTTTGTATCAGGAAGATGTTTTAAATAGTCACATTCACGGTATACGGACTCAGGAGAAAGATGTTTTGGATATTCACTGGATGTTAAAGTTGTAGATTGTTAAATTAGAAGAAATGAGCAGACATTTGATCATCGAACGGGAAGATGCGTTCGTGTTGAGCACACAGGAAAAGGAAAATGCTTTGTTCAACAACGTAAGAAGATGAAAGTTTACTTGTACAATTCCAAGAACGATAATTGTCGTAGACACCTGTTTACAAACTCTACACAATCTAGAAATATGAACAAGTAGTAGATCATAAGAACAACAGAACAAAAGTTAGATTTTTGATCGAGGTTAATAGACTGAGAGAAAAAAGGTGTTGAATATCAATATTCTGCTTACTTACACAATTGTAGAAGTCATTCGAAAAGAAGTAGATAGTGGAATTAGCATTCGGCTGCGCAAAGTCGTTGCTGGATGTTGTAGGAGCCTCTTGATTAAGACCCGATCCTTGATTCGATTTTCAGATATCCGATCTCCAATGTGTTACGCGTCATCAAAATTATTTAAATCAGAAGTTGCAGATATGGAAAAAACGTACAAGCAATTAAGGTACAGATTGATAGAGTTGGAAGATTCATTCCTAGTAGTTCTAAGATTCCTAGAAATACAAGATATACCAGACATCTGAAATCTCAAGTTGTTTCTTTGATGTCATTGACTCAAGTGTTATTCAGGAAAGCAGGACTATGATGTGTATCCAAATCCATGTACAAGATTTAGCTTATGTGATGTGCTGAGAAAGCAAAAGTTGATGTAGGCTCAATGAGGCCTGCAGTATCGGCATTTTACAGGTTTCTCCACATTGACGCGGTGACTATGAGTGGCTGCATGTGGCCACCTTTGATACAACGAACTAGATGGACAACGAGGTCAATCCACAACTCCGCATTGATTCTCTCAAGATGGATTAAAAAACAGTGTCACCGAGTAAGTATGTAACTGTACAGATAATCTCTTGTCCGGAGTTTTGGCCATATCATGTTTTTTAATAGCCGGCGATATCATGTGCATGTGTAATTATTACAACAACTCTTGACTACTTGTTTAACCGGTATTAATATGTGCACCATATGTATGTGCATACCATTCCTGTTGAAACAGTAGTTGTGCCAATGTGCATACAGCATCTGGTCAAATTCTCCAGTGAGTCCTCTAGACACATTGAAGATTTTGCAGCATGGCTGAGGCTGCCGGTGGACAGGCTTTTTCGAAGCGGGTTCTCTTGAACAATCAAAAGTGCGACCACATGCGATCTGTTGTTGAAGATTTACGAAAAGAGAAGAGACGGAGAGTCTAAAAATCTGTGGGCTCGCACGACATGTGGTCATGATGGAATCTACTACAGGTGCAGTATTGCATATCACGTCCCGATCCTATGATTTTATCCCAAAAGGCGGATCATGCGATCTACTTCAAAACCACAACTTTCAGACATGGGTCCCTTACAACATCTAGATGTTGCTTTAGTATCAGTGATACAGTAAGTACTTTCTTGTTCCTGCAGATGTTTTTGTTGTTGTGTCTGTAGATGGCATCGTAACCTATCTATTCTCGACTACTCCATTCTTGACGAAAGATATGATACACCTGCATAGATAGACAGAAGATGTAAGACTACATCTACGCTACAAGCAACATGCGATCCTCACGTCAGTCTGTTAAGAAATTGGAAAGAAACCTCGTGGATGCAGTTCGGGTGCAAGCAGTCGGCGGTCGCGGTGGCGATGGTGCGGTCAGCTATCTTAAGAAGTCTTTTTATTTTTATTTTATTTGGCGTGGCCTCTATTCCACTATTCCTCAGCTAATTAGCGTCGGCACGCGAAGTTAGACCAGGATTTTTCTCGTTGCACAACCTTGCTTTTTTTTCAAAAATGCCGCTAGTGGCAAGGCCTGGCGAACTCCCCTACGCCTTGGACGCTGCGCGACCATGGGCCTTCGGCGCCGTCGATATCGACAGCGGAGCACCTCCCAAGTTCTACGGAAGATTGACTACTTTTATTTTATTTGGCGTTAGGAGTTTCTGCTTCGCGTGCCGACGCTAATTAGCTCAATTGCCGGTTGACCTTCCACTATTCCTCAGCTAATTAGCGTCGGCACGCGAAGCAGAAACTCCTTGGTCCAGGGACTCCATGGGGTGGCCCAGGTGGACGTGGTGGAGACGTTGCGCTGGAGGTGGGGTCTGCGTCATCCTTGCGCAACATCACTTAAGGGTAGGTTAAAGGTGCTTTTCTTACCGCTTTTTATGCCTCTCCTAAGGGAGAAAGGCATAACAAGCGGGGTAAGCGAGCACCAAGAGCCTACCTCTAAACCACAGGCCCAGTCTTGAAAGGTGAAGATGGTAGTGGAGGCCGACGCAATTATGGGGCGGGAGCTAACGTTAAGGGGCCCCACTAGTTAGAAGCTAGAAATAAAACTGCTGATTTATCGCATCGAAATAAAAATGGCATATTAAGTTTGGTTAGTCTCAACAATTTAATGTGTCATCTAGAAGCAATAATAGGTCTTGATCTAGTACAAGCTTTTTTCAAGTCGTCATGATCATGTGAATACTGAGCAATCTCGGTGAGGACGAGCAAAAAATTGGGTTTCTCTAAGAAGGGCGCGGATAAAGTTGTGCGAGTACCACCTGGGGTAATTGTATCCGAAATACTGCAAGTAGAAGATGCATCGGAGCTTCCGCCAGTAGAGGCAGAGGTTGATGAAGGTCGTGATGTTGAAGCTAGAACATGCCATGTTGATGTTGAAAGTCAGTCTCCATCCTCTTCCGGCAAGGGAGACGGTTTTTTCGAAGGATCTTCAACAAAGCAAGACGTCGCTCTTCCTGGCGCTCTTCCTGGCGGTGGACGTGGCTCTTCGTTCGGCCTCAGTGAGAATGAATACTTGGAAAAAATAATTGATTTGACCAAGGTAGGGGAGACGTATCGACTAGCGTCTGGCGGACTGGGTGGAACGGGAAATAGCACAGGAGCCGACCCACACTATGCTACGGCAACACGGCTCTCTTAATATTTCATACTTTTGTCATCTCACGTCCTGAATAAGACACTTCGTCCATCGATTCTTCTTTCTTACACCTTTCTCATTAATAACCCATTGTGGTTTTAATACCTTTGTCTCACTTATTGACGTGATTGAACAGTCTCAGTCAACACACTATAATCAAGAGGTATAATTTTATCATCTTAAATAAGTAACTACAGTTTCCTTGATGCCGACGATCGATTTGCAGAACAACTTACTACATCATACATACTAGCTTGGAGCGTCCGATAACATCCCTCCAATTATGCTGAGCCTGGTGAATCTGGGGAGACGCGCCGCTTCCTGCTTGAATTGCAGTCCATAGCTGATGTAGGCCTCGTCGGCTTTCCAAATGCTGGAAAAATATGAATGCCTGTTCGTTGTTAGTAGCTTTGTGCGAGAATAGTGGTATTGTATTGGATTTCTCCCAATTAAGGCTGTACTAACTATAACCTCTCCATTTTTTGTTCACAGATTGACTATTCACTAGTTTTCTGTACTATGAATAAATAGCGACTTCTTAAGTAGACGAAATCTTACGATAAACAGCCTCTCCTTTAGAAATTTGTATTGGATTGGATTGGATTTCTCCCAATTAAGGCTGGTGGCACTCGCTGTGCAGGATCCATAACCTATTTAACCTAACGACCTTGCAAGTGGCCATCACTATCTAGGACCGTCACCGTCTGGGCTGCTCATTTTCCCTTTGATGAGAGTGTAAATGGTTTTTTTTTTAGATGGGCTCTCTTTTTGACATTGATCCATCCTGGTCGCTGGGAATCATGAGGGTCTCTGAAGAGATCTTCTGTGATAATCTTGCAGTATGCGAAACACTATGACGCCGCGCGGCAGTCTGCACTGAAAACCGTACGAGATTAATTGTATTGTATTGCATTGTATTGTAACCTCTTAACAATGGGAGGAAAAACCACATTCATAAGAAAGCTCGTTTTTGCGTGCCATATCACGAGCAGCTCCAAAAGTTGCAGCTTACCCGTTCACCACCGTCGCTCCCTTTGTAGGCGCAGTCAAATTCAAGGACGGTTTCGAGATGTCTGTCGCTGACGTACCTGGCCTGGTCGAAGACGCGCATCTGGATAAAGGGTTAGGTATGAGGCAAGTGTGAAAATTGACGTTGGTTCGTGGTCATGCAAGTAGTTTGATTTTTGTAACTCGAGGTCTAGAAAGAGTTTCGTCTTGCCGATGACTGTGTATAGTCATTTGAGGCGCGATGTATGTATGTATGTATGTATGTATGTATGTAAGAGCAATCAAATACTCTATCCTCCTGCACCTCCTCCTCTGCACTTTCTTCATATAAGGACACGAGTTTCTGCGGCATCTTGAGCGGACCAAGTTGCTTGTCTATGTACTGGACATGACTGGCGCCTCAGCAAAAGTTGGCGCAGCGATGAATACCAAGACGAGTGAGTACCTTAAGGCAGCTACCACTAGTCCATCCTGAATCACTGCGCCATCCAATTCGCCTTCGTTCTGCACAACGGTAGTGATGAGTGAGTATACTAGTAATCCTGCTTAGTCGTGCACGTATTGAGGCTGTAGCTCCACTGTTCTAATCCTCAGATATCTTTCTCCACGTCTGAGCAGTCGCCCTCCACGTTTGGCCAGAATCCGCGCAGTCGAAGTCTCACTCCCCCACTGATTCAAGGAGCACTTAGAGATTTGGAGGTTTTGCGTTCCGAAGTCGCACACTTTTCACTCGAAATGGCAGCACGGCCACTTGCAATTTTAGCAAATAAGTGCGACATGGGTGAGGAGGCATTGCGAAGCGTAGATGAATTGCATCGACAGCTCAAGAGTTCTAGCATTTTGGGAGGCTCTCGTGACGTCCCGCCACTTTTCGCAATCAGTGCTGTTTCAGGTGTGGGCATTCGTAATGCAGTACTCGGGATCCGGAAGCTGTTGACCGGTGCTAAGGGAGGAGCTGCCTGTTTGAGCTGAATAGAGTCCTGAACAATGAGGTTTTCGTGTACAACTAGTGACTTTGACCTAAGTACGCATGATGATGATAAAGTATATTATACTTGTTCACTTTATTCGTTCTTCGCTTTTATCACTCTTGACATTCAAATTCATACTATGCATGGATGAAATCTAATGATCATTGTTACAACAATCTCGATCTTTTCTTACTACTTTGCACTTCCATTGCGCCTCATCTTGGGAAATGATATTTGACATGGTATGCTTTCGCACAAGAGAATAAGTGAGAACGGCCGCTTTGCTTTCCTCACTCCTCTATAGAGGAAAAGGAGGGACCATACAAACATGTTATTTCTGGTTTTCCGTAATGTTCCTTGTCACAATGGGTGAGTGGACAAGCAGAAGTCTTTAGATTCTCAGAAGATGCAGTTGCAGAACACGCTTATTTAGCAGTTGACCAGCAAGTACATTTTGCTTGTAGCAGATTTAAAGATTACTTTTCAAAGTATATTAGTTCAAAAAATTTCACTAAAAAAAGACCAACGTTACTTAGGTTAACACCTCCTACCATTCGTTTCTAAGTAATGTTGAATATGGTGTTTCAACATTAACTAAGTAATTCTTCAATTATATAGTGATTTATATATGATAAGTAAAATGGTGTTTCCCCCCTCGTTGAAGACAGCGGCGTTCGCCCTTAGTCCTTTGTATCTGCTCTCCCAGACCTGCATCGCAATTGAAGCAGAGTCTTCTGAATCCTCATCTTCAGTAGGGGCAAATGCGGCTTCAGACGTCCCAGAAGTTCCAAAGATCACACGTCTTCCTGAGCCACCAGTAGTGCCGACACCTGAGGAATTCGACGACATTCCTATTGGCGAGTTGGTTGCTTTCATCGAAGACAAGGGGATGACTTGCCGGAAATGCTCAAAACATTCTGACTTTGTACGGAAAGCTACAAAGGCTTGGAAAAACTATGACAATCTGACTAGTTGTATCACTTTACGCTTATACCGTGGCTTTTCAAGGAACACCAATACTTACTTCTCTAAGTTCACTGATAGTCTTACTACTTTCTCGTATAGATGTTACTTCGTGCATAAATCACAGACCAGACATCGATAACCTAAAACCTAGTATCCCTTTACGTTTAATACGACCAGTTGTACACGGGGCTAGTAAAGTTAAAAATGTGCTACCCCCGCGTCCCGCCATGGTCGGGTGGCATCTTGGAAGAAACATAGGCTCGCACACAAAAAACACCTTTCTTACTTGTTAAATGCAATCGTAATTGTTCTCCTACTTTCGTAGTCACCCATCATCCTCGGAGGCGAGCAACGGGTGCCTGTGGGGCTCGTTGTGAAGGATCCATAACCTGTAACCTAACCCCCCTCTAATTTCTGCCCTTTGTCTCTGCCACGAATCCGAACACGATGATCCAGATCGCAAGATCCCACTTCGATGAGCAGTTCGGGGGACACTTTGTAGGGGTTGGGTTGTGGGTGGATGTGGATGCGGTGTGGCTCGACTTCGCGAAGAAAGTGAGGAATGGTGAAATCAGATTTGATCCGAATAACCCAGATAGGTTGCTTTACGACATAGAGGGCGTTTGGTCTTGGGCGTACGACTGGGTCTTTTGGATCCTACTCGCCAATTTTTGTGGTCTAGCTATGCTTTGGCGTGTACGTGGTAAGCAGAAGGGTGGCGAGGAGCAGGAAAAAGGAGAGTTATGTTTATGAGGAACAGTCTTTTTGCATCGATCTCATACTCATGATTATTCCCGTGTCTGGCTCATGAAAAGCTACGTCTAGGACTACCTAGAGTTCTAAGTCACGAACGAAAAGAGGAAGCTGCTCTAAAAACCGCAAAGGTGTACACAGCGAAGCAGGGCATGCTCGAAGCAAAAAAGCTTGCAGAAGAAGTTCAGAAGGAAAACGAAAAGCTAGACATGATGACAGAGCTAGAGTTAAGGCCTCCACCCTTGACCCATCTTATGAAGCATGCTAGCGAGGCTTTTCAAAAGGAAACGGGCCCTGGGATGAATCTGAAGATGGATAAGGGTGGCCTCTAAAAATAGAGGAAGCCAGAGGCAGAGCTGCTACTTGTTCCTCCAATGATACAAGTAGTTCCACAATTTTGCTCCAAGCTGACGCAGACGAACACCAGGCAGAGAAGTGTGGAAATCAAGGAAAAGGTCAGAGCACGAGGCGAGTACGAGTAGCAGGAGCATCTTCTGGTAGGTTGCTGGAGGAGCTCCAAGGTGGCTTAGGATTAGATTTGGATTGATTTGGATTTCATCTTTTACGAGATTTGTGAAGATTTTGAGTTGCTGATTGATTCCTAGAATCTTGCTAGAATGAATATCACTTTGAAGAGAATAGAGACGATGATTTTTTATTATGAATGTGCTTTCAACCGATCATAAAGTTAAGGGTAGGTTAAAGGTGCTTTTGTTATCGTTTGTTATGGCTCTCCTAAGGGGGACAGCCATAACCAGCGGGATAAACGAACACCAAAAACCTACCTCTAATAAAGTATGTTTGAAATGTTGGATATTGCGAAGGTAGCACTAGAAAATGGAAACTTTCACGCACTTGGACGATTCTCCTGGTAGTACAAAAATTTTATCATCGACGCGTCATACCTTCATCATGCAGAACGCTTTCGCGGGACTGACTGTAACTAAAGCTACGTTGGACATGCAGTGTAAACAGCAATGAGCGCTTTGATAGTGAAGTACTTAGGGGCATCAGATGCTAATTTGAGTGAACAGAAAGTATCTAATTTGAGAGAACAGAAAGTTTCTGAAAGCAATAAAAGAGAGTTTCTGAAAGCAGTGAAACTACCATGTAGAAGATGAAACAGTGAGGGTTCGAAATCTGCGACATATAACACATCAGCAAGAACAATGTTCCGTCGTCATGAGCGCGACACGCTGTCGCTTGGCGCTTTGCTCCAGAGTGGTGGAAGTACGGGTCTTTTCGGCAGAGGAAAGCGGCTTCCTGGCCCCGAAGAAGCTGCTCTTGGTACTATTGCAGCTTCTTCTACCTTCCAGCATGCAGGTGGAAGCCTGATGCATACATTAAGGCTCATATCATTTATGATCAATCTCATGTGGACAGTGCCTACTTTTTTTCAATGATCTACTACTCTACTTTTTTTCAATATCACAATTATGATCTACTACTCTGTCTACTACTAAAGAGCATCTACAACTCTACCACGGATAATGCTTGCCTACCTTTAACGATGCCAGCCTCACCAGGCAGTCATTTGCAGAAGGTGTCAGGCACACATTTCGTAGTGGACCCCTTCAGGCCGAGCGCCTACGGTTTGAGGTTGAGTAACACTCGTCCGTCACGAGCTGTGGACGTATACGGTCATCATGGAGTTTATGCTTTTCATGGTTGGTTCATGTAATAAATCCCACTGTACGTTAGAAAAAGAGTTATGATTCATCTCGTACCAGAAGCCAAATAAGCGCAATTACATCTTCAGAGTGCGCAGCTACAACCAGAACCAACGCTCCTTCTTGCACCCCCACGACCTACTTTTTCATATTTTCCCAGCCGTGCAATTCGGAACGGATATTATGGCTATCTTCAAACCTAATTTTATGTTCCACAGATTCTGTGAGTAACGACACCAATTGGCTAAGAAAAGATCAAGCGATAAAAAGGAGCTGCAACGCGAACATGCATTTTCGGAGCACTAATTCACCTCCACACGGAGCTGCAGGTTCAGCGCTAGATGGCCATCAATTGATGAACACGGCAGGAGCAGAGCAAGATGAGTTTGTTGGGGCAACGTTTCGATTGGGTGCTACGTCGCGTGAGCTACGTCGCAGCGTCTTCATGGAAACGCGAAGACCCCTGACACCGTTCGAAACTCGGGTAACGGCCATAGTCCATTCCAAATTCTTCGATGCAGCGATTGGCTGTGTACTACTCGCAAATGCCGTCTGCATTGGAGCTGAACAAGAGTTGTTACCGACTAGATCGCTTTCATCAGCAGACGGGTACGGGAATAGTGAATCGAACACCTCCGATACATCTGCTTCATCTCAATCTTCCCTTCAAACTCTCTTCCACGCTTTGGACTACATCTTCCTCTTCATCTTCGCGTGTGAGCTGTTTCTTCGGTTCGTAGCGACTGCTGAGTGGAGATTTAAAAAATTCTCACGATGGATGTGGTTCGATTTGGCCATCCTACTGATAGGAATCTGCACAGAACTACTTCTTCCTCTCTTCTCCGGCATAGAGGACGCGACAGTGCAAAGAATAAAGGCGGTGCGATGTATGAGGGTACCACTTCTAGAGAGTTTTTGTCGAAATGAGGTTGTAGATCCATGAGATCGAAATCTTCATTCCTGTAGCAATTTGGACTTGCCTCGGTGTCTTCATCTCTTGTTGCAACGACCACGTAAAAATGCTTGTTGATAGACGTCACGTTGCGCCATATTAATTTTATCATTTCGAGTAACCCAAAAATCCCAAGAAGACAACAGCTGCATACAGGTAGTTCGTCTCTTCGCTATGGTGGAACACTTGTGGACTCTGGCTTTGACTTTCCTCTTCTCGGTTCAGCCACTGTTTTGGACCGTGGTCTTCCTGTTCATCGTCGTCTTTCTTTTCTTATGGTGTGAGATTGTCATGAGGACTACCTTTACGACCGCGACTGTTGATAGAGAATGAATAGCGATCCGGTCGCTCTCCCCACACACCCATACAGATACATAGCTAGTAATACTAGAAGGGAATGAGGATTCCCAGGAACGTAAGGGTTGCTTGAGCACCAGAACAAGCTCTAATCAACGCAGTAGCCCTCACTGCCCTCTCAGCCGACGCCATGCCACAGCGACAGACGTTGAGCGCGATTCTTTCCCTAGTCCAAATCATGACTTTCGATGATTGGGTTAGGAAAACCGCAAAAATCGTTGACGCCTCAGACGTGCATCCGCTATTGATGATTCTGTTCTTCTGCGTCTTTATCTCTGTTAAGGCTTATCGGCTACCGCCAATCTATCCCCAAGTCTTAGATAAGTATAATTTACCTCAAGCCTACTCGGCGAGGGGAAAGAAACGCAGTTGTACACGAATGGGATAGAGATGGGCGGTTTACGAGTAGCTCTAATTACCTCGCAGTTCTAGCATTGATGAACTTGGTAACAGCGGTCGTGTTCGATTCCGCAAGTCGGAGGGCCAACGAAGAGGATGCCGTCAAACACTCGCTGTTTGGGTATCAGATTCTAGTTCAACGAGCGCAAGTGGAGTTTTTGACTGGATTGCTGGACACGCATCACATTTACACGAAAGCGCGTAAGCGACACTTGTGGCGTGTCTTGAATGGCAGTCCTACGGTTCAACGGGCTTTGGCAAATTTGGGACTGAACTGCGAGGAAGACGTCTTTCGAGTCTTGCTGCCCTTGATTGTTATGGACAAAACACAAACGGTAGAGCGCGATTTGTTAACAGAAGACTGAACAGCTAGAAAGCGAACGATTACCAATGCGATATTCTACTACCTTCACACGAAGACGAAGATGCTCTACTTAGTGAATAGATTTTAATCATCCCACTTTTCTACAATCTTACAGTATCGTTTTTTCTGAGTTTTTCTTTCTTTGATCCTATGGTAATCCTATCCAAACCTATTTACTTTCTCTAACCCCGACACCAACAAAACACAAACGGTAGAGCGCGATTTGTTACTGCGAACTATGCTAGTTCTCGACGCGGTCGGCCACAGCCCGCAACACGTTGCTTTGATCCAGACAGCCCAGAGCGCCAAATCAAAGCAATACTTCCTCGCACGAGCTCTCCTACTCGAAGACCCTGCTTTGCCTGTAGTTGTCTGTGGGGACGATAGAAGTACAGGTAGTACAACTAGTAGAGGTAGAAGAAGTTCTCCTTGTAGTGGTCGTAAAAATAGAAGAACTTCTTCCAGCTCACCGCGATCGCGTCGACCACGCACATCCTCTTCAACCTCCAGACGAAACGAAACGAAAAATAGTAAAGATGTTGATGTTGAGGATATTCTTGAAAGCATAGCCGCTGAAGATGATCTTCACGGCCGTGATGATGAAGTGCTAGTAGCTGGCGAACAAACAAAACAGTTCGCATCCACTTTATTAGAGGATCGCTTGATTGCAGAAGCCTATGGGAAAGATGATGAAGAAGGAAACCACGATAACCTTGGAAACAATTTAAGGATTACAACTCATTCAGCATTCACCCTAAGAAGAGGCTGAGGCGTCTTTGACGTCTTTTCAAGGGGAAAACTGTCGAAGATGCGCCCCGCCAAGATCAAGATTCATCGTAAAAGTCTAAACAATAATAGAAGAAATCAAGGATATCCTCAGGATGCCAGAGGATTCGGGATTCTAGACGGTCAAGGACATGGACTGGACGACGACGATGACTCCTTGACGATGTCATTACCATCGGAGTTTGCAGATCTGGCGTCTAGACCACCAGGTAATTCTAGGAGATCCTCAGATGAACAAAAAACTGCTTGGAAAATACAAATCACTCCCGCGGCACCTTCACTCGAGGATGTTAAGGACACGTGTATCATAATCATTCTCAGTGTCCTCACATGATTCAATAGCGATGACAATTTCATCTTTCTCTTTTTCTCTTTACTGAGCTACTGTGAGAACCTGCTACTTTTACCATCCACCCAATTATATTCATTTGTAATAGTACCGGTAGTTGCAATGGTGATAGAGGAACAGTAGAGCCGGAGAAGCAGGACAAACGGCAGAGGATCAATGATAGAGGCAGCGCCGAGCTCGAGGGCGAAAGCGAAAGCGAAGAATTGCACCACTCCACAAGCATGCCAGACCCGGCCGACGGAGCTAGAAGAAAGATAGACACACCTAATACGCCACGTCAGACAAGTAAGAGTAACAAAGATGAGAATCAGAGCGACACAGACTCTTGCGACACTCCAACAAGAGCCAAATTAGCAATAATAGAGGATCGACTGCAAGAACTCACTTTTTTAGTTGCAGAAGCTAAAGGAGCTCTGAAAAATCAGAATTGAAGTATACATCTCTACTTCTTGGATAGAAGTCACCGTTTCGCTTTTACTTAGACTCAAAAATAGATTCTCAATTGTTTCATTCACGTACAGTAAGTTCACACACCTTTTTCCAGTAAGTAAGTAGCTTACTCGTCGTCACGGAACTTGTTGTTTTAGTCACCGGTAACTAACAAACGTAATTTTTTTATATTGTCACAAGCAGCACTAGCAGTAGCGTAGTTCTCTACATATCAGATTTTGCAGTACTCTCAAGCAAGAAGTAACATATCATAATTTCCTAATTTCGTCAAGCATGTACGCATCGCAGCTACGAAGTAGTGTGAGCCAGCCTATCCTGATTAACAATCGTATTTTTGCAGATTTTTCGCGGGGAGGTATTTTTTCATGATACCCATGCATAGAGAAAGATCACAATATGTTATATCCTAACACCTGCACAGACGAGCTTTTTTTAGGTTCCATTTATTTTCCAAGAATCGTTGGCTACAATCAACATCGTCAGGATGAATAAGACCACAACATTGCTGCAAGATACAGACTGCCTGATGATAATGTTTCCCTGAGAATGTCGTTTTCACAACAGCACATGTCAAAACTACAGCAAGATATCTGTGAAGTTCTTTTTCCTGATGAGTCAGGTGTCGTGCCATTTGCACTTGAAGGCGTGTCACTTGCACTCGGAGCAGTGTCCCCAGCGCTAAACGAAAAGAGCAACAGAGGCTTCTAGTACAGAGAGTTGCAACAAGTTAGGGTTAGGTCACCGTCACACTGGTCGAAACGCGAGGAAAACTGTTTCAATCTGCCTGCTCGAGGTGGACGATATTGTAGTTCCGAGTAACAACTGGTAGGGCATACTACAACATCTGCGATAGTTTCTTCTATGTCAATTACAACTACAACAAAAATCAAAATTGATTGGTTGAAACGCCATCTTTGTTGCGTGGAATAAACAAACTTGTTACGTAGGAAACATTTTCTTAGACTTGGACAAGAGGGAACAAGGGAACCCTACCAAAAAAGAATGCAGTCCGGTTACGCGCAGGTGGCGCAAAATGAGGCCGTTAAGGCCAAGGTGGAGGAGATGAAAAGGGCCTTCGGTGGCATCTGGAAACTAGCATTCTTTCTCTGTGGTGCGATAACCTTCGCTAGTGGAGTGCTGTCGATTATATCAGGTATTGTGACAATACCTATTTTGTCTGGATCGATGTGAGCCCTAAACCCTAGGCCCAAACTGGAGGCTTATCTTCAACTACAAGCCGGTTAATTTTCCATGGTCTTCCTCGTACTTCCCGCATACAAAACAAAACATATTCCGGATCACCAAAAAGCAACCCTGCACTTCCTTCCTCACAACAGCCGTCGTGAGCATGATGCCTCCGTTTGACTTTATAAATTTCGTGTTTTTAACGCTGTTTGGCGCAGTGATGCTAGTCCTCGATCTTCCGCTGGACAACAGGTGAAACATCTCTGGACTTTTATTCTTTGGCAAGTTTGTTCTTTGAACGTTGTAAGCTGAGACTTGATGACAGTGTCATACATAAAACTCATCACTTTGCAACTACTTTCGAGGATTTTCAAAATACTCAGGTAGTACATAAGCAAAATTTCGAAAAGGACAACTACATCTGTACCTACTGCTCACCCAGGTACGTCGCCAATTTCAAGAGCGCAGTTTTTACGTATGCGCTGTTTTTGACGCGGTTTGTCGGAAGAGGCTTGTTCTACCTTTTTCTAGGGTCTATGGTGTTCGGGGCACTATGGGATAACCAGGTTGCGCCGTTTTTAGGTTTCATTTTTGGCGGACTCATAACCGCCGTTGCAGGAGCCAGTCTTTATGTTGGTACTTTTTTGATGTGATTCATTTGTTTTGAATTCAGGTACTTGTACTTCATCTATAGTAATAAATAGTCCCGTCGACAGTTTCGCAATACTGATCTGGGCAACTCACCATGACCAAGGTACTCGCACTTTATGACGTACTATTGTGTGTCCACCGACTTTCGGATAATCTTTTTCGAGCACCGAAATGCATGGGTGCTCATCTTGTTGTTGCACCATTCCTATTCCTTGCCCGATCACCCCATCAGGTGGCCGACTAAGCTACCAATTAGAGGAGTTGCGAAAAAAGGTAGTCCGACAGGGCCCAGAGCAATGGGCCAACTATATACCACCAACCGGTATGACCGCCCCTCAGTTTAAGGAACTCGCAATAGCCCTTGACAACAGAGTTTTTACCGACGAGGAGCTGGGATACATCGTATTATCTTCTATCAATCTTTCACAGGAGTACTTGTTTTACGAGAACGAGATAGCAACGACTTCACTTGGTTTTAATGCATCGATCACGAAGCTCTGATAATTGCTTCCTAATGATTTCGATTTTCTTCCTGCATCAACATCACGCAGGTCGCAGCTTTTTCGTTCGAAATAAGGGCGGATAATGTGATAACGAAAGAAGAGTTCGATGAGTGGTGCAAAGGACCGATGACTATTCTCTAGAATGAAGACAGACTCCCGAAGATCGTCACGACGCAGCTAGGATTCAGGCACATACAACAAATCCATTATAGATTGTTGTACTACTCCGTATAAATATGATGTTTTTTACCTACTTTACTACCTGTATTAATCGAAGATACAATTCTTTTACGTTCGCAAGCACAAGAACATTATTCTCATTCTACTACTACAAAAGCACAAAGTCAATACCAACAAGGAGATCTAGATGAAGATGAAAGTACAACATGCGAGACAGCTGTTCAATTCAAAGAAGATTGAATCTCTGTCTCGATGTTCTTGGAATCTTCTATTCAACATCGAAAAATGTTGTCATGCATCTCCCGCTTTAGCGGAGCAGACCGTGCTTTGTTCGACGCAACCTCTTCCTCTAGAAGATGATCTATAGTCCTCGTTCACAATGAGGAAGTTCCAGTTAGAGGAAAAAAATGCTTCGTTTCTCGTACAATTTCGGTGTTCGTGTGCAAGGTGTCGGTGCGTGTAGATCAAGAAAAGAAAAAGATCGGTTTTCGTATATCAACAAGTCACAATTCTTGATACAGTAGATGCAACTGTAACTAGGTTTTGAAATCTGTATAGAGTGGGGATCATCTGTAAGCAGAAGCTTGACGTTTGAATCGGTTGCTCTCGAAATTTAGCTCTAGCGCTCACCCACGCCACCCGACAGAACTTTTCAAAAGACAAACCATAAGCTGATAGGGTGCATTTCTTACCTGGCAAACTGTTTGAACCAACCTCACATGCCGGAGAATACAAACACAGCGTAGCCGCGAAAAATAAAATTATACATACGACCAAACGTCAATTGATATTAACCTCATGCTCCTCGTTTCCAGATGGATGCTTCCACTGCCACTCGTGAACCTCAAAGAAAATGTCCGGGACCGCTCGTCACGCTTCTTCATCTCCTAACACACTGAGAACCGATACCTTCGACAGCGCTATACCCCCTATAAGTCCTCATGCTTCGTCTCCCAGTACCTCGCCAAATAGGAGCATAGGTCCACCTACAGTCTCTATTCCGCCAGACGCAGAAGAGAGCATTACATCGACATTCGCATCCGAACTTTCCTGTGCTTCTGCTGGGAAAGAACGAAGTGATAATGTCGAGGAGGAGGTCGTGGAGAATGTTGAAGAGCCTGCTACAGTGGTTGAGGTTGATGAAGCGAATGAAGCAGTGGTAGAGCGAGAAGTGGAAGTGGAGAACCACGAGGCTGTACTAGCAGAGGACAACTACACGGCACAACAAGAGCAGGTTGAAGTCGAAGATTCACAAGTCGAAGCAGAAGCGGAGGCACCACCTGAAGAGGCGGAGGTGCCAGAAGCTGTTGAAGACGATGAATCACAACAGCCATTAGAAGAACCAGTTCTAGAAAAGTCGCAAATGGAGGTGGAGCACAGTGCAACCACTCCAGACCACCAGGTCGTGGAAGAAACGGAGCCTAACCCAGCAATGGCTTCTTCTAGTGAAGATATGGTAGTGGCCGAAGTCGAAGCCGACGAGGTGGCTGTTAAAGTAGAGCAGTCGGCTGTCGACGAGCAACCGGCTGAGGCTGAGGCTGAACAAGCGCAAGCGGATGAAGCTCCTGAGGAACCACAAGCCGCGCCTGAGGCTGCCCAACCAAGGGAAGCTGCAGCCCGAGATGAAATTCCTGCACAGGAGGAGGAAGTTGGCCAGGAGGCTCCAGAAGAGGACGCGTCTCCGCCTGAAGCTGAAGCTGAGGATGGCATAGCTTCAGAAGCAGAGGGGGAAGAGCTCGGACGCGCAGAAGAAACAACCGTTGTTGTAGAAGAACATGAGATCACTACTAGTAGGGAAGTAGCAACACTTCTAGCACACGAGGTTGTTATTGAAGCAGCAATGTTGGAAGTAGTACAAGCAGAACAAGTAGTAGAACAGAAAAGAGAAGTAGAGGACGAAGTAACTCGACTAGCGAGAGATACAATAGTAGAGCAGGAGGTGGAGGAACCGGAAATGTTGGTAGCGGAAGAGGCAGAGGTGGAGAAGGTGGTAGACGATAATCCTCCTTCAGATGAACCGGCACAAGCGGCTGTGGATGAAGCACCGGAACCGGAGACAGAGGAGAATGACCAAGTAGAAGTAGTCGAAGCTCCTGCTGTAGGTGCTCCTGCAGTAGTAGTGCCGGAACAAGAAGATTCCTCTAGGGACCCACAAAGACAGGAAAGCGAAGAGGAGATCTTAGAACACGAAGTACCTGTGCAGGAGACTGTAGAAGCCGAAATCGAGCAGCCGTCAGAGGAAGTAGCTGTCAACAACGCTACGCTTGTAGCAACATCGATTCTAGCAGAAGTTGTTGCTGATGATGGGGTAGACAATGAGGATGTCGTAGCTCCTAGGAGTGCCTCCAATGATCCTGTAGAAACTACCGATCTTCTTGACACTACACTTCTAGATCTACTGCCAATGCCAGAAATAAAAGGAGAAGTAAGAGAACCTTCACCTCCAGAAGAAACCCCTTTCGAAGAACCTTCTCCCGATGAAGCCTTACCCGAAGAAGATCGTACTGATGTCTTCCTGCGTAGTTTCTTCAAGCCTCATTTCTCAGAACGAGAACTGCAGGAGCGTGAGGACTTGTTGATGCGAGGGATGCGCAAGTCCAAAGGCCTTAGTGCACCTTCGCGCTGCGCTCTAGAAAGTCTCCTGGCACAGGCAAGTGAAAGCAGTGACGTGAGGCGAGCCAAACACCATCTTGGGCAGTTTCCTGCTGTATCACCACGCGTTCCGACAATAAAAGTCTATAGTGGTGGAACACGGAATAACTACAGCAGACCAATAAGTGAGAAGCTGCATGACGACGAAGGGAAAGAACAGCTCCGAATTAAGGCTTTCTCTAATCCATCTCCAGAAGCATCTTATATATACTTAGGACTGTTCCAGAAGGGGGAACGAAACGGCCTCATGATGAAAATCAAGATGGATTATTATAAGTTTAGCTCTAACCAGAGTTCTAGTTTGAGTCGTTGTGAAGTCCCCGCACCAGCAGTCGAACCAGTAGTAGAATGGGGTCCTATCTACGGTGAAACAGCACATCCACGTGGCTTCTCACCTAGAGTTTCACCTCGTCAATTTGATTGGCCAGATACTCAATTCGCAAACAACCTACACATGAAGAAGTCTCCCCAGAAGTTGTCGCCACCTCAAAGGTCAAGGTCTCCAAAAAAGTGGTCGTCACCACGACTTGGACTTGCCGGAACAGCTGAAGCAACACGGCCAAACACCGCACCAGGAACTACTTTGATGTATGGTGGTGCGGCTATGTCGCTTCGTCGAAACGCTGCATCTATGAGAGCTGAACAAGAAATAGCAAGCCAGAGACAACAACAGAATATTTTTAAGGCTTGCCTTTCTTGGGTGTTCCTGTTTTTACCGTTCCTCGCTTTGGCTCAAGAGGGAAAGACATAGCGAACGGGGTAACTAAGTGAACACCAAAAGGCTACCCCTAAGAATGGCCTCACCTCAAAAAGCTACAAAAGGCCTCGTTCGTCAGGGCCTCCAGGCGTCGTCGCCCCTGGCGATTTCAGACACGATGGCAGGAAAGATAAGGCGGAGGCGCATAAGGAGATTACGGCGAATTATGAGGCATGGAAGGTAGAGAGGCGAAAACAGCAAAAGCACTCAGAAATGGTCAATATGCCGATGCAGCTGATGGCTCAAAACCGAGACGCTCTGCGGGAGAAAACGGGTTATACAAGACAAGGCTTGCCGGATCCTGACGACTTGAGCCTTAGCTCGTTGTTGAAAAGGTACGTTCTATTCGAAAACTCAAAATATCCGAGTTACTGACTGAAATAAGGGACGCAGCTTACTATCAAGGCTACCCTTCCTTCTCATCAGTATCTCGGTTATTCTGATCAGTTACTTGCTTATTTCAGTTTTTCGAATAATCGTTTCTGATCTCTAGTGCCCTGCTACTTCCCTTTTCCAACAAATTGAAATTTGTCTTCCAATTTGTCTTCCAAAACCAGGAGCAAAAAATGTGAATTTCCTTGCAGGCGTGCCAACGAGCGTATGGAAGCTCGTCGAGCTAAGTCTATTCGTGAGCATGGTCTAGGCTCTAAAGTCGGTCGCCGCTTCGTGAATGCTGCTCGGGAACAAGAGGAATTTTTTGGCGGAAGTCTCCGTATTATGGACATGGACTCCTTCGACCTCAAACGCATTTCAAAACGCATGGCCGATGCGCGTAGAGGAAATTTTGTAGTGGAGGTGCAGACAGATCGCACTTGCAAACGGGAATGTCGTGAGGTACGAGACACTGCGAGGATGCACAAGTGGCAGAAGAACATGGAGGTGAAACTAGGACTCCGCGATCCTGCTGAAGATGCGTTGTTACTGCCTGTAGCACCTGAATTTTTGGAGTCTGTAGCCAAAAAGAACCGAGAGTGGTTGCCAAAAAAGAAGAGATTGTTGACGCAATTGAAAACGGAACTGAATGAATCTGTTGCGGATGTTATGAAGCGAAAAAGTGTACTCATCGATCCTCAAGATGAAAGTAGGCACCTTCTAAGTAGGAAAAAGCCTCTTTTCTTGAGTATGAGTACACTTTTTCCTGTCATAGATGTAGCGTGTCATTTTGGGGTTGTAACGAAGACGCGACGAAAGCAGCTGCGGAAAGGAGCGTTGATAGACTTTATTACGGCTCCTGTTGATCACTTGATAAGTCTAACTTAGTTGTACTTCTTCTAATTCGGTCGACGAACGGAAATTTGAATTAGCGGAAAGTTGAAACACGCATCCAAGCTCATTGGTTTTCAACTTCATCGTGTTTGATCCTACAACTACTTTCTACTTTCTACTCATGTAAGTATGTTACTTAGATAGTGTAAGTGTGAATTACATCCACAATCTCTAACTCTCTCGGCGCAACAGCTTCGGTCGGCGACGACCAATTTCAAGAGTCAGAGGAATCTAGGCGACGGAAGAAGAAAGAGGAACAGCGTAGCAAAGCGCAGACAAAGGTAGCTTCTTTTCTCTCAGCAAGTCTTGTGTCTTCTGGTGGAGAAAACGGTAAAGGAGGAGATCTGCCAGCTACGCCTAGTCGTGGTAATGGAGACGATGATGGTGGGCAAGGAGAAGGAGACCAAAGGAATTCATCATCCACTAAAACCAAGACCAAAGGAAAAGGAAAGGCTGGTGCAAATTCAAAGGCTTCAACTGGTGGTACTAAGGGTGCTGGTGCAATGAACACCCAGGGTTCTGCCTTTTTCGGAGATGAGGATCCTGGCACCTTTCTGAAACAAGGTTTGTCAGGTAGAATGCAGAAGATCAAACGAGAAGTGAAAGACATAAACGAGGGAATGTCGATTCTAAAAGTCTCCGGTGACGTCGAAAACAAGGCCAGTAAGGAAGTAGCGAGAAAAGGGGGAATTATGAAAGATGTTGTGGTTTGTTGTAGTTTTTAGTTCTACCTAATTATGTATAAGAATGACAATGATGAGTGTCAGTGTCTTCTTCTAGCGTTCACATGAAGTACAAAAGTAGACTGGAGGTGACGACTTTGAATTTGATTACTTTCATTCCTTCTTGTTCAACTACTACTACTGGTACTACTTCTAGACTTACCTCCTCTTTCACGTTCACCAGCAGCCACTTTTTCTAAGTTGCCGTCCGCAGGGGCAAGTGGAAGTGGAGCTTCTAAAGGTGGGAAGCAGGACAAGCTTTACAGCACACGAGACCCCAACTACTACAGGAACAACCCATTGACACCAAAAATTCTCGGAGCTGGTGGAGGGACACAAGGAGACGAGACTATGGGGAACATGCTTATTTCAGCTGTTGCGGGGGCGGGGAGGTAGTAGAAGATCATGTCTCCCTCGAATACTTACTTCATATAAATTGTTGCAGAGCTTAAGTATTTGACTTTCATAATTCAGTACAACCTAGTTGAAATTGTTCTCCAATGTCATACAAAAATATAGCGCAATTGTCGTGGAACGAGGTACGTCCAGTGCCTCGATTGAACAGACTAACTTACTCCACCTACGTTATTACACCAACATGGTTATGGATGCCTATGCCTTATACGTACCAAAACCTACATTGTTTCGAAAGTTTTGACGACATTCAACATTGTCATTTTTGTCTTAGGATACACCACAAGCAACATCAATGTTCTTAATACAACTGCCCATGCCGATGCTGCGGACAGCGGTTCATAGAAGATGAACTTCCTAGAAAGAGTCACTGCACATCATGTCCACGAACATGAAAGTGAAGATTCGTCATGCAGCTATCTTCTGCAGTACTTCTCCAACATTCGTCATCGGACATGCTCGTTGGGAAATCTTCCTGGTCAGGAGTTGGTGTTGTGCGACCAAGCCTCCTTGAGCAAAAAGCTGCCTGGTGTGGAGTGCACCACACCCAGCTGGAACAAGGTCCAAAAGTTTTTGCAGCGTTCGTCACCCATCAGACCTCAAAAACTTTCATGTCCGTACGTTGCCAACCACCAACAGGATCTCGATCTTTCTGAAGATAATCCAACGAAATCAGGCAAGTCCTAACTAAAACACGGCTTTAACATTAACTCTAAATAATCATGATAGTACGGAAGCAGAAGTACAGGGTCATCGACATCAAACACAACGCATGATCCGCCAAAGGACCATGCATTATTTTTTGGTTTGACAACAAACTAACACTAACTACAAACTATCTAAGTACTTTGCCCGGACGACAAAATTGAACTTGAACAATGTAGAATGAAAACATCAACTAGAACTAGCAAATAAGCTACATAGTAGTCTATGGCTCGTACTACGAAGCGGGAGCTTCGCCGATTGATCAAAATGTCGTTTTTGACAGCTTTTTGCCACGTTTCTCTGCTGGTTTATCTGCCTTTCGTAGTTGCAAGTTCCTCGACGTGGCCAAGCAGTCGTGGGGATCTTCTTCAACGTGGCCAACCAATGGAGGACGTCGAACAACAAGTGCATCTTCGACAAGTCAGCAAATTAGGGTTAGAAGACCTGTTACATGTTGCTGATCGTCTGAAGAATTTCCTTGTTGAGGCAGAGTGGCTGGCAAAGCCTCCACCAACGGAGGCGACACTTCAGTCTATGTCGCCTGAATTGGCAGAATTACATGGTACGAGGACACAAGGTTTGCAGGCATGGAATGCCGTCTCTGCAACCTGCAAAGGAGCTAAAGATTCGCTGGCAGTGTGGGCAGAGGGGCGGCGTTTGAATGCGCTTGAGAAAATCGTGAAGGGTGAACTGGGGTGTGTGCCAGCTCGTAGTGAGAAATGTTAAGGCTGTACCTAATACATCTTTGGGCGCATCCTTGAAACGTATGGAGGAGTATCCTAAGGGAATGCTCCCCCATACTTTTCAAGGATGCACTTGAAAGATGAACTACGGACAGCTCTAAAAATGGCAGGACGAGACTGGAGCTGGCCCTTCATCTACTTCACCAGCGTCCTCTTCGACAACTAGACGGGTCGTGCGGTCAGCCAGGGACAGTAGAACTGCTACTACACCGAGTAGTTCTGCTTGTTCTGCGACTTCTGGCACTACTTCTAGAGTAACAACTTCCCGAGGAGGAGGAGGACAACAACACGAAGGTGGTAATGTTGTTCCACATGGAGGACTTTCGAGTCCCGGCACTGTGCTTCCTCTCGACAATAAGTGGCTAAGCGCTCCTGTAATGCATGCGGTAAAGATCAAGGTGCCGACTCCTGGTCTTTTTGTTGATGGAGTAGGAGGAGCAGTAAGACAAGAACTACAAGCTTCTTCTTCGTCCAGGACCCCGGTCGGCCGTCCCCCACGTGTGCTATTGCATGTGAGCACGTTGGAAAGTACAGCATTGGAGCATGGTACGCAATTTCATCGTATCCGTTCTCTGTTTCGGACTCCTAGACGTGCCATCAACGTACATGAGAAGGATCCGAAGGACGGCCGTTCCGCTGTTCCTCCCGTAACATCTTTTTGGCTACCACGTGCTGCTTGGCCACGTCTGGCTGCTCTGTTGGTTTCTGTGTTTTGTGACGAGTCACGAAGTAATTGTTCTCACCGTTGTTCTACATCTAGCGCAGCCAGGTTTTCAGCGACAGGAGCGTCGTTTCCTCGCGTCGGGGTAAGAGGAGTAATTGAAGAAGCAGCAGCGCGTTCCGTTTCAACATTAGAGGAGGTACGACAGCTTCGTCTCCAGGACGTGCACCGCTTTGTAAGGCAACGTACTCCTTCCACCGACGATTCCTCTACTGGTGTGGAGAGGTCTTCATCCTATGTGTACCACAACAGTCATGTTGGGCAAAATGTTGAGAAATATCTCGAAGTCGAAGATCTGCGAACGGGAGCTTTGTTGTTTCTTTTGCGCGTCGTGAAAACGGAGCACGATTGGAGCTTGGAAGTTTGGAACGAACTCGAGGATGCTATCGTGACTTCGTCTGTTGGAGAATCGACGACACGAGCAGACGGAACAGGAACGGCGATGGATGATGATCAGTCTACAGTCAATATGACGACAGGCAGTCTAGAAGATCTAGAATTGATCGAGCGCGAAGCCGCAAGAGAGGCAGAAGATTCAGAGGAAGAAAGAAGGGAACGAAGACGGCACAATTTAGCTCAAAATATGTCGGCTGAAATAGTAGGAAACTATGGTAGTGTGGCGTATCACCAAGTTGGGCCTCGACGACTCATATTGGACCATAGGAATGAGGGAGGACAGCGCACTATCTTGAGTGTTGCAACGGCGACGAGAAATCAGATGGCTGCACAAGCTCGCGGTAATGGACCCGGTCGCAGACGCAGACAGCATATTCATCAACAGGTGATGGATCTAGATGCTCCAGAGGAAGACGAAACACTCAGGCCTCGTGTACATCCTTCTGGAGTAGTGTCTTCACAACAATCTTCTACTGGTAGAGAGCCACAACAAACGGGATCAGGAGGAGGACGAGCTTTCTCTAGTCCTCATGTGCAAACCGTGGGTGGATCCTCTACAAGAGATGAAGCTCAACCTGTCCCTTCATCCAGCACGACTTTCACTTCACACGTAGGTTCTGGCTCTGCGCAATTTCAACATCAATCTCTCCCAGGACCTCCTGGGCCAGAACCCCATGCAGCACCAAGACCCGTTCGTCACCAACAGAGAAGGGACACCACAGTAATATTAAGGCTCAAGAACTTTCAATGGTCACCATTGCGATTGGAGTCACTGATATCGAACAGGCGACCCCTTGAGAGAACAGGGGAAAACGAAGGGAATAAAGGCGAGAGCTTTGAAGGGGGTCTCTTCCGTTCAGAGTCAGTGGCCAAGGAATGCTGAGCTTTAATAATACAAGGCGCGACCAACAACGTCAACGCCCAGGTGTGCGACTGATGCCAATACGGAATCCGCAGATAGAGCCACGTAATCAGAGGAATTTCTTTTCGAATCACCGAGGTGGTGGACGAAGAACAACAAACACTGCCACCACAACCGCCGCCGCAGCACCAGTAATTATAGCGCCCTATCGTCGCAGAGCATCGTTTGTGCTTGATGAGCAGACTCCTCCAGCAAAAGCAGGTGCTGTGGAGGGGGGTTCAGCTACATTACAAGAGCTACAATTTATTCAACCAGGACAAGATGCAAGTGCACCAAGAACCTCCGACTTACCAAACTCTAGTTCGGTTGACTCAAGGAGGAGAACTGATGTTCCATCTTCGCTCGTACCACAAGCCACGACCGTGCCTTCTACTAACATCGTCCCGCAAAACCAGCAAGACGTAGCAGAGTTGTTCAGGCCAATAGTTGGGAGTCTTTTGGGAGGAACTTCGGCAGCAAGTAGAAGATCTTCAGCACCACTTCTAGTATTTGGCAATGACGCACCTGCTGCGTCGCCGGCTGTTCCGCGTGTAGGAGAAGGAGAAGGATCTGCATCTGCATCTGCATCTACCCCCTCAGCAGGACGAGGTAGTCCAGTTGTTCCACCAGTTCCGATTACAAGAAGTACAACATTTTTTTCGGTGATAGGAAACGAGCCACCTGCAATGCATATGCAATCGTCTGCTTCTCTGCTCGCATCTTCAAGGATAACAATAACTTCTATTTACAATCCTTTTCGTCCTCAGACACCTATCACGGCAATGCCACCGCCTCCGAGGACACTTATCACGGCATCACCACAACAGCCAGCTAACGGGCAACACCAGCATGCTGGAGTTGAAGGAGGTGACGAAGATGCCTCATCCAGTTCCTCTTCCTCTATCATTTCCTCTACTTCAAGTGATGCCACACGATCATCTTTTGGTGCGCCTCTGGCTCCGACGAACGCCAGAACACTAGCGACAGAAGCAGCGGCAGCATCGGCAAGAACACTACTGACAGAAGCAGCAGCAGCATCGGCAAGAAATCAGCAAATTCATCGTGCAGCTAGGATTCCGATACCCCAACATCAACAAGTAACAAGAAACACTTTGAGAAGAACGTCCACGTCGACAAAAACCAGCAATGATTAAGGCCTCTGCTTCTAAAAATCCATCTTCCAGAACATCGTGCTCTTGGCTCGTCCGTTTCACTTGTAGAGAAAACGGGCTCCCTGAGTTTACATTTAGAAGCTCTTTGGAAAGAAGATAGATGGACTTTCAACCATAGTTCTAAAATGTGACCCCACCACCGCTACCAACAGACAGAGACCCATTCGACACCCTGATCGCGAGATATGACGAACAACGTGGATTGTGGTGCTTTCTGGCCGGTCCGCAGAGTTGGAATGGCGGCTCAGACGTGGTTCCGGATATATGGATGCGACAGGGATGGAGATCAGATGGTCTACGAGACAATCCTCTAGGTCAAGCTGACAACTATATCCCTGCCCGCATTCACAATGACGACAACAAAGCTTCGCTTTTCGTGCACTGGCTGGTGTCTGGGAAGATCGAGTTTGAGGAGAAGATGAGCACGGTGGGGCTCTTGGCGAATGCATCAGGATCAGAGACAAAAAATGGTAATGGTGATGGTCGTGGAGGTAGTACCACTACGACAACAGGAGGTGGCCGAGAAGAAATTATAGGAGATGATCCACCAGGATTGATGCAAGAACATCAGGAGGTGGAAGATGAAGTACATGATCAGGATGGATTTCGTGTCCGCTTGCTAGATGAATTAGTTCAAGACCATGACCATGTTGATCCGACAGAGGATTTTGAGAATGCGTATGGAGAATGGGTCTCGTGGCCAGCAGGAACTAATACAACTAGGGATCAAGACTATGGTCGTGTGCAGTCACTGTCATGGCCAACCGCTTTATTTCAGTCAACATCCAAGAACGTCCATGACAATGCACTTGTGCCGCAAGAATCAGACTCCTTCGAGACTTTCTTCGCGCGTTTTTTGGGACATTATGCAAATTCACGAGGACAACACTGCCGACAGTAGTACTTACTTATGTGTATGACTGCTCGAGACGACTTAAATACCCATGCCTATTTTCACAGTGCAAAATTTTCGCCATTCATGAATCGCCTCGTTCATTCTGATTTTTCTTGGATGAGCACCCAGTACACCTTGCTTTCTGAGGCGCCGACTACACCCATCTGCTCAGCTCGCAAAAAGAAAAAAGATGATGAAAAAACGAAGATCCTCCACGATGGTCTTCACCTGTCATCATGATCAGATCTAGACCTGAGAGAACATCGAAAACGGTAAGGAAGCACTGCTCGTCCTCTCCGAATTCCAGATGCTCAACACCAACAAACTGCGATCAGGCATTCTTGTCTTTCTCTATAAGTATTTAGAGTTTTGCATGAACCCAGTTGTTTTCAGACGAACCCCTAGATTGTTCATTTGCGTCTTCGCACACTTACATGTGAGTGTGTTTTGAGAAGAAGTTCATTACATTTATTCACTGACAGTGTGTGACATGATACACTGAAGATTGATTCACATTCTCTAACGACCTGCAACCTGATAGATTCGATACTTCTACTGTGTACGACCATAGTACTAGAAAAAATGGCACCTCCTCCCGAAGACCGCGAGGAAACAGCTGGGGAAGTGCAAGCTCGCTTCCAGGAAGCACTTCAGACTTGGACCTTCCGCAACGAAGATTTCCCTTGTTTAAGGGTAGTTTATCACTATCGTCCCATGTTGTGGACTATACTGGTGAGTCAATTCCCCCTAGGTTCAGAGGGGAAAAAGAGGGAGGAAACGGGCATCCCAATCCACCAGGGTGGAGAGTGAAAAACTACCTTTAACAACTTGTCCCAGCGGCCGCTCCTGCGATCGGGATGTCATGCTACAAGAGAACCGACGTGCGGAACACATAGTCAAGAGTGCTGTCTACAGTCATTTGACGCGGGTGAAAACGACAAGAGAAACTACTGGCGAGGACGATGCAGTAGTACTCGATATACAACAGTTGGGTCTCAATCTGGTTTACACGTTACAATATGAAGAAGATCTTGAAGATTCTGACATCAATGGAGCGGTCAGAGGAGAAGGAGCTCCAAGAAGACCTATTGGTGTGACAGGCCACTTCGAAAAAGTCTTTGCACAGCATGTTCCCACACGACTCCAGGCAGGAGCAAGTCGTGACGAGTCTTCAGTACATTTACGCAAGGAATTTCTGCTAGAGGAAGTGGCGCCCCTTTGCACTCGCTCACCTTTGTTGATTATGACGCCGGATGGAAGTCAGAGCTTGTATATCGATCTCAAAACTACTGGAAGCGCAGGAACGGAAAGCGCGGATCTTAATTAAGGCTTCACTTGGTCCATCTTTGGCTTCATCTGTGGGCAGTTTTCATGAAGAAGAACGCGCACAGATGAGGCAAAAGATGGATTGTAGTGAGTTCTAACTTAAGCAGCAGACGAGCAAGTGTGTGAGCTTCGTGAGCCTGCGGAAAGAGGAGTGGCAGTCTACGAGAGCATGGATGGAAGGAAGGCTGAGTCCTATTGCAGCACCTGAGTTGTGGGACCCTGAATGGGACAAGAAAACTTTCAACAAAAAACCTGTACCTGAAGATCATGAAAATGAAAATGTAAATGATTCATCTACTGTTAAGGCTCACGACAATATATTTCATTTCTAGGAGTCATTTCTCGCAGGTTCCTTCTCGGAATCGTGGAGAAAAGAAGGCACGAAATGAAATGTTTAGAGCTCTCTAATGCTACTTCGTCTTCTACTTCCTCCTTTTGCGATTATGAAAAACTGGATTTGCTGGAGCTTTTGCTTCCAGAGTTGGAGGAAAGTTTGAGGAACGCGGATGAAGCCGAAGGTGAAAGCGAAAGAGCCGATGAAGAGGGAAATCAAAGACATCAATCTTCCCGAGTTCCTGACGTCGATGAAGATATTACGATAAGAAAAAAACGAAGCCAACAGCATCACAGCGTAATGATAAACCTCCTTCACCGAGTCGAAAAATGGAAGATGTTGAGGTCTATGCGAAGCTGTATCGAGAATCATGTGCTAGTGCGCAGCTGCGCGGATGACGAGGCTAGATTGCATGCCGCGAATATGTTAGGCGAACAAGGGTTTGGAGGTGAGAAAATAGCTGGAGACGCAGTTCTCGAGCGACTGGAATGGTTGATGGATGAGTGTAATCCACCTACGGAAACAGTAGAGACTGCCACTGCTGGAACACGAACAAATGCAGATGAAGGTTTCGCACTTGGCAAACTCGTTGAAGAGATAATCGGAACGTCCGATGTCTTCTTAGGGAAGGAGTTTATGTTGAATGCAGTGGCGGAGTTGTTTTGCTCCGCTGATGGTGGTCGTGGTGGTGGCGGATCTGGAGAAGGCGATGAAAATGAAAACTCAGAAGAACCACAGTCAACACAACCACCAAGGCTGATGTATTTTCAGGATCCGGTCACAAAATTGCTAGTTATTTGCAATGCAGATGCTGAGTTTCCGATTTACGATGGTACAACTAGTTCTACTACGAGAATCAGCGCAACCAAAGATTGTTTGCCACAGGGAACGGCCATTTTCACTCCAGACGGTAACGAGATGCTCAGTTTGGGTGTGGAAGGGTGTAATCTTTCGAGCTTCTCGAACAAGCGTGAGGGCAACCGCGGAATGTCGCTTCACATTCCTACAGACGTCGACATACGCAAATTGATGGCCAGATACAAGAAATGGGAACAGGCCGGATATGGAGAACTAGATCTTCACTACTTGATGATCAAGAACGTTGTTAGTAGTCCTCGTTGTTCTACTTCATCTTCTGGGGAAGATGCAAGTTGTACGACATCAATAGACGACCCTCAAACTGAAGGTGTGCGCCGGAGAACTAGGGTTGCGCATGAAGGCGGTACGCACTTGATTCGTTTCAGTGCTGTGATCAATGCCCATTTGGCGCTCAAGGTTCCCGGAAGATACTCTGACCACGACAAAATCCGAAGATGTCTAAATGACACTCCTAAAGGGTGGGGGTTAGACGATCCGGAATGGTACGACCCACTAGAAGGAAGCGATATTCTGGGAACAAATGCTGGGTTGAGACATGCAAAACCGATTTACCATGACAAGGAGACCAACCTTTTCGTGTTACAGGCAAACATGAAAGAAGTGGAAAAATTAGCGTCGCGAAAAGATATATTTATTCATAAATCATGTACACCTTCATCTTCTAGTTCACTTTCAAGCACAGATTCAAGCACTGTTGGGCTCTCGTGCTCGTCCGCTTCAAAGCTTATTGAAAACAGCGACTACCATGCCTCCAAATCCAAGCAAGACATCCTCCAAGACACCCCCGAACGGCCCCAGAAGCCTCGAGATGGCCCAAGACTGCCCCCGAATGGGCCCGCAAAAAAGAACTACAATAAGAGACGCTGCTGTAGTATTTTCTAAGAGGTACAGCAGGTACTTCCAAATGATCAAGAGGCCGAGTCATGATGGGAGTAGGTAATAAAATGAATGTCGACATCAACAGCCCATAATATTACAGAAGGAACGAAAAAGATCGATTTGCTGGGGCAAGATGTAGTACGGGCACTTGTAACTCCTTAGCTTCTTTTGATACTTATTCTTGACCAAGCTGGCCACTGGAGGCTAAGAATTGCATTCCGCGTATGGTGGATATTCAGTTAGGGAACTTCCTTTAGAAGTTTTAGACAGAGAGTTGCATTCCTAGTATGGGTACGCGTATGGTGGATATTCTTCAGTTAGGGAACTTCCTTTAGTTTTAGACTAAGCATCAAGAGGTGCTTATGGGTCGTACGCGTATGGTGGATATTCAGTTAGGGAACTTCCTTTAGTTTTAGACAGTAAGCAAGAGGTGCTGACTAAGCATCAAGAGGTCGTGTTTTGCTTCTCCTATTATAACGGACTAAAGGAAATAAGTGTGAGAACGTTCTACAGAAAAAGAACGTTCTAAAGAAAAGAACGTACGTACAACTATTAAGAACGTTCTAAAGAAAGAAGCACGACAAACCTGGTCGTGAGAGGATCTAAAAAAAAAGTTCTTGTGTTCATGGACGTGGACATCCGCGTAGTCTAAGGGATCTTCAGGAGTCGTTCTAGAAATTCTCCCTCAAGGAGGTCGTGTGAAGGTGTATTCCGAGTAGATCGTCTGTCAGCATCAAGAACTACAAGGTGTTAGGGTGTCGTGTCAGACACAAGTTGCGAGTGGTAGAAGATCTTGCTTTTGTGGTAAACAAGTACTTATATCCCGGCTAAACTCAACATAGTAAGGTTTTCTAAAGCACATAGTAGAGTTCTTGTGCTAAGAATATGAGTAGCTCTACTTCTAGTCTGTCTCAAGTATCACTTGTTGTACTACCATCTAGTGGAAGATAGTTGACAACGGTTCTTGGAATTCTCATGTCCTTGCATATTTTCTCCTATCTTGGAACCCGAGAGAAAGAACTGAGGGTGGCCGAGTGGTGTGTGACTGAGTTGTTTTATCAGAGCGCATCTAAATCATTTTGTTTTTCATCATACACCTTACCTAAACATTTTCAACTTGGAGATACCTTGAAGATCTTGGGTCGAGTCTCTGGTCTTCTGCCTCTGCCGTCGTGGTAGCGCACACGACTGCCTCTTTTTTAAAACATCTTCTACGTTCACGTTCTACTTACGTAGAGGATCCTTCTACAACTGGTCTGACTGCACCGAACAGCTGAGCCTGAGACGAACAGCTGAGCCACCTCCAAGACTCTTCCCTTGTTCCCTCGCAAGAGGGTCGTGAAGATCATGGTCCGTGGTCGAGAGCGTTCTTTACGACGTAGCCGACATAGAGGAAAGGATAATCACAGTCCTACCGCAAGAGATCGAGACCGATCTGCGAATAGGGAGAACACGAGGTCTGCGAATAGGGAGAACACGAGGTCTTGGAATAGGGAGGCGAACAAGGAAAACGCTCATCCTCCTCCGGTGAAAGATAATCGATACCATGATAATTAAGGGATAAATATTTATACATAGTCATAAGGAACAATTTTTCATCTCCAAAGTCATCTGAACAAAGAAAATATGAAGGAAAAGGGACTATCCAGATGGTTCTACTGGGAGATGCATTCCCTAGCATTATACCTCTAACATGACACATCCACAGGCTTGAGTAGCAGCGCGAATACCTCATCGACGAAGGACACGACATCAAAGGACACCTCAGCAGCAGCAGACCGATTTGCAACCTCCAATGAAAAAGTTAAGATTTATTGTATTTCTTTCTCAAGAATACAAGGAAAGAAGTCATTGTCATCGAAATTGTCAATGCTATTGTGAAAGATGCAGCAAAGTATGATCAATTCTTGAATGAAGTTCGTTGTTGCCTCTAACAGCAATTACAAAGACAAAGAGAACAAAGAGCCAAGCAGCAGTACTTCTACAAGCAAGGACCACATCAAGAGTTCTCATAGGCGTGGAGAAAGTGGTCGTCGTGGTCGCTCAAGGTCACGGCGTCCACGACAACCAGAAGCCGATAAACGGGACTACGCAAGTAGTGCGTACGTAAAAAACAATCCCTACAACAACACGACAAGCGCGGAAGTTATGATGTAGATGTACTTGGCGTTGTCGACGTCGACAGAATTTGCAATTTTGCTGAGACCCACCTTGATTAGCGGTTCTAGTTATCTCTGCTTGTTATTCCGGTATTTCAAGATTCCTGAACCTGATCAATAATCGGTTTCTGTAGAACGACATCCGTCTAATAAGGGTCTCTGTCCAGCATCGAGTCCAAGTACTCGCGCGGCCAGTAGTGGAGGTAGCGATCAGCAGGAGCTGCGTGGAGATGCACCTCTGCAAAATGAGGATGCTGCTTAAGGCACGACGAGAACAGGGTCATCCTTAAGTCTATCTATAGACGAATAGAATACATCTATCTAAGTCTATCTGTCTATCTATCGAGCAAATCGATCTGTCTAGCGATATCTTGCCAATATAAATCTTGCTATCTATGTTCTATCAGATAAGTAAATAAAAAAATCGACTTCATCAAAAAACTAAAGCTCTAAGATCATGCTCCTCCTCCTCCGGAAGATGGCAGTCGAGCACGGGGTCGAGCACGATCTTCAAGGTTATGAAGATTGATCACATTTCTTCAAACTCCTGGAACTTCCGCATCTCGGACAACTCAGACACGAGTTGTACTTCAGTGAAAAAATATGTTGAGCCATGATAAGGCGGCGTTAAACTTTATCCATCAGCATAGGCATCCGCATTTTCTAACGAGAGCTCGTGATCGCGCGCCTCGTCGGTCGCGCGAGCGACGACGGGAGAACAGCAACGACAGAGACAATCGAGATCCGAAGCCCAACCAGCAGTCAAGCGGCAACTCTAGGCGTAGGCGACGGGGAAGAGAATTCGCTTTTGTTATGAAGAGAACTCTTAGGGAGAATAAGTTTCTTGAATTCTAAGGCCAATGAAATTGTTATGAAGAATATAAGACGTACTAAAATAAACCAAGAAAAAGAGAAAGTACTTACGCTACCTCTTCTAACTGCCAAGATGCCATTCCCGCAAGTTCTGAACCGACATCCAGCAAAGATAGCACTAAAGAGGTGGGAACTGAAGTGGGGACGATGGGCAATAAATCTTCATCCTTAGGAGGCACTAGTCAAGCAGCGTCCTCCTCTAGCGTAAAAGCTACAGATTCAGAGACGAAGAAGACTCAGAGACAGCCAGTTGCCAGATTATGGTGTGAAGATTTTTCTTTTTTTTCCAGGAGATAGTATTGTGGGCGTTTCAGCAACTTTTTGAAACCCATATGGTTTTGTCTAATTCGCTATACTGGCGCTTCTGGTGCTGAAGATTAGATGGATTAGTATCTATAAATGGTTCTCATAGAACATAGAAGTGCTTCTTGCGCAGAAACAAAAGCATCGGTCACTCTAATCAAACGTGTCAAGGGCTGGCGACTTGGTGGGCAGCCCAAAGTCGAAATGCGACATATCCTAGGTAGTTCTTACACTTACAACATTTTCTACACCTAGGAACACTATGCATAAGCATCTTTTACTTTACCTTTTTCTTCTACATACTCTATAGCACCACGATGATGCCCATGCTGCAAGAGAAAACTCATTGACTACATCAAGTTGAAGTTTCAGGCTCTGCGAGTTCCCTTCGTCGTCTTTGGTCTTCCTCGGTTTATCAACATCATTGACTACATCTATCAATCAATCTAACCCGCGAATGGGTACGTCAATCAACGACTCTACTTCTCCCATTTATTCTCTTCTAGATTTCCTCAAGCGCTGCGGCGTTACGGGCGATGATGAGGCGAAAGTAAGACGAGAATTGAAGGGTTTAGGGAATAACGAGCTCCTGAGACTCCTTGCTGAGGGGGATATTGAAATTATGGATTGATGTTGTGCACGCATACTTTGATCACTAGATCGGTGGGTATCATCAGAATGATCATGATTTTCTTCTTTAGGTAATGTTTTTAGAATTTAGACGAACTACGACAACTCCTCGACGTGCCTGCTTCCCGTCGATCAGCGTCCTAGGGATGATGTATTCACCACATCTCATGGCGGTGTGTGGTTCGACGACTGCTCTCTTTTAGCACACCCGAGCCTCACAGTTACAGCATCTTCTAAATTAAACGCCCGCAACCCAACAGCAGTATGCATCGCACGACTGAGGAAAGCGAAGAAGGCAGAAGCTGCCAAAAAAGGGATTCCGCGGGTGGAGTGGCTGCTAGTTGAACAGAATATAGATCCAGAGCAGTGGGTACGAGAATTCGTCGATGAAGAAAAGATTGCCGCGTTTTGTCGGGAGAATACGTACTCGTTATAGCTCTTTTTTGAATTCAACTCACCAGCCCGAGTACGAGTAACTCTAAACTTTTTGAGAGAGGCCCTCACGAGAATGCATGACTACGACCAACAGGCGCGGAGTGTTCTTTTGCTCTTCTGGGGTGCTTCTTAGCTGGAGTGGGAAGCTTGGGGATTTCCTAGCAGGGGCGCAAGCCAGAAATGAGCCATGCGCACCACTGCAGAAGACCCCGGCCCGCAGGTTTAGCACCATCCCCCGACCTCGTCTTTCAAACGAAAAGGGCCAGGGCGCTGCTCTTAGGCTTAAGGGCCTGCAGGATTCTAAAGACCCAACGAGCGTGCAGGCTGGGGGGCAATCGTGGAGCCAAAGTGCCCCAGGGACTACGCGACTCCGCCAGCATCTTCCCACAGCAGATGGCCAGGCAGGCTTCTGCCTGTTTTGCGCACAGTGCCGGCGCTTAGCTCTACACGCTCTTCCAGGACTTGCCAGCTTCTGGCATGGGAGCCAAGAACTTCCCGGCGGCTATGGCGATGGAAGGCGCCAGTACTTTTATCCAATGGCCAGCAACTTCGCGAAAAGGATTCCGCTCGCGGGTGCGAACGGATGCCACCGTGGCGCTTCCGTGTGGCCACTTGGTAGGGCCGCGCAGATAAATGGGCGCGCTCGCAACCTACGCCGGCGACCGGAGTTTTGGCGGGCCTTGGCGTTTGTGCCGGTGCGGTTTGGGAATAGACTTAGAAAGCGCCGCCAGCCAGGTAATGAGGTGAAGCGTTTAAGCTTCGCAGCATTCTGCGCAGGTTAGTGCCGTGCGCCAGGCATTTCTTCCAGGCAGGCGGGGGCTTGTGTGCTGTCGACTTCATTGAGGGGATGGCGGGGGCCGGCAAGTCGGTAGACATGGCGAAGACAGAGGGCCGCGGGCTGGGCATTGCGGGACGATTGGGAACACGCCAGAAAGCCCGCAACAGCATAAAAGTGCCACTAGGTTGCGGCTTTCGGCTTCCACTATCGACGGCTTTGCAGATACTTGAGCGGGGGCGCGGGTGCCTTTGTGGGCGGACCCGCCTGAGGCTCGAAACCTGCCGGACCAACTCAAGCGCAGCGCGGGGAATACCTTGGCGGGCTGTCGTGTGGCTCTGTTTTTTTTTATTTTTGTAGCTGACTGAGGCTGACGCAGGTGAGGGAGCAGGAGGCAAGCAACGAGCGGGCGGCCATCGGCGTCGGGCCTCCCTCGGGGGTTCGCTGCCTGGGGTACGACGGCACACCGCTTGGATGCCTGCGGGGGCTTGTGTTCGTGGCTTGGTGTTAGGGCTTTCGCGCGAATCAGTGGCCCGCCCCCAGCCAAGCGACTCAGCTGGCGCGCTTGCGGTTGTGGCTTCGTTCCCGTGGCGGCTCTGTTAGTTTGTATGTACCGTGGTAGCGTCGTGGAAGGAGGAGCGCACCAGACTGGTGCAGGGTGAGAGGGTGGTTGGCGTTATGTGGTTGGGTGTGGCCGTGTTACATAATCTCGAGGGGTGCTGGGGTTCGTTGGCGCCTCCAGGTCGCTGGCTTGCTTTGTTTTCGGGCTCTTGGTTCAAGGAAGTACTCCTCGGGGGAATTTATAGGGGGCGTCTTGGTTGAATGACGGTGGCGGCGCCGCTGTTGGCTATTTTCACTCCCTTTTTCTGTTTCGTTTTTGGTTTTCAATTCATATTCTTAGCATGATCGCTGGCTGCGTTGGTACTGCATTCCCTTCCGCGCCGATTCGTTGGAACTGATCATACTTGAATGATAGGCCACCTAGACCATAGACTTTTTTTTAGTCGTGAGCAGTATCTATTCTCATTAAAGATGATAAATTGACAGGTCTTTTTCCTTGAGTCTGATGCTGATAGATTTTCGCTTTGTAAAAGATCGCGACTGCCCTCTCTTATGGGAGGCGCTGGAAGACTACTCACTCCCTCGTAGGTAATAAATTACGGTGAAAATGTGTATCACAAAGCATATTCAACTTTCAATCAGGGTCAAATTTCGACTCTTGAGATTCATTGAAAAACAATTATACTTTTTAGTGCTTAAGTAACCTAAACTATCACTATCAGGATATTCCAAGACAAAGTATTCGAGGACTCGTTACTAGGAATGCCAGACGGCATTCTAGAGCTGATCAAAGCCCGCGCCTACGAGTGGGAGAAGTTTACGGCTTGTCACTGATCTCATTTTCTATTTTAGATGCTGGCATCGCACATGCATTACGCTTTTTAGGCAGGTAGAACAGGAGCCATTCATTGTACAACATTGTGAAGATCATGAAGAAATAGCTAACGTTCACCAGTAGCGTCGCCATCACTTTCTTATGGACTAATCAAGGAATAGGAATTTAAGTGGAAGTTAGCTCCTCCTCCATCTTCTAACCTTAGCAATGACGTGGACGATTTTTTAGATTTGCTGGATACGTGGAAGGGTGAGGTAGATTTCGTACGGAAATGCGAGTTAAGGGCATTCTGGAGAGATCAGTGTCAAGGCTTTCCGGAAGAGGTACTTAGTTGTATTCACTGTTTCACCCCTAGGATAAGGGTTCTCCTAGTAGTTATATGGGTAGATTAAAATCATGCTGCAAGGCTAAAGTGAAGACTCGTGTGAACGCCTCACACTAGGTAGTGACACAACTTACACGAAAAAGATCCATCTACAGTTTCTCTTTCATACTAGACACAACTACAAACTTCAACTTCAACTCCCCCAACAATAAACGCCAAAATCACTACAGTTACGCGTCCGCTTTTTCAAGTGTAATTTTCAACGGCAAGTGATGTTGCGAGGATGCTGGATGAAGGATGGCGCTATGAATGAAGAGCAGGTGGACTATTTAGTCGGCATGGATTTTCCAAGTGTAGAAGATTTCGCAGAGGCGAATGATTTAGATAGCGGAGCGACGAATCGATTGAAACTTATGGCAGTCATGAGACTACAACTAAGTACATGGAAGGTTTAGTTTTAATACAGTTTTCATTCTGAAACGCAGAATGAACACACATACTACGTACTACCTTAAAAACAACAGTTGTAGACACAAACAATCAGCAACATCGGCATTTTTAAGTCTCAATGAACCTCCATTTTTAATAATTACTCCGCAGAAGTTTTTCTTCGTGACCGAGTTTTTCTTCGTGACCGTGGTCTAAAATGTAAGCCCCAGAGGAAATCCAAAGACAAGTGCTCGACGAGGGTTTGCTCATCGGCGCTAGAAACACTAGCTCTTGCCTTGTCTCACGCATATTGCATTTAGACGCGGAATATAAGAAAAGAAAAGAGCTGACGGATCAGGAGACCATGTATGTCTAGACGTTTGTAGTATTCTGGGAGGAGTTCCTAGTAGGAGTGTTTTACTGTAGAAAATTCAGACTAGACTAGAACTTCATTTGTTCAGACTTGTGCAGACTCGTGGAATAGATTTAGAAGTAAATGTTTGTTCCTGAGCACTAGGTTGATGTTTGTACACGAACACTCTGCAAATTAATTTTAATTACTTACATCAAACAGAATGTTTCTGAAAAAAATCTCCACACAGGTACCAAAACACGTACTATTCGGATCAAAATCGAAAGCGATCTACGTCTACAGAACAGGCGTGGGATCCGAGTCAGGTCCAAAGATTTTTGGACGACAACTGTATAGACAATATTGCGCGTGAGATCTTCTGGGAGCACTTGACGGACACGCAGAGAGCCGAAGCAGTGCAGGTAGGGGAGGTTGATAGGAACGGCACAAATCCTAGCGCGGTGCTCATGGGGAGATTGGGTACAAGAACTAGTCTATTTTGTTAGAGAAAAGTTCTAGTAGTAGTAATATCTTCTTGCGAAAAATGTTCTTCTACTTCTACTTGTACTAGACTGAGATAATTATTATATTAAGGAACATGAAGTAGATGAACATCAACAACCTTCGCTGCTAGTTGTACCTCTCTTAAGTACGTAATCCAACACAAACTCTCCATCATCCTGAGACTATTAAGGAACATGAACAACCTCTGCACTCTTCCAGGTAAAGTAACCGGCCGTGGGCGTGATATAGTGGACGAGTACTGGAATAGGAAAAATGGCACCGCGAACGTGAATCCTACAATAGCAGCAATGACCAACGCTAAAGAACGGCATATAGAGGAAGACTTGCTGCAACAGATCGATGAGTTTTGCAAAGTGAACAAACTGAATGACAGCGTCAGGCGAAAACTCATAGATTCTCCTGATGGTACTGTAGTTCCACTAGTTTTGTTTATTCTCAATCACTCTTTTGTCCCCTTGCAGTCTTCTAACTTTCAGTACAACAATCCCTCTGATTTATAGATACTTGTTCCATTTATAATATATAATATCGTATTCTTCCTCGATCATGTTGTCAACAAAGGTACAATCGAAGCGATCACTGCAGATGGTTTGCATAATGCAGATACCAATTGCACGGGCTCTGAACTGATACTGCGCAGGATCGATGAGCTTGGTAGACGGCTACCGCATTTAGCAGACGTCCGCGTCTTCCTGAGGGATAATTCTTAAGGCACTCTTCCTTTTTTGAAGAGATAGAAAGATCTTGGTCTTCTTCGGTTCAAAACAGTGCTCTTACTTGGTCACCAGTATCAATCTCGGGTAATATACTTAATTCTCGTCTGTTACAACTACTCTCTAATCTTGCGTTGATGATCGTGCCGCAGAGATGTTCCTTGGGTGTCTTGACTGGCAGCAGCGCGAAATCATACTCAATGCGCGCACAACCGACCTCACCCGTATGCGCAACCCTAGTAGCTGGGTAGTAACTGCGATCGTTCAGGTCCGCAAACGCCCACGACCAGAGCACAGAGGCCGAAACTTCAACAACCTCTTTTATGGTCAACATTTAGTGTCCATCATTCTCGGCAACATTTAGTGTCCCCTTTTCCCTTGTATTCTCGTGAAATACAAGGTAAAAGGGGCCAAGATGTTGAGGGGGCCGAGATGCACATCTAGCAGACTCTAACTCTTGCTCAAAGGCGATCAAGTCACTAGCTCCTTCTCCAGTGGTGATAAGAGTTCGAACTCGGGAGGAAACGGCGGAAGCGCAATTTCGAGCGCGCAAGGCAGTCCGAACCTGACCCCGTCGCCTGCGACCAGCAAATAACGTCGTCGCCTGCGGACAACAAATAACGCCATCACTTGTGATAACGACGAAGTGAAAGTAGTGCTTACTTAGTGGTCAACAGTTGTGACCCTTTTCATCCTCGCAAAAAAATCCGAATTCCTACAAAACCTCAAACAATCACGAACAATTGAACCATTTTCAGAATTTCCAACTTTGAAAGTTTTGACTACTAATTGATATGAGATGATATGTTTCACCACCCAATATCGATGACGGCCACCTTCCTCTATGTTAATATACACCCTTGTCGATAAATGTGCAGAGCCACGTTTTGTCTGATGTCAGTCCCTAGTAATTAAGAAGAATTCGTCATCGGCTGTTAAGCAGTTCAAGAAGGGGAAAAAGGAGAGCGACGAGTTTTTGAAGGACAGCGACGAGTTTTTCAAGGATTTTCTGGCACAGCTGGACTAGTAGAGAAGTTACGAGGATAATGGTTGTATTGGATTGGGTGTGGTGATTGGGCGTGGTGACTACTAACTGATATGTTTCACCACCTAATATCGATGACGGCAGCTCTGATCCCCAATTCGTTTTTACCATGCTTCGTACGCAGTCATACCACCTATATGTTGTTGATATACACCCTTGTCGATATGATATTCGTGTCCCCAATGAAGGACCCCTTGTTTGGCAGACTTTTTAGGCGCTTAGATAAGTACTTAGAAATTACTTGTTCGTGGATAGTCCATTCAAAATCACTGTCTCTAATACACCTTAGATAATTTTATTGCAGAAATAGGAGACCACAACCAGGGTGGAGGTAGTATTAAGTTGCAAATGTGCAAGCAGAACTGCTCGTGTCTTCCAGTTCTTGTCTACACTTCTCATGTGTCTCAATGACTAATCCATAGATACCGAATAAATCCGCACTCAAGAAAGGCCTGATACGTCCGTCACCAAGTTAAGATTTACCAACTGAAGTGATACATTCGTCGAACAAAGATATCACGGGATAAGGAAGAGGAGGAATGACGCAAATTTGCATCCATCGTTTTTTTCGCCGAAGAACCATCCCCTTCGGTACGCGATATCCCCACAGAAGTTAGTGTCGGGATCGGTACAGGATACAGATAAGAGATGGAGGAGTCTTCGACGTGGTATTGTTTGAAAAAATCGTTTATCGGAATCGATCTGCTCGGAAAGGATTGCTTTCGCAGAATAAAAAAGTTGGCAGAATAGAAAGGAAAAGTCGTGGGAAGAAAAAAGCAATAACAAACTACAGGTTGTGTAGCTAGCTGATGAAAGGATACTTAGAGATTGTAAAGTGACAAAACTCTTCACAGCGAAGAAGTGAACTACATCGCTTTCCAACCGAAACAAATCTGCAAGAAGTATGATCTAGTACCACATCAGCAAAAAAAATGGGTCTCTTAGCAGCACTCGAATTGTTGGAGGATCACAGCTCACACGTCGAGCCCGACCACTTTCACGAGCCGGAGCACCTCCACGAGCCCGAGCATTTTCATCATGAGCATCATCATGGTATATTTATTCAAGACTTTTTGTGTTTTTTTTCCTTCTTGGCTATTTTTGCTGTTCTGAGCATCAGACAACAGGAATAGCAGAGCTCAGATTCAACATGAAGAAGATGAGTTGGCGATAGTTTGTCATGCTTGTGACCCAATATTCTTGACCTTCATGTTGATTCTATTCAATATTCATCACCTCAACAGGTTCCTCACCATCAAGTGCCTCGTCCGGTAGCAGCCACACGCACGCCTTCATCTCCGTGTCACATCCCAGGAGTCCCTCAACGTCATTCTTCGTTGTCGGTCGCGGACCTGCATCATCTTCTACCGCCTCGTGGTGGATAAGGTTGACTCATCCGCATCCTACAACAGCGTCTCAAGAACAAGAATTGTCGAAACAAGATGTGAATGATAGTCCTCTCTCTTCGTCGACCATCACTGCCTTCGTGACACAGGAACAAAAAGGTGGAACCATGATTGTTCCAACAACGGAACCTACTAGAGATGTGCCAGCAGCTGAAGCGACGATGACGGACATCATCAGGAGTCCATCCGCATCGCAATTGCTCGATGAGCTGTTACCATTTCCTCTCTACCGTCAACCCTCGGTGGGTGGGTCAATAGGACTGCAGCTAGAGAACATGTTTCCTTCTGCGAGGAGGTTGCTGGCATCTGGTCACGACGGCAAAAATCTGCTTTCCAACATACTCCATCAACTATTCGGGGACCCAGGGCCAGGAGGCACAGAAGACCTCCATGCACAACCTGTTCTTGCATCTGCTGCAACAACAAGACGTAGTGATTATAGTGTGAGTAGTCATGGTCGTGGGCAAGAGAATAGTTTAGCACTAGTTGTTCCTAGAAGTAGCAATGAGGAAGAAGTTCTCACGACGAGTCAAGAACAGCACCAGGGAGAACTCTTTTTCGCTGGCGCATTAAGTGAGAGCGAGCTTGCGGCACATGCCATGCAATTAAGAGTCGCACGATCAATTGCTGGCACCACACTGGCTGGTGCGGCTGCTTTATTTACGAGTCTGTGCTACAAACTGTCTAACCGGAGCAACGGGGGATCGTCGAAGAGGAGAAAAGGTGGCACAATACAAACAACAGATTCAGAAGATGGTGGGCCCCTTAACGAAGAAGTACTAGAGGACGCCGAAATTTTGTTTTGATCATAGAAATAGCTAGGTAGAGGAAGCTAGAGTGTATAGATTATGATTAATCGACTCAAGAAGATCAAGTGAATCATAGAACTGAACGATATATAATACCGTGATATTCCGCTTTCTGGTTTTCGTGTTTCTAAGAAGATACAACCAAATCAATGATTCCTTTTTTGCAGTAAGTTGTACAACGATGTTCTTGGTGCGTGTTTTTTGAGCTATTTTTCCTGTTCTGATATATGATTCCTTAAGAAAGAATCTACAACAAGAACGGTTATATATCCATCGGGAGTATTTGAAGAAACAATGTGAATGTTGGGTACAAGACGCCTCGCGCAGGACTGAAAGACGGGTTTACTCTGGACTTTGGAACGATACTACAGCAAAACAAATTACTGAAAGACCAAGTCAAAAAGATACAGACGGGTCCAATTTTTTGCATCACTAACACGTGGTTGGTGTTGTACGAGCACGTTTTCGGAAGTGAATCGAGATGAAGTACCAGTAATTAGGGTATTTTACTATACAGAAGCTGCATCGACGCAACTATTGCAGAGTTAGAGGTGTTCTTTGTGTACTACGCACAGGAGATGATATCACTAAGAAGAGGTGGCTTTCTACCAAATCAACAAAAAAATGGTCGTTTCATCCGGCAAACGAGGATTTCGGAAATGCGAACTTCACTGTCGTAGCAGAACTTTTAGGCTTGTTCTTCTAGCTGCAGTCGAAGCATGGAGTCGAAGGGCAGCATTCATATCAGAGGAAGCTCTTGAAGAGGCCGCGTCACGAGGATTCGCTAGTACTGCAGTACTATCCTCTTCAAGGCGGAATCAAGTAGATCACCCTGCAGAACATGAGCCGAAGAAAGGACGATTAGTGCGCCGCTCTACTAGGCCACCAGAGTCTCTCCTTCAAATCGCAGAAAGTAAAAAGATACACATCGTAAATGACCTGTCGAACAACGTAACCGCTGACGCTGACGGTCATCATGTGCTATCCGACGATGGACAGTTTTCGCTTTCTGACATCTTAACGGTGGAGCACGCTGCGACCTACGGACTCTTGGCCTTAGCTTTTCTCATTGGTAGTTACTACTACGCACAGCTCGCGCATTACTCAGGCACGCGCATTGCGGGTCCGCTCATCGAGGAAAAAGAAAGACCTCCTGCTCCTTCTGAGACAAGGCGATCGAAGGAGATCCATGAACCAAAAAAAGACCCCTCGCAGCAGACAATCGCGAAGGCGAACGAGAGCCAAAATACCACGATCGGTCCTGACCCGGGGACAATCGCGAAGGCGAACGAGAGCCAAAATACCACGATCGGTCCTGACCCTAGGCCCTGCCCTAAGCCCTGCAACAACCTGAATCCCCTAACAAAGGTGGAGGCTGGACTACCTTCTGCTCCTCCGAACGGTGAAAAAGGCGGAGGTGCTGCGGCGGAGCAGGCTGCTAAGGGAGAACAACTCTCTTTGGACTCCTTGATCCGCAAAGCGGCGGAAAGTACTATAGAAGGCCCCTTGATCGACCAGGGAGGCAACTTCGAAAGCAATAATACAGTACCCGATACTACCTCAAGCCTCGCTGTGCAGGAAACGGGTGTTGTTGCAGGCACTCCTTCGGAGGGTTCGGAGCAGGGCTCATTGGTGGGTCAGTCTGACAAAGATTCGGTCGCGTCTGGGTCTGACACAGAGGACAGGAATGACGAAGAGTGAGCGTCGTGGAAAAACACGACCACTACAATTTTGCTACGATCTTCATAATTCTTCAACTAGAAGCGAACAAAATGCAAACCCTAATAAATTGTAGAGTTTCATCACTCTTTTCCCTTCATCTTTTTCAATTTTGAAATGGAACGTAATCCTTTCGTTCCACATTCTCTCACGCTAAACAGATGAGAGTCGCAATTATTGCAACTGAAGATCGTGAAACGAAGCAGCGTCAACAAGAACGTCGTCACGAGGTTAACTCGTCTTGTGTTTTCGAATCCCGAAAAGACTGACTACAGGTGAAAAGTCTTCAGTTCTGCTTGTCAACCACAGTTGATTTTTTTTTTCTACCATCGTTTTAAAAGTGAAAAGCCATACTAACTTATCTGCGCAGTATGCTACTTTGCTCGACGAGAAAGTGAAACACGATGAAACAAAGAAAATGTACAGGTGAAAAGCCTTCAGTTCTGCTTGTCACTCGATTTCCAATTTAGACCATCAAAAAACGCGTGTCGTGCTACAGATGTTCTACTACGCTAAGATGTGATTCTAGTGGTGTTTCATGTAGATAAAAATTTAGAGCATTCCTTTTCTGGGGATAATATATATAATACCGTATAAGATAAAAGCATGAAGACAAGATGTTCTCCCCTGCGGCGAAAGAGACAAGCGGGCACTCACCTTCAACATCCACGACAGCACTTCACATGGCAAGCTTCACCTCGTCATGGTCGTCCTCGTCGCCTTTATTATGTCCGATTAATTCTGCGCTCATTTTTCACCGCATACACCTGGGCAAGGCCAGAGTAGATCGGGGACCGGTCTTACCGGGTTTCATATTTGGGGGGTTACCTCTCTGCAGCGTGGTGGAAGCGTTACGGGATGCGTTTGATGAAACCAACGACAGGCTTGCATCAAGAATTATATGTTCCTCGGATATCAAAATCAAAGGAGAAGCAAGGACACGACCCCAGTGCTCGCTTACTAGCCAGGAAAATGCCTACGTTTCCATGGTCTCGGGTCTGGTGGAGTTAGAGGCAGCGTTGGTTGCTTTAGCAAAACAGCATAATAATGATTCCTCTTCAAATTCGAGGAAGAACCCATCAGGAGAACAACCTTTGTTGCGGGACATTGTACTAAATTTGGGCAGTTTGGAACTCAGATCTTCCTCAGCATGTGGGCAGCGGGGAAGCTCGACACAAGCGCAAAGCAGGAGGCTAGACCCTTTCCTAGTCTCCATTGTGCAGATGCTGTGTCTACCGCAAGGCGTAAATTTACGAAATTTAGTATTGCATGGCTTTCTTCGTGTGGATGACCTTGATGGGGATGTACTTTACGAGAACAAGGACCTATTATCCTTTTCAAAAGATTACATGACCATGGATTCACCAAATGCTGAGCATGCGGATGCAAATGGTGAGCAGTGGCACGGAAAAGACAACATCCGTAAAGAGTTTACGAATCTTTTATCGCAGCACTACCTTGTCCAGCAGACAGATGGGTGCCAAATAAATGGTGTTGAAGCGGATAGAGACGCTCAACTTTCGCGCTTTTTCTGGCCCACGGTCGTGTCTGTTGTCGTGAAAGCAATGCGCCGAGAAGTGGACGGTTGCGAGCCACAAGCTGGAGAAAAGAAGCAGGCCGTCACGTGCGGCGCTTTTGCGATACCCATACCTGACGAGGTACGCGCCGAGTTGAGGCATATTTTTTCACTCCTGTCCGGCGTTCGCGTCAAAGGCCTAGAATTTGGAAAGCAACAAAGCCTATCCTTGATAACAGCGAAACGGGCTGGAAGAGCACACGAGTCCTCAACTACCGCTGTTGAGGTAGCCTCCCTCGTCTTGCTCTTGTTGGAGCACCAACTACGGCAAGCGTTTGGAGATACCCATCCTCGACAGGGCCATCGTGATCCTCGAATCGCACGTTTCGGAGATTATTACACGACTCTGGACGGCTACGGGCAAAGACACCTACACCAAGTCCTATTGGATCCTCTCGTTCTGGATTTGGATCCCATGGTGCGTGATACAAGAAAAGACCAAGACGCCTCTACAGACGTCGAAGATGTGGTGCATAAAAGAAAAGACCAAGACGCCTCTACAGACGTCGATGTTGAGGAGTCTAAAAGACGACGAAAGAATCTTCTGATCCATGAAACTCTGTCAAATGGTGCTGTCCAACTATTGCAGGACTTGTTTCTACAAGAGCAAGGGCCCAACGTTCGCGCGCGGCTGTTCCACAAGAGTGAACGGACGGTAGATCTGGACTTGTTGTTATTATGGGTGGAGGGAACAATTCATCTCCAAAGTCATCTGGAAGAGAAAGACAAGAGGAAAATGGGACCCAGATGATCCGTGAGATGAATTCCCGATACCTGTAATCTTAGTGGTATTGATTGGTGTGACGAGGGAAATCGACAACGCTTCTAAAGCTGCTTCGGAACAAGTAGTACGCAAAGGCAAGGGCGGAGGAGAGCTGATGGAAGACGAAGAGCCGCGACCTATGACGAGGAGGAGACTTAGTAGCGGGGAGGAAGGAGATGCGCCTTCTGTTGTTCAAGGTACTGCTCGAAAAGACCCAATACCAAACATATCCTCTTTCCTAAGGACATACCGATCAAAGTATCACCCTGTTGCGATGGCCTGCGATGAAGTGGAGGCATGCTTGGCGGCTGTGCAAGAGCTTGAGAAGGAAGTCGAGCGACCTGAAGTTTCCGAAAACGACATGGACAATTCTCTTCCCCCAACGTCGTCGAGAGAAGCCGTAAGAACCATCTGGGAAGAATTGCTAGACACTCTCACAATCTCTGCAGCTGCCAAGATATCACCTAGAAGCGCTATTGCCCAAGATCTCACCGCTTTCCGCAATACCTTCTTCGGCGACGAGCAGAAGCGCTTGTATCTAATTCGACATCTTGACAGCCGCAGTGGGCTCCTCCCTGCACTCAGAAAAGCTCTTAACGACTTACGCACCGACCTCGTACTCCCTTTACAAGCACGCTGCGCAACTCTGCGCTCCGCAGTGGAGGCGAGAACAGCCAAATCAAGACAACGAAAAATGCTTGCAGAGTTGACACCAAAGAATGGGCCAGTGCATTTCGTTTGTGAATTTGCTTTACATGTGTGTCAGGTGTTGCTACGGAAATGTGTGGTGTTAAGGCCTCATTTAATCCGTCTTTTACTCCATCTCTCTGTGCCCTGCTTTCGAGTACAAAAAAGGACACAGATGAGGGAAAAGATGGATTGTAGAAGTGAGTTCCAATGCTGGATGCGGTGGGTGTCGGAGGGAATAGAAGTGCGCCTTCAAATCAGCTGGGAGAGCAAGAAACGTCTGTTAAGGTTAAGTTTTTCACTATGCTTGCTGTGTGTAGTAAGTATGTTGCGAAGAAGTGAAACCCGAACAACCCGTACGGCTATAGTATAGTATTTGGTTTCACTGTCGCAGTACCGACATCTAGCATAGTGACCACAGGTAAAACTAGAGACACACGACCACCCCTAAGCTTGAGAAAGAATGGCTGCGCCTCTTTGCGGTAGTTGGTTCCTTGAAGAATTTGGATCAACCTCAAGGTGCGCAAACTTTGAAACAATTTCTAGCGACACACGCAGCGAAACGGACGTTGTTGTCACCTTCTTTCAACAAATGAGGCATCATCTGCTTGGCATGACATGCACAGACAAGAGCCAAAGAGTGCACGACCCCCTTCTCGGACATGATTCTTGAAGATGATGGTGTTCGAATATCCCTGTTTGTGTCGGTAAAGATTTTCAAAGTTGCCGATGCGATCCCTTTGATGACTCGGAAAGATGAAAGTAACTTCTCTTGAGCAGTGAATACCTCTTCTGCTTTGGTTCTCCTGCTTTGGTTCTCCTGCTTCCTCGACGATTTGTGTACCACTGGTTCTGCTGATGAAATTGGCACTCAACTAAGCTTCAATCAATGTCGTCGGTCGTCTGCTGAAACAAAGTAGTAAGTACTTCTTAAGTATGTGTATGATACTTGAACTTGATCAGTGTGGTAACTAATGGTTGTCAATAAAGGGCTGACGATGTGGTGTATTGCAGTTATTGGAGAAAAATACTCAGCAACCAAAAAGCCTATGTTACTTCAAAATTTTCCGGGTAAAGATATTGGTAATTTTCTAGTACATTAGTTCTTCATTCCTCGTTGATCACTTTTTACGTGGTTTTGCTGCTGATAGAAATCGATTTTAGTTTTCCTCTTGCTTTCTTGATGGACAACTTTTTAGCACATCAAAGACTAGGTGAAGATGTGCATGCTACTGCTCTCATCGCGCAGCGGGTGCCGAAGTAGAACTGAAGTCGGGAATGCACTGCGTACAAGACTCTCAGCTATTTGGTTTTAGGTGAGCTGTGGACCTCGTTTGATTCTTATCTCCGTCACAGGCTGAACTCATGTGTACTCGTAGATAGTCTCTTGTAAAATAAGATTACTAACAAGAACTATAGAAGTAGATAGCAGGATACTTGATGATCGTTACTCTTTTCTCTTTTCTATCTTCCTCTGGTCTTTAATTCTTTTTTCTAGTTAGGTCGGCTCCGCCACAAGAACTATAGAAGTAGATAGCCTAAAGCCCTCGCTTCTTTAACTTTATGTTGCAGTTTCTAGTTGTACCACATCAACAATCGATGAACAAGATGAAGGAATGAAAATCATGTTGGAGACTGCTAGTTCTAAAGCGTTAGTTAACGCGGTGGTGCAGGATGCCTCGCTCTGCAAACACCGGCACTGGAGAAGGAGGTGAAGAGGAACCAGGTGAAGGCGAACAAGGAGGTGAAGGTATTGAAGAAAGTGAAAGGGTAATTAAGGGTAGGTCAAAGGTGCTTTTCTTACCGCTTTTTATGCCTCTCCTAAGGGAGAAAGGCATAACAAGCGGGGTAAGCGAGCACCAAAAACCTACCTCTAAGGTAGCCAAGAATGGCCAGGCAGCTTATGGAGGTGCGCATAATAGCGACGCGACTTCCAAGGGTCCTTCCAGCGTCGTGATGACAACCACAATTAAGGCTACCAGAAATCCAGCTTCACAGGCATCCTGAGACCGTTTCCAATGGGAGAAAGGTGCTAGGATGTTGCAGCTCAGGACGGATTTCGCTTAGCTCTAACGCAACAGCACCACCTCCCTCCACCTCCATCGCTAGAGCAGAGACCTCTAGTGCGGCTAGACCACCAGGAGGAGGAAGCACGAATGATTTTCAAAACAAAAATGAGTATCTTCCGTATGTAGACGCGCAGGTGCGAGCAAGACTGGCTTTGTTGCAGAGGAAAAAGAATGGTGCAGAGAACAAGAGAACAAGAGTGATCGTTGCTGCTAATCGATTGCCAGTGACATTGAAGATTATGCTATTTACAACATGTGTCATGTCGTTTGTTGTAGACTTAATATACTTCGATGTTCTTCTACTTTGTTTTTCTCCATATTCTTGTTTGTGGGTAATCAAAAGCATAGTACGAAATCAACTATGAGGGCTAGAAGTGTTGATGCTTCTGGTAGCTTGAACTTCTAATTCTTAAAGCGCAGAAACAGGAAGATGGAGTGGGACCAAGAGCAGTGGGGGTCTAGTTACCGGCCTCAGCGCTGTCAGGGGGATGGATATGATATGGGTTGGTTGGTGCGGCGCCGAAATCCCCGAAGATGATAGAAAAGAAGTCTTAGCTTTGCTGAAGTTAAGGAGTCAGATTGAGGAAGCTTTGTTGTTGTATTTGTCTTAGCTTTGCTGAAGTTAAGGATTCAGATTGAGGAAGCTTTGTTGTTGTATTTGTTTCTTTCGTCGCATCGATTCATCCTGCCGGTAGGTGCGGCAAACCTATTTCGGATGCACAGAATAGAATGCTCTCAATTTCTCTAGAAAGATGTTGACCTCTCGTCTAATGTCCAGTTTCAATTGTTATCCAGTGTGGCTGTCGCAACAGGTTATCAACCTCTACTACAATGGGTTCGCGAACAACGTCATCTGGCCACTTTTCCACTACGTCATGCCACCACTGCCGGTATATGCACCTTTGTGCTTGTGACGTTGTCTTCGCAAGAACATGAGCTACGACACGACGTGTAGTTCGCGACTCCTTTTTTCATAATTGCAGAAGCACGGAGTAGAGGTGTAGTAGGTGTACTACTATGACCTCTGCGTCCGAAAAATATCAAGACCTCGTGGTCAACATCTCATAAGAAAATACGATCAAAATGAATCAGTCTTATCTTTCCTAAGGTTCATGGCGAAAACGAGACGTTTTTTGAGCAGTGGTTGGCCTATGAATTCGCGAATGAGATGTTTACCCAGGCCATTGCAGAGGTGTACGAGCCCGACGCGTGTGTCTGGGTCCAGGATTATCATTTGATGCTCGTACCTCGACAGTTTCGGCAGAGATTTCCTGATGCGCATATCGGCTGGTTCCTGCACACCCCGTTTCCTGCGTCCGAGTACTACAGAACGCTAAAAGTGCGGGAAGAGTTGCTATACGGAGTGTTGAGTGCGAATTTGGTGGCCTTTCACGTCTACGACTACATCAGACACTTTCTGAGCAGTGTCGTGCAATTGACGAGTCTGGAGACGAGTCCGACTTTAGGGCTATCTTGGATACTAGATAGTTGTACAAATAACACCATGAAGATTCACGAAATTAAGTGAGCAGTTCATCTTGTTCTAGAAACATAGTCAGAAGGTGTTCAACATTCGTTTGGCTCTGCCATTGGCAATGTGGCCTTGGTTACAAGCAAGCGCTCACTTGGCGAACAAAACACTAGCACTGATCCTTAAATTTCTACGACATCCACATCTAATGATTGGGGTAGACGCAACGCCGATAGGAGGATGCTTCGTAAAATGTGCCACGATCCCTATTGGGATAGAACCAAGCCTGTTCGTGAAAGCACTAGCAGAACCAACTGTCGAGGAGCAAGTCGAACTATTAAGCGAGCAATTCGATAGGAGAAAGGTATAAGTAAAGCGTGTGTGTTTGAATGAAGAAGTTCAGCAGCCCGAAGCCCTTGCGCCGCATCCGCGTGGTCTACGCGCGTGGGGTTCTTTCCGCGTGGCTGGTCTATCTACATCCGCCAACCTCGCACAGCGAGGGCCCGGCGCAGATACGTCCCCGGACGGCCTCAGGAGGTTGCCCGAGCGATGGTCCCGGGGCTGCCTGAAATCTACGCAAGCAAAATAGGGACGCCGGCACCCGCGCGCCACCAAGCGAGGAAGAGACAGAAAGTGGGGCCCCCAGGTGATCGAAAGCGCCGCAGGGACTGCAGGCTCGCCCGGCGGTGTCGGTGAATCAGCGCGGCCGAGCAGCTGGAAGCGTTTGGGTGCCCGCTGTAGAAGGACCCCACCCCGCCAAACTATGAATGGCGGCGAAGCATGCGGCGCCAAGTGGGCGGGGCCTGGCCGCTATAGATGGCGGCACCTGGGTCCCTCGCAATACTCGGGCTTGAAGGTAGTCGGTGCACCCAAAAACTTGACTGATCTAAATTTCCAAACTATAGCGCTTTGCTCTATCTCACTCTGCTGCGGGATGCTATGGCCACACGCAGGCGACAACTGGGAAAGGTAAGAAGGGAAGCCAGCGCTTCACTTGGGGCACTGCGGTGCTGCGTGGAGGCTTTGAAGTCTGGCGGCGACTGTGGTCGAGTCTTGCCGGTAGGGCGCGAGCCTTCTGGAGTGGCTGGAGAAAAACCACCGGCGCAAAATTGGCCAAGTTGGCGAATCCCCAGCGCAGGACGCTGCCAAGTGGTGAGGTCGTGCGAATGTTGTTGCAGCTGCGGCGGATATCCGAGGGCGATTATTACAAAGAAATGGAAACGGCAAGGCGCGCCTGGCTGGGTGTGTGTGTCGGTGTTCTTGGGTGGTATCTTCAAACGTGCGGAGGCCTTGACAGTCTTGGACTTTGTGAGACTGTGAAGGACGAGAGAGCTGGGGGCAGCTCAAGGCATTGACGACAGGAACATCGGCGAAGAAAGTCAGGGGGGTCATGGCCTAGGTTCGGAGCAGGTAGCGGAGGCAGCTTTGGGGCGTAGGCTAGGTGTGGCATGGGTGGGATGCTTACGCCGAACGGCTCGGAAAAGGCTGCAGCTAGGCCACCCGCTGGGTTCCGCGTTATGGAAACAAGGCCCCCCGCTTCTATGTATCGCCGGTCTCTTCTATGCTAACTACCGCCCGTGAGTGGAGTCTATGGCCGCCTAGAATAGAAGGAACGAGGGGACAGGCTGGCCACTATGTAGCGAAGCGCGTTCTCTGCACCCGGGTGGGGCCCTCCAATTGCGTGCGCGGGGGAGCATGGATGCTCCGCGCGAACTACGCGACGTCGCGGCTCGAAGTCGTTGGTCTGCAGCCCTTTGGCTTTCAGAAAGGTGCAGAGGCTGTGAGCCAATCGCGGCAGGCGGCCAGTTACTGGCGCGGAGTATGCAAGGACGAGAAGGGCGGGCGGGTGCTGCTTAGCTTGGCTGCTTTGGGTGTGTGCTGGGTTCGGTTGCGTTTTGCCGTGCCGTGGGAGCTTTGCTGTGGTTGGTGTATGTGTCTAGATTGGTCGGGCTTGTGGCTTGTTGTGGCTGTCTTCTTTCTCGCTGCTTTGGTTGTTGGGATGCTACGCGCCTGGGCTTCCTTGTCCTCGTGTTTTTTCTAGTATTGCTCTCAGATGTGATAAGCAGAAGCTGCTGCTGCCTTCGTTCAGGGCGCTTGCACTCGGACGCGGACCGTGTCCCCGCGTGTCGTGAGTACTTACTCTGGCTCTTCGCGAACAATATCAAAATCCCACCAGGTAATCTTAGGCGTGGATCGATTGGACTACATGAAAGGCATTCCGCACAAGCTTCGGGCGTTCGATCGCTTCTTGAGCGACCATCCCGAGTGGGTCGGTGACTGCGTATTAGTGCAAGTTGCAGTACCCTCTCGGCAAGATGTCAATTATGGGAAAATGGGAGGATTAGAATTAGAGCTAGTGCTAGAGGATACTCTAACGTGAAAGTACACAGTTAAAGTGAGTCTAGTATAGGTAGCTTCAATTATGTCAGAGGCCAGTAAGTTTCAGCATGATCAAATCCTTACATGTACCTTACTCACTTAGATGGAGATATATGTCAGTGTCTATCTCTCATGTCTGCATCCACCTCTTCTAATCTCAAGAGTACCAGAAACTGAAGAAATTGGTACACGAGATGGTCGGAGAAATATGTGGGAGGCACAGTTCCCTCTCCTCCGCACCTCCAGTGGTCTACCTGGACAAAAGTTAAGGATTCTTCCCTTGGTTAGAATTAGATGGAGGTAGCACGTAACACACAGAGAAACAGAAAACATCAGACTCAGACGTGTAAAGCCGTTCTTAGTGGGAGATGATTCCTACACCTTTTTCTCGTTTCCTCTAACCCATCGTCGGCGAGAAGGAGCTAGCGGCTTTGTATCGAGTTGCGGACGTCTGCTTGATTACGTCAGTGCGTGACGGGATGAACCTCGTGTCCTATGAATTCGTCGCGTGTCAGGAAGGAAAGGTAATTGAAATGGATTGTTGAATGCACATCTCTGGATTAATGCTTATTTTTTATCCTAGTACTCAACCTAGTACTCAACGTCAAACTCAAAACCACATTTAGACTTACTCAAAAAGCCCACATCAACAAAAACTAAAACTCCTTCTCAACTACAGCATGGCGTCCTCATTCTGTCCGAGTTCGCTGGCGCAGTGCAGAGTTTGGGAGCAGGAAGCATCCGTGTGAATCCATGGGACCTGTCGGAGACTGCCGCTGCGATCCACCAGGCCCTCACTATGGGCGCAGAGGAGAAAGCTGCGAGACACGACTTCGCGTGGCGTATTGTTCACAAATACACTGCGCAAAAATGGGCAGAGACGTTCATTCAAACGCTGAAAGAAGCTACAGTGGAAAGCGAGGAGTTTACTGCGCGTGTGCCTCCGTTGTTGCCGTATGAGGAGCTACTCGAAGAAATGGCGTCGAGCAAAAAACGCCTACTGTTGGTCGACTTATTAGATTGTCTGGTGCCGAGTAAGGTGAAACGGAATTTGCCGATCAAGCTGTATCAGTCCTTGCTGGTGGTGCCAGCGCAAGTCCTGAGCAGTTTAGCAGCATTGGCTTACGATCCAGACACGACGGTGGTGATTGTTACCATGCATCAAAGGGCAGTGGTGGAGCGACTGTTTGGACACTTGCCGATTATATTAGCAGCTGAAAACGGATGTTCTTACCGTTCGTTAGACGGAGAGTGGCGGTCAATTAAGGCTCACAGGAGTAATTCTTTCGACATTTCCAAAGTGACACCTCCATCTTTTTCATCTATTCTAGTTCCTCCTTATAAATTTTAGGGTGGACAACTGAAAAGATCTTCAAGATGGGCCCATCTTCAGATGTGAGTTAATGTGAGCGCTTCTAAGTCAAGTGTGGATTCGGACACCATGTTAGGCGCCGGCGAGTGGATGGACGGTTGCATGGAGATTTTTACCTACTTCAAGGAACGAACCCCTGGCAGTTACACGGAGCGAACCGAGTACTCTGTGCAGTGGTACTTCGACAACACGCAGACGGACTTTGGAGCACAACAAGCACGAGAACTGCTCATTTACCTATGGGCAGGTCCGTTGGTTAATTCGGAAGCAGAGGTGTGTGCGGGATCTCGGTCTATATGCGTACGACCACATGGAACCTCAAGAGCAGTGAATATCGTGACGATTTTGAGAAACGAACTGGGGCAGGAGCTTCTGGATTCCATAGATTGGGGCGCTTGTTTTGCCCAGGTACCCTTTAGAGACGACACGGTATTCGAAGCTATTGAAGAACTTTTGACTGTAGAGGTCGATCAGCCGGCGCAAGAACAGGGAGTAGTGGCAACTGCGACAGCGATTGCACCATCTTCTGATGATCCTCCGATGAGTACAAACACAAGTTCTCCTACTACAGACGACCAGATACAGCTAGCGACAAGTGCGGCAGGGATGCAAACATCACCAGCACTAGTAGGCGACCAGCATCTACCTCCTGATCCTCTAAAGCAGCGCGAACCGGTACCAGAAGATGCGCCCTCGTCAACGGACCTTCTGACGAAGGAACAAAGCAAGGAACACAAAACACCTGATAAGAACGAAGAAATGCTAGTTGATCGCAACCATACGAAGACATCAGAAGGATGGCAGTTAACTCCAAGTGATGGTGAATGGAGGATAGAACAGGATGGTACCAGTACAGGGAGCCCTCAGGACAGAACCCCTGCGTTGAGTGAGAGCAACGTGGGTCTTAAAAAGCAGGTTGTGTCAAGAAGTAGCGGCCAAAAGGGTCCTTGGGATGTGAACAATACTTCTGCGGAGCAGTGTCAAGGTCAGGCTAGTGCTTCAAGTTCGAGGATGTGCATGTTGTCTGAGCACAGGAATCATAATATGAATTCCTCAGTCATCAGCTTGCAAGAAGTGCTGGCAAAAGCGGTGAGTGGAGGAGTAGCCTCCGCAACCACATCCGCGGCACCGCCACTGATGTCAGCCTCAGTTAAGGCTCTAGTAGATAATTCATCTTCTTGCAGTGCATCTCTGACAAGCACAAGTGTCTATAATTCTGCTGGAATAGATGCTTACTCTCAAAGATACTTACAGCAGGTCTCAAAGGTGAGTTCTCTGACAAGTGTCTATAATTCTGCTGGAATAGATACTTACTCTCAAAGATACTTACTACAGCAGGTCTCAAAGGTGAGTTCTCTGACAAGTGTCTATGTATTCTGCTGGAATAGGTACTTACTCTCAAGAAAGATATTTACTTACTTTCCTTAAGGAGACTTGACTGAAGTCCTCTCTACATTCTTACTCCTTCGAAATACTGATCTTAGAAAGTCCTAGGTCCATCTTATTACTACTCTTACAGCACCAGGTCTCCTCAAAGGTGATATTTCAATTATATCTGTTGACAGCTCTAACTTGACTGAAGAAGAACTCCACAAGAGCAAAGGAATAATTTCGAGGAATGTCACAGTGCCTGTGCCTCCAGCGACAACAATTGAGGTGGTGATGATGTTAAGGCTTCCCCTAATCCAGCTCCAGATGCATCCTGGTGGGACGCTTCCTTGAAAGCGTCGCCATCTCCATATCCCCATCCATTTAAGAGGAAATACGTATACACGTCGGTCCACCAGGATGGCGACGTTTCATTTTCAAGAGGAAATATACACGTCCAGGATGGGGACGTTTTCCAAGGGGCAAAGGGACCCTCCAGGATGTACTATCTTGAGGAGATGGAGAATTAGTGCGAGCTCCTCTAATGATGGTGTCGAATGAGATGTGTTTTGGTAATGTGAATGAGCAAACTAAGGACATCCAAGAACCAGAACCGCCGCCACCAGACTACTATGACGTAGTCGTGCTAGAAAGAAGTTTTAGAGAAACAGAAACTGTTGATCAGGACAACAATAAAAATGGTAGAGTTGGGGAGAGAACAGGACCACGTCGAAGTAGTGGTATTGACGTTGGAGGTGAAACAGATGTAGAAGATGTGAGGAAAGATCACATCACTACAACTTCAGCCGAAGTCGCTTCATCAAAATTACAATTTGAAGATCGAGAAGATGCTGATGCAAAAGGAGCGATGGCAGATGGGTCCACAGGCACAGGCTCTTTCATATCAGCCACAAATCAGCAGGACTCCTCAAGTGCTTTTGTAGATACTGGGATGGGCAACGTACTTCTCGTACCACAACCAGCAACGGAACAGGCGCCGGCCAGTGTTGTGGCATGTCTCCTCCCACCGAAATATGACGAACACATGCCTCCAGAGCAAACATTAGTGCCTCTAGGAGGATCATGCAGTGCGAGTGCTGGCCAATCTGTCCCAATTAATAGAGGACAATCCACCAGTCGCACGGGTAATATTGAATCATCTCTTCTACAGCCGACGAAGACCAGTAGGGGAGCAATAGCAGCTGCTGACAGCGATGATGGGACGCGTAGATTAAGGGACTGTTTTTGTTTCATTTTTGAATCTTTTACTTTTCGTCTAAGCGAGTCCAACTCTCAAGATTCTTACTTTGCTGCTTACCGGTTGTACTCTTTCGGTTCCAAATCAGCTTTATCATGTTGATACGAGCAACTACTAAGTACTTCTAACGACCCCTGCCTCCGGAGTCGTCGGCGATGTCGAGCTTCAAGTTTATCCTGTGGCCGATACGAATTTGCAAAAGTTGCCGCTCTTACCAGGCTTAGGAGGAATTCCACTCTCAGGTCCCGACCATCTCAGTGCACGTGGTGGAGCAGGCAACAAAAACAAGAGCAGGAGCACGCCTGCTGGAGTAGACGACCCACGGGGACCAGGAGGAACCCCAAGTGACGACTCAGACACTGCGTCGATACGGACACCTGATTATCCCCACGACAATCAAGAACTCTGGCCACGTGCGGATGCCTTTGAGCCACCGCCAGCCTATACATTACCGGAGAATATTCCTCAGCGAAGTTTGGCTTTGAGCATTACAAGTCGGAAGGGCGATATCATGCGGAAAGACACCACGACACCAGCAATGAGTGCATCGACGACGGCATCGACCTCTTCGAGCTCAGCGATGAATGCGATTTTTATGACTCGTACTCGTAGATTCTACCTATGTATGATCACAATTATTGTTAGTATAACTAAAAGTTGGTGTGTCTTGTTAGCTGGCATTTTGCTTCTACGCAGTGCATTGCATAAATAATTGGTTGAAAGGGTGGCAGCATATAGTCCTAACGCAAAAAAAAAAAAATTCTACGGTGATCACGGACGGTTATATCAGGAGCACACACATGACATACTTGTCATCTTGTCTAATCCGAACAACAGAGGAGCAGGACGAAGAGACCTACGACGTCCCGGGACGACTGCAATTGCTGGTGGAAGTGGTGGTGGTGCCACTACCAAACCGAGTCCTCGCACAAGTCCTAGAGTAAATGGTTCTTCGTCAAGCAGAGGTGCCTTAGCTCAAATGGCAGGTCCGTCGGGTACGTCCAGTGCCTTAGCGCCTTCCGGTTCTGCGGCTTCCTCTAGTAGCATGGGTCATTCTTTAGGTCTCGAGGCCAAGAAAAAATCTCCCAGAACAGTTGCAGCAGACGTTGGAAGCGCAACTACGACTAGCGGAGGCTTACTTCCGAAAGTGCAGTCGACACCAACTCTTCTAACTGACAAGCAACAACAATTAGAAGGCCGTTCCGTCGAAGCACAAGTTTCCAATAAAGCAATGACACAACTCGCTGCTCCTTCTACTACCCCAGCCGCACCCACGACTTCTATCAGCTACTTTTCCGTTTCTCTTGGCAAGCAGCCAAGTCGTGCGAGGTACTCACTGCCGAATCCGTACCACGTCCAAAACTTGCTCCAGGCTATGGTGGAACGCTTACCGCAAGCTGCTGCGCGCAGCCAAGAGCGTTCGCGGGCAGTGCTAGTGGGTCCAGAAAAAGAGCGGGTTTGAGCTGCGGAGTTATACCATAGTTGTAAATTATGGGATGTTGGTAGAAATATAATGTCATTCTGATTCCTCTCAGGCTCTTTTTCTTCATGTACTAGCAGTAAGTATGTAATTAATCAAACAAGTAAAACATCAAATATAACTACTCAAAAGCATAACGATACGAACAAATTAACCAACTACTTCTTTTTAAGCAAACATCGTAACAATAATATGATAACAAGAGTAAAACTGATTCCTTATACTCCTAGCTTAGAAGCATCAAGAATAGCTAAGCAAGATTAAGCAAGATTTAGATTATCTCTCCGTCCAGAATAGGAGTGGGAGTCGTGCTTCTCAACACTAAGATTCTCTTTGTCTCAGCTCTCTTTCATGTCATCGCTAAGGCTAAAAACACTTCTTAACATGTTCTTTCACATGTCAATCATGTCTTGTTCTCAAGTTGAAGATCTTCGCTTCTTCGCTTCACCTCTCTTGTAAATATCAACATTAAGAAGTAGAACCAATTCCTTTTTCTATCTTTCCTAGGTTAGGTAGGTTGGCTCCACCACAAACATTAGGAAGTAAGTAGAATATTGGCATCTTCAAAGAACAAGGTCGTGCTAGCAGAGCTACTTAGATTGAAAAAGCATATGACCCAGCATTTAGCACTGAGTGCTAAGCACAGTGGAGTGTTAAGCTGTGGGATTACCATCGCAAGAAAAGACTATGATCGTATAGGAAATCCTCTAGGATCCTAGCATGGTCGTGGTCCTTCAGAGGTTACTATAATACGAACATAGAAGATGATAGATCCATTTTACAGCCACTTCGGCTGCTCAGGAGTATGCGCGAACTGTGTTCAACAGTGGTCCTCTCTGCTTCAGGAGACACCGCGAGCAGGTTGACCTAATGCTGAGGGCCGAGAGAAGGAATGCTGCCATGATAACGTAGTCAGTAAAAAATACATGTTCTTGACAGAGCAGGCTAATGACGCTCTTCTTACAATAGTTTTACAAATACATAGTAGACAAAACCAACGATACCAACGGATGCTGAGGTCGTTCTTCCATCAAGATCAAATACAGAGCAGAGGAGCAGCAACAAAATGACGTCCTCCCTCGTTGCCTGCTCTCCGACTTCTTCGTTGATGGTGGAAGATGACGCCATCGCGTCAGCTGATCAGGAGGCACATTTACATCAAGGAGAACATGAAGAGGCCAATCAAGCAATCTTGTACTATCAAGACAATACACTTCTCGGCCCGTCGACAAGGAGGAGGTCCTCACGAAGGGGACGAATGCTACACGAGCCGAAATGCGACATGGAAACTACAGGTTACACTACAGTGGAGGGCGACTCAAATGTGCAGCAACAACAACAACAACAACAACAACAACAACAACAAATATACAACGACTACACTGACGTATCATATCAAAAGAAACAAAGAGGGAATCGTGCTACGGAAAAATGGCTTGTGCCAAGCTATACGCACTTTCCTTCGCCACCACCGCCATCCCCGAAGCCGAAATATCAACATAACTCGCCTATGCCGGTAACGATATTAGAGATCGACGCACATTTTGCTGTGCTTGTTTTGCCTACGGTGGGGCTCGTTCGTTGTGCAGGATCCATAACCTAACCTAGCCTAGGATAACAAGATGTGACGTGTCTGCCAATATTTGTTTTTACCTCGTCCTGGTCTCTCAAAATAAATAACCTAGACAACAATACACATACAGGTCAGCGCCACCAAGATTCACCTTCCTCGATACTTGGACGATGTGTCGAAAGCCTGCGCACGTAAACAGAAATACGTGGACTTAAAAGAAGTTCTCAGTCCGCCACGCATCTTTGGAAGTAGCTCGTCAAGTTGGCTGAATATGGAAACCTATATATTGAAAATCTGGCCTATAAAGATACTTGAGATCAGCAGATAGTGACTCCAAAAGTATAGAAGCTTTTTAGCAATTTACTTCATAAACATCTACATCTAATCCTCGTCCCCCATCCAAATCCGCCACGGGAGCAAGTGGCGCTCGAAAACGACCTCTGACCACACGCTCTCCGTCTCTAGGACATCGCACTCTGGCTGGTGGCTTCGGACCCATGCACACTCTACGTAGGCCACCGCGAGGTCAGCTTCAACCTTTTCGCGCGAACGAAGAGATGACACAAATTAAGGCTTACTCATATTCATCACGTTATGAGGCATCTTGGAAGGGTTTTGTAAGGGAAAATGGCTACCAAGAGCGACGCTCTTCTCAGGATGGATATCGGTAAGGTCTAAAGATAACGTAGTAGAAGAACAGCAAGAACAGCACCAAAACTCTTCATCTACAACAGGCTCTACCTCAACCTCTCGAAGACCATCTGGGTCTGCTGGGGTAGGCATGCGAGGATTTTCTGATTATCCTTTTGCGGTTGATGATAATGACTTTTACATCACTGGAGGTTCTGGGTTTGGTGGTCCATCTTCGAGCTTTCAACGGTCTGCCTCTTCCGCTGCATCTTCTTCGCCGGGATTTCACAATCAAGCTGCAGCCACCACTTCTGGGTGGCGACAACAACGACGCAAGAGCTTTCAAGACACGGCTGTTTTTTACGGGAATGCGGATGTTCCGCCTAATCCAAAAATAGAAAATGGCCTCTACTTCGTCAACGGAAGTTCTAGTTTTCTGACGCGTAACAAGCCCACGCAGAAACATGGCACAACGTTTTTTCTGAGGAGTGGACATGTTCTGTCGCCTGTAGTTGATCCGTCCAGGTCTACGGCCGCTAGTAGTAAAGGACCGCGAGTACAGCAGAGCAGCAGCAGGCAGAGCCAAATTAGTACAAAGGAAGAGCCAGAGATTGATGCTCTACTTGGTAAACAAGGACAAGAAGGTGAACAACAGTCTTCAGATGAATTTGCGAAGTCAGTGGATGACTCAGAGTTTTGCCTATCGAAGAACGAAGAGAGTGCTGACCTTGACGTCAAAGCTCATGAGGCTGCTGCGATAAATGTACTTTCTCCACTTACTTACCTCTGAATGAGATGTCGATGGGGATGCACCAGGTTGAGTATTGATTAGGTTGTAGTGTAAAAGAATATCCGAAACAGTGTAAATAAGTTCTTTGGCCTTTCCAGGGCCATATCATTACTTCAAATACCAAACAGATGAATCCACCTCTCGGATCCGCATCCCCTCCGATCGTAGTCCGGATACCTGGCGCGCAGACCGCTTGCCCGAGCAGCATGAACGATTCCTGCAGCGAAGCAGAAAATCAAGAAAGTGTGAGTGATTATGGCAAGGATATTCGAGTTTTTAGACCATTACCCACGAGCATGATCGAGAGCAGGAAGGGCTCTCGGATGTGGTCGGCGTGCCCTCGTCGATGACACGCACCGGCATGAGGAGCCTGCGGCAGTGGCCAGGCGATGCCTCCGCACACGTGGTCCGGTGTAGTTCTGGCCAGAGCATCGGCGCGCCCGCTCCTGGCGACGGGTGCGCTGGCAACCCCTAGCCCCTGCGCCCTTCGTTTGGAGATACCATCCCCGCCGCCGGCTGTCCGGGGCCGTCCCTTCTTGCCTTCATCGCGCTGCGCGCCTCTCAGGGCACTTCTTGTGAAGCACGTGAGGGAGCTACAAAGGAAGCCCCCCAGCGACATCAGCCTGTCAAGGATATGGCGCGGCCGCCTGGGTGGTCTGAGAGCGCCACCGCCGACGATGTTGGAAGGCTTGAAAGGATAGGGGTATACTTAGCCTTGCCCCTTTTAATTGACCGAGAAAAAACTGACCGAAGAAAGACGCTAACCCCCTCCGATAGTTAGAGGGGTCTTCGCGGGCTGGCTTCAGATTTTCGCAGCGTCTCCGCGACCTGCTCCGCGATCTTGCAGCAGAGTCCGCGACGGCGAGAAGCCGCAGGCCGCCAATTTTTTCGCCTCTAGTCTAGACCACCAGAGCAAGGGGCGACCCGGCAGCTTCGCAAAGAAAGGGAGGGGGGGGGGCGTGGGGCCCATCCGAGTTACGAGAGGGCAGCCGTCAGACGTTATTCGAGTCCGCGGCTCGCAGCCAAGTCGCCAAGGCGCGCCCGGAGTTAGTGCCGAGCTACTAAATTGCAGGCCGGGGCCTTTCGCGTGGGCGCGGACTATCACGGGCTGGGGTCTGTAGCCATGTAGTTCCTGTCATGCGTTCAGAGTCTAGATACTTTGTTTGTTCGGTTAATTCTATTCGCAATATCGCAAATACATCATCACGCAGCGGGTACGAAACTTGCCAGGCAATGAGCACTACGATCAAAATTAACCGACATGAGAGTCCGACTACACGACCACGCACACCTGGCCAGACGGGGGGCGACAACGCAGGCGCCGAGGGGGCGGAAATGGTTGCACCCCTTGACCTTGTGACAGCCTTGCGGGATCCTGTCGCAGGGAGCTCCGAGAGCCCACGCGGGAAGCGCGAAAGTGCGTCAGCTGTCGGAGTAGCAGCCGAGCCGACAACAAAAGGGAACAAGGAGAGCAATGGCCCCGCACAAAGAGCGGCACTGCTTACGTTTCTGTACTGTAAAAATGGGCCTCGGCCTCCTATATTTTAGTAGCAAGACCCGCTTGCGGCGTCGTGTACTCGTGTTCTGCGGCGTTGATCTCAACCGGGACTACAATTATACCCGGTCCCACTTTGCCAACGCGCTGGTAAGCGTGCTCCGTTCAAGTGTCGAGCGTAGAGAATAGCCCGCTACTCGCCTTGTTTGATCGGTCTGAAAGAACAAGTCGCGCCGGGGGGCACAGACTGCGACGACGACGAACTGAAAGCGGGCAGCATGGCTGTCGTAGGGTAGAGCACGGCAGTCAGCCACCAACCTGGCCCAACGTAGTGGGCTGGACGATGGAACGAGAGCGAGAATAGGGCCAAGCTGACGCCTAAGACCCAGCAGCGCAGTGTCTGCTCTCGTGTATGGGTGAGGCTTTGCAGCTTGCGCGTGCGCCGTTGCGCGCGTTCTTATATCGAGGATTTGGCTTGGGGCGGCGTCTCCTCCGGGTGTTCGTTGACCGTGGGCACTGTTGCCAAACGCGCGCCAAAATGCCGCAGCGCGACCGGGGTCGGGAGAGCGCTGACCGCTCCAAGTTCGGCAGCAGCCAAAGCATGCAAAGAAACGAAGAAAATCTTCGCAGGTCATGTCTTTGGCTTGGCGCTTGTTAGTTTCGGCACCGATGCCCGGAGACGGGCGCTTGTTGGACACGTTGGCCAGCTTGGCGCTGGAACTCTGCTCCACTTTAGCAAGCTGCAAGCTGGTCGCGGCGTAGCTGGGTGTTCTTACCTGGCTGGGTGGAAGGTGAAAGAGCTGAGCCGGGTTCGTTGACGCGAATGGAAAAGGTGGGGGGGCTTTGTTTGTGGGGTAATGTGCAGAAGTTTCTCGGGAGTTTCGGCTTTTTTTTTCGCTTGAAGTACTTGTTGGTAGTTTCAAGAAGGGCACACGCAGTGAAACTTTGCATATTCTAACTCAAAGCCAACGTGGGGACATCTGAACAAGACTTACCAGCGGGCCAGTATCCGACACCCCGGAAAAAGCGTTTAGGGAGAAAAAGGCGACCTGCTGTTGGATGCTCCAGCGATGATCCTTTGGATCCGATCAAGACTCTCTATCTTAACGGTGACCCTGGCGCATGGCCGAATTAGAAAGGCTCCCTACGTAGTAGCCATACATAGGACGCCGATCACGGAAATTCTGCGAATGCAAAGTTAGTATACTTATGTCATCGTCTTGGTTTTCTAATTCTAAATGTAAAAATGTACAGTGATGAGACAACTAGTAGTTGTCATTGAAATGCACAACAAGTAACAGCACGTGATTGAATATCGATGTGTGTCATTAAAACGATGAAAAACATCAAATTAACATAATTCTTGGGCTCAAGAACATCCTCATCTGTCAAAACACATTTACATCGAGATCGACATCGACAGCGTCCACGTCCTATCTTAAGTACACATTGACATGTATGATCTATGATGAAAATGCTAAGAGTTAATGCATACTATGCAGTGATATGTGCATGTAGAGACTCTGATTGTGATTAGAACTTTCGAGTGAAATTCTAGTGCCTTACGTTATCATTATGGGTTTGAAATGACCGTCCGAACGCAGAATTGGGTTGGAGGGCTACTTGGCTCTGACAGGGTCAACCCTTGTTGAACATTCAAATGAACCGAACAAGAACTGCCGCTTCCGCATGTTGCACGCACCCCTTTCTGGGTTCATCTGAGTAGCGAGGTGAAAAATCCTGTGAGTGTTCAAGTACATTCTCTTGGGGCTGTCGGTTGATCTTCCGAGACATCCAAACCGAAATTGACGGACTCTGCGCTGATCTTCATCTAATATTGAAGTTCAAAAGAGGAGTGGCTCATGATTGTATGAGCAATTGTAAGTCCACCATACCGAAACCTTGAATCCTTATCTTATTTCTTGTCTTTAGTAGTTAGTGGAGCAACAGCAACATCAACATCAAGTATAATTCGTGCTGTAAAGATTATGTTGACACACACGCTCACGCATTGCACCAGTTTGATCAATGATATTCCCATGATTCCACAAGCACAAAGTAATTAGAGCTCCTCGGAACCGAAATCCAATTAACTACATAAACAAAACAAGAAGATGGTAGAGTCGACGTCAATTGATGCATTAAATGTCACCCCTGCGACGCCAAGCACAAGCAGCAAAGCCCAATCAGTTCATGACTATATCAACGAAAACCACGAGCATCTGCCCGATGAGATAGGTGAACAAGCAGTTGCGTCAGCACCAGCAAAAGACCCACAGCCAGAAGGTGAGCAAATATTCGCGTCATCTTCTTCAGCAAAAAACGTCGTGCCAGAAGGTGAAGGTGTAGTAGCGTCATCATCTAGCGCAGCGTCGTCATCCTCTTCGTCATCAGACTCCGGCGCTGAAATGACAGGGATGGGTGCGATTATGAGAGTTGTTGGAACTGAAATAGTTGTTTTATCATGTTGTATGGAAAATCGATTTTCCAACATTCATGATGAGGTGGGAAGTACTAGTAATCGTAGTAACATGAACGGCGTCCTCGTGCTCGCAGACACAGATGAGCGATAAAAATGAAAATGATACTCACACATTTGGCACGATCCTTGATAAATTGCTTCTCTAATGTGTGTAGCAAAATATCAACGCCAGGAGAAGCTGGGACGCCTAGTAGGATGTTGGGTAAGAGTCCATTGCGGGAAAAGATAGGAGGGCTGAGGGCTACACCAGAAAGAGATGGTCCAGACGATCTGGATGGTCTTCGTCGGAGAATACGAGAACTCGAGACGAGGATAGTACTACAAGAACAACATATAACCATACATGATGCCAGTACTAATTCATAAGTAGAAAGAACATGATGACTGTTGATTCCTGTTGCCTGTTGTTTACAGCTAGCTATGCTCTCAACCGTAAGAAGCTACCCTTATCTAGTATGTTTTTTTTCGCCTAATCATTCATGCATCATGTTCTACAACTCCTAGTCCTATCGGCTACTTCTTTCAGGAAAGCTACGAACAGCGGGAGAGCGATTTAGTCTATTCGGGTTTAGAAGCGTGGTTCTCTCCGAAGTCAGCAGAGTTCGTATTGACTCTTTGTTACGGCTTTCTTAGATGTCTTCATCACTCTTTTTCTCCACATCCTTTTTGCACCCAACAACAGCGAGTCAGTGCCCGTCCTTCGTCTTCCATCAAGTATTTTTCCTCTAACCCTGTTGCTTCATGTTCCTTCCCCTTGCTCATCATCTACTTCTAATCGTCTTGCTTCGTCTTCTTAGCAGCGTTCAGTTATGGCAGTATCTTGCTGTTGTTGATGCAGTTCGAGTTAGCAGGCCTCAGAACAGACTACGGCATAGCCGGCCGGTCGCACTACGATAACGTCCTCTCATGGCTGGCATCTCACTTCGACTTCGCGAAAGGACCGGTAAGTATAAATATGTATATGTCATACGTCGGTTTAAAAAAGTAAACTGTTCACAAACTATCTTCCCACAAATGAATTCCTTTTTTAGCACTTGCACAGCCCACAACTAAGAATGTTGCAGCTTCGACTGGACTCGAACTAAGACGGTCTTCCACAACTACTAGCGAGCAGGAGAATCGCTTCTACTAGACCGTTGGACTCCAACGACAAACACCCACCTCCAGGTGTACAGCCTAGTGATGTTCTGCGTCAGTTCCTGCTTATGGGTAGTTTCGATGCTCGGAAGCATAGTGGGTAGCGTTCTGGCAACCGCCGTTGCGAGTGTAGGGATCTACATTCTAATGGCACTCGGAGGCGTCTGGGCAATTAATCATCGAGACAAGGGACCGAGAGAGTACTACCCAATGTTGCTTTGGAAATACGAAAATTCCTTCTTCGCAATTACATAAGCATCTTCTATGTTGGTGTCTTGATTGCACTCTTCATTCTGATCATTGACATTGTTCTAGTCGTAGGACTTGGAATATATGATTTGACTTTATCCTTATATCTTCTCTTTCTCCTTTCTGCTCCTGTGTGGTTCGTATTTCCAGAATCACCAGATCCCAAACCTCCTCTTTTTTAAGGCAGTCTGCACTGAACTTTGTGCGAGATTAATTGTATTGTATCCTCTTAGGATGAGAGAAAAGAAAGGAAGTTTTTGAACTTCTATTCAAGAAATAAATTAGTAACTAACTAATAAATGAAAGCGCCTACAATCTAAACAATTCATCACCCTCCTCATTGTACCCCCCTTCTCACTCTCAGATTCCTCTCCTACCTCCTGTGCAAAGACGATATCTTCGGCTGGGCTAAATCAGGGATTCAAAGAGTCATGGTCATGATCCCTATACTAAGTGCCATGTTCCCTGCGCCACCTGCACCTCCAGAAGCTCCAAGGACTACATTAAGAATTTTTAATATCTACAAATATACTATTGATAGTTTTATCTACACAAATTGATATTTATACATAGTAAGGGAAATCTTAGGCAGCTCGCCGAATAGATTCAAATCATCCTTTATCGTATAACGTCATGTACTAGTTGTACTAGAAGAAAGACGCGACAGGTTGTAGAAGTCCAGAAGAAGTAGAATGTGTTTTGCTACTTAATATCATTTCGATTTCATGTGACAACTCAGATTAGAATTAGTCATTATCTGCCACTTCTAACCTATCCCAACGGAGGAGGCGGCACTCCCAGTACAACAGCGCCCTCAAGTCCAGCTGGGAGTGTTCGAACCCCGAACGGGCTACCCTCTAGCAACATAAGTTCCGAGACATTCGTTGCGGCCCACGTCCCCGTTGGGAGCCCTCCGGCGACTAGTCCACCAGCGACGAGCCCTTTTTTAGGAGAGGATGGACTTGGATCAAGCGCCGGCGGCCCTCGAAATTCCATTGGCGAGAAGTCAATAGAGGAAATTCAGCATGAGCTGGCGGCAAGAGAAGAGCAGCAAAGGATACATCTGCTGCACAAAGAGCTGGCGGCTCGAAAACGACGAGAATCATTGGGAGGAAACCCGAGACCACCAGGTGCTGTGGACGAGAATCCTTTTGCCTTTGATCCACCACCGAGGTCGTAGAACTAGTTCTAGGGCGAAGGGCGTAGTCAAGACTACTCTCTCAACACGTGCTGTGGACGACCCTAAAACGACAGCTTTCAGGCGTTGTACAATTGTACTTGTGCTGTAAAAATGCGTACATTAATATCAAGTCAGTGGCACTACTTCTCAAGGTCCTCATCTTCCACGCCAACTGAATGCACATCTTCGATGGTTCGAATTTTCCTACCCCCATGACTTTCAATTAACAATCATCTGCTTTTTGCAGCAGATCGCTTTCCAAGTCAGTGTGGTGGAACAACATTCCTACTACAAAACAAATGCTGTAGTTCTCGTCTTTCCAAGAACGTCTTTCCAAGAATCAAAAGCCCTCAATTGCGTGACTGTGTTCTTGTGATCCAGATCATACATCATCCAGCGCTGAAATACGCAAAACAACAGGTCTGGTGTAGTTGTGACGCTAATTATAGATTATTCTTGAGTTGTTGATTAATATTTGTAGCAACCATTGCTACATTGACTTGCTGTTTGACACTCTCGGAAAAGCATCATTTCCACCTCCTACACTTCTTCTTCCACTTAGACTTGCATAGGCTCTTGGTCAAATAGACAAAAAAAATGTCTTCCTCTACCGGTGCAGACGCCAAGAACGTGACCACACAGTTTCCTGCCTTTAAGGAACTAGACTGGAAGCGACCAAACGAGCAAGACAACAGTGCTCAAGCAGCAGAAGACAGCCAGTACTGGGAAAAGGAGACTGAGTGGACCTCAAGTGTCTCACCAATAGATGCAGAGTTGAAAGCAATACTGAAAAAAGAAGTAGCGGCTGAGGTAGCGAAAGAGGCTGCTAAGAAGGCATGATTCTCTGATTTTGATCACCATGACACTCTGAAACTACTAACGCAGACCCTTGCTCCCCCAACATTCTCCCCGAGTCGCATAAAGATGTTTTTACCGCAGCTTATGCTGGCTGTGATGTCTACTCATCTTTCTCACCTGACGGGTGTTGCCGATCTAAAGAGGATTGCTGTGTCATGAATAACTCAGCGGACAGCATTAAAAGCGAGCGATACAAGCAGTGACTTGTCAACCAAGAGCGTCTGTGAGTTGGATGTGAATAAAAGTAAGTCTTTATTTTTCATCGTGTAACAAGTAGATGAGATAGATTTCTTGCAAAATGATCGTTCGTGTTATATCAATATCAAGTTTATTATAGTGAAGAGTGTTATTTTTTCATACAGTGTACACAATCATGAATTTGAACGCAAAAAAATAGAAGAAGAAGAGATGATGTAAGCAGTTGGAAAAGGTGACTCAAGAAAGTTTACTTAGAAAATGTTGTGAATCATGAAATAGGCTGAATGACCTCATCACTGCTTGACCATGTAGTTCGCGAGGTGACATGACATTACAAGAACATTTCGATCATAAGCATGGACGAGGTCAGTCCTTGTCCGGACGAGCATGGGATTGCGGCTCGCGGAGTAGAGGCACTTCCAAGTGGAGCTGTGGCCAGAAGGCAGAACCTGTAACCTAAGCTTTATAACATCTCGACGTTAAAAAGGTGACCAGAGGACGGAGACGAGACCCGAACAAGTCGTAAAGATGATGTTCACCGGGCGCAACAAAGTCGTCCTAGCTGGACGCGCGCACGAGGTGCCGAAGAAGGTGATGTGGCTATCAGTCGTGCTCATTGGCGTCACGGTAGGCCTTGTCAACTTCACCATGGTCATATTGGATGCCAAGGTTCTGAGGTTGAAATTCGCGTACATCCAAGACCTGTTGTGGAGCGACGGGGTGGGAGTAGCGGTTCCGATACTGGTTCTGCTTTCCTGTCTCTGCACTCTGGTCGCGTCGATGCTTACTTATGATCTATAATGTTGATGCTGAAGTACAAGTAGTCAATTCCGATTTCGAATAGCAGGCCGCTTAGAAGTCGTTCTTTCAGTACCTATCATCCGGCACTTACAAGCTTCTCCTCTCGACAACATCCGTGATTTTCATTCTCTCCCTATTCTCTCTCTAACCTCTCGTTTTCCTCGCTCCTCTCTGTGCTGGAAGCGGACTGCCAGAAATCAAAGGCTATTTGAATGGGAATCCGATGCCGGGACTATTTGTGCTACAACGTGCTTGGATAAGAATCATTGGCATCATCCTGGTCATCGCTGCTGGACTGCCTCTGGGGAGGGAAGGACCTATGGTAATACTCACACGGTGACAGTGTTCATTTACAATGAATGGTCAACTCGCTGTACACGACACAGACATAATGTTGCATGATTCGCGTGACAACAATTAAAGATAATGATTCCTCTGGTCTTTCTTTTTTCTAGTTAGGTCGGCTCCACCACAATTATATCTCAGCCACCCAGGAGCACCAACAGATACAGAGAATAATGGCTACATCTCAGCCACCCAGGAGCACCAACAGAGATAATCGAGATAATTATCCCTCGTCCCCCACGACCAAATGAATCCACCAGGTCTGCATCGGCGGAAGTTGCGGTCTGCTCATCTTAACCAGAGTTATTAAGCCCTATTTTCAAGATTGGATCCGCCTAGCCGGAGACGACGAACTCTCCATCGTCATGGAAGAGGATAATTACCATCTGATCAAACGAGTTGGTTGTACTCTGGGAGCGGCCGCGGGCATCGCGGCTGCCTTCAATGCGCCTATTGGTGGCTGCCTCTACATGTTCGAGGAGACGAGTGGGATTCTCAACTGGTCCTCCTTTCTCACTTTCGGCAGTTTTGTGTGCTGTGGTGCTGCAGTTTTGACCAACACGATCATGATGGACGTCAGTGGCATCGATTATCGACTAGTCTACCAGCTGGTTCTCTTCTCCATGCCAGAGCATCAGAGGATAGAAAGAGAACCGTGGATCTGGCTAGACCTCATGTGCATTGCAGTCATTGCGATCGTTTGTGGTTATGACACTAAAAATCATGTTAGAATTATTTCCTTTGTTTCTAGTTCTAAGAACAAACATGACTAATCATGTAGTTAGAATTATTTCCCTTCTAGTTCTAAGAACAGGTGGACTGTTAGAATTTCCCTTCTAGTTCTAACTACAAGAAGACGCTGAGGAGGTAGTTTCTTTAGGGTTCTTCTCCGAACCCTAAAGTTTGATTCTAACTCTCCATCGCCGCACACCTTTTTACCCAAGGGAGTCTCTTTATCTATCGGATTCGACAACACCGCTACAACGTCATCCGATCAGGGCGTGTGTTACTGTGGCTACTTCTATTGTGGAAAACCGCCTTGAACTACTGTAGACGCAACTTGCATGCCGCATTGCGAAGGTTCTTGCTCAATCCCATAGATTTCGACGATGACAACACCGGAGCCCTACAGGCAGCGATGAGGGCAGAGGAGATGAAATTGAGGACGCCAAAGAGTCCACCTGACTTCACAAGGGCTACCAAAAGTATGGATCCTGATGTTGACCGATGGAAATTTGAAGCCTCACCACCGGACGCTGAAAGGAGCAGAAGTGGTGATGGGGGAGAGCCCAACAAGGAACGCAATGCAGGAGTTGAACAACTCGACTCTGGGACGCAGAATCAACACCAGCACAAAGCCCTTGACAACGAACAAGACGAGCACCACTACCTCTACAATAGCACAGAAGGAGCAGGAGGGCACCTAGACGAGCACCATCGTGACGAAGACTTAAGACTGCGAGAAAAGGAGAGTAGTGAAGAGAGCTGCTTGTCTCTGATAACTGGAGCCAGCAAGGCGACCTGTGGCAGTATCGGAACCAAGATGCGCAGAGTAAATCCCAGCAAATCATCGTTGCCAAGGTGTCCGACGCGGGGTCGTATTGGGGGTAAGAAACTGCAAGCGGACGAAGCACTAGCTCAGCGAGTTGCGTGTTCGTGGTTTAGCGGTAGCCCGAAGATTGAACAGCATGTGGCGAGGGCAATGAAATTAATAGAAGAAAGCTCGACCACAGTGGGTGATCATCATGCAACTGGGACTTTGCCCCCATCTCTACATCCACCAGTACGACAGAGTAGCGGAACAAGATCTATACTGCCCTCGCCCGGCGAGTATAGTAGTGCGTCTGGCGAGGGGAACTCGTGCTCTGGCACTACGTCGTGTTGCAGTCAGGATGTTAACAGAGATAGCAGATTTTTGCAACCTTTATGATTGAAACTTGTTTTCAAGTTGAAGTACAGTTACAACGCGGGTGTACTTGATTTAGAAGACTTCTGAAGAACTAGATGCACCACTGACTTCTGAAACGGAACAAAGAGGCAGCATATCCCTGCTTAGCGAAATCAAGCCATCTGCTCTAAGTCCAATTGGCGACGAAGCACCTGTAAACGAACCGTCTTCAGAGCTACTGCCCGAGCACGAGGCTAATATGCTGGATGATGGTCATGGAGTCCCACCGATGCTTTTTAGAACTGACCAGCACGAAGGAACTAGTAATTTTGGCACTCCTCGCGATGGTGCTGTGCAGAGGGAGCAGTATTTCTCGGACGAACCAGATGATTGCAACATGTTAGATCGTTTCGATGAGCACAACATGTTGGGAGTACAAGAAAAGTTCCATTCCACCACAACATGCACAACACATTGGGGTCGTAGTGTGATGAGCTGCCATCCACCTGAAGTGACAGTTTGTTTCGAAACGCGCTTGTTGTGCAACAAACTGGGCAAGGTCTTGGAAGTCATTCTCACTACGATATGATTGGTGTTTTTCATTCTCACTACAATAAGAATGGCGTTTTCTGTCCACATATCATCCCACCTCCTACCTCTCCTTTCACATTTTGGTAACCACATACCTATTTCCTTGGATACACCATGGCTTAATCCCACTCAGTCGAAAGCTAACTGTTGTTTACCTGATCATGAGCTCAACCCTCTTTCATACCCCAGCGTAATCGTGACCATTTTAGGACTCGCGCCTTTGTTGTCCTATGAATGTGAAGAGACGGAAGAGCTGGTCTTGGATCACAGAAGACATTGGGCTGCTTACACATGCAAGCAGAATCCAGCAAGCGTCTACGTGACTGGGTTGTATCATCAGTTATGGTCGTTTGTAGGTCGTGGTAATTCTGGGTGAATCTTCGTATCTTTACACTTGGATCTTGTTCTGCATCCTCGTCTAATTTCTGAAGAGACAACGCAGGGACGAGTGTCGCCCGACATAGACCTCACCTACACTCCACGACAATTGACACGACCATGGTCCTGGTCTTCTGGAGAACAAGATGAAAACGCCTCAAGCTCAACATCGCAAAAATGGGTACCACGAGAAAGAAAGGACGAAGAACAAGAGGATGATGAAACAAGTGGAGATCATAAGAAGTTACTTGATGGGGCCGAGGCAGAGATGAAGAAAAGGCAAGATGAAGATATGGGCGAGGACGAAAGAGAAAGACAGGACACTAAAATAAAAAAGAACAGACGCAATCTCGCAGATGAAGTCGTAACTCACTTCAATCCGCTTGCAACAATGTTCCTACAGGGAGAAGAGGGCGCCATTAAGCACCTTTTCGCAAGGGACTACCGTTTTAGGTCAGAAAGGAGAAGTAGACGATTGGACGAAGATGATGTAGAAGTTGACAGACGTTCTGGGATGAAAAGAGACAGCAGTACTAGGGAACTAAAATCTTCTAGCAGAAGCGGAACACTGAGTACGCCAATATCTCCGCAAGGATACTATGCTTTGCAAAACACTGCCAGAATAGCGGAATGGCGCGAGGAGCATAGGACGAATAGCGGAATGAAAGAGGAAAACTACACAAAAGAGGAGAACAGTAATAGAGATGAACCTCGTCCAGATAACAGCCAGAGGTCGCCCTCTGCGTCAGCTGCTACGAGAAACAGCAACAGCATCATAGAAGATGAAACGAGTGGTCAGGAGACAACATCAAGCAGCATTGAAGAACATTCATCTCGCCTACGTAGTTCTTCATCATCTGCTGATTCTGGAGCTGTCCCACGCCTGTCTGCCTCAGTCCCCTCAGATGAGCCTGACTACCGAAACCACACCTTTACCTACATCGATTTGGAGTGGCTCATTCTCAGTCTGTTCATCTACGCACCGCTGGCGATGATCATACCCGGCCTCTCAATGCCTTTTGGCATGTTCATACCGAATCTCTTTATGGGAGCAACCATTGGAAGAATAGGAGGAGAAATCGTGCATCTACTGCCACTGCCTTTCAGGGCAGCGCATCCAGGTACAACTTACCTCATCTACTATCATCTACTAACGAGGATGTTGACAATCTCACCTCAAGCTCAAACTATGCTCTTCTGCGTAAGAGGGCTGTTGTTCTTTATGATTATACCCCGTGAATCATGGGTACACTAGCTACTACTACTACTACTACTACTATCAGTCAAAAACAAAAAAACTGCAATGGTTTCAGGTTTCTACGCCGTCTGTGGTGCTGGTGCGATGTTATCTGGTTTCACGCACATGAGCATTGCGATAGTCGCGTTGCTTGTCGAGGCTACGCACGATATGGACATGGTGATCCCTATTCTGGTCTCCATCGGCTTCGCCACTCTGACGAATAAGTTACTAGGCGGCGACAATTTCGATGAGACTTTGATAAAGCTGAAGAAAGTGCCGCTTTTGCATCCGGAACTGAAATTGGACTCGAAGACGAAGAATGGTATGGCTCCTTCAAGGTCATTATACTCAAGGTCATATCATCAGGTGACCTTGCTGCAAGTCGTGCTCTGAGTTGATTACTATCTTGCGTGCACCAGAATTCCGAGCTGTAATAATTGTTACAGGACGGCACTGCTTTCTTGATGTGCTTAAGAACTCTAGTTGAGTAGACTGTAGGCTTTTTTTTGCTTGCTTCTATGTTTTCTTTTTCTCGATTGTCCTGCGTATAGGCTTGTAGTAGTATATGGGACATGTTGGTGATGATGATAGTTCTCTTCTCTAACCCTGTTGGAGATGTGATGGAGCTATTCTCGCGAGATACTCCTCAGCTCAAGACCGAAGACACGAAATTAACCGACATCATAAAGCTGCTTGATTTGCATCCTAGTTTGAGCCATTTCGTGGTCACCGCTAGTGACGACGATGCGGCTGAAGCAAATCCTTCTTCGAGTCTAGTCAATGGGTCAGCTGGACTGAGTGGGAGTGCAGGTGCTTGCGAGGTACAAATGACTAAGGGAGTCGTTGATGATGGAGTTGCTGATAGCAGCACAGGGAGAGTCGGCAGCGAACGCGAAGACGAAGGAAGTGGTGATCATGACGCTGGAGACCACGTAGACTCCCCAGACTACGTAGATTTTCCAGACAAGTACCGGTCAGCCGACGACTTTTCGATGTTGAAGACCGACTTAGCTGGCTCCCTCTATGCTCCACCCGATTCGCAACATGGGTCTTCTCCCTGGTGCGGCAATACAGGGGATGATAGAAGCGACGGTGAGCAAGGAGCCCTAGCTCTAGATCAAGGTGTACTACCCGGACGAGATCCACCTGGTGGTCGTGGATCCCAGGAGACCGAGAAGTCGTTTTTTCCAGATGACCACCTGCAGGCACCACAGGATGCTCCGGGGACTGGTTGTAATAGGGCAGAACCTGCTTCAAGAGCACTTATAGCACCTGTGATTTCCATGGAAGGCATACACTCACTTGCAGTCCCACCGTCAACTACGCAGGAACGTGGCGGTCATCTGACCATTGACGTTGATGCTGCGTCGTCGTCCGCATGCTCCACGTGCGACCGACCACGGACTAGGACATCACGCAATACTCTCTATCGCGAGCAGTCGTATTACAACAACCTTGGGCCTAAAGTCGAAGTGGTTGGCCTGATAACACGGCAGCGACTCGAGAAAGTTCTAAGTTATGTAGAAGGTAGCCGTAGCGCTCTTTGATACAAAGATCAATTTACTCTTTTTTGTTTTTCTTAGTTTTTAGGCTGGCTTCACCACCACCACTAATATCCTTTGCTAACTCCAGTAACAACTTTCATACTTACTGATGTGAGCTCGTCTAATCTAGCGTGCACCAGGGCCGACTGTACGCGGGCACGAGGATGCAGCGACTATCACAAGCTGACCTTGGAAATAGCGAGAGTGGGGATGAATCCCTGGTCCTCGAGGAGGAGGACGACTTTTTAGAAATACACCAGCGTCAGTCTCTAGTCCACCGATCACAGAGCGATCGCCCGGGCGATGTTGCACCTGGGTTTTTACTGCGCAGTCTCGATAGTGAGGACTTCAACAGCATTCAGGTATTCTTAAGACGAAGATTTTTTCTCGCAAGATTTTACGTTGGAATTTGCTGATTTCAATTTGAGATAAAGATGATCCAAGAAATTTTGATTTTATCTTGTTTTAATTGAATTCATTTCGTGATAAGAGTTTTTCCCAGGATTTCAGCATCAATCATGCACTTTCTGAAAAAGTCTTGATTCGACATTTCAATATTCGATTTCAACTGAAAATCCAAAAAATTTCGTTTTTATCGCCTTTTAATCGAATTTATTTTCTGATGACGCGTTTTACACAAAATGTATCTCGAGATAAATTTCTGGTGAAGAGAGTCTCCGTATTGAAATCTAGGAGTAATGACTGTACTTTTAATCTTTTTTTAGATGGAAACTTGGACATGACAGGATTTTTTGATAGAATTGTCAAAGTTTAGACAGAAAGATTTAGATCATTCAAAACAAAAAACCCTCACAGCCTCGTTTGCAATGTGTCGAATCCAGCGATGAGATGGTGCCTGGATTTCGCAGCTGCTCGATGTCAGAATCTAGTGTGTTCCAACGCACACTGATGCTGTGGAAAAGTCGAATACGCGGTGAGCACGTTTCCCCTTGTGTTATGGCTTGATATGATCATGTAGTTGTTGCTCAATTCTTCGATATTCAAATCCACCGCTCGCTAATTTGAGCAAAGGGTCATCCCAGAACGCACCATCTAGTGGCAGACTTGCGAGTTACTTTTCTTCTCCAAGCCGTGGACGCTCCATCAATCTCACGTTTGGCGGTAGTAGCAGTAGTAGCTGTACAACAGTCCAGGAGGAAGAAGTGGATATTCCCGAACAAGATGGAGGCCAAGAATCTCGACATGTAGTTTTCGTAGGTCAATCTTGTTTTGCTCCCTCGGCAGGTGCGGGAGTAGACTCTCAATATCAACAGCAGGGTGCTGGACAATTATATGGTGCTTCTGAAGGACGTCCGCCGTCGAGCTATCGTTCATGGAGAACTATGATCTTTGGGACGACAAGTATGAGCGACGTGTTGAAAGATCGAGGAAAACAGCACTACTCTGACGACCAGAGTAGGAACTTTTCTAGTTGTCACCACGAGGAGGGTCAAGATGGTATGATACCATCCGGCGTCGATCATGACAGAACCCCTCGTGCTCGCTCCGCTTCTAGAAGAGAATTGGATGATCAAGCAGGAATAGCACTACCACGTGGGCGCCGCAGTTTGCCTGGCTCGCCTATACGGCTACTGTCCCAGTGGCTCTTCTCAAGTCGTGCCGATATTGGAGGTGGAGAAGGAGAGCCAAAGGGACCTCAAAGCAACGCGTCTTCTGTTGTATCGAAAGAAAAAGATGGTCTAGCAGTACTTGAACCAGCAGTTGGAGGAGGAACATCAGGCGTAGAAGGTACAGCTGGTGCGACATCATCTGCCTCTTCCCCTTTTACAGGAGTGCAACTAAAAAAACCGCCGCCACTTCCACCGCCAGTATCTGTTATTTCAAGTTCTAATTCAAGTTCTAAACCAGCCCAGCCATCACCGACAGAGTCCGCTTCTTCAACCACAAGTTCGAAGATGAAGTGGGTACAAAGAGGTGGCTCGTGGGTGCGAGAGGAGGTAGTTCCTTGTGAGGGCTCTGGCAGTGTAGTAGAAGTCGTGCCACGCAGCTTACAACTTAGTCGTCCGCTAACTCCTGGAAAGCTGCGCGCCTCATCGGAGGAGCGGAGTAGCAAAGGTGAGTTGGAGTTCTTGCCCGTTGTGGTCACGACGGAGAGGAACAGAGCCAGTTGTGATTCATCTAGACCAGGAGGAGCCAAGAGCTCTAAGGCAGGAGGTGAGTACGGAGTAGTTGGTGCGGCGTCAGGAAAAGCTGCTGTTGAAAGTAAAGATGGCTCGAAGAAAGGCACCACGAGGAAAGGAAGAAATAAAAACACTGATTCCTCGTCATGTGATCATGTGTGCGATGACACCGAAGAGACGTTTCGCTTAGTTCAACGGCGCTTTCTGCGTTCAAGCAGCTTCCCTCACGCCTTGCGTAACCGCCAACTCAGTCTTTACCGCACCATGCGTGGTCGATCACCGGTCCGTCGTGGCTTCGATAGCATCGGAGGTTGTAAGAAGAATGAAACGACCGCTGGTGGCCTTCCTACTAGTACTGACGCAACTACAAAGGAGGGTAGTAAGTACGTGGCCACTTTAGCTGCACCTCGCTCACCAGAACAAGCTCCTATGGAGCAAACGCCCGGACGCGACTCTACCTCCGAAGAGATGAACCTGTCTGATCGAGAGGAGGGTGCTGGGTTAGGAAGGATAGCGGCGCAGGTGGACCACCATCCTCCCGGTGATTACGGCCGTAGTAGGACAACCGGTGATCTTGGTACCATGGATCAGCATGCTCATGGCGGAACTTGTTCTCTAGTTCTGATTGATAATCAGGAGGTTGTCGAAGGAGGTTCTACTTCGCCACGTGGCAAGACGATGAAGACCTCCTCCAAGGATCTTAGTACCACGCCTGGTTGTAGCACACCTGCGCCAGATGAGGAAGACAGAAGAGTCGAGAATCGAGTATCGAGCAACGAACAAGACGAGGGTCGTGTGCAGGATGATCGGGATCTTTGCATTATGCTGGTGGTCCTATGTAGTTGTTATGTTCTACTTAATATGTAGTTACTAGTTGTTGATCCATGTCTGTATGTATATTTGTCAGCATAAGAGACTACTAAAACTTCGTATATTCTCATTCGCGAGAGCATTTAAGAATATGATACTTTCTTTTTTTTTATTTCAAAGAATGCAGATAGTACTACTAGTACTAGTACTAGTACTAGTACTAGTACTAGTACTAGTGGACGACAATGAGATTATCAAATACGTCGTCTGTAGTCTAATCTCAGCAAGGATCACGATCACGACGTACGGAAACCTTCAGGAGGTGACTTTCCAGAAACTGTGTCTCACGATCACGACGTACGGAAACCCTCAGGAGGTGACTTTCCAGAAACTGTGTCGCTCTGGAATCTGATCGATCCGGCGCCCTATTGCGTTGGGCCAGACTTTCCTATTCAGAGGATCTATCCGCTATTCATCAGTGCACATCCGGTACCTGCCGTAGTCGTGTACGAGAGGGGAAGGCTGTGTGGCGTACTGACAAGGAGGCACTTGACACATTTATCTTTTAACTAGAAAGAAAACTTCATCTGGAGATCAATAAAAACAAGAAGGAGATCGTGAAGAGATTACTACAACTGAGGACAGGAACAGTAACCGAATGTCTGCTATCACCAGAGGGAGACAACAGTAACCGAATGTCTGACAACTAACACTAACTCTAACAGTAACTGATGCTATGAAAATGGGATACATCAACAACTAACACTGATTTGAAACACTGATTTAAGATTAAATATAACTTAGGAGCCAAAACCAATATTTTCTATGTCTCCAGCATAGAGAAGCCGAAGGACATTAACGAACAAAAATGCTATTCCCCTAACATAGAAGATATTCAAAAGAACTAGAACTACTGCTCAAAAACAACAAATGAATGATATCTGCTCGTCCACGTACACCAGAGAGCAAGTATGGCAGACCGAAATTTCTCGACGGAGAAGATGACATATTTCAAGGCACCACTAGCATCTTCTCAAGATAACTGCACATCCAGCATGCGTTGCCGATACAACATGAAGCAATCATCGCGTCTGCGACGAGAAGTTATATGAATATTTTTCATGATTTGCATTTTTGTCCTTCTGGCTGCTTAGAGTTACAACAAGTACAACGAATTATTGTGATGTCAATTGTTTTCGCGCGCGACCCGTAATGATAATAATAATAAGTAGTAGTAGAGGAGCAAGTGGAAGGGTCTTAGGTTTAGGACAAGGTAACCTTCACTGCTCCTGCTGCTGCATGGGTAGTCTTGATATAGGAAGACAGAGGACTGCGAGCTATAATAATTCTTGCTCAAGAACATCAAAACCTCCTACAGCGACCGCCTAGCAGTGTGCTCCGCATGAAACCAGTTATCCGGGTCCACCTATTATCCTACTGATTTTTCACCATCATATCAAACCGACCACAACTACTACCAGGATCGGACTATCCGACCACAACTACCAGGATAGGTCCTTGTACATTCATCCGTTTTCCTAATAGATATAATATTTTCTTGTCCGCACTGACCTAACTTAAGTAACCTCAGCTAAGGATTTGTAACCTAACCTAACCATCTATGGCCACAGCACCCTTGCATCCTAGTACAACTACGTACGCGACGACTATTCCTTCGTGAAGATTATGTTCTCTTTTCTTTTCCTGCTCACTTATCTGCTCGACTACTAAACTTGAAGCCGTTTCTGTTCATTCGTTCTTAAATCTTTTCCCTTGTACAAAACCAGCTCCACCAATAACTCTAGCACCATCTTCAAGTGTTGATCTTGTTCTACAATTTTTGAACCAGCCTGCCCTATTTTCAGCCAATCAACTAGCCTGCCCTAAATCTGTCAAGAGGAACGATTACACCTTCAACGAGTCCTAATTAACTTTTACTGTAACACTCACAACTGCATCTACAACTCCCCTACCTAGTACTACCTACCTAGGCGTTGTATGAACAGAACCATTGGATTTCATCGCTTCCCCCGATTGTAAGAACTCCCGCCTCTAGCGAAACACATTGATTATATCCAATGGACTTCGATTAAGATTGAGGATTCACGACTAAAAAGCTTTCATATATATTTAATAGTGACATTATGAGATTGAAGACACGTTTCACGACCTGCCCGCAGGGCATGATTTATCAATTTTGCAGCATTCAAGGACGGACTCTCTTGTGAAGGGTTGCCTTTTCTTTGACATCAAGAACTCTAAATTTCATGTTCTTGATGACTTTCATAGTCGTGAACGCGCCTTTGGATCCGAGCAGGCGAGCCAAATCCCATCCCATCCCTAAGAAAGTGTTCCGACTAAGAAAGTGTTCTTCACGTGGCCATGACGACGATCGACGATTAGCAGCTGTAACATGGCGATCTACAACCTGCTTCTTCAATTCTGTGGGGTTCTAGTAGGGTTTGCAAACAAGGAATCATGACTTGTGGTCTAAAAAAATTGAGTTCATCTCGAAAAGAAAAAGCACGATATAATAACTTCTTGAGTGGAGGACAATCAAAAAGAGGGCAGAAAAGCACAGTACTTCTGGGTAGAGTAAGAGTCTTTCTGTCGAGGAGGTTTGATGTTCACTTGATGTAGAAGCAAACAGTTTCGATTGCAGCTCTAGTGCACTGTTGTTCACAACAGGCTTAGAGGTTCTCATATCAAGAAAGGATCATATCAAACGAATTGAGGATACATACGTCGTCAACATCAAGTGGTGGTCCTCGTGTGTTCGTGCTGTCTACGTGCTGTCACCTGAAAAATAAGGCTGCTGCAGCACTCTTGAACACCAGCTCTGCACTTGAGCCACAGCCACTTCGAATTCGGCCAAGATGGGCAAGAACAAGAAGAAGTCGCAAGCGCACAAGGACCACCAGAGCAGTCCGACCACCTCTACAACCGGTGAAGAACCCACCCCAGCATCCGGAGCAAAGGAAGCTCCAGTGGCGCCTGTGATCTCCGTGCAAGCACCACCAGCTTCTCCTGAGATTATGATCACTAGCTACTTGAAATGATCATGATAAGTGCTTGAACGGGATAGTCAAATTGTGTATTGAGTTATTTTTTGGGTTTTTGACATAAGACTGATTAAATTCCGACGCTGTTCAGATTTTTAACACTCGTGCTGCATCCCATCGGTGCCCAACGAAATTACAGTTTCAATTGCTAATTTATTGGACCACCTCTACCTACAGAAGCACTTCCACTTCTAACACCCAACGATCCTCGTCTATCGTTGATCATACCTTGGAATGGCAAGGAGCGGGTCAAAAAGTAGGTCTCCAAGCATGGCGAATCGAGAGCATGAAAGCAGTCCCATGGACACAATTGGGTCAATTCTACTCGGGTGACAGCTACCTGATCCTAAGCACGATCGCGGTAGGGAAGAAGTAGTTTTTAATCACCTTATTTTTGACGCGTTTAATGCAGTTTGTTGACCCGGTCTTTAATCGAAGATGCATTTTGAAGATGTAGTTTGATGTAGTGTGGATAATAGTATAGGAGCAAAAGCAGATGAAATTGAAAAGGAAAAGCAAATAGAGCCCGTCGCGTGTTCGTGATTCTATCTTAAGAACACTGTATTACTGCTCGTTCACAGATACGACCTCTTCTACTGGCTTGGCAAAGAAAGCACTGTGGATGAGAAGGGAGCGGCGGCTCTGAAAACAGTGGAACTGGACACGCACCTTGGTGACGTGCCTGTACAATACCGAGAGTGCGAAGGACATGAGTCCGGACCCTTTCTGTCACTATGGAAACCGTATGGTGGGATCCGTTATTTGTCGGGCGGCGTGGCTAGTTCTTTTACGCACGTGGAGCCAGAAAACTACGTCACGAAGCTGCTGCACGTACACCTTGAACTGGTTGTAGAAGATGGAATGATCATAACAGGATCTTGTTAAGAGTTTTCCCTTTTTCTTAGAGGTGTGCTGCAAATCTAGATAGCCTTCTTCTTCATTTTTTATATGGTTGGGGCTTAGGTCCAGCGGTGCTCGAAGCACTAAGTAAAGCAACCGGCTAGTGTTCACCTCTATACTCTAGGTCTCTCCCTTCAAGCAATTACTTGCTTTAGAAGAAGATGGAAGGTTCTTCCTACACTAGAAAGACTTACTACTTATATATAGAAATATGAGCATGATCAATTCGAAAATACAGTTTTCTCCCACCTCCACTTTTAGGTAAAAGGCAAGCGGTTGTGTCGTGTTTCCGAAGTAGAGAAGAGCGTCAAAAGTATGAACGAAGGCGACGCCTTCGTTTTGGATGCGGGGTTGAAGCTTTTCGTTTGGAAGGGAAAGGACTGCAACAAATACGAAGAACAGAAATTATGAACGAGATAACGAGGACTTGTTCCGTATGTTGTATATTTAATATAAATGAGATATATTATTATGATGCAGAAGGTGTCATGTATATGCTGCAGAAGCAGGTGTCAGTCCAAGTAAAGCTTGTGGTCCCACCAGGTGTGGAGGCTCAGCGGCGGCATCCGATCCTATCCTAAGGTGTCAGTCCAAGGGCAAGCAGAAAGTAGTATCAGAAGTCTTTTTGTTGATGAGATATACGGATGGGCACTACAGGTCTTTTTCTTACTGCTGTACCATTTCACTTAGAAGGTCTGTTTATTTCTGCTTACCGTCATCACACGAAAGTCTTTCTGTTCGCGGTTGTACCTCGCTCTTACTATCGTTCTTTCCTTCTCCCTTTCTAACGAAAGCTTGTGAAGTAGCGCGCGCTATCCGCACAGAGCGAGGAAGCAAGCCAGAAGTGTTTCTGTTTGACGCTATAGAGGATGACGTCAAGGAAACTTTCTGGAAAGAGCTCGGTGGGGGGACCGCTGCGGATGTGGCGAGCGCAAGTGCAGGTGGTATTAAGGCTTGGGATAGATTGACGTACAGCGGAAGAAAGTGTATCAAAAGGTAATAATGTGAGCAATGATCCCAACATCTTTCTAATAGCAGCGATGAGATGCACGAGCAAGTGGCATCGGAGAAAATCAAGTTGTATAGCGTGTCTGCAGACCTCTCTTTATCCGCAGTCTCTGGAGCTAGTGTGCCCTTTGATCGAGATGCTTTGAAAGACGATGGAGTTTTTGTCCTGGACTCCGGAGCAGCGCAACCGGGTCTATTCGTTCGGCTTGGGAAAAGTGCACCTTCTGATTTGAAAAAACAAGCAGTTGGCGGAGTGACGAAGTGGTTAGCAGCAGAAGGACGACCAGAATACACGGGCATTGCGAGAGTGTTGTTTTGTTATTGGTTGCTATTAACTCAGATGGTGTCACGAAGTAGGAAACTACAACATGCTTCTGTAGCTGCTGACTATACTTCTGAGTAGTTAGTAGTTTAGCATCGACGACGCGACAGATTATTATGGTCCTCCTCCATCCACCATTAAAATTGATTTTCTTTTTCTTGCGCCCACCCAGATGGACGCCGGCACAGAAAGCGCATTGTTCAAGACGTATTTCAAGCAATTCGACCCCGTTCGTATGCCTTCGGTAACCTTGGAAGTGGAGTCGTCAGGCGTAGCCAAAACCAGAGGAAGCGAAGTCTCTGTTGCTGACATGCATAGCGGAAGACAAGCTTTTACGAAGAAGATGCATATACGCATGATAGAAATGGAAATTGAATGTCAATCAAGATCGTTTGGATAACGGTCAAAGAGAGGTTCCATGACATGACATAGAATGTACTATTATAAGCTGTTGATGGCCTGTTCTTGTTCAGGAGCTAGACCAATAGACACCTTGGCTGAGTACAAATATAGACTATCCTCGTCCCAAGTAAACACAATATTTCTTTTTGTATCCTTCTAACCCCTCCTCTTCGAGAGGTAGTACTCTTTCGACTCGGGATGCGGCACGAGAGGCAGTCAAGATCTGGCGCATTGAGAATTTTGACACAGTAGAGGTAGCAGAGGACGCCTACGGACAATTTTTTGCAGGGGATTCATACATCGTCGAGTATGTTTACATTATGACAGAGCAGGATTTTGAGTCAGCTGATGTATTTGATTTCGTCTTCTTAGATGCATTATGGCCGCTGGATTGCCAGGCAATTTCACGTGGTCAGCACCTTAGCTACTTTTCTGAAAGACTCAATATTAACATTTTGTTTTTGGCAGACCAGGTCACCTGCCTCGGTGTTGTCCGTCGACCTTACTCAGGTCGCCCACCATCCTCGGAGTCGAGCTGGTGCCGGCGGAGCTCGACGTGCAGGATCCACAACCTAACCTTCTACATCCACAAAACCCTTCTAACCAGTGAGCCGAAAACGGTCGAATTGAAGACGCGTTATTGTACTTCTGGCAGGGTGAGGACAGTACCGCAGACGAAAAGGGCTCTAGCGCGATTCTCTGTGCGAAGCTGGACCAAGAGCGCTTCGGAGGCGAAGCGACGCAAGTTAGGGTAGTCCAGGGGAAAGAACCGAGCGATTTTATCCGCATTTTCCACGGAAAAATGATCATTCATAAGGGAGGATGCGATAGTGGTATTGTTTTTCAGAAGGAGGTTGAATACAAGAACTCCCTTCATCTTTATATCTTTATCAGAAATACTTACTTCGATATTGGTTGATAGATGGCATATCATCGAGATTACTTCTTCTCATTCAAAGCTGTGCCGGAAATTCCCAATCCCATTGATTCCGAAATTGATCTTCAAACTAAAACGACCATCTGTTTGTCAATGCTTGCTATGTCAGCATAGATCCATTCACTCCTTCTACTACCTATTTGAAGGCAACGAACTTAGTGCTTCATTGTAATTCTTTTTCCTCCCTCTCCCACGACTCGTAGGTTTCGTTCGACGTTCTGTCCTTTCTGGTGATGAAGAATTTCTTTTTCTTCTCACTCCTAGGTTTCCGTTCTGTCCTTCCTGGTGGTGAAGAAGAGCAGGTTGACGCTGCTGCGTTTCCGAAATTGTATCACATCCGAGGTGCGTCGACTGCGGAATGCAAAGCAACGCAGGTCAAATGCGAAGCAAAGAACCTGAATTCTAATGATGTTCTAGCGCTATTTGAATCTCCGACAGTGGCGTTTATCTGGCACGGAGCAGGCGCGTCGCCGGAAGAGCAGAAATTGGTTATGATAGATATCAGAGCACTTTGATACGCTTTTCCCATGCGGAGAAATACAAGGGGAAGATCGACCATTGCTCATGTAAGTACCCTTTTGGTTTCGGTAATCAAGCAAGTAAGTAGGTGCAAGGAATTACGAGGAGGCTGCCGAGTTGTAACTGAGAAGTAAAAGAACAACTTCCTCGTCTTCTCCAAGAAAGATGAATACACACCTTTTTATTCAAAGACACAATCGTTCTCCATTCTAAACTCTGCGACGAATTGGTCCAGACGTGTGCAGAAGGTGCAAAAGTGGATATCGTCAAAGAATCCAGCGAACCAGAGACTTTCTGGACTTTGCTTGGCGGCAAAACAGAGTATGCGTCAGATCCAGCGTTAGCCAATCCTGATTTCGAGCCACGGTTATTTCAGGTCTCGAACGCATCTGGCGCCTTACGGGTTGAAGAAATCTTCGACTTTCAGCAGACAGATTTGATTGTTAAGGGAAGAGAGCTTTGTCGATGTCGGCGTCTTCTTTGAATATTCTAGAAGGAATAGAAAATATTTATGAATATTATAGAAAAATTTCCTAGGTAGATAGTTACCCTTTTCTCTTCTATATCTTCCTCTGGTCTGTCTTTTTTCTAGTTAGGTCGGCTCCACCACAAATATTAGAAAAATTTCCTAGGTAGTAGTTTGGCTCCACCACAAATACTAGAAAATCTCCAGCAACTAAAAAGGAAAAGCAGTATTCGCCATTTAAAAAGTATTAAATCAAACGTAATTCGATCGGAAATGGAATTTCCAAATTTCGAACCTAAATTAATCTTAGTGGAATCTCTAAAACTCGAAGTGAATTAATGCGACGTTTCATGCACCTACTAGAAGTATTGTAATTCGATTTCGAACCGGTTCTAAGACCAACGAGGACGTGATGCTTTTGGACACGTTTTCCGCTGTTTATGTTTGGGTTGGTCCGTTAGCTCATAAAGAGGAACGAGAAGAAGCACCGAAGATTGCAGCAGAATATATTACATCCTCCCCAGACGGAAGATCAGCGGACTCGACACCTGTTGTCCTAGTAAAACCTGAAAACGAACCATTGCTGTTCACCTGCCACTTCGTAGGTTGGGATGCGAGCAAGAAAAAGGGTATAAATGGGACTCTTTTTATACAGACTATTTGATACACCAGATACTGCAGATCGATGAAGAATTTTCAGTAGTCGCGCTGCAGCTGGTGTACTTCTTCTTTTGCTGGTGTCTTCTACCACGTAATACCATCTGTCTCTTCTAGGTTTCGTCGATCTCTACGCCGAGCGGAAAACTCGACGTAATTCTGCAGCAGAGGCTGAAAAAGAAGCGGCTGAGAAAGCCTTGGAAGCAGAAGCAGCTGAAAGAGCTGAGAAGGTCCAGCAAATGGAAGCGGAACGAGAATCCGAAAAAAAGCGTGCGCAAGAGGCAGCAGAGGCAGAAAAAGACGAGGCGGAAAGAAAAACGTTCGTCGAGCTGCGGAGAACCAGTAATGCGGTTATGATCATCCACGGTTGAGTAGTTGTAGTTGAGGTCCTCTCGTAGACATTACCAATACGAAAGTCGTTCTCCTGTCGTCTTATTCGTTATTCCCACACGAACCACAGATTTTGCTAAGCACGACAGTGACAATCCGACTCACCAACCCGTCCTTCCGGTAAATCCAATTTCCTTCCTTCCTCCCGTTTCATACCGAACAAAGTCGCTACTTCTGCAACGACTTCTGATGGTGCTCCTGCCCCTTCCTCGGGTCAAGAAACTTCCACATCGGCTAGTTCGAAGGAGAGCACCCAAAACCCGACTATGCTGACCAGCGGTAGCCCAAAGAGCCCGGTTCCGAGACGTTCCAGCGTGAAAGGTAGAAGAAATAGCGTCTCCTGTTGCTTTGGAAATTCATCTAGTACAGAGGAACTCGTAAGTAGTGATCATGATGGGAACATGAAAAAGCTACTAGATGACGAGAAAGGAGGAGACGTAATAGGTCCTGAGTCCGTGGCGCTTTCGCAAAAAACACTGGATGAGACCACCACAGTTTTGTCGGCGAGGACATCTACAACAACCTCACAGAAAAAGAAAGGTTTTTAAAGTTGTTGATTACTCAAGTTAATATATAAGTAGTACCGCTCCCGCATGATTGGTACTGGTCGTCGTGGGCGTTGACCGTAATAGTCCACTATTGAATCTACTAGCGTAGTGCCGCTGTTCCTCTAATTGTATGTCATTTCGAGTTCGAAGCATCCTGTCCTATATATAATCCCCAAGTGGTCCATTCCTGTTTTCCCTAAGTAATCAAGAATGATTTTTGTCCCTTTTTTTCCTATTCTTAACAGTGTACACTTCACCAGGCGCAAACGGACGGTGGTCGATGGTCGATACTGGAGGGTACCTCGGGTTTGGCAATATCAATCGCACCTCGCAGACGAGTGCAACCGATGAGAACAAGAATAACTATGGCTTTGTTTGAGTTTGAGAGTTGCACTAAGTCTTGACTTCATGAACTACAGGCTTAGGAGTATCTTCTCTATCTTTTTGAGACAGTTGTTCATTTTTCCGTCTACGTTCATGCATCGTGCGTGTTTGGAATCGAGAATATGAAGAGACAGTTCATTATCAAGATCTTTTTGAAAATTTAATAGATCTTTTGAAAAGTTTGGATTTTTTTAGAAAATTTAGATCATTTAGAAAATTTAAAGTTGCAACTTGCGTAAGTAGAGCTCTTCTGCCTCTTCTAATCCTTTTCCGAGCCAACTTACGCGTGTCACAGATCAACGAAGTACAGCCTGGTAGAACTACAGCATGGCAAGCGACCAGACGACGTGGATCCGACAAAGAAAGAAATGTACCTAGAGTCGGCGGAGTTTCACAGTTAAGGCGTGTAGTATGAGTAGCAATCGTATATTCTCGACGAGAGTACGGACAGTCCAGAGAATTGTCAGTAGATTCCAGAGAATTTCTCGTAGAAGCTCCCTCATAACGCTGTTGTTTTATTCCTCTTGGTTTTTTCCTCTACAGGTCCTTCGATGACCTCTAACACCGCGTTTTCGGAATTCCAGTCGACGACTACGAGAAGATGCCGGGATGGCGAAAAACGCAGAAGAAGAAAGAAAAAGGACTCTTTTAGATATGTGTACTTCAACTTCTTTGTTTTATTCTCTTTGATGTTACCAGAAGAAGATCCTTTTGGTGTTACTAGTGAACAAGAAGATTCTCCATCGTTACATTTTGCTTGGCGATTGCGTTTGTGATCCACCCTTGTCTGTTTTTAGATTATGTTCGTTGTGATGATGTGCAACGAGAAACATGAAAATGTCGCGGCTCGTGACTTACGATGAGGGCTGTAAGCGTGGTGACGAGTTTAGTTTTTTTCACCATGATAGCAAATTATGTCATCGCAAGTACATAAGAATCTCAGAGCACTACTGGCTGGATGACACTGACAACTATATTGTATTTGGATTTTTTAGAAAAAGGGAGGTTATGATCTGTTGATGACTTTGCTGTGTCTTCGTATTTTGGACATGGAGGAATTAGAAATCTTTAGATATTTTAGAAGACAATCAACAAGTTGTGAAGCAAACAAGTATCAATCTCGAGATGGTGAACTGAGAAGCAGCGAACTGTACTTTCACCGTTTGATGAGACTGCAACTGTTAGCGTCTCTTGTCGGTCCAAGTTGAGAGACAACATAAAACGGAAATTTCGATTTTTTAGAAAACGACAGAAAAGGAAAACGAGAAGTACATCTTCATGTGGACGAGTGGTCATGGTATTACAAATTGGGCTTGTGGTGTCACCGAAAACGACAAGGCTATAGTACCAGAGAATTTGGTATCTGAATACTATTACGGAAAAGGGCAAGTTCAAGTTGTATATTCTTGTTGTGAGTGCCAGTATTAGAGTAGAAGTACTTCTACACACTAAAAAAGCTGAATCTCTAGCCAGCACGACTCTGACGAGAATGGTTCGAACGATCATGGCGCCTGCATCACATCAGCCTGCACGTCTTTCGTGGGCTGCTGCGTCAGCTGCTCTCGTCTCGTTGACGGTTCCATCGACGTCTTCATCTTCGGCAACGGTGTTTGCGGCTGCGAGACAAGCGCCAAAGCGGAAGCACAGGACGCCTACCGACTACACTGATGACGCTGGAGGCGCGGATATGCAAACAGACGAGACGGAAGGACAGAGGTTCTAAATCTTTCATAGATGCATTGTGGGATGTAGTAGAAGGAGCATGTTTCCCTCCTTTGCCGCTTATGTTACCACAACTCAGTCTTCATAGGTGTCTTACAACATTTTCTTTAGGTTACATGTGGCTGTTGGTGCGAGTTCCGGTGACCTTTCCATGGAGATAGATTCGGACGCTTCTATATCCGTTTTGGAGAAGTTAGCTCCTGCTGGAACATCACCAGAAGTTGTAGAGGGGAATAGTGATTCCACAGAAGCTGGCCACCGCGGCAGTGTCCAATTCGTCAAGAACATCTTAGACAGAGTGCAGAGCAGTCTGTCTACATCATCAGAGGCTGACCGCGTTCCCAGTGCAGTCGATCGCGTACTAAACTGCTCAGACCTAATCCCTGTGTCGCTTCCTTGATCCTGTTCCGATGAGAATCCCATTCTTGATGCTGTTCCTACTGTGTTCCTTATGCTGTTTCGAATCTAAGCCTAAAAGTCTCTCTTGGTTTTGATTCTAACCATAGTCTTATGCTGTTTCAACGCTAAGGGTCTAATCTCGCTATCGTTCCAGCCGTAACCTAGTGGCGCCAATCATGGCTGCAGTCATAATCTAACGATGTTAATCCTGCTCCCCCGTTTTTAAAAATGGTAATTGATCATGACCACCGTCCTGCCCTGATTCTGTCCCGCCTTGTGTTCTCTCCCCGCTGCTAGATTCACCGGCCTGAGCTTGTAGGTGCGACCGCGACCGTTTGAAATTGATACGAATCTTCTTGACGATGAGGAAGATGCAGAAGGGGTAGTTGCGTCTGCAGGTCCACTGATCCGGTGCGCGAAGGAGCATTCTGCTACTTGTCCTCAACTAGACGCACTCGAGATTCAATACGAAAGCCGAATTGAGAAGTTGGAATTCGAGCATCAGAAGGCAATCCGCAATTTACAGCAAAAACAGCAGCTAGACATCCTGAATCGGCAGCAGGAGGTTGGCAGATGCATGCGGAGGATTGACGAGGTGGAGCGGGATTGGATAGTGCCGGATGCGTTAGTGCGGGATTGGTTAGGCAAGGCTTTTGGACAAGGATTCGACGTAAATATCGTTCCTAGTACAAATCTTGCTGCTTCTGGGTTTCCATTTCTGGAGGTGACTTCAGATAATCGCGAGAAGATACTAGGAAAAGGAAATATGGAACAGATGAAGAATCGAGTACTACACGTAAATGTTGCGGTGGGGAAGCGTGTTCCGCAGAGTAGTGTTATTCCCTACAGCATCATTTTCGAACAACCTGGGAAATTTGTGACGGGTGAGGAGGTGACGCAAGACGAGCGGAGACATCGGAACAAAATGGCACTGATTTATGACCCGCTGTCGTGGGATAATCAGCTCCGACTTCTCCAAAAAAGCTCGGAAAACGAGCGTTTGTTCGTGCGAATGTGCCGCCACAACTACAACTTCCAAGATGAACAGGATGCGAGAAAGCGGTTCACTACTGCTGAGACGGGCGAGATAAGCGAGTCAATCAAGCAAGATACGAGGGCAGTGGCGGCGTTGTTCAGCATCGATGCTGACTCGTCATCTAGCGTCAGTGGTGGCACAACACAACAAGCGAGCATAACAGTAAAAGAATTCGAGGAGGGAATTAGAGGGAGTGGCTCTGGCTCTCTCAAGAAACGCGAAGTTCGGGTGGGGCGCTCCGACATCATGAGTCCATACGATAGTCGTACACACAAGACGGATATCAAGAATGTTGCAGACATGGTCGCCTACTTGATTAAGGGCTGGAAGTTGACCTCTCCATGGGCATCTCCGTGGCTTTTTCAACTAGGAAAGCCATAGAACAAGACATGTGAACTACTAGATGGGGGTCAACTTCTTTCAACCTCTAACTTGAAGGAGTACACTTATTATATGAGGTATAGTAGGCTATTTGCACGGCCCACTGAAGATTTTGTAATGAAATTCAGAGTGGCATGTGATGCGAAAGTCGTGGATGACGAATCAGCTGATGCTTTCGCGACGTACAGGATAGTTGAGATTATGTTGCGATTTGAGAATCGTAGAGACATTCCACCGGCCGCATATGAAGCTGAGTATAAGGCGAGGGCTCCTCTTCTCGTTGTCCAATCGGATGAATCTTATTCGACGGATGATTCTTACTCGGAGGAGGATCCGGAGTCCTGGTCCTCGGACGGCGAGGTTTAAATCACCGAGCACAGAGTTGCTTAATATTAAAGCATCTCTGATAGTAATATCTGAAAAATCTCCACGATGATTTAATATTTTCACCACATCACCCTCAGACTCGCAGCACATCGACCAGTAAATGAATTTATTGATTCATTGTATGGAGGTGTTCGTCTTCCTGTGTTTGGAGGTGTAGACCTGTCGGGCCCTTTTAAAAACTACAACAAGAGAAACGCGTTCGTCTGAAGGAGTTGATCTCTAAAATTATAGTGTGCGAGACGTCCGTTCAAATCGATCTTCTGTAAAAATGTGGTGTATGTACTATTGGTGCGACCCTCCACACCTACTGATGGAGACGAGGCTACCCAGAGAGAGAGAGGTATTTCATACAACAGCCAGCTGAAGTTCTGTCATACACGACCTCTGTTGAGTGTTATTGACGAAAATTGTTCAGGAGTGAAGAACGATAAGAAGGAGAATCGTAAAATTAGATTTTTCTTGTCTGTTTTAGCGAGCATCTATAAATCTGTGTGAAAGCGCTTTTATTAGTGGCTTCTTTCGCGAATGCTTTGTGATGTGTAGCTTTGCTACTTGTTTGTTTTTTGAGGAATTATGTTTTTAGATACGTCTTGGTTTCCCTCCAACAAGAATTCGGGCATCAATACAACCAAATCTCCAGCTTCATATTTTTTTCAAATCGACTCGCAACGTCGTATCCCACATTTTTTAGTAGAAGGACTAAAAAGTGTTGCCAACCGTTCTTCATTGGTTAACAATACTTACATCACAATCACTACATTCTTTTCCATCGTTACATCTATCGCATTTGTAGAAACTTCCTGTGTTTGTTGAGGAACCAACGTAGTCGTATATTAGCAAAATCTCTTCATCATCAAGATCATATCTTCACATTATCCAAATCCAAATCATCTGAATCTTCGCTTCCAAACAAACTGTTAGTCTCTGAAGAGCTTTTTCGACCACTCATTCGTGATCGTTCTCTCTTCCACAGCTGCGTGTTAGCAGTGAATCTCTCTCCTATAACTTTTACTAGAGTATTAACCTTACAAAAAGATGGGTTGTGGTGCATCCAAGGGACCCGAAATGTCCGCCGAGGGCGCTCCGGCCGCTGCTGCCCCAGCAGCTCCAGCTGCTAAGGCACCGACGCCGAACGATCCCAACTACCCGCCGAACGGTGTCTGCTCCACCCTGAAGGACCTTCCGGAGTGGATCAAGGTAACCATTTAGAGTTCATAATTTAGATTTAGATTGATAAGGACAGTATGATTATCACGACAATGACTGAAGGTCTTGCTGTTCATGACGAACATGAAGATGATCAACATTCTAGACCGACTACATGATTCCTACATTCATGAAAAAAGATAAATTCCAAAAAAACCTAATTTTCCTAAAAAGGAATAAAAATGATTTTTCTAAAAAACCTTAAATTGTAATAAAGCTCGGATGCGGCAGTGCGGAGTACTACTGCGAGGAGAAGGGAGCTACCTTCCCAGGTGACAAGTGCCCGGACGCGCTCCCGGATTTGTCCAGCCACGGCAACTTGTGCGCTATGGCTCTCCGTGACAACCCAGATCTCTATGAAAAGTACTTATTGTTATTTCTAAGGAATCTAATCGTAGAAGACGTTGATCTTTTGTAGCTGTCATCCTTGCAGTAGATGTAGACGACGTTGAAACGCTTTTTGATGAAATGGGGAGACAAGGTACCTCCAGATGTTGAGACTCTTTTCTTAATGAAATGAGCAAACGTAAACCTTAGGTACAAGAACGTGACGACCAAGGGCGGAGTTACCCTCGCCAAGTGCATCAAGACCGGTATTGACAACCCGGGTCACCCGCACATTATGACCTGCGGCTTGGTCGCCGGTGACGAGGAGTGCTTCACCACCTTCAAGGACTTGTTCGACATCGTTGTCGGCAAGCGCAACGGCGACTACCCGGCGGACGCGGTCCACACCACCGACATGGACGTGAACAAGCTCTCCACCACCAAGATCGACCCGACCGGCAAGTACTGCCTGACCACTCGTTGCCGTACCGGACGTTCCGTCCGCGGCTTGCCGCTGCCCCCGGCCTGCTCCTTCGAGCAGCGTCGTGAGACCGAACGTGTCATCGTCTCTGGTCTGCAGAAGATGACTGGAGAGCTCAAGGGAACTTACCTGCCATTGAACGGTATTTACGAACTTCTTTTCATGTCATGAAGACAGATGAAGGATGATCAACTTCGATCTCGAAAAAGTATACATGATGAGTTAGAACTCTTGTTTTTGATAGCGAGAAAGACGGACGACTACGTACTATGTATTACATATGAACACAGTATCATGATGAGTTCTCCTTTCTCAAGAATCTTCCAGTAAGAATTCAGGTTCCAAGTCTATGGAGCATGTCGGTATCTCTGGCATGAACCACGCGACCGAGGAGCGTCTCCGTAAGAACGGAAACCTGTTCCAGGAGCCGGATTCCACTCTGCTTTTGTCTTCCGGTTGCGGTCGCCACTGGCCCGATGCCCGTGGTATCTTCCACAACGAGGTACTACTCATACTAGATGAGCTACTGCGGGTTTTACATTTCATTGACTACAGTAGACTCGATTTCTTACAAACGTATTTAGATTTTTTAGAATCTTTAGATGCAGCTGTGGTAATGAGGTACGCTTTGATTTAGATATCGGATGTATTTTGGATTTTGTTATGTGCGAATTGAAACAGGTGGTTGTTGTCTAATGTTCAACCTCCGTCAACAATATTTTAGGCCGAGAACTTCTTCGTGTGGGTGAACGAGGAGGATCACATGCGTATTGTGTCCATGGAAAAGGGTGACAACATCCGCGCCATCTTCAATCGCTTCGCCAACGCCTGCGCCACCGTCAAGGAGACCTTGACCGCCGATGGATACGACTTCATGCACTCCGAACATTTGGGATAGTACTAAATTCAAATTTGGATTCGATCTTGCAGTGTCGTGCTGAAATGCATTGACGTGATCCTTTTAGTTTTTCATTTACCAAATCTAATGAACAAGAATTGCAATGGCAAGAACATCAACGAGAAGATGTTGAAATCATGTCTTTTACTTTTCTAAATTCAGCATCCTGACCTGCCCGTCCAACTTGGGTACGGGTCTCCGCGCCGGTACCATGGTCACCGTTCCGCTGTTCTCCGCCCGCCCGGACTTCAAGGACATCTTGAAGAAGATGAAGCTCCAAGCCCGTGGTACCGCTGGTGTCGACTCCGCCTCCACCGGCGGCACCTGGGACATCTCCAACGCCGACCGCCTCGGTTACTCCGAGGTCCAGCTCTGCAACCTCTTCATCGAGGGCGTCGCTCAGGTCATCCGTTGGGAGCAGAAGTTGGAGGCTGGCGAAGACATCGAGGCTGAGGTCGCTGACGCCAAGCCGCTCGGCCTGGATGTCGTTGTACTACCCCCTGATCATTGGTCATTTACTAGAGTACAGAAGGATAGAGGAAAAGACGCAACATACTCTCACGGACAATGGTCGAAGTCATTAAAATCAAAACTCTGATGATTAGAGTCTAATCGACGAAGCTAAATGGGGTTAGCACACACTTCTCATCAGAAGATGTGTAGTCATGATTATTTACAGAAAAGTTCTTGATGAATTTTACATGAGAATCACAGTGATTACACAGCGATTTCTTCGTGAATACTTCTTGTACTTCGATAATATTATCCGTTTTTCTGGGCCAGCCACACACACACACACATTACATCATGTGCAAAAACATGCACAAAACTTGAACCGCTGGATACTCGCATGACGCATCCTTGGGTCTTAGTCTTACTAAGTACAACATTGTAGAAATGAAGACAACATAGACTGAAGTCAAGCGGACGGGGTCACTTCAGCGTCTGCATCCGCATCGCGGAGGAATAGAGAAAGTGTGCCAGTGCAGACGAAACTACCCATTCTGATTTTCAAATGTGATAAACTGTCGACCGCACGACATTAACAGGGAAGTAAAGAACTACAAAATTCGAGGCATACAGGTGATGTCGTGTGGCTGGTCCCCAATTTAGATTTTAGGAGTAGTTCTTCTAGAGGTAGTTCTAAAAAATCTAAATAGCCGTATAAAATAATTCTCCTCAAAATACCATCACATCAGGCATACCCACCGCTCGGCTTGGCCGAGACCATCCACGGCCTCCCGGACTGGATCAAGCTCGGTTGCGGTGCCGCTGAGTACTACTGCCCGGAAAAGGGTGCCACGTTCCCCGGTGACAAGTGCCCGGACGTCCTTCCGGATCTGTCCAGCCACGGAAACTTGTGCGCCATGGCTCTTCGTGACAACCCGGATCTCTACGAAAAGTATTGCTAAGGAATCAGATTTACACAACACTTTCAATTTACACAACACTTTCACATTCGACTACGTAGCACATTCCGTTCCTTTTAGACGCAATCTCCAAGACAAGCTTCTACGGCACGAAGATTCATCGTGTTATTTCGTTGCAGCAACAGCCTTCCTTCATGTACAACACATAACCAAAAAAGGTACAAAAACGTGACGACCAGCGGCGGCGTTTCCCTCGCCAAGTGCATCAAGACCGGCATTGATAACCCGGGTCACCCGCACATCATGACCTGCGGTTTGGTCGCCGGTGACGAAGAGTGCTTCACCACGTTCAAGGACTTGTTCGACATCGTCATCGGAAAGCGCAACGGCGACTACGCCGCGGACGCCGTCCACACTACCGACATGGACTTGGAGAAGCTCTCCCAGACCAAGATCGATCCCACCGGAAACTACTGTACTTTTCTTTACGTGGTCAATCAAAATCATCTTTCTAGTACTAGATTAGAATTTCTAATCTATCACAATGAATTTTTTTTATTTTTTGATCATACGACATCACATCAGGCCTGACCACGCGTTGCCGTACCGGTCGTTCCGTTCGTGGCCTTCCGTTGCCCCCGGCGTGCTCCTTCGAGCAGCGTCGTGAGACCGAGCGCGTGATCGTCATGGGCCTAAACAAGCTCGAAGGCGAATTGCAGGGCAAGTACTTCCCACTCAACGGTTCCAAGTCTATGGAGGCCGATGGCACCCCAGGCATGTCCCACGAGAAGGAAGAATCTCTCCGCAAGAACGGAAACCTCTTCCAGGAGGTACTTTTAGATTTAGATTCTTTAGATTTTTTAGAAAATAGATCTTGGAGCTGTCGTCTTATTTAAAAAAACCTGGTATTCATGCAACGACGATAGGCTAAGTATCTACTTCTTCACCTACATCAACAGCCCGATTCCACTTTGCTCTTGTCCTCCGGATGCGGCCGACACTGGCCGGATTCTCGTGGTATCTTTCACAACGACGCTGAGAACTTCTTCGTCTGGGTGAACGAGGAGGATCACATGCGCATCGTCTCCATGGAGAAGGGTGACAACATCAACGCCATCTTCACGCGATTCTGCAACGCCACCAAGGCTGTCCAGGAATGCCTCGAATCCGAGGGCTACGGCTTCATGCACTCCGAACACTTGGGATAGTACTACAAATATTTTTTTCGCTTCTTTGGTTGCAATAGTATGTTGAGTCTTAATCTACTGGTCGACACTGGAGGTGAAAATACTACGACGGTCTAAAGAGGACATCAACATTTGTTTCTCAAACACTTTCTCAGAATGAATTTTTCTCTCGCAAAATTACTTATACAGCATCCTGACCTGCCCATCCAACTTGGGTACGGGTCTTCGCGCTGGAACGATGGTCAAGCTCCCGTTGTTCTCGGCACGCAAGGACTTCAAGGACATCCTGAAGAAGATGAAGCTCCAAGCCCGTGGTACCGCTGGTGTCGACTCCGCCTCCACCGGCGGAACCTGGGATATCTCCAACGCCGACCGCCTGGGTATGTCCGAGGTGCAGCTCTGCAACTTGTTCATCGAGGGTGTCGCCCAGATCATCAAGTGGGAGCAGGCTCTCGAGGCTGGCGAGGACATTGAGGCCGAGGTCGCGGATGCCAAGCCGCTCGGCATCTAAGTCGCTACATCAGTCAGTAGATGGAACTGAGATGATACTTAGATTATGAGAAGTGAAAAACTACTGGTCAACTTGACGATTTAGAATTTTTAGACAAAAAACAGGTATAAAATATAGAAGATGAGGAGAGTAAATATTTTTAAACTACAAATTGAAGATAATACGTTGTAGATAGTATACTAGTACTACGAGAGTGGTACGAGAGGACCAAGAAAGCAACTGCTGCATGATCAATACGTCTTTATCGCTAGAAGAAAGAATTTGAATGAGGAGGAAGAAAGAGTGCCTTGGGTGATGCTAATGTAAGAAGAACCAAGGCTGTTGGAAGTCTACTGGTGAACTATACATAGTCGCTCAAGGGATACCCTTTTTTTTAGATAGAGAAATTATTATACCAAACGGACTTCAATTGTTGAGAAAGTCAAGTAATAGATGAGAAGACGATATCCCAAGAAGACGGTTGTTAATAACCAAAGAGCCTGTTAGTACTTGTAGATATTGTGAGCCGGCAGGCGTTTTCCATTGTCTTTGCCGGTGTGACGTTGTCGAGATGAGTAGTTCTTTCTTCTTTCTCCGCGCGAGAAAGTAGAGTAGAGTCTTACTGCGCGCATGCTGAGACCTCCCTCTTGCTACAACATCTTTGTGCTCTTTCGCTCGTTTACTCGATCGTTGGTGTCAAGGATGGTAGCTCATGTTTATGATTCGGTATGATTGATCACGCTCCCGTGAATCATTGCACAGCAACCTCCGATGGAATATCATACCTACGGAATGTACTGCACAGGTCCCTACCTCTACATGAGCATGTTACTCTTGAAGAAGCAGATTTAGAACTTACTACTACATGGTGATAGTGTGAGAACAGTACTAGTACACTTTGATGATGATACGGTCGATGTTTATACAGTCGAATCGGCTCAGGAAAAGGCAGCGCCATAGCGTATCTTTTTGTGATACACATAGAGACTCAACATTTCAGATAGATATTTCTCGGATTTGGAAAGATGCATTGGCATACCGACAAGATGAGCGAGAAATTGCTGTAGTCTCTGCACCAAATAGGTATAAAAATTTTTGAGTACAAGGACCATCGCATGTGATTGCGCAGCTACGCATCCGTTATCGGAAGTACTCAACAATATTCTTAGTACCCCATCAGAGAAGACTTTGCAGCCATAGCACTGCGACAGATTTGAAATTTGAGCAGCATCAATCATGCACCACACGGACAAACAAGCAAAACATGGGGAAAATGATCTACATCAACATTCACTTCAATTGAAAAAATTCGAATTATTTCATGAAATATTTTAGATTTACAAGAAATTCTTCAAGATATTATATGGGAAACATATTAAATAAGATTCATCTTATCTTATCTTCATTACGATGGGAAAATAAAGTCACAATACTATGGATTTGTTATCTTGTGTACCCAGATTTGTTGTATCGTCTTTCTGGCAAGAAGCTACATCAAGACCAGTTGGAGGATTATAGCCTTTCTGTTAAAGCAAGATAAGTTGCCAATTCGGAACCTACTTCTTCATCTCTTGCTATATGTTGTATCCTTTGGATGTGCTGCAGCAGGAGAATGAAGTAGAGGCCCATTCCTAGGGCAACTACACGGGCAGGGTTCAAAACGAACCCGGAGGGCTCAGGGTCACTGTATAGACTTTGTCGACTTGAGAAACACAAACATCATATTGTGCGCGCCATACAACACCATGCATTCATGGTTGACAAAGGACATACATCATCCATCTAGAAGAACGATTAATATGGCAGGACGACCTCGACAGGTAAGAGGGAAGAAGTCCTTTCCTTTGGGTGGCTATTCGAATCGCAACGAGTCGTGCGTGTTCTAAATCTTCTAAAGAAATTGGATCTTCATTCCTCGGATGTTCTTCCACTTGTCTAAATCTTCTCGGTCAGCGAAACGACCGTCAGCGTAACTTCCGGATGCGGGTGCTTTTCTCGGTTCGGAGTGTCCATCAAGATGAAGTTCAACATCGTTCACATCGGTGCTAGTAGATATCGTTTTCGAGGTTCCAATTTGATCGGTTCGAGGATGACAACTTTATTTTGACCTAGAGTTCACTTGAGTTATCTGCTCCTATCTCATTCTTGGGCTGTCTCTGTGCGTCTGTGAAGTGTTTGCTTTCTCTGCGCCCACCACTGCTGGTGCGTCGAACTCTTCGGAAAACTTGTAATTGTAATATTCCGGAGCAAATGATCGGTCGTTAGCTCGGTCCGTCAGATCAAGTTATCGTCCGCCCTCATGATGTGCACACGACCTCCGCTGAAGCCCTAGCCCCCTTTTTACATTAAAGTCTCCGATTGTTTTATAGAGCATAACATCCGTTCCCACCAACCAAAAATAGCACCTGAAGTAGGAACGCCGGCCGCGTTGAGCAAACTCGAGATTCATTTTAAGTTTGCTAATTGTAAGAGCGTTCTGGATGTAACTGAAATACATCTTCCAATCGACAACTGACAAGGATAGTTCATCGACTACAGCACACTTTTAATTTCCATTCGACTGGACGAGGTCAGTATTCAGTGTAACAGACCGAATAAAGACAACGGATCAACAAGATGTCGGCAAATGGTAAACCAGAGGGCGCTTACCCATCGATGATGGGGCTCTCATATAAGGTGCTCAAATTATGGACATCTGATAACCTTTTCCAACATTACCTTGGTTTTTCCAAGGGCGGAATCACTTTCACTCTAGCGCATGCAAGAGTGCTGTTTATACAAATGCAATCTGCTGATTAGACGAACTATCCTGCATACACCTGCAAAACATTAATACCAATATAAATACTAACCCACCTCTTCTAATCCTCGGCGCGGAAAAGGGGAAGAGTCCGCTATTGTCTGGCGCTGATTGGGCACCTGGATGCGATAGTGGTGTATACGATCGTGTGGCGCAGATTATCGGCGATTTGGAGAAGGGTAATATTACCTGATAATGCTTACAACAATACCACCTCATAGTGATTGCAACAATAGGTTTTTGATGAAGACAACGTTAAACTTAAAGTCTTACGATGTCTAAAGACAACGACGATACTAGGTAGGGATTACAGCTATCAGATACAATGCGAGAAGGATCAATGACCATTCCATCAACCTCAACGAACCAGGTGGCGAAGAAAAGGCACTCGACTATGCACAAAAGCTTGACAATTGGCCGGCCGAGAAGAAGACGCTTCTGCTCACGGCCAGCGAAATCGAGAAGCAAGTTGCCGTTTTGAGTGAATCAGCCAGAAACGATATCGCGGTGCAGATGGACAGAGTACTATTTTCAGCGGTGAAATAAGAGAGAGCTACTGGATTCCGAAAAAAAGATAAAATCAGTACCATTCGGTCTACTCTCTGACTCTCTTCCAGCAGAAAAAGAAGACAATCTATGTATCATATTGATTCGAATCTCATTTACTTACTTGCTTTTCAACAAGAAGAATCAACAAACCTTATAGCAATAAACCCTTGTGAACACCCACCAGATCAGGAAATTTGCGGTTGCGCAGATGTCCCATATGAACTCCTTCGAGATGGAACTCTCACCTGGTGTCTACACAGGACAAAAGTTAAGGCTTGGTAAGTATTCGTATTAGGTAAGTAGGACTCTTTTATTTAAGAAGATGCTTGTGGATACGATTTTCAAGGGGACAATGGGTGTTAGAAGTAGAAGAAGTTAGTAGTTCCTACAACTACATAGTTGAACCACCACCCACAGTACGACTATCAACTACTTCTACTTCTAACACCCATTGTCCCCTTGAAAATCGTATCCACGAGCAACTTCTTAAAGGACTGCTACCTAATGAATACGAATCAATACCAAGTTCCACAACTTAAAGTAAGTAGTCCTACCAAGAATGAATTGCAAGTTCTAACACCTATCGTCCCCTTGAATGCCGCCGGATGCTATGTGCCGGGCGGACGATATTCGCATATCAGTTCCGCAGCAATGACCGTGGCAACCGCAAAAGCCGCTGGGGTGAAACATGTGGTCGCAGCAAGTCCACCCATGAGGGGAACGACTACCATCCACCCAGCTACCCTGTACGCGATGCATTTGGCTGGCGCGGATTCGGTTCTCGTTTGCGGTGGCGCACACGCGATTGGATCTCTAGCTTTTGTTATGGTGTAGTTCTGCGACTATATATACGGTGCATAATAAACACGATGCTGGTAGATGTGTTTTACACCTCTAGTTTTTAGACCTCCTCTGGTGTCTGTAGAGTAGAGTTGGATCTCTTGCTTTTGTTATGGTGCTGTAGGTCTGCTACATAAACATAGTCTGGAATGTAAGTAGATGTGGAAAGTCACGACCAAAGGGTCTAATTTCTGATGTACAGTTTTCAACTTCACCATAAGTAGTAATTATCTTGCAGCCGCAATGAATACGAATAGACATGATAGCGTTCTACTTTAGCATCCTGTTTGTTGACGACATGGGATTGATTATTCTCTGGCTAAAAAGAAGAGACAAAGGGAGGAGTTGTAGGTGTGCTCACTGTTCTATGTTGTACTTCATGTTGCAGTAGAGAAGTTGTATGTGTACTCACTGTCCTTCTATGTTGTACTTCATGTTGTAGTAGAGAAGTTGTATGTGTACTCACTGTTCTATGTTGTACTTCATGTTCTTGCAGTAGAGAAGTTGTAGGTGTTCTCACTCTTCTATGTTGTACTTCATGTTGATGTAGTAAAACAGAGTATAAGTAGCGTAGATCTCGTCTGATAGGGAACCACAGAATAGAATAGTTAACATATTTTTACTAGATCTCTTCTAATCTGCGTCTCTTTACTGGTGCACCAGCTGATATCATTGTGGGACCGGGAAACTCGTTTGTCGCAGAAGCAAAGCGCTTCCTCTATGGTCGTGTCGGAATCGATATGTTCGCAGGACCTACAGAGATTCTTTGCTTGGCTGGTATAATTATGTTTCTTAGTAGTTCAGTTTTTTAAAGTTTAATTATTGGGAAGGAAATCTTCGAAGATGTTAAACTGCTGGTGCTCCTTCATGTGAGCAAGTAGTTGGAACCGAACTGACTACAAGAAAACCGCTTCAAATAAAGCACATGTACGTAGTCCTGTACTTCTTCTTCTTAAACTAGCTACTCCAACATCAAAATTTTAAAATTATTTACTGCACCAGATTCCACCGGTGACGCTCGTATTTTGGCAACGGATTTGGTCTCGCAGGCTGAACATGGTCCAACGAGCCCAGCATGGTTTTTCACAACCTGTCCAGAATTGGCAGAACAAGTCGAAAAATTGGTCCCAGAGTTGATCGAGGCACTTCCTGAGGGCAATCCAGCGCGTGAAAGCTGGCCGGATTACGGGGAGATCATCCTTCTTCCAAGTAGGGACGATATGCGACAACTGTCCGATCTGTACGCCGCAGAGCACCTTGAGGTCCACTGCAAGGACGATTTGGATTGGTGGTTGTCATTAAGGAGCCACTTTTCTTGAAATATTAACTTTATCTTCATGTTCAACATCAAGAACAATCTCAGCTGCATGGGAAGGGCAATTGGTACAACTAGCACAACAAGGCATGTTCAAAAATCTCAGGAGCTGTATGGGACGGGGCAGGGTGGTACAAGCAGAACAAGGCTTGTGTCTCTGCAATGAGTGAGCCGGTTGTATCATTATCTTCATGTTGGTTTTTTGTTTTCTAGTTAGGTGTGCTCCACCGATTTTATCATTATCTTCATGTTCAACATGAAGAACAATCTCAGCTGCATGGGAATTGGTAGGAGCACAACAAAGCATGTTCAAAAGTCTCAGCTGTATGGGACTGGGCAGGGTAGTACAAGAACAAGGCTTGTGTCTCTTCAATGAGTGAGCCGGTAAGCGATACATGATAGATATACGGGGCCTCTATCTATTGGAGCAACTAGATATCTAGGGGGGCCTCTACGAACTCGATACATGATAGATAAGAGGTAAGCGTTGATTTGCCTCTTCTAGAACTAGAAGTACTTCTTGTTCTCCTTCTAATCTGAAAGCTAACCAACTATGGTTCTCTCTTCTTGGGTGAAGAGACTTGCGTTTCTTACGGAGACAAAATCTCTGGGCCCAACCACGCTTTGCCGACGTTGAGGGCGAGTCGTTATACTGGTGGCTTGAGTGTCGATAAGTACGTGAAGAAGTTGACGTACCAAAGGATGACGAGGGACGCGAACCGGGAGTTGGGCCCGCTCTGTGCGAGAATAAGCAGAATGGTTAAGACTGTTGTTTCTACTACACATTTTCTATTAATGAGATAGATCGTTCGTCGGAGAAATATTTTTTACAATCATTGCCGAGTGGATGCAAATCTTTCATCATAGATTGATCTAGTTGAGTTTACTACTTCAATGTGACATCAAGAAATTGATTCATGATGGGTGAATAAGTGGTTACTGGTAAACACCAATCCACCACCACCACCTCCTCCGACTTCTTCTCTAACCCAAAGGGCATGGAGGCTCATGCGCGAGCTGCGGACGAACGTTTGGCACAGTGGTTTCCCGAAGAGCAGTTTGAGTTGAAACCGAAGATGCTGACGGAGGAGGCTGAAAAGGAGGCTGCAGCAGCTCAGTGATATATGATCGTCAAATCATGAAGGATTGGAGAAGTAGATGGATAAGGATTTAAGAATAAATATTTGTAGATAAATTGATTCCTTAAATTATATCTGAATCTCTTCTTTTCGAGTAAGTACTTACTAGCTTGGAGCGTCCGATAACATCCCTCCCACTAGGATCCCCCTCCTCCCCAAAGTAAGAAACTAAGCATGGCAAAGATGTAAGCGATACGCGTTCTCAAATTTCGAAAATTTTCCACGTTTTGCCATCGTTTGGGGATTGGGTCTCGTGCGTTTGAAGTCAAGGGCTAAGATCCCAAAGCGTTTTGACTTTCAGCCCTTTCGCTGAAATTTAATGCCTTGGCTTCGCGTTTTTCAAATTTCGAAAATTCTCCCCGTTTTGTTGTCGTTTTGGGATTGAATTTTGTGCGTTTGAAGCGCTAAAGCGCCTAAGTTTTTGACTTTCAGCCCTTTCTCTGAGATTCAGTCTCTTGGATTCGCGTTTTTCAAACTTCGAAAATTTTCCACGTTTTGGCGTCGTTTTGGGATTGAATTCCGTGCGTTTGAAGTGCTAAGATCCCAAAACTTTTGACTTGAAGCCCTTTCCCTGGGATTCAATCTCTTGGCTTCGCGTTTTTCCAATTTCGATAATTTTCCACGTTTTTCGTCGTTTCGGGAGTGAATCCCGTGAGTTTGAAGCGCTAAGACCCCAAAACTTTTGACTTTAAGCCCTTTCCCCCGAAATTCAATGCCAGCCTTGGCTTCGCGTTTTTCAAATTTCAAAAATTTTCCACATTTTGTCGCCGTTTTGAGATCGAGCCTCGTGAGTTTGAAGCGTTAAGATCCCAAAATTTTTGATTTTAAGCCCTTTCCCTGAGATTCAATCTCTTGGCGTCGCGTTTTTCAAATTTCGAAAGTTTTCCACCTTTTTCGTGATTTTGAGAGAGAGTCCTTTGACTTTGAAGGGCTAAGATCCTAAAATTTTTGATTTTAAGCCCTTTCGCTGGAATCTAATTCCTTGGATTCGCGTTTTTCAAATTTCGAAAATTTTCCACGTTTTGTCGTCGTTTTGGGGTTGAGTCTCGTGAGTTTGAAGCGTTAAGATCCTAAAATTTTTGATTTTAAGCCCTTTCCCCCGAAATTCAATTCCATGGCGTCATGGTTTTCGTGGTTTCTTGGTTTCTTGGTTTCATGGTTTGGCTTCCTGGTTTCTTGGTTTCGTGGTTTCATGGGTTCGTGGGTTCATGGGTTCGGGGTTTGTTTGTTTTTGTGTCGGAGGTTTTGGGTTTGGGTGTTGGAGGTTTTGGGTTTGGGTGTTGGAGGTTGAGGTTTCCGAAGGGATGTGTTTGCAAAGTTTTATTGCTCTTAATATTAGTTGAGTCTTATCTCCTGACGAGTCTATCATTTGATTGAAATTTAAACGTCTACCATTTTCCATTTTTTAACCTTTTTTTTCAGCTCCATCTGTGTCTGCCTTCCTAGTTTAATATCACTAGGACGCTAGCGCTACGTTTACGTAGGTATGAAAAAGTACTTGAAAATTAGTTGCACCTCATCTAGTTCTGCTCCTGCTTGATGAGAGGATTTTTTTGTGTGCTAAGCAACTAATTTTGATGTCCACAGTCATTAGTCAGCGAACAATACTCAACTACTCAGTCGGACCAAGTGTTGTTGTAGATATAAGTAGATGTAGTCTCTCTTCTGTCCATGTGTCGTTGCAGTACTTCTAGGTAGATGTACTAGTTGTAGCTCATACTTTCTTCAACCCCATCTAGCCTCCAATATGTTAGCAAGAGATTTGAACGATGTTGAAAGTTGCATACATTAGAGCGCCCTTTTTTCTGTGCAGAAAGATAAGTTTCCAGCTTCTAGTCTTGTTACAACTAGTTACTGATGAAAATAGACTGGTAAAAAGAGTAGTATAGCTTTATTTAGTACTACTAGTGGCACGACGACGACATAGTACTAGAAGTTGGTGCTTATGATAGTATCAGCGCCGTTGCTTCAAAAAGTCGAGGACCCTATCGATTCCATAGATGAAAGTGTCGACTCGTATCACGTGATAGGTGTAAAAAACTTTTTAGTCTTGATCATCTTTGTCGAAATGGTCTTATGAGGGAATCACGTCTTAGTGTATAAAAGATATTCAAGTTTTTAAGGCTTCCACTAACCCGTCTCTATCGGTAATATTCCTCAACCGTATGTATCTATGCACCTAAAAAATACAAGGGGATTGTCGAGGCATACTGTTAGTTGAGGGATTTCCACAGGGATGAAGTCGGGAGAGGCCTGGTTAAGATAATGATATTGCTTATATGCTCTAGAACCTCTCTGAACCCAATCTTCTATGCAAATAGTTGATAGGACCCATTTTTTCCTCTAACTACCAATCGCCGTTGTTCGTCCCATGTTAGAGAAAATGAATAAATGATGAATGTTGATCGCAGTACTAAGTATTCCTCATCCTCATCCCTCTCTGTAAAATCCTTGGCGTGTTGGCCATAGTAATACTCCTCAAACCCGTGGTGCTTATTTGCATCAAAGGAATGAAGATTCACCGTTACTATCTTGTCTTGCCAGTAGTCGAGAATGGCTACTTAAGACGCACGATAGATGATGAGCTAGGAGGTCACCAAAAAGTCTTGCTGTTAAGTATTCTTGTAGGAACTAAAACTAGGGTAGTAGAAGTAGCGTACAAGAACTTATCGATTCTACTACGTACTAGTCTATGCAAGAAGATGCAATTCTACTACGTACTAGTCTACGCAAGAAGATGCAATTTTACTACGTGCTAGTCCTCTATTTACGCAAGAAGATGCAAGTATTGCTTGGGTTTGTGTGGTGCAGAGATGCATTAGGGAAATGAAATGGGGAACGATGAAGACTTCTAATATTCTAAGACTATACTACTTCTACATCAACATCAATTTATAATCATGATCATAATGAATCTAAGACTAAGAGAGCGTTGACATCGACATGTTTATAGCATAATGTACATTTTCTCGTGTAAGTTGTTCTTGCGGGCATGATATTTGTAGTAATTGTATAACAGCAGCTGCCATCAGGAACTACAGGAAGGCGAAGGTCGGAATGCATGGGATTTCTCTTTCTGTATCATATTTGAAGTTTCGGCTGTAATTAGCTCCTTCAACGTATTCGTATTCATGTAGTAGTTGTAGTTTTCGATTCCGCAGCTATCTAAAAAATGATATTCATCTTAAGTCTGTCAATGCTTCATATCAATCTTCGAAAAACCTTCATAAGATGAAAGGCTATTTATGTATAATTGTCTTGATCTCGATCTAAATAAACTGCATATAACGAACTGAACAGGGAAGATTGACTGTAAAAACCGAGAAATCTTGATCGATTGTAAAAAACGTGAAAACTACAAGAATCATTCATCGAATAGGTCTCTCCGACTTTAATCTTCTGATGAAGTTGTAGCAGCAGAGTAATTTTAGTGGTAGTCTCCTCGCGACTTTGTGAGAGGCGAAAGAATTCCCATGCTCGAACAGAGGAAAGACGCGTATCGCCTGCGCGGCTAGACCATCTGTAGTTTTCAGATCTTGCCTTGACGAGAGCGAGACCCTCTACTTATACGTCGCTTTCGGTAAGATAATGGACATTCTTCTGGTTGTACTTAATTTGATCGGTCCATGAACACGATCTACTCCTCCCGTCCGCTTCTTCCTGTCTAATGTCTGCTGCTCGTGAACGTCGAATCTGTATTCCTACAACGCTGCGGTCGTGGATGCTCCCTCTGAACCCGCGATATTTCTACGACGCCACGCGCGACGCGTGTCCTCCTCTTGGTAGCACTTACCCGGAAGACTTATGTTGCTGATCCGCTTAAACAACACTACTACCTCCTGCAAAATACGTACTTATCAAGATGAATCAGGTCGATGTATCTTTCATTCTCATCCTAGTCAGTGTGAATGATAGACAATTATACAACGTCCACCTATGTATTCTACTTCTTCTACACTGACAAGAACGGGCACGACAACTTCTATAAAAGAGGACAAAGAGAAACCATCAAAAACAATGAATATTAAAAAAGATGTCCACCAGGTCCACCTCTGGTGCTGATTCGTTTCAGCAGGAGTCTACTGCGCTCTCGCCAATGTTGGTCAGTAACCTTTGCATCGATGATCTTCTTTTTGCTGACGTTGACGAACAACCTGTTGCACAGAGTGTAGAAGTACAACCCGTAGATCTCGACGAAGCAAAAAGGCGGACTACCGAGAACACGACTCGTGAAAAAAGAAAGCGGTATTTACTGGTGTCGCCTCTTAGTATGGAAGATGTCAGGGTGGACGATGGGGAAGGAGAGACGAAGAAGAATGTCGAAGCTGCACTGGGAAAAAATGAAGATAGAAACGAGGAGGACACAACATCAAGCAGCGGACCCGGAGGCAAGAACGAAGTAGTTGTTCTTGGACGAGCCATTGCTAAAAAGGACAAGGAGCAGCATAGGGATCAGATCCTGTGTCATCGTGAAGATGAAACGACCAGCACCGATCATCATGTGTTTGATAGGGCACCAGGAGAGGTACTAGAAGTTGTAAAGGATGCTCCTGCGGCTCCTCTTCCGCATCAAGAAGAGTTCTTACATCAATGCCATGTACTTCACAAGTCGACTATGGGGAGATCACACATCTCATCTTTTTCCTTATCTTTTTAGACTATCGTTTTTCCTATCCTTTTCAATTTCTAGTTGGTGGAACGATGCGTCGGTCGTAAAAAGATGGATCGGTTTTGAAAAAGATTATAGAGAATTCGTTTTATTCTTGTTTCCTTCTTGTTTTTCCTACCAAATAATAACCAAAGTCGCGAGGTATCAGGAGCAGCAATGGCTTCGTGGATAAGTCGCACTTGGAAAAAAGAGCTTCGTGAGCTCAGGCATTGGCAACTTGGTAGTGTTCTGCGTACTCCCTCTTGCTTTTTATAAGCAGGAGTGGGTATTCAGTCGGCTGTACTGATCAAGGCAGTCGGATATTGATATGCATTTTTAGGCACGCAGATTGTACGAAATTGAAGCACTAGATGACCAGATCGCCGTGGTTGTAACGCAGGAGCGCCGACGCTGAGGGTATCGCTTCTTCGTCGACTTGCTGCTCCACTGTCGGCCCTGGGATAGGGCTGCTGCTGCACAGGGTCTTGCGGTCGTGAAAAGGAGCAAAAGCACGCTGGTGGATGTGGTGTTGGTAAGATTATGGTCGGGATTTTACTTAGTAAACAAGCCACTTGCAGGCGCAAGAAAGGGCTGAAGATGTTAAGATGAAACAGTAACAGCAAGAGGGATGGCCGACGAGGGGCGTCAGTTTTCATCTTAGCATGAATTTGGTCATCTTCTAACACTGTCCTCCCCGTTGAGAAACCGCACCAGGAAGACCGAAGTAATGGAGTACGACCTGGATGCAAGTGCTGCTGCTCGCGCGGGAGAAGAAAGCGGCTATGGTGTTGCTGAAAGTTGTGGCAAAAGTCTAATCGTTAGATACGTAGGCTTCCTTAACTCTAACGCCATCTTTTACACTTGAATAATCGCCGTTCGATTCATCTTGAAAGCTAGACAATTGGACTTTTCTTGTAGGGGAAATAGTGAGCTGGTCTCTGTGCCGGTTCATAGACAGTGCAACTCCAAGCTAGCAAACTCGTCTCTGACTGTTACTTGGAGAGGCCATCGCTTCTAACGCTCGCTGCTCAAATTGGAGAACTCGTGGCTGAACATTTGAAGATTCCCGAGTCTCATTGGAACAAAATGGAGCGCTAGCTGGGTTCTACGAACGTAAATCTTGCAGGACTAGTTTCGAGAGTTGTTGGGTATTAATACTTTCATGGTCTTTCTGCTAGTATTTTGATTACTCATTACTGTAGGTCGCTGTTAAATTCATACTTATGTTGAGGGTTTCTATTTGAAGAAGAACACTGGTCATTGTTAATTCGTTCACGTCCTAGTAAGTTGCCAAATGATGAAGTCTGCCTAGGTTTAGAAATACAGACTCAACAGTATCAGGCACGTCGTTGGGCAATGCTTGGTCTTTTCGATACGATCGAAGTACGCAGCGGTCAGCCTTTGAGAATTTGGGCGAAGTTCTTGCTGCAGAATGAACGCGTGCTAGTAGAATAGATCAAAGCGCAGGCCAAAAAGTGGCTCACTGGATGTGAGACCATTGTCGCTTGCGGAGAAAAGCCTTCCACGTTATGGCCGGACGTGATCTATGTTTTTTCTTCGTCAAAGTTCAACTCTAACAGGTTGCATCAGAGTGAATAATCGTAGTACAGTTAGAACTACGACGTAAATTAATCACTTCCATTTAAGATGGCAGCGGAGAGAAGTGTAGTACTCATATAGGCGTGCGAAATGACAAACCAATCACCGAAGCCACATCCTTAGAGGAAGTATCTAGATGGATCTGCATCGCTTTCCACTAACAACCATTCGAGATGCTCATCGCATGCGCGTGGAAAAGTAGCAGACTTTTGCTTATGGGAGCTGACACGAGGCGCGTGAATTCCTATCGCTTCCGGGGATCTCGGTTTCTGGAGCTTACGTGGTAAGAACAGGTGGCAGCCAGAATCTACCGTGCGTCGGACAAAGTCCTTGGAGATGCAATTCCTAAACTTTCGGAACGATGAAGCGCTGGATTGTAGTTGCTACTACGTCTGCTTCTACAGCACGAAAAAGTTTGACGTGAACAGCGACGCATGGGGATGGGGAAACTGATAGAGAATCGCAGCAAAGCATGGCGATGTCAATGATCTGAGTGCGTATTTTGGAAATCAAGGCAAAAAGATTGGGCTGCTATACTGCATTCTGTTTTTTAAGTCACATCGATGAAGCAGAAGTGATAGAGTGGAAATCCTCCTAGGTGTGGGGTGATTGTTGAGGATATCTTTCCTGATAGAGCAACATATATTATACGTTTTTCAGTGTTATTTTTCAACCTTTTATATTTACCAACATGTTTGTAGTAGTAGTTCATGAATGATAGGCATGAAAATGAAATGAGGCCCAAAGATTCTACAGGAGAATCAAAGAAGCTTCTACACTCCGACGATGTTGTATATCTACGTCTTGCACAAAAATAGTACCAGGGAGAGCCGTGACCACTTTGGAAGCATTTCAGTTAGTAGCTTTTGCCTTGTATATGTGTGTGCATCATTGAAGGAAACTCCCACAGCCAAAGTCAAGTATTGTACTGCGTGTAATCCTGCGAAGTCTACCCACAACAACTTACTTTCCAGTCATTTCTATACATGACAGTCTTGCTACAGGATGCAGAGGCAGGCGCATGGAGATGGATAGGATTTAGATCTGGGCTCTGTATGCTTGGAGCACGCACAAGACATCGTCATGCTAAAGACGTGCAATAAGGTTTATGTCGGAAGGAGCTGTTGTTTTCTACGGTGAAAATTCCAGAGGGTTGGAGAATCTCAGCAAAATTTTTGTGGATGAAGGTCAGTGTCTATCTCACAAGACAGAAAGACAGAATGACTACGAAGAGTTGAACATGAATAGCGCATCAGCATGAGTGATGTGAGCGGAGAGGATGAAGCCGAGTAGTAAAACAACAGGAGGTGTAGAAACGAGGACGCTCTGGGTTCTATGATTGTTATTATTTACCATAATAAATACTGAAATTTGCGCCGCTACCTGCAGGGAGCACAGCTATACTCAACTTCTTGTCTGGAGGAAAGTAACGATGCCACACAGAGCCCCGAGTAGTGAAGAAGTACGTTGCCGAATTTGATATGTATTGTTTTGCCACCTCGGAAGAAGATTCTAAGTATAAAAAAGAAGAACTACTCGCGGAAAGATGAAAATTGATAGTATGGCTATGAAGCATCAGAGTAAGTAAATGAGATGGAGTACTTGATAGCGATATGGTCACTGATCGACTTATATGTAACTGGAATTGAAGATGTAAACTTTTTTCTGTGCTGATTTGGTACTTCTAAGGATAAAGGATGAGCATTAACACGAAGGAGCTCGCCTCTGGATGGGCAGATACGATCGATAACGTACAGTTCCGCAGTCGACGCCCAAACGGCGCTCGCGCAAAAGCAAAAGGGTCGAAAACGATTCCGCGGCCCTTGCAGGTGCTTCAACCACAAAGACGCACTCGTTCCTCATCGTCTTATTCTTCTTCCATAGCAGCTGGCCTACGCCATCGAATTCCTGTAGGAGTAGGGCCTACTTCTACTGTTGGCCTGAATCAACAGTCATGCACTTTCCTGGAAGCGTTTAAGCGTGACATTGAGAGCTACAGCAGCTACGAGTATAAAAAGTTGAATAGGCGCAATTTAGCGCGGGCGGACATTGTTTTACAACATGCCGCACAAAGAACGGTCCACCAGTCCTTTGGGGATGGTTTATTGGTAGTAGAAGGCGATGGAACCAGCGGCTATATCCAAGAAGGAACTCACCAAGTACTAGCGAGATCCGACGCGAAATCAAAAGCACTTGGAGACTCCTTTAATCTACGAGGACAAAAAAGAGGGCAGAACTCGACGTGGCTCGTGCCGTGCTGTTCGTGGCTCGACGTAACATCCTGGGAAGAATCTCGTGCGCGCGCCAGGGGCAGTGACCTCGGAATCTGTGCGTCATCCACTGCGCCTCGACGTCAGGCAAAAACAGGACTACATCAACATCAATCCGAGCAAGGTTCTGGAGTTAGTAGAGATAAGTCCTCATCGTCATCTTCCTCTTCTGCGTTTGTAGGTGGTGTTCCCAAGTCGGTGCTTGATTTAGGAGAAGACGTCTCTCTATCTGATCTTGAGTCCGGCGGCGGCGATCATGATGATGCTGAGGCAGCTGTCCACAAGTATATACAGCAGTGTGAGCAAGAAAACAACAGCATGCTGGACCTGGATCTTCCTGGTGCTTCCACTCCTTCATACTTACTGAAACAAAATCAAGAAGCTGAAGACTTCTTATTGCGGCTGCAAAGTAGTTCGGGCAATCATAAGAAAAAGAACAGCGCGTGCAGCCGTTCTTCCTTCTCAGAACTAAAAACTCGAAGGGAAGACTTTGCCAGGGTTGGGAAAGTGGACGCAAGCGGAGCCTATCGAAATCTATCGGAGTCAGGGTGGTAATACCTCTATGTCTATCTTTACGCAGTAGGTGCTTGTCTTTTACGAGCATGTATTCTTATGAGATTTCCAGTCATCGTGTTGCATCGATGTTGTCAAGGTTGTATTTGTATCGGTAAAAGACTAGCGAAGGCGACTTAGACTAAGTAGCTTCATCGATTGGTGTACAGGTACAGCGAGGTCCGGTCTTCGTCTGGTGCTCAGCTTGTTTCTCGGAGTCAGAATATGAAGGGCAAAGAGGAGCTTCCAGCATCTCAAAGTATTCCAGGATCTGCTGCTGGTCTCGGAGCACCTCGCTGTACATCTTTGGCAACGGGCGACAACAGTGAGAAGGCCTGTGGTGGTGATGAAGATGGAGGCCTGCTTGACTATATACGGACGTGCATGAAGCAGAACGGCAGTAGTTCTAGTTCTAAAAGTAGTCGGATTTTATCTGCTGCTCCAAATTCGAGGCATGCTGTTGAAGGTGAGCATAACGAATACGGAGGCGGAAGCTTTTGCCTTAAAGGAGGCACTGCGATGACACGCACCAACGGGGATCATGGAACTACTACTGCTGGAGCTGTACATAGCTGCCTGTCTCGACAACGAGAGAGGCAGGCTAGCTCTTCTTCTTGTGACAAAGATGAGCAATTTAGACCAGAAAATCGCGACCACGGCGACAAAGTTGGACTGTTTGCTTCATCTTCAGACTCACCGTACTACTTACTCCTCGGCTTCCTTTCAGGGCGAGGCGTGTGTGTTTGTTTGTGTATAGTGATCAGGTTCATCTAGGTTTTAACTTTCTGGTTCTGAGTAAGAAAAAAAGCATTCTCAAATTATATGACGCTGATCACTTTTTACTTCCAAGAGCAGGAGGAGGGGTTATCTTCATATAGATTACGGCAAACTCATAGGTTTCGCGCGAGTCGCTCACGCAACTTTGCGAACAATGGCCGCGTCGCGCGGCAAGAAGAGCCAAACCGCTACGACATTTTTCCTGGAGACGTCGGCTACCACACAGGCCGGGGCAGTGAGAATTCTGCAACTTTCTCCCTATCTCCTTCGCCACGAAGATGCCAGCGGCTGCCGCTGCTTCAACGCCCAGCACGCAAAAAGGAACGACTTCTACCAGCGGAGAGCGATGAAGAAAGCGACGGGGAAGGCTCTGGCGCTGGGGAATGTGACAAACGCGGCGAGCCGGGCCTTGGCGATGATGAGCCTCGCAAAGACAAGACAGGCTCGCGGAACTACGACAATGCGCTCCTGCGACTGCGACGAAGTGAAAAAGAAAGACAGCGAAGGAAAAGAATCAGGACACTAAAGTGGGACTCTGTTAACATTCTAGGGAAGCCAGGCTTTGGCGGGCATGATATCGTTAGCAGCTCGAGCGCAGACGAAGGACGCGGGCCGCCATCTGAGGACGAGACGCCGAAAAGAGTGATTACGCTCGAGGAGAGGATCTGCAAGAGCCTCGACCCTTACACGTCAGAAGTAGTCGCAGAGAAACAGCACAGAACTGAACTCGAACTGAATCGGGCCGGCAAAGTGATGAAGAAGGCAGCGCGGAAAGTGCCTTGGCTACAGCTACCTGCGAACATAACGTCCTGGCCTCGGAATGCGTACTCGAAGGACGACTACACAGAAAGCTTTGCGCATGCTTTCGCGCTTTACACTGCAGCAGAAGACTACATCTTACCGCGTGAAGATATTCATTTGCCAAGCCGTGCACTAGCATACAACGACCTCCGCGGGGTGCGAGTATTGGCCTCGTCAAGCGATTCAGGAAGTAGCGCGCCTCTAGTTCACTACTACTTCGAAGAGTTTCACAATAGGAACGAAGCGTACTGGAGACGTTTCCCGCTCTTCGATGTGTTTCCGGATGACGATGGCGATGATGCAGCCGCAGGAGATGGGGCTGATGTGGGTCTTCTTATAGGCGCAGACGTTGGCGGCGAGGGTGTCCGCAGCTCGGTAGGTGTGGCTTCTACAGGCGAAGAACCTCAGACCCAGACGAAACATGGCGAGGCAGCGCTGGGGAGCATGTTAGCACAGAACGCGGCAGATTTTGTCGGAAAGGAGGGACACATCGCAGAGGCTTGCGCGTCTAAAGCGTCGCCGCTGGTGCAGCTGCAGAACACCACTGGGCATCGGGCTCTTCATCTCTTTGCACGAAGTGAAACGATTCGAACAACGGCGGCGAGGTTGCCGGGCGTGATTGGTGAGCACATCACTCTAGAGGAGTCGCACATGGCTGGGGACAGCGCGTCTCAATTTGTTGGCGCAGCCAGTGGTGACGTAGATGAAGACGAACACGAAGAAGCGCGGCGGTATCTGAGCAGCATCGCCAGCAATCAGAGCGATAACTGTGACAAGGCTAATGGCATGTGCACCTGGGCGAACAACTGCATCGCCCATCCTGGCAACACTTCAGCAAAGAACTCCTTTTTCAGTAGTTTCGCTTTTTTCAAAACTTGCGGCTGGGATGAGGGATATTTCCGCTCGCGTTTGCGGAAAGAGTGCGCAGCGATCAACCGCTGCAGGGCAGAGATTGGGATCTACATGAACGCCGAAGGCTATACGGACATGTCTTGCCTTCATGCCACCGACGTGGCAACGCTAGAAGCAGTCAGCGCAACAGAATTCTTGAAAGAACGCTCACGAACTCGCATGCGGTTGCCTCGTGTTGTGCGTGAGTCTAGCTTCGTCCCTGAGCGCACCGATAAGGCGACTGCAATGGTCGAGCAGTATAAACGCGAGAAGCAAGGGCATGACGCCGCAGTTGGGGTCAACGTCATGATGCCGGACGACGGTTATAGCAACGTGACTCTGGCTTGCTTCACGCGATGGCGCACAGTTGGCGTGTCAGCCCGAGCCTTGTCAATAGCAAGGTCTTGCAAGTTCGACAAAATGCTCGCGCATAGTGTTTACTTGTACTGCGGTGGCGATCGTTACCTATGGCCGGAGCGTTCTGGTATTAGTTTCTATGTCTTGGCTGGGAGATTCTGCGCATCTTTCTGCTTGAATTTAAGGCCCATTATATCTTGGCGGTAGAGGTAAACGCTTGAAGCTTATCGTTTTACTTAGTGGGATTGTAGTTGGGTTACTTGGTGCATCAGACTCGTTCCGCACTGGGATCTTTGCAAAAAGTTCGCCACTTCTTTACATCCAGGCTCCTTTCGGTATGTGAGCTTGTACGTTGGCATCTCACAAGCGCCGGCAGATGGGTTAGTGGATCTCATACTCGGCGACGACAGCAGGCAGCTCTTGACATATGACACAATTCGAGCGGAGTCGCGTCTGATGTTCTGGGATGCAGTTGTCGCAACCGTGAACTTTGAGCATCCTGTTCTGAATGGTATAGGAGAGCGCATCTGCAACGGCAGAGAACAGTTGAGCAGCGGGCTGAAGTTAGGCCAGGACGTCACTGTCAATTTTGCAGACTTGGGCGCGCCTCTCGCTGCAATCGTGGAAGAAGGAGAGGAAGACGACAAGGACAGCATTGACGAGGTTCAGGGCGACAGGTGTGAAACCGAACAACAGACACGCGCCCGCCTTTTGCCTCAGCGAGTAGCACTGGGCGAGCGTGGTAACAGCGATGGAGAACATGGCCAGGCTCCTTCGGGTAATCTTAGTAGAGTCGACGCGCCGCTTATAGTCGGCTCTGGTGTTTCGGCTCCTTCGTCGATGAAGAGCAGGGTCGGCAACGTACTGCCAGCAGCAAGCGAGGAGCACCCGCGCAGTGGGTTGCAGCGTCCTTCTCTACTCGCCGCAGATGCCAGGGATATTGCAGGCGCACAGCTGAGCAGGAGCGAACGTGAAAACACGAAACAGGTCGGCCCATCGAATGCAGACGCGCGGGCGGCTGGCTTGCCTCGTAATGCTGACGGAGCAGACTACTCGTTCGAGCCACGATATGCAGACGAGGACGAACTAGTACAAGAATACAACGGAGCCTCGCGCAGATTGCTGAAGAGCTGCCGCGCTGGTTCATTGTGGGGACTCGTTTGTTGGCTTGGCGAAGTGCTCGACCGGTTCGCCGCTTTGCCTGTGCATGATGCTTTTCTGCAGGAGTTCGAGTCTCTGACACCGAGGCGGCAGGAGGCTCTCGTTGAGAATTTCGCACGCGGGCCGATGCCTACGCTGAAGAAGAGAGCAGAGGGCGCGTCGTCGTTGCGGTCTTTGTGGTTCTTACTACGTGGCAAACGTACGAAAAAAGTCCGGCTTGAAGTCGTTCGCAAAGTTGGGAAAGTGGTGAAGTTCTTGCCACGCACGACGCAGAAAGTCGAATCGCGCCACGCGATCGCGAAGAAAAGAGCATCACAAGGGCTAAGCAACTGCTTCTCGATGGCTATCGTCAGCGCCTGCACAAATGCGTCAGTGATGAGCGGGAGGCAGCGCGTCCTTCAGCGATTTCGAAACCAGTGGAATCGCCTAGCGAGACTAAGCGTAGAGGAGAGAAAGCGGCCGTACCATGTGGAGGAACAGCGAAGAAAAGAAGGCCACACATGTCGGAGCTTGCCGAAAAATAAGTCGCTAAAGCTAAAGACCGCGATTGCTCTTGGTGAGCGAGCTAAATTTCGGACAGAAGTGCGGAACGAGTTGGTCGACCAGGGGAGGACCTTCGCGCGTGAACTTCTGCAAAATTTAGAACGGGAATGCGCATGCTTCGAGCAAGAGCTGCGCGCTTTAGACCGCATAAAGTCAGAGGCTTCCGATTTGTTTGCAGTAGACCTCGCAGCTGCGCAGCCGTTGGACGACACCCGAGACCCGAACCGGCGCGACGCTGAGGCGCAGTATCCTCGTGAGGCATGCTTCGACAGCTTGGAGCGTGAGTGCTCGAATCCTCTTGATCGATCGTCTAGAGTCCTCGGCGACCCATTGCAGTTTCCTCTCCATTGTGTCCGCACTCAGCCAGAATCTGACCTGGCGAAGCACATAGTGGTATTCTATGAGCAGAAGGACGGCACAGTGCAGCAGCAGAAGAAAAAAGCAGAAGCGGAGAAAGCCGCGGCGATTCTGCAGAACGTCAAGCAGCAGCTTCTTCGACTCGTGGCTCCGAAGAGAAAAATAGGAAAAAGCAAGGCGAAAAGCAAAGCAAAGAGTAAGAGTGAGCAGAAAGCTAGCGGTGGCGCAAAACCGAAGAAGAGAGGAAAGGTGGCGAGGGATGGCCTCCAACTTCATGAGGCTGAAGATTTAGAATTTTCAGCAAAGGACAAGGATAGCGCTGCGTCCAGTTCTCCTTGTTTTGGGTTACCATCTGAGGCCGGTCAGTCTTCTCCTGATAAGGGTGAGGCGCTTCTTCAGGCGAACCTGGTGAAGCAGATCATCGACGAGGCTACAGAGGTCCACAATCGTCCAGATGGCAGAGAGCTTTTCACAGAAGACATAGCAGGGGATGCGGATGAGCTGCAAAACTTGCAGAGTAAGAAGATAGGCGTCGTCAATGCTTCAGCGTTTTTAACAAATTCACGCGATGACGGTGAGCGGATTCGGCTGCGAGATGAGTTTCTAGTGGTGCGTTTAGTTTTGGAGGCTCGTCCGGTGCAGGAGTTTCGTTTGGGGTTGCAGGATGAGGACGGAGCCCTCTCTGAGATGGTTCCGAGCTCGTCACTGAGTGGCTTTGTACCTGAAGCTGAAGCTGAAGGAGCAGTAGGCAGCTTAGACCGCTCAGGCTTGTGTCTTCCGGTTCTTTCTGTTACTTCATCAGGCGTTCCACGTGGGAATGCTGAGCAGGTGCGGGCACGGTCTTCGGGTGTTTTAGCTTCCAGTCTTCCACAGCGACAGCCGGCTCCAGCTTCATCTACATCTAGCGCAAGTAGTACCACTGGCCAGAGTCGGACTGCTGTTGATGGTGACAGGCTGCCGGCCTCGATCACTTCTTACGGCGTCAACCATGGCCAGCGCCAAGGCGCCTACCGTGCGGGCGATGTGGTCGAAAAGTGGGTAGCGGTGGTGTATAGAAATCTCAGGCCGCAGCTGAGGTTCTCTGGCATCGTCCTCGATAGCAAACCAGTTGAGGACGATGAGCATGAGCTGAGTCAGGGTGCGACGGGTCGCGATGACAGCCACAGCCTGGAACCGGACGCGAAGCCGAAGGAAGAACCAGCAGAGGAGCCCGCCACTGACGCTAGCGCCAAGACACAGCTGCCAGCTTCTACGGTGCGCAGGGTAGAGCTGCGCCCCGGGGTCGAGTACATGACGTCACACGACTTGGAGACTAAGTTCATCGCACGAGACTACAGCCTGCACCGCGCCAGCTGCTCTGTCGAGAATCGCAGGCCGGCGCTGCGGTTTAGAATTGGCGAAGAGTGGAAGCCGGTCACTGCCGACAAGGCTAACACTGTGATCAAGCGGGCACGCAAAAAACAAAGAGGGAAAACAGGGCTGCCAACTGATTACTTCAGTGACAGTGACGAAGAAAGCGGCGGCGCAAGTGGAGACGCGAGCGAAGCAGGAGCAGGGAAGCGAAAGGCAACAGGGAAAAAGCGTGGCAAGCCCAGAAACTGGGTCGTTCATGAAAATGCAAGACTGTACCGAAAGGCGCGGAAGGCGAAGAACAAAGGCGTCAGCGGAGCGGATGGCGAAGACGCTCTGCTGCTTCTGCAGGCAGATCAGTGCGCGCGAGGAGCTACTCGTCCAGCGGTTGCGCAGGGAACTAAGCGGTCAGCATCAGAGCAGAAGCCCCAGGACCCGGGTGCAGCTGCTGCGGATCAGGGAAGCAGACCTGGACGTGGTGAACCGCATCGAAGCAACGACGCAGTGGCTTCTGGCCGACCCCAGACTCCTTCTGCCAGCTCGGACAATCGCTCCACTGCAGCTAAAGTCTTGGATATCCAGAAGCAGATCAACATCCAGGGGGACCTACTCGGCGAAACTTGGATAATAATGCGAAAAGCCGACAACAATCTCAAAGCTGAGTGGCGTCGCGACACCCTGGAAGGGAGGCTATACGGTCGTCTGCTGGCCACTCACCCACTTGAGCTTCGCGCCGCTACCAAGGCAGACGAGCGTGGAGGCACGACAAGGACCATCAGCCAGGGAACTGGAAGGGCAGAGGCGATTCTAACTGTGTGGGTGTGCCGTGTGCGGTTTATCTTGCGATGGTGGTCGAGTAAGCCGAGAATGAAGAAGCCTGATGAAAAGGTGAAAATTCTTATGGCTTTATTTTTCGCGTAACTACTAGCTTTTCTTAAACTACTCCTCTTATCCTTGTATAGTATTAATTGCTTCTGATTTCGAGTGAGGTGACTCGATGTGTGTAGATGGCAGGTCTTAGTAGGTAGCTCGGGTTTTGAATATGGGTAGGCTGGTAGGCGCTTCTTCATTGCAGATGTTATTTAACGTTCAAAAGCAAATTTAGAGGCGTCTCCGATTGCTAGTGCTGTCTCTGTGCTTGTACTTAGGGCCGTCACATCAAAAGCACAGCTTTTATAGAAATTTTAGCACCGGAGCGCGCCGTTTGATACTTCGAAATAGTTTGGGTGAAGCGTAGAGTTTTTCTATTACTATTAGAGGGATGGTCATTGATTGTTCTCGTGGTGATTCTGCTGAGTATAGTGAAGTGAAATGATGATAGTAGACGGTGCGCAGTCTTCGCATTTTATTGAAGTGTTTAGTTTTTCAATGAGATACTGGCTATGCGTTTCTTCTTCCAAATTCCTTTCATCTGTCTGGACGAATTTCGAAACTGGATGAAGCAAGCGCTGGCTTTCGCTGATGCAAAGGGCTGCGCGACTGAGACGATAAAGCACTGGTGGATGTTGGGGAAGGAGGACCTCTACTTTTTGGATTTGCCACCGGCCACACAGGGGCTTGGGGTAACAAGGTCGTGGTCTATGCGCCAGCAGCAGTTGGAGAAAAGCCGCCCAGCGACTGCGGTGTCAAAAACTGCCACACGATGGACAGCGCTACGATCAGTGTCCAAGGCGAGCTCGAGCAAAGCAGGCAAATCAGCGTCAACAACTCAGAAGGGAAAAGCCGCATCTGTTATAAAGTCAAACGATAAGCAACAGGCTAAGTCAACAGCAGCACCAGCAAACGCCAGAGCTTCCCGTCCACCGCAGCGCGCCTTGTCTTCGTCTTCTTCGGCGGACGGAAAGACTATCGCAGGAGCAGGACGACTTGCAGCGACGGTTTCTTTTAAGGATGGCGAAGCCTTCAATCCATCTATAGCTACGATATCTATAGCGACTGTGTGGATTATTTTCATCAATAGCGTCGTGGTATAAGGTGTATGGATTGCAGGCATAAGCAGCACTAATTCCATGAATGGTGAGCCTGCGTCAGTCGCTTCTGCAAGAGGGAACTCGAGCGGCGTATCTAGTAGTACAATAAGAGAAACTCGCCAGGCACCTCCAACGGCAGCGGCAAGCTCTAGTACAAGTCGTTCAGCGATTCTGCAGCAAGCTAATGAGGATGATAGCAAACGCGGCAAACGAGTTAGTCCTCAACCTGACTGCATTGGCATCGCGCGAGCGTCGAGGCTGGATACAGCGAGCGACGACGAAGCAGATGATGTCGTTCTCGAGTTAGAGGAAGAATATGATGATGTTGAGCAAGAGCTAGATAATTTTTTTGCCAATGACGATATTGATGACAATATGGCACAAGATTCATGATCATAAATCGAGTTTGTGGCTAGTCGGGTCGTAATTATACAACGTGGCGCTTCAGAGAATAGCTCATTGTAGATATTAACTCGTGGATGTTTCACTACTTAAGATGGTACTTGAATGATTGGGAGCGTAACCACAGCGATCAGCATTCCGTTAATTTCTTGTAGTAACGTGCCGAAATAAAAATCTTGATCATGATGAAGCTGATAGATAGGCACTTGCATTATATTTTTTTCCGTTTTCTTATACTTACTAGAAGTATCTTCAATCAAAATTGACAAGAACACTATGCCCCGTATGCGTTGCTAAAGCTAAGTCCCATGCATTTTATCGAGGATTCTTCTTCTATTTATCAAAGTGAAATGTAGTTGCATCGTTTCTTCGAGTAAAAGTAGATTTAGATAGATCAAGTTGTGACGTGTAGCACTGTCTTGTTGGTCGTCTGTTCGGAACCTCATGGCAATTTCTCTTGAATGCTGCCAGCCAATTTGCAAAAATCAAGGCGATGGCGTCTGGGTGTCCATCATGCAAGAAAGAAGAAGTGTGATTCTGAGGCGTTGAGTGATCACTATCAGGCAACGTCTAGGTTTACTGTCGCTTACCTCTGTATGAAAGTAAGAACCTCTTCGACAAGATGACTTAGAACGATCCACATTGAATTCTTTCCATGAAGCGAGATAAAGAGGCCACTTTATTTATGCATGTGAAACGCCGTCAACGAAATGGAAATCAATCGAAAGTGCGTTCATGTTGTCAATGGAATTCCATTCGTGACTGTCGAACTCGTTGCATCAAAAAAAGGAAGTTGCGAGGGTATTTCATGCACAAGGTTCTTCTTTGTTCTTGAGCTCGATTGTTTCAAAACCAAAAGCCTCGTCGTGGTGTGATTGTTCTCTGTTGCCTGCATCGTGATGATGCTTGACTATATGAGTTTCTGTAGTCAGGACTAATTAAAAAAGTACTTGTTCGTAGATGTTGACTCAGAGGTTAGGCTATGATGGGTTTCTTTCTCTTCTGTCTGTATTTTTGCAACATAGTGATGAGTGCGTGACATCACGTGCATAATTTCAATTGCGTAGACCATCAGTGTTGGTTTGTTTTAAGGGTAGCGAAGGCATCAGTTCATCTATGAGCGCAAAATGAAAAGTAGGTGGGGACTGTGCAAAGTATCTTCGTCGAGATTTGTTTAGCGTAAGGTCTGAAGGACTACCTACGACTTCAATCGACTAGAGAAAGTAACTCAGGTGGTATTAGAAATTGAAGCTGCGCAATTAGTTTTAGTACTTGTACTATAACTAGCAACAAGATGTTCTCCAACCCCGACAGCAACAGCCAGAACAACGCGAATAACAACCGCGTGCGACTTCATATCGCAGACTCCGTTCGCATTTCGATGCCGCGTATAAAGATTCTTTGTTTAGTGATCTTTGTTTCGTTACTATTGTCAGGACCTACAAGATTCTTGCATGGTATCCATGTCAGTGGTTTCTCAGATATATAATTCAGACTCAGTATCGCATATTCATATATAAGCATCTTATACGATTTTTACTCTCAGATCCAGGAATGAATAATCCGGCTCCTGCTCCGGTTGTTCAGCCGCAGGCTGCCCCTGTGTCTCCCGTTGTTCCTGCTCCTCCTGTTATGGGTCAACCGGCTACGAATGATAACACCGAAATGAAAGAATACATCAAGTTTTTGCTCATGGAACAGACCATGGATATCAAAGAATATGTGGACGCAAAGGTGGAGACGATGCAGCAAGAAGCCAGTAATATTCTTTATCCTTGTTACATGAGTGGGATACTAGTTTTTTTCATTTCGAACTTTAAAAAAATATAAAGTTTCCATGCATATGCAAATGATTCAAGTCGATTGTTCAGTACACCGATTCTCATGTCAGTGACTAAGTTTCTCGAGACCTTCGCTTCCTATCAATTTCATACTATTCAATCATGAACATCGACATACTTCAGAAACGAAGACGAAAATGGCACTGCAGGGAGCAATGAATGCCATTTAAGGCCAATACGTTAAGAGTATTTTTATCATTAACCCGCACGTGGAGCGCGGCTTCTGTTTGTGATTTGGACGACTACCACTGTGTCAGCTAAAGTCTTCTATCATCTTGTTATGTAGCAGCATGCCATAAGATAAGGACACGCAGTCTACCCCTCTATCTCTAACAAATTGATCGCAAGATCCGACGCCCCCGCGCCAAACGTGCAGCCGCGAATGATGCTCGTGGCAATGGTCCCCACCAAGGCGGAGACAATGGCAGTGGCCCCTACCAAGGCGGAAACAATGGCAATGGAGGCGGAAATGGCGGCAGCAATGATCATACCCAAGACGGACACAGCAATAACGATGATAATAATGGAGGAAACAACAGCACCCCAGGCTCCACCATGGTCACCTTTTCGCTCAAATCAGCGTCGGGGTCCACATCGGTGAATGAAGCTGCGCAGCTTATGCTGAACGATAGCGAAAACAATGAGGAAAAGGAAATGCAGCATGAGCACCATGCAAAGAAGATGTATGCTCCGGCTGTTCTGAGTCAAAGTATTAATATTCTTCTTGTATTTATTTTCGTTTCTTGCTGTAATCTTCTGGCGATTTTTCTGAGGCTCTGAAGTTTCTTGGGTGCAGATTGGGCCTGTTTCGTGGTTGTGTCGCGGTGTGTGGTTAAGTATGACGCGGGTCCGCTTTCGGTTCTGATCTATCTTGCGACATGCGTTGCATGGCCTACCGTTTCGCGCCTGTGTATATGGTAGATGGCTCCGCGCTGGGTCTGATGTTGAAAGCTGGGGCGGGTTCAGTCGGTCGCGTGGTTCCTCTACCCGCGCGCAGCGTCGTCCGCGTCCCGTTCTGGGCATCGTTTTGCCCTATCGCTGGCACGCTGGTCGCTGTCTGGTGGTCGCCGGGGTGGCTGTGTTGCTTTCTGAGTGCCTTTTGGCTCAGTATTTGCAGGAGGGTGGCACGCTACTCGTTATAAGTGTGCCCCCGTCTTCTTTTGCCATCGGGTGCGTGTGACGATGGCCCAGCTGGAGGCTGGCGAGATGGTCCGCGAGCAGAGTGGGAGGGCCTTGCTCGGGCTTTCTACATCTACGGCTGTGTGGTGATTTCTTCTGCGGCGCAAGTGGTCACGCAGGGCCAGCGCCTCGCTATCACTCTGATGAGGTGGCCACTTTTTCTACGAGAACGCAACGCGTAGCAGGCGAAAAGCGTGGAGACTGCAGAAGGCCCAGGAGCTTGGTGCCTTGGGCGCGTAGTCTCGCCGGTGGTTTGTTCTGACATTCAACTCCCGGCCACTCCGTGAACTTTCACAGTAAAAACGCCAGCGGATAGGACAGCTCTCGCAGAAAGTTGGCGGCGTGGGTTCATTGGTGGGGCCTTGCAGCGGAGCAGATGACGAGGAGGAGACCCGTGCGGCATTCAGCGGGAAGCTGGGGCAGAACTTGCCGCCTTCTTCATCTTCGTCGCGCGCAGTGATCGGCCGGCAGCAACTGACGGGAACCCCTATGGAATGGGTGTCACCCGGAGAGCAAGTGGATTTAGCTGACCCAGACGCCACAAACAGCGGCGAGAGCTCGCAGAAGTGGCGGGGCATGATCATAACAGCAGCCGCGCCGACTGGAGTGGCGAGGCGTCCGGCTGCAACCAAAGCTCGCGGCGTGGAATACTTTGCGCGTCATCGTCGTGGAACCAGGGGCGCGCGTCTTCCTTGGAGCTTGTCCGTGGAGGAAGGTCCAAACTAGCGGGCGGCGAGTTGCTGCGCTCGCAACTTCGGGCAAGTGGAGCGCTGTCCAACAGCGTAACGCGGAAAGCTCCCGCCATGATGCAGATGCGGCAGCGGCAAAGGAAAGCACGCGCAGGAGCTAGGCAAACACTTTGCGGCATGTGCGGGCGCCTTCGTGGCTTTGGGTGGGCTTTCTAAGTGACTGGCTGCGTCTTCTGCTGGCGTGGTAGAGTGCTGAAGCTTGGCTACTGTGGGGGCTGGCAACGGTGTGGCCTGGCATCTCGGCCCGTGGGCCACTGTCAGGGATTCACGGAAAAGCCTTGCGGGGTTCATTTTTGTCGAGGGAGGGCGTTCCGTGGTGGAGTTCTGGCATTGTGGGAGCCCCCTCCTCGCAGTGGGTGCGCTTGTGCCTGGTCAATTCTATAAATAGCAGGCGCTTGCTCCGGCGTCGGGTGCGTTTCTGCATGTCTCAGGGAGTCGCGGGCCCTGTCTCCTTCTCTCTTTGCTTTGTCTATCTTTCGATCAGCGACGTGCTTTCTATTTTTTCACTACTACTGAGCTTTTCCTTTATATATATTGGCTGTTTGAGTCCTTTTGATTTTGAAGATATACACTCGTGCTCATCTCGTTTCTCACACCCATAGGTTCCCCCATGCCGTTGGTGCTCAGCTCGTATTCGAGCCCCGTGATTTCTTATCCACGAATGTTTGGCATGGCGAACAACTCCCCCGATGACGATCTTTGAAGGACAACAACGTATCCGATCTATTATATTTTTTAGTGTGGTTGTTTTATGAGTTTGAAAAGGGTATGAAGCTACTCCATTTTATCACTTATCAGACAAGAAGCATCGTTTTTCATGGAAAAGAAAATGCATTAAGCATACTCTAACTTTCAACTTTCAACTTTTTCTGACCACCATCTAACATCCAGGCTTTGGGGTCAAATATTTGCAAATGGTATGATACGAGGCGGATGAGGCGAAAGCCTATGGGAATGGGTGGGAGGTGAAAAGGCGTAGGTGGATGAGATAGTAGGGCGGCGTCTGAATGGCGCAGGCCCTAGAGAGTTGCGACAGAGCTTTATTTTATAAGACAAAACGTCTTTGAATAAATACAAGCGTGCTATAACTACTGACTGATGGAAGTTCTATTATCATGATTATTAATTTTTACTACATCGAACTTAGAAGATTTCATACTAGAAAAAGCAAGTTTTTCATCAGGAAAGAAAATTCATGGCTCAGCTATATTCTGTTCTTTTTGTATCCGTACTAAACTAAAACTACTATTACGAACTATATGTTGTTAGGCAGCTTTTTGTTTGAGGATTGCGTGTTCTTTTGGCAATTTGCAATATCATTGATGGTACCCATTTCAAATAGATCGCTTTGTTCTTTCGTTTTTCACAATTTCATTTTCAGCATTGATGTACTCAATTTTCGTAAATATTTTTGTTCTTGTTGTGTTTGAAATCATTTATGAGCCTGTAGAAAAATACTATTAGTTATCTTAGGCATCTCCAGTTCTATACGTTTTGAAGTTGATGTTTCTGTGTGTAGATTACCTTACTGTTAATGGTAGTGCCATCTATGATCGAGGGCGATTCTGATTACGCGAGAGTGTGAGAGAAAAGGCTTGACTCATGGTGGATTATTTTACAGGAAGAAAGAAAGAAAATAAAAAACAGAAACCGTTCTACACGATGGCAAAACTAAGACAGCTACCTTCCAGACTTTTTAAGCTGTAGTACGTAGATAGCCAGCATATGGATCCGCGATGTGCGTGACCGATCTGACAGCTTCCACCTGAGCATCAAGTCAGTCGAGTCTCTGCTACAAGAGAAGAAGGGCGCCGGGATCAACTAAGCCTCCTGCGATTAAAGTGTCCACTAGTATGTCTTCTTACTTCGGAGATACTTACTACTTGGGAGCACGTCTTGCTTCTATTCGTTATGTATGAGTAATGTCATGCTCATGCTGGACCCTGATTATATGAGAGGAAAGGAAAAAATGATATGGCTTTTGATATTCGTAGTCGTTCTCAGCACGACTGACGTTGACGTAGATGTGTGCCGTAAGTAACTGCACTAGGGTTGTTTTGAGGTGAAGCATAGTGATTCCGCGACGGTGGTTGCGCTTAAACTTACTATGTAACAGACAGAAACATCATGCCGGCGCGCGCTCTTGTCGAACATTTTAGTCAGTTCGACAAGGCTGATGCATCGATCTGCAGCGTGAACATCTTGAAGGTCCATTGGCTCGAATATTTGGCTGACACAAAGGATAAGAGGCCAGTACTAGTTTGCACCGAAGCAGAAGAGGATCGAGTAACAGTTTCTTTCATCAGCCAGTCAAGATCAGAAAAAAACCAACTACATAAAGAGTTGCTGTTTTGGTTAGACGAGGACTCTAGCGCTACCATCGAACAGCTACGAGCGTCGTGGGCTTTCTTCAATCGTGACGGTGACAAGAAGCTAAAGAGCGGCGGCTACCCACGCAAGAACGCAAGGGCCTGGGACGTCATCAAGCTGTATCTATATCAGGACGCAGTGGGTGGGCATAGTGCTAGCTGTCCTCAGTGCGGTTGTGTGTTTTCACTGCATTGATCGACCGTTATGAAATGGCTGCGCCTCTTACTTTTTACACATGTATGAGGTAGGGTGACTGAAATGGTGGGGCTCTGTCTCTCTGTGGTTTATGGATGGTTCGGGAGACTTGGGAACGTGGTGCGTCTGTTTCTGTTCGTGCTTTGGTTCGGCCGACTTGGTTGCTCTGTTAGTTAGGGGGATCGCCTCGAGAGTCCCGCAATTATTCTTCGTTTTGTGGTTTCCTATCTTCTTGGTGCATCTTTTTCATTTTTTTGTGTATCTTTTTTCATGGGCGAAAACGTTTGGAGATTGCTTCAAGAAAACCTGAAAAGTTTTGCTTTGAAAGTTTGCCCTTTCATATGTGTTTCATTTAAAAAGATCGCAAAAAGATATGCATAAAGATATCAAAAAGATACGAAAAAGATACGAAAAAGATATCAAAAAGATTCGAAAAAGATTTCAGAAAGATAGGAGACGAGAAGGCCCGCAAAAGATATGCGGCAACGGTGTCCACCATACCGGGCGGCAAGCCGATGGCTCTGAAGTGTTCCAGCTAAGCGCGGGAGCTTCATGCTGGCATCGTCGGAAGGGTGTGGCGTGTGTGTTCCGACGGAACTCCGTGCGAGGCTCAGCGGTTTGGGATGGTGAAAACTGCACCAGAGCGCACTGGGCTCTTCCTTTTTCTTGCTTTGTCTTGGTGGTGTGCCGTGTTTGCTCGGGCGTGGGCCTTGTGTTCGGTTGTCTCTCTTTGTTCCTTCTGTGGTTGGTTGCGATCCTTGGCTGTCTTGTCTCGTGGTGTGTTTGTTTGGCGTCGGCGGTGGCATCTGTAGCTTTTGTCTGATGGAGGGGGCTGGGCTCCTGGTACCCTCTGGGTCTCCCGTATGCCACCGGCGACGGCGTTGTGCTTGTCTTTCGTCTTCGATTCGCAGGCTTTGGCTTGTGCATCTCTTTCGGGTCTGCTGCATGAAGCTCCGCGGCGCAGTCGGGTCAAGTTCTGGGCGGCTTCTTTGAGGTTCTTGCTTGGGTCTCCTCTTGTGGTTCTGATGATGTTGCAGCGCTGGCGCGCTGCTAGAGTAGATGGCTGAGCAGTTTCTGCAGGCGGTCGCGGTCGGCGGTAGCTGGAGGCTTGCGAACCTTATGGCAGACTGAGCCCGTCTGCGTCAGTGATGCTAGCCACCTGGGGCAGGCAGCTGCTGCAGGAGAGGGAAGCGGCGAGGCACACCACCACAGAGGCCAGACGCGTGTGGAAATGTTTGCTAATTGACTTGCGCCGCGCGGCTTCACTCGTAGCGAGGTCGGTCGACCTAGGGCGCGAGCGGTAAAGTGTGGAGCGTTGCTTGCTTAAGTGATGCAGGGCAGCGAGCTGCCTCGCGCGAATGTCGGCGAGCGGGCTTGGGCCGTTTGAGTCTGTGGCAGGCTGGTGGGGCATTTCTGCGGACGCTGGCGGCGTCGCCCATTTGGGTGGACATGCTGGAGGCTGTCTGTCGCTCGCCTCTTGTCGATGGTTAGACGCTTAGGGAGCCGGCTGTCGTAAGATGTGACGGCGGCCCCTCATTTCATAGACATGCAAGCGCTTCGGCGGTTTTATTCTTAGCAAGGTACTGAAGAGGCTGCCCCCAAGCGCAGCAGGCTCGCAGCGTCTTGGACGCGGTTAGCCGTGCAGGCTTTAGGCCTAGTTCCTTAGCTTCTTTCTTTCTCGTGGAGGGGGCTCTGTGGATCATCATCAAAGACGACAAGCGCTGCGGCTTGGGTTTGTCAGCTTGGGCGAGTGGGTCTACGTGTAGCAGGGTTTATAAACCCAAGTCCTAACCAGTACCAGCCCGCGCGGAACTCAGAAGAGGGGAGCGCGATCGCCTCCACGGGTGGACTTCGGTAAGCTTTAGACTAAGCAGCCTGGGCCCAGCCTGCCAGGCCGTTGCTGTCGATGGCGCTGGTTAAATGGCGCGAGCTGCGTGGGTTTTGCCTTAGTTACGGACAGCGCCACGCCGAGGGAGGTTTATAAACCTGCATCAAAGCAGGACAGTTAATTACTGACGTGCGTCACTTCCGCTATAATGTAGCGAGCAGGTTCAGGGGTCTGCGTGCCTGGGGCGGGCAGTGTTGCCGGTGGCTTGCTCTGACATTCAACTGCCGGCAATTCCGTGTAAATGAGTGAGGTATGTTTTTGCTTTTGGATGATGGGGATTTATAAACCTGGTTCCCAGCAGGTTTCTAAGTCTCCAGCTACGTGGTTCGTCGGCTCGACGCCTTCGAGGGAGGTTTATAAACCTCCTCCACCGAGCTGCGCTGGCTGATGCGTGGCCCGCTGTCGCTGTCGATGGCCCTGGTTGATAAAGCTGCGCCGGCTGGAGTGAGGTTTATAAATCTGCGTCGGCAGCAGCTTCCTCAGTTCTCTCGCGTGCGTGTTTCTGGCGGCGGCTTAGACTGGTGCACCTTGTTAAAAGTACAGGCTGGGCCACGCGATGCAGGTTTATAAACCTCCATCGCAGGCGTCGCCTGCTTCGGTGCAAGTTCACTAACGTCTGCCAGCGCGGCACAGGTCGGCCGCGGGGTTGTTGTTATTAGCTTGAAGCTCATGCTTTTGCTGTGTCGGGCGGGTTCGTCGCTCGTGCGTGCGGGGCGTTCCGTAGTTGTTGCGCGTGGAGATGTAAATGTCGCAAGCAGTCGAGTGGGTATCTCTTATAATCGGCGCCGAGCGTTGCTGCGGTCTTCTGCACTCGATCGAAGTAGTGGCGTCAAGTTCAACTTCTCGCACTCCAAGAATGGACTCGTCTGATGCTGCTACTCTTGTACTTGTCCGCTTCATTTTAGACGGGGCTGCATTGTGTTGGAGATATGTCACGACCGCGTCCGCGGTTGCCTCGGTTTGGGGATTCAGTCAGTCCCATTCGAATATTAAAGGCTAACACGTTCGATAGAAAAGGACTTAACAGTGATGGGACGATTATTAGTACAGACTATTTCGATGTAGACAGCAGCTTCAGTAGCGAAAAGCAGCGACGCAGATGGCAAGAGTACACTACGCATGTTTTCACTAGTCCACCTCGCCGCTCTGACTTAGTAGAAAGTAGTGACGCGGCATTTACCCAAGAGCAGCGTCCCGCTCAGCCTACGACGTCTTGCAGAAGTAGTCACACGCGGCAGGACTACTCAGTGCCACCTCCTTCGACTTCTTTTTTTTCTTCTAGGTCTTCAATGTCGAAGCGTTCTCGCGTGATCGCGCAGCCTGCGCGATACTTTGTTGCTTCACACGCTAAGAGAGCTGATGACATTTTGAGAAAGATAGAGATGGAGGCTGATCATCTTGGACTTCATGCACAACCGCAGCGAGGTCACAATCGTGATGGTGTTGCTCACAGAAAGTCAAGCTCTCACCATCGTTCCAAGCCGGTCGGCTATCGGGGCGACATCGGAGCGGGGGGTGGTGGTCTGGCCGATCATCTTCAGAACCACGAGGTACTTCTGTATTATTTTGCGTATTCACATGATTTAATCCAGCTTCTGCAATTATTATTGATCTAGAAGAAAAAAAAGCGAGACACCCTTATTCAGTAATGAATGAAGACCATTCATAAGTCAAGCACTTTTCCAGTATATTATTCTTTTTCTGCAGTTACTGAAGGTGAAGCGCCTTATCATTCAGTACGATTCTTCTTCAGGTACCTTCGTCTGCAATGGATGTCGAGCTTCGACGGAGTGCCCAGAATGTAACTGATCAAGATTATCATCCTGAGCCCATGACTGTGGATCATCAGGAAGAGCCTCCTCACCAACGCCAAGATGATAAACCACCTGCAGACGTACTACGCGATACATCTTCGGGCGTAGAGAATAAGAAAACGGTTTGCATCATGTCAACGGAGAACCTTCCTTTCGCGGGCACGCAGAATGATCACGCAGATGCAAACACAAGTGCGACAGGCGCGAGGTCTTCTTCTATTCGGTGCTTAGTAGCGTCTGGAAGTCGTGATGAAGATGGCGCTGATCTTTGGCAGCAGCACGTAATGTCGCGAAGCGCTTTCTCACGGCCTCGCTTTACTACTACCTTGTCGATGTTCTCTTCAAGTAAAATTCTATGTGATCCGCTTGAATCCAAGAGCTCTCTCACTCTCTTCTCGAAAAGTACACGAGCGGACTCCGTAGAACTATGCGCGTCTCCGTCTTCTGTAGCATCTGACATAGTGATGGCTCCTGCAGTTGCAAATCAAAAGAAGAGTAGCACAGACCAACTCCTTTCACTCGAACAACAAAGAAGTTGGGGCCCCATCGTCGGGCATCCGGAAACGTGTGGAGAGGACATCGACATGGATGCTGCAGTCCCACCTCAAGCATATGAGACTACCAGTAAGACAAAGACTCGTGCTATCGCCGGACCTCATAGGAGCGGCATGACCTCAAAGAAAAGGAAAAAGCTTGCTACCACTGCGCATCAAAAAAGTAGCAAGATCACTCGAAAGAAGAAGGAGAAGCAGAGAGTGAAGATCATCGTGCCTGATGGGAAAGCTGATCATAATGATGGACAATCCCCTGTATGGCTGAAGGACTTTGCAGAGAAAAGTAAGCAGTCACAGGCTTCGAATTCGCAGCACAGCTCAGCAGTCTTTAATACTAGTAGTTCATCTGCGTTCGTGAGTACTTTTAGTCATACCGGAGCAGCTCTTCGGGAAGTTCCTCTGGGTGATCATGACGTAGAGCAGCAGCCGGCACTGGCAGGCTTGGGAAGGAAGAAGCGTAGTCGCTCAACACTGTCCACGCATCTGCTTGACAATTACATTGATAACGATGATGACGCAAGCATGCTGCTTTCAGTTTCAGACGCTGCGCTAGAAGTCTGTGGTGGTGTTGATCTTGATGTTGAACCTGGTGAGTTTTATTCTGCGTCGGCCATAGAATCAAGATCGTGCTCGCGAATGTCGTTGTCTCGTTCTGCAACACCCATCGACCATGAAATGCATGATGTCTCAAATGCTGCAGCGGACTCGCAGGAGCTCACTATGGCGACATCATCATCAAGCTTTAGGTCTATTATTATATATAGTTACTGGCATTAAAAAACACTTAGAGCACCTTCCTGGTAGTGGGGGTGTTTTTTCTGCCAAGAGACGGCGTGGCTTATTCTAATGCCATAGGCATCATTGAATGCCCGATCTGCCTGTGCTTTTATTCATTCCTTTCACGGTAAACTTTCTTTCGATAGGCAAGCCTCTAATTGTAATTTGCAGATGCAGGCGGATGGAAGTTTGGACGATGATGGAGGCGCTCCGGATGCTTTGATGCCTAGTCAAGACGTCGCCGTGCCGATCTTAGAGGATTTATCTGCTACACCACCCCGAGACCGCAAACGCGCATCCGCGGTGCACTGGTCTCCAGATCGAGGCCGGAAGGAGATTGAGAAGTGTGAGCCTATAGTTCAATTCTTAGCAGGATTCAGTACTCGCAACGTGGTCGCTGGTACTCTGTCGAGCTTACGTTCCAACGCAGTAGACGTCATCGCCCGGCTCAAGATCTGCAGACGCTGTTCAGGCCATTGCTCGCCTGCGACTAAGAAGAAGCTCGAGGAACTGCTGCACCAGGCAAAGCTCGGCCGGCAGCGAATCTGCACCAACATGAATAAGAAACGACTGAAACAACAGCAGTCGCAATAACGGGCTGCCGAAATTATCTAGATACGACAAAGAGATCACGCTGAGAACTGCAGCCATCGAATAATGCAACAACAACAACTGATTATAATCTTATAAATATCTCATTATTACACAGAAATGCTCTTCGATTGATGGAAGGCTTGAAGTGACTATCTTTGCAGATGCTGTTCTTATTGATTGATATCGTACGGGCTACGGCAAGACCTATAATCTACGAGCTCCGCCACTTCATTTGCTTTCGTTTCTGTATCTTGTTTTAGAACATTGACTTTTGATTTACGTATCTATGGAATGAACTACATCTTTTTGAGTTTCTTGTAGGTGTGTGAGTAACAAAAAGCTCCCAGCTATCGATGTTCTTCTCTGCCAAAAATAATGAATTGTATGATTATGAGAATCATACTCTTACTCATAGCAAGCGAATGCTTCGCCGCAGGTGGTACGTAATGAAACTTGGACTGTGATGTACTGATGTAGAAACACGTGGATGGACCCCATCTGATACCCATTAGGCAACGGAATGCTTTTGATCTCGACGCAAGTCGTAGCTATCATGTAGAAGGCGACTGATTTATACGCACGTCGCGCGATTTTCTATCATAGAAGTTCTATGCTGCATGTGATGAAAATATGAGAAATAACAGCTGTCAGCGATAAGAAGACTGACTCGTGCTGGCTCAGACGCGTCAGCCAATGAATGAATACGAAATGGGTGCTGCTAGTCGTGTCTTTGTGTTGGAGAAATCAACTGCACACAACGTTAAGAAGGAGAGCTTGATTGTCAACGGTGCGCATCAATTTCAGATTGTCCTTATCCGTTATACGCTGAAGCCTGAATGATCTCTGGCACACTAAGAATGTTAAGGTCGTTTGTGTTGGTCGTTGTGAAGGATGAGCGACTCTTGTTGAGTCGATTGATTCAGTCCTGTCGAGTTTTCTGCTTCGGATTGGGATCCTAGATGTGCTTCTGCACCTGCAGGATTGTCATCGTATCTCTAACGCATGCTATCGACGTGGCCAGATCGTGCTGAATTGTTTAACGTCTACTATAGATTGTTCGTTGTATATCGAATCTAGTCCAGTAAGCTTTTAACATCATTCGTCACTACGTGTCTACGAGATGCCGCAAGATGTTTCTTTCATTCTTAATCTCAACCAGCCGCCTCGTACTCAGTTTTGGTTTTTACTCACGTACGCGTCCGTGCTCATCCTAGTGCATGTCTTAAGTTGTTGTTGTTTTCTAAACCAATAGTAGGAAGCTTCCGCACTCATTTCTCACGAAAAGCAAAGAAATAAAACTACAGAATCATGGTGGATTTTCACAATCCCTCCTTGTTGGAGGGAACTAGAGGAGAGATCAGCTTTTCGTCCGCGGACACGTTAAAAGAAGCACAAGACGAGCAGAAGATAAGCGCGTTTCTGGAGAAATTGAACAAGTCGCTACGGTATCCAATATCGGATGAAGATGAGGAAGAAGTTTTGACGCTGGCGATGCAGGTTTCGTATTCTTAAGGCTCACGTGACTTCATGATCATAATCCGAGTAGTCTGAAATCTCCAAATCCAACTCAAAATCCAGTTTTGTGATTCACAGTCAAGCTTTGAAGCAAGTGGACTTATGTTTTTCGTCCCCTCTATTCTCTAATACCCGCAGAAAGACCTATTGCAAATTCTCGGAAAGCACCCGACCTTACAGAGGTACACAAGCGCCCTCCGGAACCTGCCAGCTGGTATAAGCTTAAGCTTATAGGGAAGTTAGATATGCAACATATCGATATCTGCATGACCACACTTGCCGAATATTGTATGATGATTCCGAGCTACCTGGTGAGGTTCGCCCTGTAAAGTATAAAATGAAAAGTTTCAGCATCAGTTTTTTCTCCTCTTTCTTACCCACGCATTATTCTATAGTTGATAGGGTATAGAGCAAGAAGCACACCAGCAAATAAACACAGCTTGTCTTTCCTTGATTGTATTGATTCATCCACTACCCCTGTACCTTTAAGGGATTTACTTTTCTCACCTTTCTTAAGCACCATGTCCACCACCCACTCAATTCTACACACCATCACCAGCCTCGCGTCTCCGCAAGTGTCTGGAAACTCACCGAGCTTGGAAGACCTATGTGAAAACCATGGCGGAGGAGTTACCTTTATCCGGTCTCCAATGGGACGCGTGCCAGTACTAATGGATAAAAATAATACTATGCTTATGCGTGGATGATTATTTTGCTTCGTTCAGTTCCTATTAATGTTGTGAGATGACTACATCAATGGTGATGCTCTCTTGTATAGACAGGGCAGCTTCTAGCTCATCTTGTTGCTTTTACGTTACCCACCTAGCGAACCTCTTCTTTATGATATTCTTACTACTTGCGTCCAACCTTCCAATTCCATCTTCTTGTTTTCCGTATGTTTCCAGGGAACAACTGGTAGGCCCGGATGGTTTAGAAGCACTGGAGATTCAGAAAACAAAAACGGAAGAATACAATCGAGCTCGCGCGCTGGAAATTTTTGGGGCCTTAGCTGATTTGAACCAAAAAGTTGAGCGTACAACCACGCAAGGCAAAGACTTCAATTACGGCCACGACAGTAGTTTCATCTTATCGTCTTCCCATTTGGCTAAGAGCGTCGTACTTCTGTCAAAGTAGACTGTCCTTGTCGCTGTAGACCTCTTTAGATTCTCTTTCGTATTACTAAAAGTAGTATCTGTTTTCAAATAAAGTTTTATTCTTCTGCGTCTCTACGTCTACTCTGGCTTCACCTCTCGTGGTCTCATGCCGTGACCTTGTTCTCCTTGTACCAATGTAGGGATAAGCATCTCCTTCTAACTAATCCACTTCCATCCGGCGATGCTGAATCTTGTGGCGCCATCGATTTCGCACATTTTGAAGACGGAGAAAAGTTTGATGCATTGCATGAAGTTGTATATTTCTTTTTGGTTTTTTCATGTGTCTAGACCACCGCTTTCATTGTAGGAATCGTCGTAGACACCACACAGAACGAAGCCGTTTTTTCATTTTATGAGATTAGCGTGAAACTTATGCATATTATATTCTCTTACCTTGATTATACTTCATTGCGAGCAGGAGCATATACATTGCGCTTCATATTGTCACTTCGGCTACTCTCAGTGTCTGCGACAACCGAGAAGGACTCGACCGCTTCATGTGGCTCGAGTCGTTTTTGAAACGAAAAGCAAACAAAGCCATCTACAAGCGCTGGGTGCAGAAAATGCGTGAGGCTGCGACGGAAAATGGCAAGAAGATCCTTCAGATTCGCGACGAGGCTGAGCTTCATGATGAAAAGGAGGACATCGTGGATTCCGAGAAGCTGGACGAGTCTTCCGAACACGGACAGAAGGGCTTCGTGGTGGTGAAGCTAGTTAAGGCTTTGATAAGTTTCTTCGTGATCCAACTAGAACTACGACCACTGTCCTCTTTCTTGATAACTAAACTAAAAGACCTTGCTCTCATCTACAGCACCCTCATCATGAAACAAGGAAACAAAACTCAACAGCTATGACTGACGTTCACGCTATTCCTGGCCACACTCTAATCGCAGGGAATATTTGATCGAGCAAATTTTTTTGATTTACATCGACCCATCGCGGGCGTCGAAGCTCCGATCGGCGTTGGAAAGTATTTCTTATCTTTGTGTGTAGTAGTTCTTTACTAATTTACTTCTATCTATGATAGTTGATTCATCTAATTTCTTATGTTTATAAGCTGCTACTCTTAAATACTTTTATAAGTCATTTCAGATTTAAACTTGTTAGACGTAAGCAGTAGTATATTATGATATTTTTGGACTCGTGGTTGGGCTTCAGCTTCATACATTTTTGTTGCGCGTTTCCCTTGTGGTTCATCTCCACTATTCACCATGCAGGTCAGACGGGTGAAATCCCGAACTCCCGCCAAAGGCTGCTGAAAGGCCTTATCAAGAAAGCGCTTTTTCACGAGACCAGCGAACGACTAAAGCACAGCAAGACTGCGTTCCGCTGTATCTATCAGGTGATTTGCAAGAAAAAGTACAACTTCAGTGCGGACTGGCCCTGGTGGTCTGAGATAGATGTGACGGAACAGGTCATAAAAAACTGGCAGCCAGATGCAGAAGAAGCCGCGCGAGCGCTGCGCTTTGAAGTAGCAGGATTACACTTTTGATAACGGGCTGTGCATATAGATAATAAGGAATATCCCGGGGTAATATGATTCTCCAACTCCTTACACGATCGCTCTTTCTATGTATTCTTTTAGCGTCATACGATGAAGGACAGGAACCGTCTCAGACTCAGACTCACGCCAGTCACGTACCCACCCAACTCACCTCTAGGACGACGACGAAGTTGAAATATCTGCGAAACGTGCCAAGACTTCATCCAGCACCAGTGCGAGTTCCAGTTCCAAAGACGCTCCGATCAGTGCGACTCCCTTTGGAAGTCAGCGCAATTCACTGATCACCGTTGCAGAAGCGAACTTGATGCCGCCGCCGGTTGTGCCTACGAGAAAAATGGGAGGTCGACGTACTTACTTTTTGCATCTTGTTGGAACAGTGCTTTTATTGCCTTGTTAAGTTCTTGAGATTTATGACTGTATGCATTTGATTCAATGACTTTCCTTTTTCATGCCACGCTGTAGAGCTACAGCTTCTTTGAAGAATAACTGTTGACTATTTTCTGTTCACTATTTCACCAGCCCCGCGCAACACGACGACTACAAACACGAAGGGAAAGAAGGACACCTTATGAAGCATTGTCTTGATTATTATTCTAGTGTGGGAAGTACGTCAGTGCTGTCTCTCTCTTATTAAGAGATGATGGGAGTACTCCAAGCGTGCAAGACCTTCTGAAAGTCTTTGGGGGTGTTCTTCTATCTGTCTAAAAGTACTTCTTTTATGAGTGTTCTATCTGTATAACAGTACCTCTTTTATTAATATTTAGATCATCAGATCTTCTTCGCACTTGTGCGTTAATATATTAGAGTAGCGGCCGGACGTGGTTCTTCTGTTCTGTATCGTTGCTACCTGGGTATTTGGTTCTGTGAATAAAAAACTGCTGTTGTCAGTGAGTATGGTTTCCTCTTGCAAGTGTTGTCCGTTTAATAAAAGTAATCCTCTAGCTGTTAAGCTTATAGCTAGATAGTATTTAGATTTCGCAGGAGATCATAGAAGGATCATTACTTTTACCGAGACACTAAGAGCTTCTCTAATGACGCCGGCCACGTCCACGGCCGTACTGAATGAACCGACGGCGCTACAACTCCACCAGAAGAAGCAAGATTTTCTTGAAGATTTTGGCATCTACGGGGAAGTTCAGGGTGATCGTTTTTTCTTCAATTATGGCAGAGCTGAGACAAGTTTCTTTCTTCTGGAATCTATTGCGTAATCGTTTGATTTGAATACTATCATGCTCCGATGAATGATGTTCCGCCACTGCATCCGCCTACTTCTTTTCCTTCGTGATGAATCATACTGACTCTCATGGTTTTCTATATGTATCTGAATACATAACTCATGAAGTACATTCATGAAAAACGCGACCCATCCATGCAAAGTTCTACCAAGTACTCATCAGAAAGAGTATGGCCCTGCTTCTAATGGACAGTGCCGATTTGGAACCTCGGCATGGGGTTGACGAAGGTGGACGATGAAGCAATGCTGAGCGCTGTTCTAACAGCAGACGCCATCGTTGTCGAGGACCGAGCGAAAAAAACTGAGTACAACGAAGATACACGAGCTGACACCTTGAACGTTTTCACTTATGAAAAATATTACGCACTTGCGCGTGCTTATCGCCTCGATTTGTGTCGTGTGTATAATTGAGATTGAAAATCGGGCTCCAAGTGTGGCTCTCTATATTATTCGGATTACACTCGATCTTTTATCTCCTTTTGTGGTCGTTTCTAATCTCACAAGCTGGACAAGATCGATACGGCACTGGGATTGGCGTTGACTATTGAGTCCGGGCAGAAAATATATGAACGATCATGCCAAGCAAAGAGAGGCTTGACGTACATGTATACAAATTTGCCGATCGAGGTGCGCACGTTGGCAATTGAAGAGAAAGAGTGCACTAAGGTAATTCTCCTCTTTATGTCTATCTCTAATCTCTATGAAGAACAGGACTGACAGACTCAATATCACTGTAGCTGGATTTTCACGGATAGAATTAGCAGTCGTTAGTTCTACGACTGGCAGAAGCTTAGTAGTCTGTGGTCAAGTATTAGCATTACTCTGCGCAGGCAACTCCTCTGCAGTAGCACTATAGCTATATCGTGCTCTATTGTGTGCAAGCCGATCGACATATCTATCACGGGTAGGGGCCTCAGATGACGGGCAAAATTAATCTATCCATGAGTATGATTATCAGTAGTTAAAGTATTGCAAGTCTCTCTATTGATAGGCTTTTGCCTTGTCTAACAGCGTCAGCGCTGTCTCTCGTAGTCGTCGTCAGTAGCAGTAAGTGACTTCTTAACCATGACCCACCATTACAGTTGTCCAGATGGGAGCATGGCCCGCTGTTTCGTGTGCGCGAGTATGCACGAGTGTACGACAGGATTTTGCGACCGAGTATCCGGTCTTGGACAGATTTACCGCGTCCGTATGATTTAGCGGTTTTTTATGGCGAAAAGAATATAAGAATAGATGAAAATCATAACCCGGATGAACATCGATAAAGAATCTCAGACCGCTCAGTATTGCGTTGATAGCTTTCGGCCATGCAATACGAAGCCGTGGGCAATATGAAGGGCGCGGAGCTACATACTCTTTGAACTGCAACTCTTCTAATCTTGTCAAACGCTTGTGGTCGGCCTCCAAGTCGGACAGAAAGACGCGGCTCAAAGTTTATGGGAAGAAGACCGTGTGAATGTGTTGTAGGGGTAGGTCGTAATGGGTACACGGGCAATAGAAAAGCAAGGACTACTTATCATAGTATAGCAAGCGCATCCTGCATCTGTCATCGAAGGACGCAGTGAGCACCCTAGTCAAGTAGTGTTCTACACTTTATCTTCGCCTTAGTATATGTAGACTAGTGCTGTTGTTGTACAGCACGGGGTCTCTCTCGTGGTAGAGTTAGACACGCATAGGCTGACTAGCCAAGATTCGCACGATCTTCACTCCCGTAGGTACTGACCTCTAATCTATATTAATGTTGGGTACGGGGCGCAGCTTCATTCTGTTTTGTCTGAGGCGACGCCGGATATTATGCTTCCCTTCTCTTGTTATCTCGAGCATGCGATTGAAAAAAAAGCCCTCAGCGTGGAGGAGTTCGTACTAAGTTTTATGAGTTTTAGACGCTTCTTGCCATTAGATGCAAAAGTCTGATAGTGCAGCTCGCTGTAGATCTGCAGCACAGAAACCGAGCTTAAGTTTGATCGATCAACGTCAAAATTGAGTATGAGGATAGCTTCTGAATGTTATTCATAGAGAAATGTGCTACGGTGGATTGAAATGCATGGACTATTGTCTATCTTTCTTCATTATCCTCTATTTAGGTTGACGATGTTCCCGAGGATGTATTAACGGATCTACGCAAACTGGGCGCCAAAGCGAAGGCCCCTATCCCTCCGGTCCTCAAGCAAAATTATGTTCGAGCTTTCCACATTCAGAGCTTTCCTTTAGTCGGACTTTTAGAGCAGCAGCTTGTTACTTTTGCTTAGTTGACGCACTGGCGTGCCAGTGCTTGTTGCTGTTTCTGGAACTAGAGGTAGAGCCAAACAATTCAGAGCCATTGTCTTTCTTAGTTAAATTAATATTAGATAACGCAGATTCTTTCTCTCTAAGCGCGGGTCATCGAATACACCAAGATCGATTATCAGAACCATTTGGAAGACAACATGAATGTCGAAAATTTCGCCACTGGCGGTGGTGGTGCTGGCAAGAAAAAAATGGCCATGAAGATGAAACAAGCTAAGAAATCTGCTGCAGATGGCGGCGCCGGAGATGAAGATGATGACGGAGAGATCGGAGACCCGGTACAGCTAAGGGCTTGTCTGCTGATTGTAGTATTACGAGAGTTTGTTAGCGACCGCAGTAGTTAGTAAACACGTTTATGGTAGAGACCCTTTCTATCTTTCATGTTGCCTTTGCTTCACGCTCCTTTTTACTTACCTTGTAGAAGTTCAAACTGAAACTCCCACTGTGCATGCGTCTTCCTTATTCCAATAGGCGAAAAGCCGACCGGGGTCAACCTTGTGTTTGGAGGCTGTGATGGCCATGGGTCGAGCAGTATCCGACGTTCATGACGCTCTTCTGGAGTTGAAGAAGGTCATCAAGACAGCTAGCAGCAAGAAGAAAAAAGATGCTGGCGGCCGACAGTATCTACGCCAGTTCGAGGTCCCAAAGTCTTGGCTATTGCTCACTCAGTTGGTCTGCCAACTGACTGTCGATAATCCCGAGACAAGATCGACAGCGGGTCTATCCATGGTTCGGGTTATGGTACTAATTTTTTCACTCGTGTTGCTCTTCCCTCTCGGAGTTGGTTGCGATCGCGTCCAAGTTCTTTTTTCATTTCTGTGTGAAGAATGATTACTCTCAATTTCGCTCGCTCATGGGGCGTAAGATCTTGAATGATAGACAATTACTGTACCGTAACACGAACACGTCCCTCCGTCAACTCATCAGCAAACATCGATCGGCAAAGCGATTGCGGACTTGCTCGTTACTAGAGCGGATCTGAATCTTGTCAAGAAGTTATGCGCCTTGAGTGTTAAGAACTACCTCGCCCCCCCTGTGTTCTATCTACGTACTCTTGCGTGCGTCGTTTCAAAAATTCAACAGTCGACTGCATTCCAATGAGTTATATATGACTTTTTCAACTTCAATTCTATTCAGTGGACCCCTCGTGCACGTACTGTCGATTGGTTTCAACAGTGGTCGCTTTTCAATATATGCTTTCTAACTGATGCGGTGGACCTGATTCCTGGCCAACAAGCGAAGATTGACTTTTTGGAAAAAAGTCACATCAAGTCCGTTTTTCAGCTGTACGAACCGTTGCGAAATTATGAAGGGGTGCATAGTAATGGCATTCGAGACAATAAGACTGCTGGCTCCTATCAGTAATATTTATTTCCGCACCATTCTGCCCGAGATTAAGCCTATTCTTCCCCTGAGAGTATCACTATATCTACATGAAAAAGATTTGCCCAAACACAGCGGCAGCGTTGACGAGTAGCGCGGCTTCGCCTGTACTGTTGTCCCCTATGCATGGCATGTTTCTAACGGCCGTACCTGATCGATTATGCCAAAGGAGAGGAGAGGGAGGAAAACGTGCTGGATGAAGCAGATGACGACGATGATGAGGGAAAGACGGCGGCAGAGATCCAACGAGCCATGGAGATGAGGGAGGTGCTGGAGGAGCAGCAGGATATGGAAGACCCCGGCTTCTGAGCGAAGTATTTATATACACTTCCATCATTAAGGATCTTTATAGCAGGTAGATAGACCACATGATCCAGCTCCCTCGGTTATGATTACTCTGAATGAAATACTCAAGACGACTTTACTGAGGTCTTCTCTGGTTGATGATGCTTCTCTTCGAAGCCTGCGCCTCTTGTGCCGTCAATACAAACATTAGAAGCATCATGTTGCAACCTCTCCGATTTCTTCTCCTTCTGATGCAAGTGAATGATAGGAATAATTAATATCCTTAAGGAGTCTCTCCTTTCCCACCCTAGCTCCATTTAAATTTTTACTCGATGCTTCTACGTACATGGGGAGAATTATAATGCATGCAGGTCAAGCTGATCGTCTGGCTGCCCGATTCTGAGTGGGATTATGGTGGAGAGGACTATGCCGTGCCAATTTATTTCTCTGGAAAGCGTGCGACTCCGTCGTCGTTCTTCTGAGGACTAAAGGTATAGTCATATCTAACTATCTACTGCAGGAGAAGGGCTGCTTTTATAGAGGAACGCTTTGCCTTTTGAGACACGTTGATGCTGTAGGTAGGTACTGAGTAGACATGTTACTCATTTTGTCTTGATAGCACGAAAACTAAGTTTATCCTTCCCTTCATAACGCTTTTTCTACGATGTGTTAACTAGAGTATCTCTATCAGTATTAGTAAGAAGCTGGGCAGCATTTCATAACAGTTAGCCTTAATATTCTTTCAAATGGATAAGAAGGCCTGTGGGTCCTGATTGCAACACCTGAAAAGTAAGAGAGCTAGTGCTAGATACAGTACTACGAATAAACCAAATTTTTACGAATGCCTGGTCGTTCATGTAGCATTCAACCCTCAAAGACATGGGGCTGCGAGCTAGTGTGTCTCTAGAAATAGACGAAGTGGGTGGTCTCTTTAAGTGAGGACACAATATTGCGTCTGTGATAGGGTCTGAGTGAGTCTGCTCCGATTTTTTACATTCTCATCCCTCAGCTGTACTTCGGATTTGTTGAGATCTAGTTGGACTCTCGGTCACCGCGCCATAGGGTAGGGCAGGTTCTAGATTATATCGAGAGTAGTTAAAAGATAGGCTTCTGCTGTTTGTAATGTCCATGCACAACGTTCCTGATTGTAGTGCCAGTTCATTGCGGTTTCCTGTAGGTAGCAGTCCAGCAGCAGTTTTCTTGTGGTAAGTTTAGTGTTATTCTTATAAACCCTCCTTGTGATTATCAGTCTTACTAATATTATAGTCATCGGATCAGCTTAGAAGGATAGCACTCATACAATACAAATCACGTTCACCAGGAGACGAGATAGCTACATTTAGAATTAGGAATATTCGCGTCGCTTGTTCTTGTCGTTCTGAAAATAATGCTCGTGCTCCATTCTAGAAATATTGATAATGTACATCAAATGCACAGTGCTATAATTCTCATGATCTAATATTGCTTGCGTTTCTGATTATTACAATCTAAAGGCTCAGTTGTAGAGTTCGGTCAGCGTCTATTATTGAAACCAAGACCACTAAAAAACGTAGGTAGAGGCGCTATGACTCAAAAGCGTCACGGTCTCCATTATCGGACAATCCTAGTTCTTCAAAATTATTCTTCTTGCAGTTTGTTATCGTTCTTGCCTTATTTGGAGTTTATGTAGACAACGCCAGGCCCAGGCAGTGATGCAAGAATATAATGGGTAGAGCGTTTATGTTAATGATATTGGATGTTTAGGTAGCGGTGTCTTACTTCTGAGATTGGTCACCAACTTAGAGCAGGATCTGAGTCTATGTCTTTTTCAATTTCATTTGAGGAATCACTATTACGAATCACGTTGACACTATAAATACACTACTCATTGCCATGCCGATGCCTGCCACGACTGCAGCCTAAGAGGCCCCCTGACAGAAACTCCCCCTCATCGTAGCCCATGTGCTTCATCAAGACTATAGATAGCTGTTTTATCGTGATTTCAATCGATACCAACTCGATACTTTCTACGTCCGACGAATAAACCAAAACTCTCACCCAGGCATCGCAGTGGCGCCAGTATCACGACTATTTTTGCGGGCAGCAGTGTTCTATCGGTTTGTTTTGATGGAGATTGACACCTGTTTTTATTTCCTGGTCGTCGTCGACGGAGAGCTTTTGCATGGCGAAAAAATCAGTTAAGTATGTTTGAGAAGAATTGCAAGTGTGCACTCAATGAGTCCAGCCATGTAGCAGGAAACTAATAAAAGTATTACTTCAGTGAGTAACGTTCTAGGTTCTTACGATTGAGGTGCTGTCTGTCCTGATGATCGAAGAGCTAGGCATGTATTTTCATCCATAGATCACACTCGTTTCTTGTAGGTGTGACATCGTGAGAAGAAGCGCCTGCTCTACCTAGGGAGGACGTAGCTCCAATTCATTCAGATGGAAAGAGAGCCAGCGAGGATATCTGTGTGATCTTATTCTGTTGTTACATTTTGTGAGGCACTACTGATCGCGTAGTGAAGTTCTATTCTCATTTTTGAGCGTGCAGCGCAACTCGTTTATCTTCTAGTAATACTGATAATCTTTTCATGAAAGCGAGTTGCTAGGTAGAGAAGAGTGGTTTCAATATCTAGACTGATGTTAGATTAGATTTGAATTTCGTGAGTCAATGATAATGATTTCGTAATCAAGTCAAACTACAGGCCAGGTTGTAGAAGTATTCTTTCTATGGATTGATGACCAGAACCACCCGATCACCAAAACCGTCGCTCTTCTTGTCAATTTCCCTCCCACACTCATTTTCTTTACTTCTATCTTTCTGCTGACGCCGTGGTCTCGTTCTAATATTATTCTGCGCCACGACTCTGTCTTCTACACGCCGGAACTGTCGTCTTAGACTATGAGCTTCTGAGGCTCGCTCTGGCTTAGAGACACAGTTTTTCTGTCCCGTGATTCTCCCAAACTAATGCTATCTGCGCGTAGGCGTGGGCATAGAATTATTCAAATACATCAGGTGGGGTTACGTATGTAGAAAACGCCTGTCCCGATGCTGTTAGTGCTTTGGGTGACGTTTCTACATATATGAAAGTAGTAATATGAGATAGCGAACAGAGGTAAGAAAATTATGACGAGAGTAGAGACTTATTAGGGTCGTTACGCTCTTCTCAATCTCAAGTTCTTCGAAATCGTTGCGTGCCTTGTTCTTATTTATGCGCTTTGATCTTAATCGAATACATCACAACAGTTCAACAACAACGATCTAAATTTCGATCACTATTTCAGGATAGACATGCCGCTCCATCATGTCTGCCAACCATAGGGTGTCTTCGCTTTTCCTGCTGAAGCAGTAAAAAGATCCATCAAAATTCTAATCAAACTAACTGGTGCCAAATAGTATGGGTCGCCCATGACTGAAAAGCGATTTTGATTATGGAAGGTCGATCTGTTTTCTGCATTTTGTTTGCCATCATCTTCGAAAGTAAAGCCGTTGTCAGACAAGGCGCGTCAGAGTGGTAATGTAAAAAGTAAGGGCTTTATCTTCGTGCTTGACCTTGAATGATGATAGTTTACAGCCCTTAATCTCAGTGCGTTTTTTACTTCATATATTCCAGATTGTTGCTAAATTTCTTTCAGAATTGACTGGTACAGGTATGGGTCGAGGGTTTGTGTAAGTATGCTTGATAATGATTATAGTACATTCTTCTTTTTTCTGATTCAGATATGAACTTCCTAGATTATGAAGGAGTAACTCAACAGGGTGAAGGGCTTCAATATAATCAATCCCAGCAGTTAAAGCAGCCAGTCCCTTGCTAGGTGTTAGAAGGAATGGATATCGGAGAACTGTCCACAGCTTCAGGAGCGTTTGGATGGATCTCAGTGCTTTGCAAAGAAAGAGATACTACATTGGCAACCCTTCGCAACTTGATTTGTCAACATGGAAGAAGAGTCTGAACGTTTTTGACTCAGCTAAAGTGGGTGATCATAGTGAGCCAGTAGCCACGTAATTAGGGATCTTGCAACGATGTCAAAACACGAAGCGCACCTGCCTACGGCAGTGTCCACAATTACTTTGTGTTGCTCGCTCGTAGCTCGTGCATTGAATAAAACAAGTCACAGGCCGCTGCAGCTACAGCTATTTCAGCTGTGACTATTTCAGGAGCTCAGCAAAAAACAGTCGTCGCGTCGTAGCTCTCATGTATAATGCGGCTAATGCTTAGCGGAATCGAAGGAGAATAGAATACTTTAAAAGTCATTACTTTAAGCGCCCTTGTCTAGAGTAGACTAAAACCTGAAGCAGCGCCATTTTCTTTGCGGAGACTCTGACAGGCAGACCTATATCTTAAATCTTGCGAGCGAGGTCAGTGTGTGAGAGTGACCAATCGTTCGCAGTCGACAAGTCTCGCGATGATCGACGCTGTTGCATATTTTAGCATGGAAAACTATAATAGGACTGAATCAGCTGCGCTTCGACGGTAAACGAGACCGACCCAATTAGATCTTCGACTCTAATTGAATCATTGGCCCTGTTTTAGATGGCTGCGGGTCTTGATATAGATTTTGATCGTTGTTGGTTCGCATACGATATTACTCCCGTCTTTCATATTTCCATTTGAAATTTGGCTGGGCGTTAGCCTTTGCCTCGTCGGTAATTAGATAAGTAAGGCACAGACAAGGCCGCAGCTGCGTCGTAAGTGATAATATAGGTATAGGACAAAGATGGGCGAGTGCGGTACGGCTTGCTCAGCAAGGCAAGCCTCTTCGATTGTTTGAAGCGATGTGGTACGTCGATGGATACTTCTTCGTCGATCTTCTCTTCTCTCGAGCACTTTCTTTGCGAGATGCTTTTCGTGGACAAGTGCAGTCTCTCCAGCCTCTCCATCGCTCTCTCTCTCTCTCGTTTTCTTGAGGAGCAACCGAAGATGCAGACGCTGGAGAATACACCCGCATGGGAGAACCGACTGCGCTCGTCGTTGTCATACGAGGCACATGCGGCGCAATACACTCTGGCATCGATGTGGTGCTGTTCTGCCTTCCGCCGCAGAACACCTGGACGCAACTGCAGCCGGATTGAACTAAAAAATATTCTTTGACTTATCCACAAGGTCGCCATCGTTCGATGCGCCCCAAGATTCTAATCAAAGTCATGATGTATTCGTAAAGACTGAGGCATTTTAGGTGGTATGAGTTATTCACTTTTTGAAAAAGAATTTCGCTACCGCAAGCGAAGATGCAAAGTGTGGGGAGTTTCATGTAGGAGCCTTATTGTGTTCTTTCGTGCTGCAAGGTAGTGCAAATCTACCAATGGGATTGGGAGTGTGTTTCAGACGTTGAGTGTGTGATCAAATCGTATCCATCAACAAACTAATAGGTCAAAAAAGATAATAGTAATCCTCTAGATGTGTGATCTTCCACCAACAAGTCGAGAGAAGCCAACTTTGCGGATATAGAACAGCCTATACTTCCGGAACAATCTCCGGTCCTTCTGCAGGAACAATCTTTGGTTGTGGCAGAAAGATCGAGTAGCGGACATGAGAAGCCACGAGAGAGTCTCCCTGCACCAGAACCGATTGAAGGAATGGTGACCTATAATGAAGGACGAGTGGGGATGAATGACCACAAGCAATCTTCAATCTCTACTACAACAACTAAAGGAGGTACAACGTCACCAAGACCAACTATCTCTGCTACTAAATGTACGTCACCAAAAGTAGTTGTAAAACCTTCGAGACTGCGATCTCCTACCATTTATACCACGAGCACGAAAAATCTTGATCTTCATCTAGTTGGTGGTGGAGACCACGTAGTACCAAGAAGAACACCTCCTTCTCCTTCTCGTCATAGGACAAGTTCTCCGCTTCCACCAGGCTCATTTTCTACTTCCTCCTCAACGTTGGTTCCACCCCGTACTCCGAAACCGAAGTTGCGTGCTGTTACTCCTAGACGAGCTTGCGTGACCTCGCCCGCAGTGCAGAAGGCACTGAAAACCGTAGCGCTAGCTCGTCAAATGCGCGAGGATTTCGCAAAAATTGCAAAGGAACACGAAGATATTACCACAGCGATGAAGGACAGAGGTAGGAGGAGTGGATCTTCTCTGCAGGAGAGAGAAAGGGCAGTACTAGAGGTAGAGAAAAAGAAGAAGTGTAGTGGGACGAGTAGTCCTCCTAAAAAAGAGGCAGATCATTCAACTTTTGCTGTCGTAAAAGTTGTGAACGAATCGGCAAGAACAAATTGTGGAGCAGGAAGAACAAGAACAACCACTACAACTGCAGCAAACCGACGCGGTCGAGGAGTTTTACCATCTACGACAGCAAAGTCCTCAACAACTCCTAGAACTAATAGAAAATCAAGAACTGCCGCTAGCCTTCTCCAGCAGCAAGGGTGCGAAGCCTCTATCTCAATCTCTCAGCGGGCAAGAAAGAGAGATACTACTGCATCTCAAGATAATGCTACAGCTACTTCATCGACTGCGCAGCCGCCAAATGGAAATGGAGCCACGCCCACAACGACCACTCCCTTGTCCTCGCAGCGTAGCACGATTGCTGGACGAGGTCGATCGTCGGTTTCTATAGTGCGACGTCAGCTCACTGCGATGAAGGACAGAGATTTGCGGATCAAGTTTCGGAAACTCAGTGTAACCCCAACTGGATCTAGAGCAGCTTCAAAAGAAATATCAGGACGAGAAGCCGCGTCGAAAGAAATAGCTGAAGACTCAACATCAGTTTTGGGTGGAGATGTGCCAGGACGAAAAGCTTCAAAAGAGTTACAACCGGAACCTAGTAGTACTAGTACTGGAGATGATTCTGGAAGACCAGCTCCTCGTGAAGATCAACCAGAGGTGAAGATGGTTGATGTCGACGTCCCTTGGAACAAGAATCGCTTCGCACATATCCTGACAGGTTACAAAAACACTTCTTCTGCAGCTGCAACAACTATTAAAACAGAAAAACAGGGTGAAGAAGACCACACGCGGCCTCCAGCAGTAGAGGAACATGATCAGAAGGATACGGTTATCATGAATGACAACGAACCAAGTAGTCGTATTACAACGACTGAAGGAGCATCGAAGAATGTTGGCAAAGCAGTTGCTGGTGAATCAAGCAAAACTATTGACGCGACAAGAAAGCGGAAGCGCTGCCTTGTTGCTAAGGACGAGTTCGCGGCACCGTTATCGGGCGATGAGGGGGCTATACTTGTGCGGGAAACTCCCTCTAGGGCTGGAAATGAATCAGGGATAAACAGCATTCCCAAGGATAAGCAAGCTTCCAGTAATGCTAATGCTCATGCAGTTGGTACTAAGACGTCCTCGACCTCGTCAGGGGCAAATAAGACGAACTACAACAGCCCTTCCGTCAGAAGTACCTCTACAACAAAGAAGCCTGCGGCAACACGCCCGAGTGGGAGTGCTTTTGGTCGTTCTGCGAAGCCTCATCCTAGACGATTGGGGAGTGCGCGTGCTAACTGCATTAGTGAAGCAGGACAAGAGATAGATTCAGACAGTCCGATTTCTACTTCTGCTCAAACAAGAATCAGTACTACAACTAATGAAAATCATGTTGTAAATATTTCCTGTACTAAAAAAGGAGGTCGTCGTGGAACCCGCAGTTCGTGGAGGAGTCCAGCTCCGAGCAGTCCCCTTCAAGCTCGAGGACGTTCACCGACTCAAGTTAGGGGACGTGGAGGTGAAGCTTGCATTCTCCCTCGACGCATAAAGAGACCAGCTTCACCTGAAACATCTACGAGGACAACCCCCAGAACATCAAATATCGAAGACGAAAGTGGAGCCCGGTTTTTCTTATGAAACAAGAACTACAGGGAAGATCAGGATCTTCATGTCCAGAAATCTTCATGTCCAGAGGATTAAGTTTGAGGAAAAGCAGAATGAATGTGTACGTGATGTTGAATCCGTAAGAAGCTCCCCCCTTAGCTCCATGCTACTCCATGTGATCCATGCACTCCATGCCATGCGAGGTGCGGAACCTTATAAATAATTGCTCTGATATTATAATAGCTGAACTCAGGGGTCTGACAGGACGACGATAGCGCCGGCGCTTAATTAGTATTAGCAGATAGGAGGTGGAGGATACTTGGGTATAGTTACCCTTTCCTTTTTTCTATCTTCCTCTGGTCTCTCTTTTTTCTAGTTAGGTCTGCTCCGCCACAATTATAGCTGAACCCAGGAGTGGTTTTGATTCATTCCTCATCTAATCTGTTGCATGCCACCACGCACAACCACGACTGCAGTTGTCGGGACGCGCACAAGTAGGGGAGTGCACCTCTTTTCTACGGACTATCCGGATGCAGAGAGCAGTACAGCTGAACAAGTAGAGGACCATCGGCAGGAGGACCATCGGCAGAAGGAGATGAGCATGAACGTTGACGAGAGTGGTAATACTGAAACATCTCCTGCACCTTCTCTTGCTGCTAAACCTTCTCCAAAACCGGAAGGTGAAACTACCGCTGTAGTTGTAGACGTTGAAGAAGATGAACAACTGGCACCAGCAACGAGTTCAAGAACAGCGGACGACGGGGCCAAGGTGCCGACAGCGGACGATGAGGCCAAGCTGCCACAAGAAGAATCAAATTCAAAAATCAGCGTCCAGGACAAGGAGAAGAACAGTAAAATATTCGTTTCATTTATCGTTCCATTTATCGTGACTTGTTTTTTTTAAGGATCCTTTAGATAGAGCAGCTTACTTGCTTCACGATCTTGTAGTCTCTGATACTATCAGAGACGAACGCGAACCTGCTGCAGTAGATTGGAGCTCTGGCTCTAATTGACATACTCTTCTGTTTGAGAAAGTGTAAAGATTTTGGTCTTCTTCGTTTTCCAGTATTACTTGCTTCACGATCGAATCACTTAAGAAAGTTTCATTAGCCACGAATTCCAATACCGGGCTACTAATGAATATCAATCAGGTGGCAGCGCCTCTCCCGAGCTCGATGCTGCACCGCCCGCGCCGGAGGAAAATCCCATTCCCAATAGTGATGCTGATAAACCGAGAGCATCATCACCATCATCATCATCGTCGAGCACATCTACCTCGAAATTTAAAAAGAAGAAGACAAGAAGCAGTTCTAGTAGCAGAAAGACGATTAAGGAGTCACACCCTGTGGTGGATCGCGCACTGTTGAAGACTGACAACGACGAGAGTATCTCAGTTTCTATACCGCCTAAAATTAAGGGAAGGGTAGGTTAAAGGTGCTTTTCTTACCGCTTTTTATGCCTCTCCTAAGGGGGAAAGGCATAAAAAGCGGGGTAAGCGAGCACCAAAAACCTACCTCTAATAAAAGGAAACTCTCCGCTGAAGAACCTACTGGCCGAGTCTCATCCATAGCTTTGCGCACACAAGATGCCGATTCCGAGTCCGCACTCATATCGAACCTACGAGAGCTTGCCGATGCAGTGACGTTAAATCAGCGTGATTTGCTGGAAACTGCGCATGCGGATCGAATTGTTTTCACGGCTGACGACGTGCGACGTCTACTGCCGCTCTGTCGATCTGCAGACGAGAGTGCGGAAATCCTACAGGGGCTGTGCGACTGGGCTTCGCGTGTAGATAAGGGCTTGGAGGAACTACAAAGCCACACAACAAGTCCACCAGGAGGTCCTAGAACAAGAGCCGTGCCTTTTTTGCTTGTTGCGTTTCTACCGATCGCAAGGTTGCGAGATACTCTTACGTCGCAGCGTAGGCAGTTGCTCCCCTGCGTTTTTCCTGTGACGGCTGCAACAAACAAAGCTGAAGGAAACAGCGATCAACGTGGAGATGAAACCGAAGAAGGTAACAAGCACCTAACCACTTCCAGTCTCACACTATTTGCCATTCGCGAGTCTCTCTTGAACCTAGCAGCAAGAATCGCTACCACTGAGGCAGCTGCTATTGCAGCTTACAATACAATCAGCAATGCCAAAGTCGATGCGGATGACAGAGCAGCAGTGCGAATGGCGGCATTAGTGTGTGCCCAATCGTTTGCGCCACCTTTGGAAGATGTTTTTCGAAGTCCTGCGGGAATAACAAGTCTAGAGCAGCCCAATAAAGATGGCTCTACTAATTCATCAGCTTGGGCGTCCTGGAATGCATCGCTTAGTAGAGCAGTAAGTGCATCACCAACACCATCACGGGGATCGTCTCCTCAAGCTCCTGGAGTGGTTGGCGGTTCTTTCTCGAAGACTCTATCTCCTCCAAGGGAAATATCACCATTAAGGGTAGGGTAAAGGTGCTTTTGTTCCCGCTTTTTATGCCTTTCCTAAGGGAGAAAGGCAGAAAAAGCGGGGTCCACGAGCACCAAGACCCTACCTCTAACACCACTCGCGTCTCGTTCTCCACCTCCTGCTCAACAACAGTCTTCGCCAGATCTTCTTGGAGCTAGAGGTGGACTTGGAGTTGGAGTTGGACGCCAGCCTAGTTGTACAAGACTATCGACCAATCTGGATTATCTTGTCAGCCCTCACGACGTCCTACCACCAGCTGTGGATCTACGTCGCTTTTGCGTTAGCAACCACGTCGTTGCTGATCCGCGACCGCGTTGGGCATCTACTTCGACAACTTTGGATCCACCAACGGGCGTCGCTCTGCAGAACCCGTCAAGACCAGGTGTGTTGACACCTGCTGCGCCAATCCTGAAACTGCCTATGAAACAAAACTTCACCATTTTCAAGGCCAGCGATTTTATGATGCCACTTGGTATTGGTGGAGCATCTTCTACTGCAACTGGTAGTACTGGTACTGCGAACAAGAATGAAGAAGAAGAACCTCCACCTAGTAGTATAGCTGGTCTTCAAGTTCAACAACAAAAAAAACAAGACCAAGATCTTCTAGTTGTACAACAGCAACAAGCTGCTGTGCTAAGGAAACGGATTACTGGGCTAAGAGCTAATCCTTTTGGCAAGCGGCGGACAAAAAGTCCAGTACGGAGTCCTGCTACCAGTCCAAAAATACGGAGTCCAGGAGGTCGAATAGTCGAGGAGGTCTACTATTTTGCTTTTTATTGTTGTTGATACATACTTAAGTAAATGAACATGAACATACATCAAGAGGGCATCGACTCTGCTCATACAAGGGCAGTCATTGATTCTGATTCTTTATGAAGATGCATCATGAAGATCATGATCTTGTTGATGTTCATTCTTCGCAACTGCCTCCATCTTTTGCAACCCCAACGTATACCCCATGACTTCCCCTCACTCAGGTCCCAGAAGAGCACAGCCTTCATGTGCATCGAGGCCATGCGTTGAAGGTTCATAGGGCTTCTGTTCTATCTTTAGACACTAGAATGGATGCTTCGGAGATGGAAAGAGCTGTCAGTATAGGAGGACACCAACAACAACAACAATCTGGCGTGAGCGGTGCATCAGTTATGGTCAAGGATAGTGATGATAGTTTCTCACGTGAATCATCGGGAGTCACACGAGTCACGGGGACTAATAAATAAGGATGATAAACACGATAAATGACTAAGTCTAAGACTATGATCAACATCAAGCTACGACTACCTCGTCGGTCCATGATGTCCATTTCTAATATTTCTCCTACAGCGAATGCGAAGACAACCAAGACTTCGCAGGGTGGTCACTCGACCCCGCCTTTTCCTCCGTCCGATACTGAGGGCGCCACTAGTAGCCGTGGTCTACTCGGCAAGGTGCGTTCTAGTGTCGGCAAAGAAGAAAAACTACATCAGTTAAAGATGCAGAGGCTGCAGGAGTATATGAAGTTAAGACTTTCCAACTGGTTGGCCTCACAAGTAGACACTAATAGCTACATAAGAGGTACCATGACATGAAATAGCTGTAAGTGTTGACGATTGTTCTTAAGAACTCAAACATTCTTCTTCTAAGAAAAGCGCCGACTTTGATGAGTCTCGACTTCGGCTTGCCAGCAGCGCAGCTACCGGCAGAGGCACCAGCTCTGTGGGATGCACTTCGAGTGAAAAGCGTGGCGGAGAAATGAACTGCATTTGACGACGAGAAACGATTCAGAAATTATAGAAAAGTTAAGGTTCAGGTTGCACCTGCAATGCAGCATATGTTTATGTATTCTAAGTAGAAGAAAGTAAGAAGCAGAGTAGCAGTAGAATCGTCTTCATGATAGACATTCTTCATGAATATATCGAGGACCACTCAGTTTAGAAGTATAACCAAAAGTTGGAGAAATCACATGGATAAGTAGTAGGTAGTACATTCCTCATTGACATAGACATAGTTTTCATGGATTTACCACGACTCGGTAGAGTTTTGCACAAAATCAAAAATTTCAACATTAGTAAAACAGACTTTGCAGTTTATCCATTTACATTTTCTTATTCGATCGATGAACATGAACTTCGTAGAAGAATATCTATTATTCAACATAGGATTGAGATTGTAACAAGTACTCAGGAGTTCGTTGTGTAATGTAGTTGTTGGACGATCTGCATGTCTACTTACACCACAAGAATCTCTCTCAGTGTTCTTGTCGAAGTTGTCGATTTGACGTCTAGAAGGATAGCTGTCGGTGAGAAATCGGTCGTGAAGAAGACTTATCTGGAACTCAAATCTGGCTTCTCAATCATATTTTTGGCTTGTTGTTTTGGAGACGAGACGAGTGCATTTTCCCGACCTCCTGTCTGCTTGACCCCTGACCCACAGCGCCCCGTATGAATTTTGAAAAGAGGACCATATTAAACTTGCACTTCACTTTCTGAACTCAACAGAAATGAAATCAAAATCTGATACATAGTACATCAAATCCAAATACAAACAAGAACTCGCTTCCTAGCATTAGGGAAGAAACAGAAAGTAACGACTCGTAAGAAGTAACACCAAGAGGATACTACACCAACTAGATACTAGAACTACTTCAACTAGAAATAGCACTAGTCTAGACAAAAACCAAATTCAAAAAATGGCAACAGCTGGAAGCTCGATCTTGAGCAAGTCCGCTAGTGATGTGGACTTGAAGACAAGGTTTCTTCCTGGGATCACTCACTTGACGTCTACCACGTATCGGACGAGACGTGGGAAGTCGGTTTATGAATTGCAATAAATTTTGGAACTACCTACAAGAACTTGTGCAAGAATTTTGTAGCGTCCACCTTGTCTGCTCAAAATTATAGCAGGACCTTGATGTAGAAGTACTAGGAGGTGCTTTGACCACAAAGAACCGGCAGAATCTACGTGCTACTTAGTCTGAATCTACACCTACAACTGCGTGCAACGAATAACGAATATCCATCTATTCTTCCTCTAATCCATGGATCAACACACACTGCGGATTGAGAATGTCCCAGCTAGAGCGCCACGGGACGTGCCTGATCGGGTTTCTGTGCACCCTGGACGTAGACCAAGCTCGACGTACATGGTATCAACTTACTTTATTTTCTTTGATGCAACAGTATATTATGTTGATGTTTCTTTGATGCAGTCGGTCTTATGTAGCTGCTGCAGTGTCTCTACTCGGGTCACAACGGAACCAGGCAGCTACTCGTAGTTGCTACGTGGTTCGAATGAATGAATTTTATTTCCCTGCGAGAACATTTCAAAGTCAAAACGATTCTTCATTCATCACACCTTCCTGGTTCTAATAGACTATGATCCTTACTTTCATTTCATCTACTTCTACCAGTTCTTGTACGTTTTGACGCACAAGAACTTGTGGCAACGAAATGAAGGTCAACATGATCAAATTCATCAAAATCAACTATCGTCCGCTTTCCTCTAGTTAAGTAGCATTATCTTGACCAACAACAGGTGATCAACCGTCCTCCAGACCGTGTATATCTTGATCAACAACAGGTGATCAACCGTCCTCCAGACCGTGTATATCTTGACCAACAACAGGTGATCAACCGTCCTCCAGACCGTGTATACGGAGAGGTTGTTCGTACGAAGTTTGGGGGTGAGGCGACTGTCCAAGACGCTGTGCAAACATGGTGGGAATGTGGTGAGCACTGGAATCGTGACAGTAACATCAAGAGATGGACCTTTCAAGAGACGAGGAGAAATGCTGCTCAGGTACTTGATTGTTAACCTTGATGTTCTTAAGCATTTCTGCATCCTGGTCTTCTAATTCACTACTCTGTTCATGGTAAGCATATCTTCTCATTTCTGAACACGTACCTTTGTTCTAAAAACTGAAATCCTCTCATCACGTTGTTGACCACGTTCGGAAGTTGTAGTGAAGATTATAAATATGACTCGTAATATTTTTAAGCACGACATACGCATACTACAACAACTTCACCACCCCCTCTCCACCACTCCAGTCCGCTCACGATGTTCATCGACATGAGCAAGTGAACCATGAACGATTGGCCAGTGATCGGGAGAATTTGGTGGATCCATTTAAAACCTGGATTCCACCAAGACACAACGACGACTATGATTATGGCTGAAGGGACTAAAAATTGAAATTGTTCTTGTACTAGTAGATGAACCGCACATCATCTTCCTAATAGAAGGCGTTGCACTAGTAGATGAACCGCACATCATCTTTCTAATAGAAGGCGTTGCACTAGTAGATGAACCGCGCATCATCTTCCTAATAGATGGCGTTGCACTAGTAGATGAACCGCACATCATCTTCCTAATAGAAGGCGTACTAGAAGAAGTTGCATTTAGTGAAGTCATCGAGTCGTGTAGCGTTGTTCTCCGTATCCAGTAGTACAACAGCTACAACAAAAATATTCTCAACAACATTCGACAAAGAAACTTTCTCGCCCAGCTGCATCGTTTTCCACCCCGCCCCACCGCTACCTCACTCTCATCTCCCTCTCTAATGCCTCCCCAAGCCTCTCGGAGCTCGTCTCAGTTGTGGGGTGCATAATCAAGCCTGCTCAACCCTATGGGATGGCGAGATGGTGCGGCCGACTGCCATATACACCAAGAAATTCCAGAAGGCTGGTGAAGATGCATTTAAGAAACGTGGGGTGTACTCTTTCTAGAAGTTGAGGTTCTTGTTCTTGCTAGATGTGGACGGGTTTACTTATTGCGTAGTGTCAAAGTTTTTCGTATAATAGACGTGTCAATCATCTTATGATTTTTACTGCTTATCAATGATAGAAGAACTTTTAGGAAGAGGTGGAAGACATTGCATCTGGGACCATTAGTACATCAATCTTAGCTGATCTGATATTTCTTCTCAAAAGGTAAGATCTTCATGAGGATACATATGAACAATGCTTTTTGACTTTTTTCGAAATTTTTGGTTCTGGGAAAACCGAACTTTGTTGTTCGTTGTGGGTAATATTCATCTAAATCATAAAATGATCTTCATCACTGTATTTATTCTTTGTCTTGGCATGATAATTCCAGTACTGATACGATATTAATTATATGGGAAATTAGCAACAGCAAGCATGACACGCATAACCTACTGTATATTCAATTGGCATCTATCTTCAATATATTTTTCATGCTTGTTTTATCTATCGGGCTATGTATACAAAATAATGAGTAACTATAACTTACTAAGATATGAGATTATAAGATAAAGCCAACTACATCAAAATGAAAGGAACGATCACATGAAACGAAATATATGACATGACGCGGAAATCTTCTACTACAGTCAGAGTAGAGTTAACTTTCCCATACGGAAGTCTTCCGAAGAACAAGAGTCGCGTTTCAGAATCTGTCACCGAAGATAATATCACACTGGTAAGTATCTGTTGTGTAAGAGTGATGCCACCCGACCTGGAGAGATCGTGAAGTGAATATTTGATGGCTTTGAGACGTCAAAACTGATGGATAACCGCGAAGAGGGTGCACCTACTGCTGCTCAAGAACATCTGTCCAATAAGGGAGAGAGAGACAACTACTTATCAAAAACATTCATGATCTTATCTGTGATAGAGTTAGAGTGACAACTCACTGGGAGCATGATCCTTGTTTGGCTTTGAGAGATGACCGAGTTTGTTAAGTAGGGTGAGGACCAGCATGCTGCATTCTTCTACTTCCTGATCTCTAAAACTATTGCTCAGTTTTGATTCACATGTTATGTATCACTCCCCATTTTCACTTTCTGATTCCCAAACGATTGTTCTACCTCTAACAGCCTAGTACGTAGACAAAATGTTGTAGTTTTCATGTCCACGACCAACTATTCTTCAGTTTATTTTTCAAAAATGAATCCTTAGTAATTCATTGCTTATTTAGTACGTCCTGCTTGTTTGGATAATTTTTTTTTTAGTCAAACTACGCACATCCACAACACAAGAAAATGTTGGCTCCTGAATCGAGTGGCGTCGAAATGGTACCTATGGAGGGTACCCATAGAGCTATCGAGGATGCGGTCAACGACGGTATCATAGAACGTGGATTCAAGTCTGCTCCCCCCGTGATGGTCGACGACGGGAATGCGTATCACGACACCGCAGCAAGAATGGACAAGAGGAGTGTGATTGTCACTGACGAAGCAACAGGGAAACAAGTGAAGCAACCACATCCGGAGAAATTAAAGAAAATCGCAGCACGGTTGAACGAGAATAAAGATCAATTTTCCGCTTTTCAGCAAAGGCATAGTCTTTACATCCCGAAGAAGAGGAAGTCGGATCATAAGTTAAGGCTTTCATTTTTAGTGTAACCTAGACATACTTTACACCTAGTGGTATAAATACCCTAGTAGATTGATAGTAGAGACTGATGCATGTGTTTCAATTTCTCTGTTCTCACGTGTTGAGCATGTTGACGAGCAGTGTGAGTCTCTCCGTGTCAACATGTTGAGATCACCAGTCGATTTTTCACGTACTATGCTTGACCACGACCGTGAAGATCAAAAGTCATGTTTGATTTTTCAACTGGTAGGTCATCTTCCTCTAACTCTAGCCGCGGAGGCTTTCTTGAAAAGTCATGTGAACGCAACGGTAGCGGGAGTCGCTGGTAGTCTGGAAAAGCTCGATGAGCAAGAAGACGAGGAGGATGAGGAGGAGGAAAAGCATTGGATACGTCACGAGTTGCATAATTAAGGCTTACTTATAAATATTCATCTTAAGAGGCATCTTTGACGTGCTTTCAAAGGGAAAAAGAGGTCAAAGAGACGGCTCGAGATGAATAGAGGGAAGGTCTAACCTAAGTTGGTCTCCTCAGCAGCTTTTGAGGGCTTCGTCATCTTCTGCCTCCTCGTCGATATCTTCACAGTCTTCTCAGCGGAACAGACCTCAGTGGCGTTTCATTTCAAGGTTCTTATAGTTTTTTTTTCGGAATTTTGCATTGGTTGCGCATGATCTTTTTGATTGGTATAACGACATGTGGTCACGCAATCTATCTCGCTTTTTTTATAGGTACGCGCTGATTACTAGAGCCGCGGACCTTCAACCTTGAACCTTGAACCTAGAAGTGATACAGATACAGGGATGAACTACTTCCTATAGTCCTACATCACAAGAATCAATTGGTTATAGTACACAATCAAACCCACTACCACTCCAGGATCATTCCGGTTACAGCGAAGAGCTTGTGCTGAATTACAACCACGATTTGAACTATGTCTATAAAAACGGACAAGCAACAACGCCATCTTCGTCTCATCGTCTGCTCTCTCCTGCTTCTGACGCACAAGAATGGGCAAATCCAAGTGAGATATTATCTGCATCAAATGCTGCTGCCAAATCGAAGACAGGGGATCTCCATCCTAGGGCTTCATGGTCGTATTCAGGATTGACAGACAGGGTGGACGACGATGAGGACCTCCATGGTGAACATCAACATCGTAGTTCCTCGGAGATGTCCTCTAACAATCGAGGAACCAGACTTCGAAGAGCGGCTAGCATTGTAGATCATGATTCAACAAATGAACATGAAGATACCTCCTTATTTGCCTCATCTAGTACAACATCTTCCGACATCATGCAACCGCGTCGCTTTTTAGCAGGAAGTGGTCACAAGATTAGTGAGGCCCACGTCTCTGCAAGCTACGACTTCGCCCACGCGTGCATTATCATCTCCAAAGCGATATTGACGTTCTTTCTGTTCGAAATCTGTTTAAGGCTAGGTTAAAGGTGTTCCTGTTACCGTTCGTTTTGCCTTTCTGAAAGAGGAGAGGCCTAACGAACGGAGTTCGTTCGTTTTGCCTTTCTGAAAGAGGAAAGGCATAACTACTAACGGAGTATTAAACGAACACCAAAATAAGCCTACCTCTAATCTGTGCCCACATTGTTGTGCACGGACCCACGGACTACTTTCTTGCTGCTAACACGCCAGTACCAGTCTTGGTTGGCCACTGGGTTGATGCGGTTGTGGTAAAATATATTTATTAGTATTTTACATGACTAGTTGATGCCCATGCCTGCTCAAAATAATGGGTCCTCATTTATTATAGTCATACTGTTAGATAGTATTGTTGCTTACAAGACTCGTCCTGGACTAAGACATTACTACAGTTTATTTCTCACCCGAGCCTATCACAACATCTTTAGAACGGGAAGTTTTAGTTTTTAGAACACAATGATATCTTAATTTTCAAAGACTTTGTTCACTAAGAAAACTTAATAAAACTATGCACACATACGACACATGATCATCATAGGTCCCAGTCTCTTGGAGGAAGATAGTGGAATTTTTCCTACATCTATCAAGCACTCTACTACTTTAGGTCCCAGTCTCCTGGATCGTCGAGTTCTTTCTCGAGGAGTGGATGCACGCGATGGGCTGGCTTATCATCTTGCGAATGTGGCGTGTTGTCCGCCTCTTGAGTGGGTTTTACATTTCCTTGTCCATGATGCATGCGGAGCACGAAAAATCGATGGAATTGATGGATTTCACGATGCAAGTTACAGGCTTTCTCGAAGATGAGGACCTGTTTGGGAAGTTTGAGGAATACCAACACTTGTGGGAAATGAAAAAGAAGGAGCACAACGAATTGAGGAAAGCAAGAAAGACTGGAGCTGTTGCGAAGCTAACTAAAAGTGCGTCGATTAAGGCTGGTCATCTTGTTTGAGTGGGTGAAGAGTGTTTCATTTACATTTTCTCCTTCGAGTGATAAGTTTTAGCTTAATAATAGATTACTTCCATGTAGTTATGTTGACTTAATATAATTACTTCCATGTAGTTATGCTTATGTTGACTTAATAATAGATTACTTCTATGTTGAAGTTATAATACAACAGTTAGATTTACATACTTCTTCTAATCCACTGGCGGTAAATAGAGCAGTAGGGGCTGTTGGCGGAGCAGTTGGAATCGGAAAAGCCGCCAGAATGACCGAGGGGGAAGAAGATGCTCCTGGGATAGAAGCTGTTGATGAGGGGGTAGAAGCTGTTGATGAGGAAGAAGAAGCGGGAGACGCCGTCGTTGTGCCTGTGAATGAGGCAGGAGAACCGGAAGATCAGATATAGGAAATGTTCTACCGGATAAAAAGAAGTTCATCTATCTATGGACTACAGTCGACCGTTCTTGTAGGTGGTAGTGAGATTTATAAGAAATGTTCTACGTCGCTTCTAAAAAGGAGTTCTACTATCGACCACCAGCGTAATTGCTGGCTAGAGATTGAAGAAGAAAATAATATCCTAGATAGAAGCTACCACTTCGTCGAAGTCCACTCCGTCATGATGATTACTTCTGTAGCTTCTAGTCCTTGTTCTTCATTCAAAAAAAAATGTTTTTCACTAGTTGTATGTATGGTTCGCATATACGCATACTTTGAGAAAATGATGAATTTCACATGTTTTCATAGAAATCAATGCAACAAAGTACAGTGACAGAACAAAGTGTTGAACAGTGATTTTACTATGCATTAGAACGATTATCAAATAATTGGAATGATAGCGAACGAAGACACAACTATAACTATCTTATTTGGTCAATGCCATGACTTACTTAGGCACTTGGATTGGAAGTCAAACTCATACTACCTATGCTTTCAAATGTTTTTCCGAAGCAGGAACACAAAGATGCAAACCTTAAAAGATGATGACCATGACGAGAAACAACCAAAATAAAGAGGAAAACTGCAGGGACACGCGCTCTTGTGGTGTAACCAAGTAGAAGTCAGTGTTTGTTTTGAGAAATGCAAGCACTAATTGACACACTTTGCTGTAGCAAAGCAAGACTAGGACAGCCGTGCGTTTCTGCTGAAAAATTCGGTCGGGCTTGCGGTTGCGGACGGCGAGGGAAGAACTACAACTGACAACACTACGAGTCGCAGTGCACGAGGGCTACATGAACGACGGACGCCGAGCAACTACTTGATCACAGGAACATATCACACCAGCAGACTGTAAATCTACTTATATATACCAATCATCCCCAGTGCATCCTATCAACTCTAGTTTGTTTCACTGGGAGGAGCAATAATACGTCACTAAGGTTGACTACAACAAGGAAGACACCATGACGACTTTCATCACGATCACGATTTGGAACTGATGTATCACATCCCCAGTGAGGGTCATAGTACAACTTCTAATACCAATACGAACAAATGATAAGCTTAAGCAGCATGATCGCGTCCTCGTCCGCACAACTTTCGTCCATGCTGACGAGCATTTTCAAACGATCCAGCACCGCGCTGCAGCTGTCATCTACTACAGCAAGTCCAATTGTTCGGCTTCGCGTACTGCCATTAATCTCCTCGCTGTTGCCAACGACACGTGTACCACGACCACTCTCCTCCCTGTTGACATCATGGAACCGGAAAGGTAGAACTACATCTTCAACTACATGGACAACTTTGGTCTTCGTGATCACCGCGAGCCTATGGGTTGCTTTCGTGGCCGCTTTTGTCGCTGCTGCGGAACCACGGAATGTGCAAGTGGAAATTCCTGGATCATTGCTGGAGGAGAGAAGTCAATCAGAGGCAGAAGATACGGTGTGGTCTGTTACTTATGAAGACGAAGTCGAAGAAAATCTTCAATCACGTGCTTGTAATTCATGTTCATCTGCCTTGCTATAATTATGATTCCTCAACATCCTCAGTTCGACTTCGGTATCGATTCTCTTTCTGCTCTACTTATTCCCTTTCCTGTTCGCAACACTGCTTAGCCTCTGACTCTTACTTTCAAATCCTGACTCCATCTCCACGACCTCCCCACACCTACTCCAAGTCCAAATCCCCAAGCCCTCCTTTCATTCCTTCTGGTTTTACAATGTGAAATTCGATCGACCCACTGCTGAGCACAAAGGAGGTCCGGCTTTTGTGGCATCAGTCTTGCGCGAGCCGGGCTTCGTGTCCGAATTTAACAAATTGCTAGATGGGAAGTTGGTCGTGAACAACTTCCAACCCTCTCTAGCCGAAGCAGAGACCGAACAAGCCGCAGAAGCATGTGAGTTCAGGGTCAAAGAAGAGATTGCGCTGGCAAGTACTTTAATAAATCACGACTGTGCTTCTTGTGCCACCTTCTACTTAAATGCTTATTCGACTCAACAAACGCAATTTGTCGAAAGAATTTCAAGAATTTCACGAATAGAGAAAAAGACAAATTTAATGTAATCAACATCCTCCATACTCATCCATCTTCAGAGGAAAAAGCCATTTGTTTCTGAACTCCAACCTATCCTCAGAGGAGAAAGCCGATCAAGATCCTGTGCCTCCTGCACTGCAAGTCCTAGCAGCTATTATGTGTGGAATGCAAATGGGGCTCGTCGGTTTCATACTCTACACAGGAGATCGCGAACCGACCTACATTGACATTCCAGGTACTACGTACGACCACGTAGCCGGACCTCTCATCCGGTCCTCCTTTTTCGTTGTCTTGTTGTTGTTCGTTTCTACTCGAAAACTGAAAATATTACCCGAGTTACTGACTGAAATAAGGGAGGCAGCTTTGACAGGGCTACTCTTCCTTGTTCAGTATCTCGCATATTTTCAGTAGTTACTCGCTTATTTCAGTTTTTCGAAGTTCATCGTACTATCGTGGGCGAGGATGTTGACCCTTTACTATGTTGCAATGGGACAAAGATCTGGCACAAAGATCATCTCCACAACTATCCTTAACACAGATTTCGAAGACGTAATTCGCGAGAAGAAGAAAGCCGTTTCAGATGCCCGCGATGAAGCAGAGAAGGCACGGTTGGCTAAGAGACGAGCAGAGGCAGAAGCTGTTGAGGAAGAAGCACTCAAAATTGTTAGTGGAATCGGTACTAGTACTTTTCTATGATGATGATGATGATGTTTCTATTTCTTGTTTATTTTGATGAAAACGATGATCCAGAACCTTATAACCTTAGTTTTGTGATCGTGCATGTAGTAAGTTCAACAAGAGAGGACGATATACTCGTTGAATATGAATCTGATATTCTCGTCTCATCACTTCACATTCCCAGATGCTTCGGCAGCAGATGAAGATGTTGGTGACTCGAGCGGTGCACTCGGTAAGAGTAGTGCGATGGCAGGTAGCTCCGCGTTCGGCGGAAGCTCCGCGATGGGAGGCAGTTCGGCATTCGGCGGAAGCTCGGCAATGGGCGGTAGCTCGGCGTTCGGCGGCAGTTCGGCTATGGGCGGCAGCTCGGCGTTCGGCGGGGGTAGCTCAGCCATGGGAGGCAGCTCGGCATTCGGCGGTAGTTCCGCTATGGGTGGTAGCTCGGCCTTCGGAGGTAGCGCTGCAATGGGAGGCAGTTCAGCCATGGGAGGTAGCTCTGCCTTTGGCGGTAGTTCCGCTATGGGTGGTAGCTCTGCCTTCGGCGGTAGTTCCGCTATGGGTGGTAGCTC